GCTGTCCGGAAATCTTCGGGGCTCTGTACTTAGGGAGGCATAGGTAATAAATTGAAATGAGGGGGTGGTGACCATCGAGGGGTGCCGAGAGGATTGCGGAATACGGGGGCTCCGAGGTTAGTGAGGGAGGAGCGGAGTTGGAACGGAGGGATCGGAGGGACTGGAAGTCGATGGCCGGGGATGGATATGACACAAACGATGATGAACGATATCCTCAGGAACTTCATCGACTGGGAAGTCGTTATTTGCTACATGGACGATATCCTCATCTTCACGGCTACCCTAGAGGAGCACCGGAAGGTCATCCGGGAGGTCCTGGAAATGCTGCGAAAGAGGAGGCTTTTCCTGAAGCCGGAGAAGTGCAAATTCGAGCGGACCCGGATCGAGTACCTTGGCCTCATCATCTCAGAGGGTAGCGTTGCAATGGATCCCATAAAGATCCGTGAAGTCCTCGACTGGCCCACCCCAACCAAGGTGAAGGAGGTGCAGTCCTTCCTGGGGTTCGTAAATTTCTACCACCGGTTCATCAAGGACTTCTCTGAAAAGGCACGCCCACTCCACAAGCTGACCTGGAAGACCCAGGCTTGGAACTGGGGCACGGACGAAGACAATGCCTTCCACGCCCTTAAAGCTGTCACTACCGCCCCAGTCCTCTCCTTCCCCACTGACTCGGGCCACTTCAGGCTCGAGTGTGACGCCTCCAATTTCGCAACCGGTGCAGTCCTCTCCCAGCTCCAACCCAATGGGGAGTTCCACCCGGTGGTGTTCATGTCCAAGAGTTTCACGGACGTGGAGCGTAACTACAAGGTGTACGACAAGGAGATGCTTGTGATCGTCCAAGCCCTCGAAGAGTGGCGACACTTCCTAGAAGGTGCTGAGGAGAAAGTCAAGGTCTATACCGACCACCGCAACCTGGGGTACTTCCGGATGGCCCAGAGGCTGAATCAACGCCAGGCTAGGTGGTCCCTTTTCCTCTCTCATTTCCACTTTACCCTTGTCCACCATCCTGGGAAGCTCATGGGAAAACCGGACGCACTCTCCCGTCGTGCTGACCACCCGAAAGGGAAGGACGACAACGAAGGGCTAACCCTCCTCCAACCAGCCTGGTTTGAGGCTCGTGCAACAGAGGGAATCTTGGTAGAAGGAGAAGAGGTAGGAATTCTAGAGCAGATACGCAAAGCAAAAGACCACAATGAGAAAGTGGTAAAGGCAATGTGAGAGCTGGGAGAAGGGATGCTAAGGTCGGACAAATGGGAGAGGCAGGGTGAACTAGTTCTGTACCAGGGGAGGGTGTACGTCCCTAAAGACCCCCAACTCCGCCATGATCTTGTGCGGCTACACCACAATGCACGGGCGACAGGACACCCAGGGCGGTGGAAAACCCTGGAACTTGTCTCCCGTGACTACTGGTGGCCCCGGATGGCAGAGTATGTCAGGCGGTACGTATGCGGGTGTGACACCTGCAACTGCGTCAAATCTTTCCCCTCACGAAAAGTTGGGAAGCTCACCCCAAACAAGGTCCCCACCTGTCGCTGGCAAGTGATCTCAGTAGATATGGTGGGAGAGCTCCCAGAGTCCAAAGGCTATAATGCCATCCTGGTGGTAGTAGACCGCCTGTCCAAGCGTATCCACACGGTCCCCACCGTGACGACTGTAGACTCGGAGGGTATCGCATGGCTCTTTCTAGAGCACGTCTGGAGGCACCATGGGCTCCCAGAGGAGATCCTCAGCGACAGAGGGAGCGCCTTCGTCTCCCGCTTCTCGAAAGAGCTCGCGGACCTTCTAGGCGTCAAACTGACCCCTTCAATGCCCTACCACCCCCAGATGGACGGACAGACTGAGCAGGTCAACCAAGAGATCGAAGCTTATCTCCGGGTGTTCGTCAACCATCGACAGGACGACTGGGCCGACTGGCTCCTGCTGGCGGAATTCTCCTACAACAACCGCATCCACTCATCCACCCACCGAACTCCTTTCGAACTCGACACCGGCCAACACCCCAGGATGGGGACAGAGCCCACATGCACATCTGAGGTGGAAGCTGCTGACATGTTCTCATCGAGGATGATGAAAATGCAAGAGGAGGCGAAGGCCGCACTGGAACACGCAGCAGACGAGATGGCCCGTTACTATGACCGAGACCACAAAACAGCCCCAAAGTACCAAGAAGGTGACCGAGTCTGGCTCAGCGCACAAAACTACATGACTGACTGCCCAACCAAAAAGTTGGACCACAAATGGCTCGGCCCCTTCAAGATCGTCAAAGTCGTCTCCCCTGCTGCCGTCAAACTCCAACTTACCGCACACCAGAAGGGAATCCACCTGGTTGTATCCATAACGAACGTCAGACCACACCGCCCGGATGATATCCCAGAACGACCCACTGACCCCCGCCCAGGTCCGGAACTTGTAGACGGAGAAGAAGAGTACGAGGTCGAGAAGGTATTGGACTCTAAGTGGCTACGCTGGAAACTCTGGTATCTGGTAAAGTTCGTTGGTTGGCCAAGCTCAGAGAACCAATGGCTCCAACGGGACCACTTAGCCCATGCCCCCGACCGGATCGAGGAATTCCACAGGATGCACCCCCAAGCCCCAGGGAGAGAAAGAGAGAACCATCTGGCCGCTTCAAGGCGAAGCGGCTTAAGGAGGGGGTGATGTCAGGGCACACCCACCTGACCCGGGCCCACCCGGGCCCACCTCACCCGCTCCCCGCTACCCATCCTTCCTCCCTCCTCCTTCCTCCCTCTTCCCCTTCCTCCCTTTCCTCCCTTTTCCCTCTTTTCTCTTTCTCCTTTATTTCATTCTCCCTTTCTGTTTATTCTTTCTATTTACATGGACCACCTTCCCTTGTATCATTGTACTGTTGACCCGTCCGGCTCGGACACCCTGGACGACTTCCCGCTATGCCTAGCACACACACCTGCAGCGGATGCCCTCGGGATCCCCTGTGGGGATACCCAGATGGCTGCGGCTCTCTCCATAGATGACATGGCACCCATCATGTGACCCAAGCTGCATGTACATAAATGTACCTGAAGTGGGAACTGAAGAAGTAACCTTCTTCTCACGTTTTCCACTTCAGGTAAGTAGTGCAGTTCTTCCTTTTAATAACAATTCACGTTTTCCACTTCAGTCTAAGTGGCCAGAAACTACAGTCCCAGATCGGGCCCGTCAGTATGCGCGCCCACTTCATTCCCCACAAGGGTCCCTCTGCCGGGCGCTACATCCGGGCCCCCTCCACCCCGGACGCGTCCCTGACATACAGTATTCCTCCTTTAATGATAATAACAACTTTCCACTTCAGTCTAAGTGGCCAGGGACCATTGTCCCACATTGGGCCTGTCAGTATGCAGGCCTGATCCGCCCCCCACCAGGCTCTTGGCCCTGGATGCTACACCCGGGCTCCCTCAACCCCGGATGAGTCCCTGACACTTGGGGGGAAATCAAGTCAATTTCGGACTGAGGTTACAAGTTACTATGTACATTGTATATAAGGAGGGGTCTGGAATCAAAAGGAGCAAGGGTACTCTGAAAGGAGACAAAGGGAGCTGAAATGAGGAACAACACTGAAGGTCAAGGGTTTGACTCAATGGTGTTTCCCAAAGGAGGAGTGAAGGGCCAATGTCAGGGGATGACTCCCAGGTCCCCATGACCCTCCCCTATGGTCCACAGCCTACTGGTGTAACCAGCCCTATCCAGGGCACAACCTACTGTGGGTAAGAAGATGAGAAGGAAGCTAACTTCTCATCTTTGTCAGGGCACACACCCTGACTAGCCCGGACCCGCTACATTTCCCGCGCGCATTCCCGCGCCGCATGCTCCGTGCGCCACATGATCCGGCCCCGGATCCTGCCTTCATGTGAGCTTTTCCTTGTACTGTACTATAACGACCATTGGTTCAGTCACATGTCACACGCAAACTGTGAACTGAACTAAAGTAGGTTTTGTCACATGTCACAGCGAGACTTTGAACAAATAAATGTATTGACAACTGGTTCCCACGAAATCCGGGAGTTGCCGAAATCAGCAAATCAATTCAGTTTTAATTCAGTTTAAGATTTTCACGTGATGTGTGGCACATGTCACACTGAGGGATGAACTACACAAGAAGGAGGCGGCAATCCCCGAAAACCGTGGGAATGAACCTATGGTCGTTATAGTACAGTAATCGGCAGTGGTCATGAGGTCGCTGCGATAAACTAAATCCGCAACTGTTTCCCAGTCCCATCATTGGTACCTATCACTCGCACTAGACGATAACTCGATGGTTAGCCGTTATCTTCTCCTGAAGAGGCGGCTCCCTATATAAAGCAACGGATTTCAGGCCCTGCTCCTAGCAAAGTCATGGCCTTTCAGGATGGTACTGTCTACGTTGTGCGTCCCGACACATCTTAGCAAAGTGATAAAATTAGCGAGCCTCTGGGCAGTTTAGGAACTTGAGCAGCGGGACTGTCCTCGCGGGTGACAGCCCTAGCTATTCCTGGGTGTGTGATCGCGAAGAGTAGCGTTAAACAGGGTCTGACGAAACTATGGGGCCCCAGTTCGCCCCACTTTAATAGATCTCCTTGAGTATCTTATCTGTTCGGTAGGACTCACTACGTCGTGGGCTGGGAGCGCCATGATGGAATGGCGCAGCAGGTTTGACACTGCGTCTCATTGTCTCATAGTCAGCTCAATTTTTCCGTAGTGGGTGGTTGAAACCAGCACAAGCGAAGAGATCTACCTGAGGAATGTGGGTCATTCGGAGTATTTGAATATCTATGGTGAGCCACGAAATGGAGCTCTTGCTGTTGGGGCCTCCAGACCCAGAGCCTGGCAGGCTATCTTTGATGGAACTCACTGCAGGTCAGCCAAGAGCGTTTCTTCTGGAAGATTCATTCCACCTATTAATAGTCTGCCCGATCAGGCTTATTTACCCTGGAACGAGCCTCTGTTTGGACCTCGATTCTGGTCAGACTGGCAATGGCACGACAATCTCTCTGCAAACGTATGATCAAAAGCCCCATCAGCACTGGGATCCGGAGCTATTGGGGTCACCGGTAGGCGACAACTTGTTGAAGCTGGGTCTGCCATACGTCGTTAGTCACCGAGATCCTAGCGCTTTGGACAGAAAAACCTTATGCAATAATATAGATCCAAACCATGAAAGACTCCTCCTCAGCAGAACTTGGCGGAGATGACAAGGTGAGTCGCGATCTCGATCCCTAGTTCATCGGCGTCTAATACGTCCACTTGCCAGTGCGTTTCGAAAGTCACTCCATATTATTGCTTTCAGACTGAACGGGTCCTCTTCAATGTCAAGGTCTGTCATCCCTAACTCCCGTTCGCCTCAGCGACAAGGCCAACAGGTCCGGGTCTTCAGAGCTTAATCCGTTGACTTGCATCACATCTGACCCATTTGCCAAATCCAGTGGACCCTCGAACGCGCCTCGCCTGGACAGTTCTACATTAAGAGCCATCTTAACACATATCTCAATGTCGATGGCCCTTGGAGGAATTGCATGCGTGTCATTGCCTCCCCAAACAGACAAGCATGGAATATACGGCTGCATAGCGCTGCTTCGAACACGTTTAGGTCATTATCCCCACCCTACTGGACCTCGTTGTTTCGTTCCAGCTGCTAATTCCTCTTGACAAAAGGATCTTCTATCCAGGAACCAATTCTGCGGTTGGCTTAGATCGGAGATACACTAATCCTGGATCGATTCATTTGTGGGGATCGAACGGCTGGAACTCGGAGCAGTTATGGACATTCGGCCTGGCATCCGAGTGGAACCGTTTCAGCTTCGACAACCGTCCCTACTTGGTAAGTACCCGAAACTACTGTTGCCAAGGAACACGCTCGACAAGAATCGGACAGATTGTGAACCGTGAAGCGGGGACCGCAATTGGACCCAGCGATGATCAAAAGGTATATCTCCTGCGACATAGTTATTCTGTCTACATCACTGATCACTTCCCTCTTAGTTGGTTCGCATCCAGTGCAGCTCCGCCTACCGAGTTGACTCACATTTTCAAATTTGAAGATCTGTCATTGGGTTTCCAATCACCCCCACGCGCTGAATCTAGAGGTATGACAAGTCTCTTGCGTTGTGAGGAAATTCTCATCATAGGCGATGCATCGCTTTTTATAGTGGATGTTCGAGGCGACCGGGAGCCTTTATTTTATCAAGAGCATGTCCACTCATACGTACCTCGGCGTCGAAGGGGATGCTAAGCAGGGCGCGAAAATCATTTGCTCAAACTTTCCAGGAGCAGGAGTTTGGACTGTGAAAGCTGCTGACACAAGACATCCTACTAGTACAATATCCCGGTATTGGCTATTGCTGATCTAATGAGAAAAGGAGGAAGCGCTTATGATTTAATTTTAATTAGAATTTTCTGGTCCGATACGAACTTGGTTATCGGTTTTGGTGGTAGCTCAGTACAGGGGGACACGCCGGGGATGGTCCAGGACCCTGAGACACACAACCAGACGTCTAACACTTCAATCAACTCGCTACAATTGTGCCCAAACCAGGTAGACTCCGGACCTGACTACCGACTTTGGGTCTTCCGATAGGTATGAGGTATGCGGTACTACATCCTCTACGTTATATACATTTCCGCGGTCGCTCTTGATGTGCTTCTTTCGAAATTGTCCGTGTACCGTGTTTGTTGTAATCTACTTCTCCGTCGGCGGGGATAAATCTGATTGAAATCTGCTCTGATAAAAAAAACGCTGTATGAAAGTTGACCCTTGTCAAGATCATTAGTGGATCGACAATTTTCTTTTTGGGAAATTGAAGAATCGCATTTATCCTTACGTCGTCGTACTAAAGAGGTTTCGCTACAACAGACTGATGTACCAAAGGAGCTCATCTCCAGCACTTCTAGATACCGCGGCCGTCTTCTCCTGACGCCGATCTTACTTACGTGGTCTTCTCAGCAATTCCCATCTGGACCCACACCGCCCTGTCACATTAAGGTTGTTTCCTCAATACAGGGTCTCCGACACAACATGGGGGACACATACCTTGGAGTACAGGGTAGAAGCATTTTGTGGCCAAATTTTCTCAATGCCCTTTCGTCCCGCCGCACCTTTCCATGACATGGGCGGGCAGGCTCCAGCAGGTGCATCCTCCTGGCGAAGAGTGAAATCACTGAAAACTTGCAATATGCGCACCATCACTAAACGCCAAGTGAGTCAGGTATACCAATGTGACCAGAGAGAAAGGGTTCTACATACTGAAGCTTGCTTCATTATACGCATAGTTCTGGAGTGAGCCGTCAGGGAAATAAATGCTGGTTGGCACAAGACGAACGACGTACCTGTCCTAAACAAATTCTGGGTCCAGCGTTGAAAGGTACAAACTTGAACGGATCAGCGACCATCCTCTTCACTCGCTCTTCGTCAATCCATCTCTCAGGGTCAAATTCTTCAGCATCGTCCCCCCATAGGTCTTTGCGCCGTTGTATGACAAGAGGTAGGAAAATCATGCCTGTGTCCCCGCCCGGAATATACAAGGGCTTTCCGTGGGTGGATGCATCGCCTGGGACGAGACACGGAGATTTAGTAGCACGGTAGTTGAACGGAACCGGCGGGAAAAGGCGTAATGTCTCGTTCAAAACTGCGCGTACTGAAATACGAGGTTCAAACAAAGGCCCAACTGGTAATCATAATAGTCACATACAGTATTTCATATGACGAATGTCCTCGAAGCTTGGTGGACCATTAGGGACATGTTTAAGGACTTCGGTACGGAGTTTGGTGGTAACTTCGGGGTGCATGCAGAGCATATAGATGGTGAAGGTGAGAAGCGACGCAGTTGTATCACGGGCAGCCAGAAGGATGTTGAGGAGCTACAAATTTGGTCCTCTTAGGTCCGACACAAAATGCAATCCCTTTGACGCATACCTCGTCGCAAATAAGTTTCATGTTACTCGTCGAATCCATCAGATGATCGATAAGATCTCCCTCATTGTCTCCGCACTTCTGAGAACCTCTTGCCTTTTTTCTACCGATCGCCGCTTGGAGCATGGGTGCCATCCAGCGGTCCACAACCACTTTGTGTTCCATCGTTTGGTCCGTGAGGAATTCTCTGGCAGGCCACATACTCCTATACGCCAACCTCTTTGTTATAATAATTTGAGCACTCTCAAAGGCGTGAACAAATCCCCCGTAGTCCCCTTCCACCTGTACCCCTTTCGGACCTATCACGGATTGACCTGGAATGGGGAGGGGAAGGTCTAAGGTGTTCAGATTGTTCGTTCCGAAAAGAAATTCGCCCGCTGCGTCGAGGGTGAACCGCCCAAAGATATCCTGAACGTCTATGGATTGATTGATCTCAGCGCGTGCACGAAAGTGCTTGATTGCTTTTTCAGAATAGTGATCAAATATGTTGAAGTCCCGTATCCGTTCACGAGCTGGGGTTCGGAGTCAAGCTTCTCAACAAGATAGAAAGAAGAGGTTTGAGGGGTCTGCGTACCGAAGAACGGACGAGTCATTGCTCTGTGAACTTTCGCCTTTGGCCAATCAGTTCCGAATATTCCTTCACCGAACATGCCATTAATCCTAGAATGAGCTGAATCTCCAATCCAGACACTTGCGCGGGTGAATGGACGGACCTTTCGAGATTCGAAGGGCCTTTCATGAAGTTGTCAAAATTCGTTGCCAGCATCATCTGCACTGTATGATGGTTCCTGGTTACAAAGGAATCCTCCCACCATAATCCCAGGTTGAGTGTATCGCAGCCGTTCTCATCCAAGAATTGCTGATAGTGTTCAGTGGAATATCCTTCTCTAAGGATATCTAGTGAACTGGGAGATGGTGTAACTCAGTGCATCTGAGTGGCCCGGAACGACCGGTGATGACTGACCGGAGGACGATATCGACGTTCCCTGGCCATTTACCCTTCATTCTGGGTGGAAGAACTGCACCTAATTTCGCGGCTTCCCGAGAGTGCTTAAATCGTGTATACTGGACTTTGACGGTCCAGTACCCAAGACATGACACAACATAAAGAACCAATCGCAGCAACAAGGATGCTCTGAAGTCGGACGGAAGGATGAAGCGAGTCGCAAGCATGGAGATGATCGCTGGCGGCCACAAGAGGCTCGTGAGTTTAAGCAAGAACGTGTAGCGATAGTTGTACATAGGGGACAAAAACCGTTTCGGCGCTGCCTCTCAGAGAGTTGGGGAAGGACTTGAGAAGGCAGCTGGAAGTTTGGGAAATTTCGTTGGCTCTATAAGTAAGTGCGTGGAACTCGATTACACATGTCAGGGGCGGCACTCTGAACTTTCCGATGATAACCGGTCCAATAGAGGCTGGTAGCCTGGCATGGCTATTGGAGAATAGTGCTACGTGTCTGCAGTCCCTGCTTAGGGGTAGGCAGATGACCAGCTAAGGGTGGTTCCCTAAGGAAAGAGTGGGAACCTGCCCACGCGATAATCGGGACATTTTGCTAATATAGGTCCTACTTTAATTGAAAATTCAGCTCTCATGGGTCCTCTTATTGCCGAATCCGTCCTACATGAATGTCAAGCCCATAAAATAAGATCTAAATAACCGGTGGACGCCACTGGCGCTGCTTATGTAAACCGTAAGTTGGTTTTGGAATTTGACTCCGACTCATGAGTATATACTCCAATGGTCGTGGACCCGGCTGCCAGAGTTGGAGGTGAACTTGATCAAATGTATCGTCTACTTTGATGAAGCTCACCGGCTTACCGAACCCGTCCCACCGGAAAACGCATGGAGTCGTTGTTTGAGCTGACAGATTTCCTTTTTTTTTTATCTACGAGCACTCATCTTTAAAAATCCGCTCCCTCGCCCATCAGTTCGCATTGCTCAGGATCTCCGCCTTATCACCGAGCTGCCGTTTGACCCATTTGTGGACCAAGTATTTGAATCTTTGGAACGACCTTGAAAACGTGGGCCAAACGAGTGCGATGGGGTTCAAACGTGTGTATGTGCCTACTATGTTTGCGGCAAATTCGAAATAGATGGTGTGTCCACCACAAAAACTGGTTGGAGCGGAAAGGATTGACGTTGCATCGTTCGCCAGAGTCAAACTGGTCGCGAAAGGGAACAAAGTATTTCACTCTCGCATCGGGATAGCACAACTCAAGCCTCGAGGATGTGTGGCTCAACAAGTTCTGCAGAACTCATCGAGTCGCACATGCTTTTATTGCCATCCCCGAGCATCGCGAGTTTATGCATGCCGGATCGCCCTCTGAACCCATACTGGCCGAGGCAGCAGCGAGGCATCTGAACGACCCTTCGAATGCTGGTGAAATAGAAATTCAAGGTCCAGAACTTCTACCTCGGGCGTACGGGAAGGAACTTCTTGCGAAGGGAGAGCGCGGGGAATTCTATGGTCAACTCATTCTGACCATTGCACATAATATCGTCCTCAGACAAAAACAGTACTCTTTGCCATTCACCTGACCCATCGATCTGTTCGTGTCCTCGATTTTCTCAAGGCTCTATTTGTGGCGGAATTCGGAATCGTGGTATTGAACGCTCACTCGGTGACGGCTAAGGTGGACGTCCCTGATTTTGAAAACAGCATTTGCGAATGCTTATATCTTTTTTTTCCCCGTTTAGCGCAGGTGTGCCTCCTCTCTCTCCGATAACTGTCAACACTCATACTGCTGTGTATTCAGGATTACTCGTTGGGCTCCTGCGAATATAGCCCCTTGCCGATTCCATTCCTGTCGCCATGCACTGCTCCTCTTCTTAGCTTGGTGATGGCGAGTAACGTCTGAGCACGAAGGCAAAGGCACCATCCTTCTTTCTTTGATGAACGTTGATGTCCATGCCGGTATCCATTCAGGGACAAGGACAGAAGGCTTGGCCCCCCAAGGACTTGGGCATGCTCCTTATCAACTCTACTACCTTGACCGCGCACCCGTACCGTTGTGTCCAAGGCTTTAGCTCCAGAATTGGATCACTGCAACTGGATTCCATTCCCCCTGCGCATTTGGTGACGAAGAGTAAAACGCTTGATTCAAAAAGTTTCCAAGAGGGTGTTATGGTTGGCGTAGGCGGGCTCCTGAATTGGCCATAGAGGACGAACTAGTGGTTCTCCAGCAAGTTTAATTTTGTGAGGTGGCGTGTGCAGTCACTCACTTCCGGCCTCCTTAGTATCCACCGGAGCTGATTGGCACTTTACTCGAAGTCGCGTTGGCAATCAAGTCAAAGGACTAATAGATCTCTTCAAACCCGCTGTCCTGGCGGATTTGGAAGCCCTCATTAGGTTCATTCTCAGTCTGTTGGCTTTATGCCTTGATTCATGTCAAGATTCATGGACTGACGCGACGCAAGCAATGTATCCAGGCGCACTGGGTCGAGTTAACACAAGCACTTGCCTGTGCAGACTGTGTGTTCTCTCGGCGGTGTGGTGGCGCGCAGACAGCCTCGCTAGGTGCCGTACGACGAGAAGATACGACGAGGCAACGAGGGCGAGTAAAAGATAAAGGGGTTGGCTGTTCCGGCAGACGCCGCACCCGAAAAGTCCCGCCCACTCGCCGGTCTCATCCATTGCTCTTTCTCCGATTTTCAGAATCAAATTGTAGTTCGAGGATTCTTCAGGGATCATCACCCGCTTTCCCGGGAATATCAAGCCTGCCTCAGACTCGTACCCAGCCGTCTCCGCTACGTGGACGCGCAAAATCTCGACTAGTTGTTGTATTAGAATTCAGTTGTAAAGTCACGTTCAAGAACATTACGAGATTTTGCGCGTCCACGTAGCGGAGACGGCTGGGTACGAGTCTGAGCCTGCCTACGACAGATGAGCCGCAAGCGGTCGTAGAAATAGCTTCACTTCCTGGCCAGAAGCGCCGGGGTATTGAGGATTATTTGCTCCTCTCGTTCATACAGGCTTCATCACTATCCGCCATTGGTGTGTGGGTGGGATATTGGTAGCCATCGTTGGGTATGGAATTTTGATGAGGTTCTCTGTGAGCCATTGCGTCTATCGTATTCGTTGACGTCGCATTGGTATTCTTTCCCTTTTCGGCAATCACGATTTCTCCAGCATTCGGAGGAATTAGCCCGTGTACCATCACTTGCATCGACAACAATTCTGTCCCACCCGTCAAGCTCTTCTCTAATATCGACTCTCACTCTCAGCCATGGCCCAATATACACTCGAGCAGCAGCAATGGGGCTCTTCTTCTCAACAGGGGACTCAGTCACCCGCTTTCAACAACTTCCATTGGTCCCGAAATCCAGAAAAAATGAGGGACACCCCTGCACTTGGCCATTGCGGGACGCACTGGAGAGGCCCCCCCGGGCCCGAATGATTTCCAGATCGAATAGTTTGGGACCAGTCAATTGCGCATACCCGGGGCGCCGCCGGTGGTGGGCGGTCAAGGCCGATGCACGATCGACCGTTTTGAAACAGATGCCAAGGGTGACCAACAAGTCACGGCCTTGGTTTGCAAATTCAGAAGCAGGTGAGCGACAAAATATCTGCCACAGTATCAAGACAGAAGTACCATCCTCCAATCACACAAGCTTCCTCGTTTCTCGAGTTCTGGAAGCTTTACCTAAACCTTGCATAACTACCATTAAATAATCAATCCGCTCGTCGATGAATGACAGCGTGCTGTTCTCGATTTTTAAAAGTCCTCTCTCTGAGCTTTCCTCTTGATCTCGATGAGTTCAGTCGTGAAGACTAGGTCAGCATTAGCGGGAATGACGGGTGGGAAGCCGCGTTCGCCTGAGGAAAGTGGGCAGAAATGAGAATCATGCCAAGAACGCGAGGGGAAAGGCGACATGCCATATGCCAATTTAGATGGGATGGTAAGGGTTCGCTTCTCCCCGACACACATGCTATTAATAAGTGCATCGTCAGCATACTCGGAAAACCAAAACTCAGTGAATTGGGCAGTGGTCATACTTGAGGAGCCCTTCGTCCCATCCTGGACACAATCGTTCGTGAGATCATTGACGCGCTAAATAATATGAACGAAGTGAAATTCACCTCGAATAACTCTCCCAGTGCCAACTAGATAGATGCAGGAAATAGTAAATTGAGGGCGAGGTGAGGAGAAAGTGCACATTTACTAACCGGGGAATTCTAAAGGTGACCCTCTGTCCAAGCTGCATTACGATGTTCAGAGCCCGTCTCCTTCGAAGCGACAAAGCTTACCTTGAGTCGAATTTCTTTCCACCCTCCAGGAGTGTCCCAGTCTGAAGTCATGCGTCAGTTACAAGCCAGGGCCGAAAGAGTAGAACAGAAGGCAAGATGCATAATGTCAAGAGGATGTGTTCACGTACGTAATGCACTGTGATGGAGTCCCCCTTGGAAGTTTTTTCAGTACACTCAGCTGGTAAATGCGTCACATCAATCTTGAGAGAAAAGTCTGATGCCGAAACTGCAACAGTTGAGAGAAACAAAGGAGCAAGGAGAGCTGTCCAATGCATTTTTCCTCCTTGGAAAAGGGTTGATGTGAATGCGAAGGTTTAACTCGTCAATTTAGATGAATCAATAATTACTAGAGTCAATTCATTCGTCACGCGAAGTTGTTTGCCTGAAAACCAGGTAGAAACAGCCTTGAACGTTCCAGGGACGCGAAAAGTGAATAACGAGAATAAAGATGCTGAGGCTAAAGATAGGTTTACAGAGGCCCATCACTGAGTTCTGACAGCAGAGGATACAATACCGGCAATTTCATTCAACAAGGTGCATGTTGCAGTATAATCTGGCTAGATTCAGCAGTGCATATATCATATGGCAGGTGAGGTCGGAACGTAGATTTGACCCTCACAAAACCCAACAAAATAAGCACAAGATATAGTGTCTCGAGTGGGTACATATAAGCCATAAGGATGGAGGGGGTGGACAAGGCATTGGAATCGGCTTAAATGTTGAGCTTCGTTCGGCGCCAGTGACGGCGTTTGGCGTTGTACTAATGGACGGATGGACTTGTCAGAAAATATTACAACGCAACGGCATAGTTTCGCCTACTTGAATTCTGTTCCCAGTCCTTAAGCGGATCCACTGAGGAATGGGTCTGATTCACCGGTACGAAATACGGTGAGCGAGAGCGCCAATTGATCGACGAACACAAGAAGCTCACCGATTCTGGCGCTGGGCCTTTGCGAGAGTGCGCTTCGTACGGAATGTCTTATTTGAAGGCTAAATAAGACCAAATAGTAAACGTTCAGAATAGCCATCTCACTGCGAGGGCCGTAGGTCCTGCTTACCATCTCTGAGACACGTTTTACTATGAATGAGGAAAAGTAGCCCTCTGTACAGTTCCAGTCACCTGATTCGGTGACTGCCGACCGTTCCTCTAAGCGCGTGGTTGCCAAGCCCGTATCTCAAGTGATGTGCCACCTATCACTGCTGAACCTTGGCCTTGGATATAGCCAACTCGAATCTAGGTTGTTCTCTCTTGTAGAGACGGTGACCGTTACTAGCCTGTTTGTTCGTCTGAACAAATCCTTTTACATCGCCCCAGAGGCCAAGTTACCATGCCGCAAGATCATCATGGAGATCTTAAAAGCATCAACCCCCATTCACATGCTTGCTTTCCGGTCGATGGTCGTTATGTCTCGGTGATCCCTGTGCCTCCTTCGTGGCCGCTTCACTATATAAGATGAGGTGCAGGGATGCTCTCTTCTGCTTTCCTTGTCCTGGAGGCCCTCCCGAGCGACTCTCTTTGCCTTTTCTTCTTCTGAGCCTGGAGCTCTGACCTTTCTCGTTATCCACCCTTGAGCTGGTTCTCTGTCTTATTCATTTATCATGCATTCTTTCAAATATATCGCTTTGGGGGCCTTCTTTGCCATCATGGGCGTAACTGCTGGCCCAGTTAGATTCGATAAACGGATTGCGCAGGTTATTGACCAGTCGGTTAGTTCTCCGTTTAAGCCATTGTCGCCCAGGTTTTGACGATCGTGTAGACGGCAAAATGGCAAACGGCTTGCGTAAGTTGCCCTGTTGGGACCCTCTGTTCCGTGTTTGGATCGTTCAATGCATTTTTAGCTTGCTGCAGGTGGAGGCACCAAGTGCAATCCCGTGGCTGTCGCTGCATTCGGCAACCTTCTTGCTGCAGCTGACGCTTGTGGGCAGCAAGGTTGGTATTTTTTGATGCTCAGTCTTCACCAGTGTTGGTTTATCCCTATTGATGCAGATGCTGCTGACAAAATGATCGACCTTGCCAAGACTCTTAAGAGTAATGCAAAGGCCATCAGTCTCGCACAAGTCTTCGCTCAACAACCTCGCAATTCGCCTGATTCCGTATCTGTGCCTTACTGCCAGAAGGCGCCGAGGAACAAAGAGCTAACTGGACTCTTCCAGTGTCAGTTCAAAGGTGTAAATCCAACCAAGTTTGTCGGGAACGTTCAGGTTGGGTCTCCTGGTACCATTCCCTTCGGTCATTCCAAACCACTCAGCCCACCAGGAAGCTGGTTTGTCTAGTCTTGACTTGTGAACGAGGGATAGGCTTGACATGCTCATCTCTTAGCCCTGCCCACCCTCAAGGTCCGATCGCTGATGGGTCGCAGCTTGTGGACCTCACTGCTGATCCAGGTTTGAAAAATATTCCTGCACTTGGTGGTAAGGCTACACGCAGAGCTGTCTCGTTCAAAAAACGTGAGCCTTGCTTTCGCTATCTTCTGCATCATTCGCTTGCTGATAGATGGTGCAGAGAACGGTATTGATGCCCAGAATCAAGCCGCCAAATTTGCGTCTCTCACTCCCGGCTCCCCGTGCACTGAAGGCGAGAACGCATGCGTGGATGGAAAATTTGCTCAATGTGTGAACAAGAAGTTTGTTCTTACTCAGTGTGGATCTGGGCTCCAGTGTGTGGTCCTTCCACTCGTCAACAAACCTGGCACTTCGGTCACTTGTTCTACCACCGCAGATAGAGACGCCAGGATTAAGACTGCACTCGCATCATGATCTTGATGTTCTCTGAAATGTAATTTATTCCTCTATGCAGTGTTCATATCCAGTATAACTTAATTAGTCCGACCACTAATGTGGAATACTGATCGAGCCATACATCACCATCCACTTGCTGGCGTTCCTTGCTTATATAGTACAGCCACTTCAAGTTCAAGCGCGACGAGCGACGGGCTGCATCCCAGTTGCTGGTCAGCGATAGTAGGCGTCAAGGCAGGGGCTCTTGAACAGGAGTTACGATCTATTCAGAGATCGACAGTTAGACATTGCAGTGAGTCTATGGGTGCGCTCGTACGTTCTCCCCCAGGAAAATACTTGGGAAGCCCTTTTATTCCTGCCCGGGCCCTCCGCTTCTCTTCTGTGCGCTGGCACTGTGTCTCTTTGCCAGCTTGTCATCCGGTTTCCCCCATTTTCTACTTAGCTTCTCTGTCTTGGTTTGGCGTCTCGTTCTTGACCTATCAACATGTATATCGTTCATCTGGATGTGATTTATGTTTACACGGTGTCGGGGTACTCCGATATGTTCCTTGCTCTGTGAGAGGGCAGTGGCGTACAGCTCATGGGCACCCAGTTAATCCGGACTGATCGACTATCACAGTGATCAGTTTCAAGTCCTGATCTTAAGCGAGATGCACGGCCTGTTGCTGCTAGGCACACTCTTCTGCCGAGATAGCAGCTATTTCTACTAAACTGTTGGAAGTGCCAACAGTAACACAGCATGTTGCCCAGAGGTCAAGCTGTCATGCTAAAAGATCATCATCACAAGAAGACCCTGTATCAATGAATGTGCTTGCTCTCCCGTCGATGGATGTTGAGCTCCGATGATCCCTACGCTCCTTCAAGACAGGAGCCCTTTCCTCTTTCTTTGTCCGGGAGACCTCGCTGTGCGATGGGGGTTTGGGTTTGGGTTGGGTTGGGACTCGTTCTTCTGTTGAGCCTGGACCCCTCATTTTATGTCATTCGTCCTTCTGGAGCACGTTCTCCGTCTCGCTCATCTCAGCACCATGCGTTCTTCCAAATTAAACATATTGGTGACATTTCGCAGATTGCTGAGCTGTCAGTTAGTCTCTCATCATCAGGCTCACACAAGTCTTCGCTCATCAACCTCCCGACTTACCCGATTCCATGTCTATTCCTTACTGCCAGAAAGCGCCCAGGAACAGAGGGTTGAATGGGCTTTTCTCGTGCTAGTTCCAAGGTGTAAATTCTCCGGGTTGGCTCTCCTGGCACTGTCCTGTTCAGTGGTTCAAATCCACTCAGCAAGTTGGCCTGTTTGATGTTTGATCAGATTCCCGTGCTGCTGCAGAGTCTCGTTTGAGAATCGTGGGGTTTTCTTTCGCTTTTCTCTGCAGGCCCCATTTGCCGATGGCCAACCTAGAGAACGACACCGATGCATCAGACTACGACTTCCCCTTCAACGACTTTCTGCTCCATGTGTTTACCTCATTCATCGTGAGAATTGTTTTTAGCTGAAGGGGAGGGTGGATGATTAATTAATTCGCTTAATATGTGCATGTGCACTGCGGCCCTAATGTGTGGTCTGGGATTCCGACCACTTTGTTCTACTGTCGCCGCATGTAGAAAAGGACTAACCTTGCACCACGGTCTTTAACTATCGATACTGCACGGACCCAGGCATTTCACGACTCAATCCAATATCCATCTCTGTTCATATTCCGCGTCGCAACATGCACATCAACCGTTTGAACAGCAATTTCGCCTCGTGAGCCCATAAATGGACTCGAGTTAGTCAGACGCTGATGTCTTAGGAGTATTTGGCAGTGAAAATACCTGCCTTTGTCACGTCGATACCCATTCTTTAGTGCAGTTCAAATGTGCTCACAGGGGTCCGACTGTCAGTGCAATTGCACTGGGGACTATCCATCGACGGTAGACATTGCGACGTGGTGCCTTTGTTACTGTAGAAGAACTCCCACGTCTTCGTTGGTGAATGCAAAATCTCGATGCTACGAGGATTTACCACTGTTTACAGCTGTTTGAACCTGCGTCTTCGGCTGAGTTTTCCAACAACTCGACTTGCCTCTTTTGGTAAAGGCAGGGACAAGATTTCCTTAATTGGAAGAATCGTTCTTCAACGCCTTTGAGTCGGACCTCACTACAGTGCTCTGCTCCGTTTCTTCATATTGAATTAGTATTCGAGCTAAATGCCTTTATCTTGCATACCTTAATGAGTGATGCTACTGATGACCACATGTTGCTCTCACGTCGTTGGGCGACCTCGTCATATGGACCTCTATTTAAGCCAGTGATGTTGCTGGGACTTGCGGTCCACGATCAGAGTCCCTCTCACCCTCCTCTAGGGATTTAAACGTTGCTCTCCTTCATATCTTAATAAATTTCGTCGAGCGTAATGATATTCCCCGCGAATCTGATATCCTGTGGGTTGCTTGTGCTATCCTGCTTTCAACTGGCTGCTATTGCTGGGCCCATCAATCATTTTGAGAGAAGTATTATGTAATTCTCACAAACTTTTAAACTCGTTAATCGCTGACGTTGTCTTGTAGCAACTCCGCTGGAACTCCTCGGTGAGTGGCGGCACATCCATTCGGAAATACTTCTGTAGCTGAAGATATATCCTTTTCAATAGTGCTATTAATTATGCTAAACGTATGTCTTACGTTAGTAGTCAACCGTTCACCTGAAGCTGATATTTCTTCCCCGTAGAAAATGCACTTCAAGCTCAAATGCTTAACGGAGCATTCCAGACCATTGATTCCCAGTATGTACCTTATTACCCTCACTCTCCTCGGACATTCCAATCACTAGGCTGTCCCCAGGACCGCATGCAACCGGCCTTCAACTGTTTGTGTCAATAACAATATCGCGCTCTGTTCCTCGCGAGATCTCTTTGACACGATAGTACCATGCACCCAAGGCACCAAGTGCTTTGCATTGCCCCTAAAGGATCCGTCCATCCTGGGGACTGAGATACTCTGTGTCACGCCGGACGAAGCAGCTCAGAGGTTCCAGGATGCACTCGCAGGCCAATGACGGGAATAGGTGGATGGCAGGACCTCCACCACAGCTGGGAACAAGATTTCATATTTGCATTTGGGACTTTTGTCTTTGCTGCTGTCTTTACGTGAACGTGTATAAATATGTATATTTTAATTTTTAATGTGCGTCCCTCGTCTTTCAGTGCGGCCGAATGTATTTCCCAGTGGCCACGGGCATCTCAACGATTTGGGCGCCATCCCTTGTGCCCGACCGATACATTGTCTGAATTCAAAAGCGGAAGTGGATATGCACATATCATCCCTACCACCATCCAGCAAAGTGGTTTCATTCGTCATACACCCCTAGCAGCGCAGGCGAGACCCGGCACCCAAACTGGCTAGTCGTAGACGGAGACAGAGCCCCTGGCCGATAGGTTGATAGAGTTGACAGTTCTGAGAACAGTCGAAGGGGTCTCGTGTAACAAAGCTTACCTCTCTCCGCTGGTGGAAGGTACTGAATCTTCCCTGGATGGGGTAGGCAAATTTGCTGGGGACGCAAGCTTGACGTAGATATCGCGTTGCGTACTCACGCGTGCCCTGACCGGCAAGCTCTGTGACCATTCGCGAGCCAGAATCGCAGGTGTGATATGGTCAGTAATGTGAGGTGCGTATATTATACCTTGAAGGACCGTAGGGATACAAGACAATGCGATAAAGAATAAAGATGCTCATGTCTTTAACCAGAAGAAGCCTTGACTATGACTTCCCTGCATTGGCAGTGGCAGCTTTAGCAGCGGCCAGCCTCTTCGATCGAATCGTAGGGGCGGGCCTTTCCTTTCCATCTTTGTCCTTGGTCCTCGAAGGGGCGGCGTTCGCCTTTGAGGGTCCATTTGGGAAGGCAGGGAGTTTTGATAAGTCGTCACCAGCAAAACCAGGTATTCGAATCTGATGGTGACGTTCTGCAGCACAAGGTAAGATTAGAACACCATGAAGGTAGTAGGAGGTGCCCACACCTAAATGTAACTGCAAATCTTTGACATCAAGAGAGTCGGACGAACGATGACGAGCTAACCGCGATGAGAAATTGGTAACAGAATCCAGGAATTCCGACGCAACATCCAAAAGGGCCTGATGTTGGGCAGACGATGCGATGCAACGAAATTTGAGTGATAGGCGCACTAGTGTGAGTAAAGAAAACATCACATACATCTTCTGCTTCTAAATCAAGGCGTGCGTACGGATCCACGCTTGCAACGAGGTCGCGAATTGCCTGGCGCATATGTTGCTCGGCTACTGCGTCTGTCTTCAAGCCCACGCCAATGATATTCGATGGAGTAGCAGTAGGGAGAGGGCCGGGGACACCTGGGTTTGCAGATGTTGATGTCGATCCAGAAGTGGGCGTGAATACCGTTGAAGTTGGTGTAAAAGCCGTGGTAGGGTAAGCCGCTGGGCGATTGCGATCAAGTTGGCGTAGAGCATGGGAATAGGTTGAGGCCGTCGGAAACGTCGCTCCAAAGCCATCGTTAATGCACTTACTAGCTGGGCGAGTGGGGGTGGGGACTGTTGGAGAATTAACAGTAGTACTTTTGGCAGCCATCGTTAGGATTTTGAATCACGTGATTTTGGCGAGGACGTTGGTCTGGAACCTGGTTGAGGATTTCTCCATTACTGTACCCACACGACCAATTACCGGCTTCTCCTTGTGACGTGTGACAAGCAACCGGAAGAGGTGGCAAGGTTGGTGTGACACCAGCCACAGTGGCGCTGGAAATGTCCAACTAGCAAATTATGCATTTTACATAGGGCTCCTAGCGGGATCGGATAACACTCGGATATCCGCAGATTTATCCGAAAATCCGCGGATGCGGATTTGGCTTTTGACAGGATAATATCCGCGGTTTCTAATCCGCGGATCTATTGTCGCTACTGTTCTAGATATCCCTCCTATGTTTCTATATTTTTTTCCAATTTTTTCAAGTCTTATTTGACCACCCAGGCCTGTTATTCCCAAATTAGGCATTTGACCTCCAAGTTTTCCACCATTCTCCCCATATTTCCATCAGTTCTCCACCAATATGGACAAATTTGGGATTGTTAGAAAGCTCTCGTCAAGGACAATTCTGACGAAATGCAACTTTGGAACATTTTATCTACAATCCGCGGATTTCTAACCGCCGGATACGGATTTTATTTCAGACCTCTAAAAATCCGCGGATTCTGATCCCGATCCGATCCGCTTAGGAGCCATAATTTTACACCAAAAAACTACTTCCTTGCAGACGGCTTTTGTTTTCATTGAATTTAATTCGATTTCACACAGCCACTTAGGCGCCAAAAAAAAAATGGTGTGACAAGGATCATTCAACCGGAACGTCAGTGTGATGCGTGACCGGTAATTGGTCGTGTGGGTACAGTATACCGCGTTGCAGTTCCACTCCAATATTTAGCGCCTCTGCCTCAGAATGAGTATCTCGATGCGCCCTCGATACCATCTGCAGTTCTATAGTCAAGCATATGAGATGGTGGAATCGAATGATCCATGCATGCTCGGCTACGGACGAGCCACTATTGCCAAGCGGATTCCATCTCGGAACCGTAAAAAACTCGGCATTACATATTAATAACGTAGAGTGCGAATCAGAGTGGAATCGTCATAACTCGGGGTTAAGGTCAGCATGATTTCTCCGAGGTTTAGCCGCAACTTACATTGCCTCCGAAATCTGTGACTGGGAAAGAATCTGAAAACCTTAAAAAGCGAGAAACAAGCTGAAACACAGCCGTAGGTTCGCCTGATCTTGTTCTCTTGCAAAGCCGAGAACTCAGCATGTCACCAGCTTTGTTGGACGATATCTTCCTCTTGATTAAACTCGTCCTATGGGCAAGCATAAGACTGCTACGTGGATTCATAACTGGGAAATTCATTCCCACCTCGATATTCCGATCCATATTTGTGAACGCATGGGACGTCAGCTTATTCTTGGTCAACCTCGTCTCGCCAGATCTTAAGCCCAATGAGGTGTACAAGCCAGGCATGCCAGGATACGGAGGTATTTGGCCACAGTACATCAAGCCCGATCCTCAGAAAGATTCTCGCAGCCCTTGCCCTGGGTTGAGTAAATGACTAACACCAATTGTCCTTGAATTTCAATGCATTACTCACTTGAATAACCGCAGATACTTTGGCTAATCACGGTATTTTGCCTCGGGATGGCAGGAACCTCACGGCCAACATGGTGGTTAAGGCTCTCTGTGACACCTGGAACGTCTCCAAGCCCATGGCGACAAACGGTCTAGACACTGTAACTTTAAGCCTGCTCAAACGCGACACTTTCGACTTGAGGTAAGCTGTACGGAATTAATAGAGCATAATTTGACGTAATCATCTATGGAACAGTGATCTCTTATGCCACAATATGGTCGAGCATGACGGAAGCTTGACTCGTGAGTCACCATCCCCTGGCAGCTGCAATATGAGCGCTTTCCGTTTCTGACATACGCCTTCCCATCAGGCGAAGATGCCTACTTTGAGCCTTACCAAGGTGTTCCTTCTGCATCCCTTATCAGCAAGCTCCTCGCCTTGGCCACGGGACCCGCGTCGCCAGAGAAACCAGAAGGTTACCTCACCCCTTCCGACATTTCACGCCACACATCCCTCCGTTGGTCTGAGTCCCAGCGCCGAAATCCACAATTCTACCTCAATGCAACGCACAAACTCTTCACGTGTCAAAATGGGGCACTGCTTCATGATATCTTTGGCGGTGACGTTAAAAGTTGCAGGGTCCTCTTGGAAGAAGAGCGAATTCCCAATGGCTTCGTTTCGTTGTAAGTCTTCGCTCGCTATTACTACCCGCATTCCTTAGGGTTGGCGAAGGAAGCTGATAAGTTATTTCCCGGATTCAGCACGAGGAGACGGATGGGAGCGACATGGACTGAAACCTACCTGCGCGTAGCTGAGATTGGTTTGGGTATATCTCAAATCCCATGATCCTAGACCTTTTTTCCATTTCCATCTTGAAGTCTCGATTTTCGTTTCATTGCAGTCTCAAATGAAGCTTGTTCATTCTATCTCACACAAATTGCAAAATAGTCATTTGTGCGTCGAGATTACTCTCCGTTGATTCCGCTGACCGAATATTAGTGGCGCTTGTGACATGAATGAGGATGACTGCTGATATGGTATATATATATGCATGTTGTAGATCGAATGATGCAAATCCCCGCGAACATTAATGCGCCAAAATCGAGCACAAAAAAAAAAGCCATGTGCTGTTTCGAGTTGATGGGGCTAAGGGTACATTCGCCTTTCAACCTTGATCGATTCCCCCCGACATCGACGCACTATACAACATAATATAGTTATTACTCACATCGAGTTGCTATCGAGTCCTCACTTACGCAAAATCATGTAAAGACCTTAATGACAATGCTCTCTTTCGATCGGTTGGTGTTAGTGCTGGTGATTCGTATGAGATTATGATCCAAGGGATTTTTTTGCCGAGCCCAAGCAAACGGGTGAGTTTCCCAACATACATATGTAACAAGAGAATAATTCCGGTGTGGTCCTCATACTTGGCTCCCCTGCATGATAGTTCGCCGGTGTCACTAACCCGTGATGGCGAGCGCTATGGGTGCGATGTGAGATATGTACATGATTATGAAGGACGACCCAGTCCTAAAGATAACAAGTCCTTAATTTGAGAACGCTCTGTTTTATCTATCGACATTGACGCTCTTAGTTTGGGAAGAAAAAGAGAGAGGTGGCAGAAAGGGAAACTAAAACGAAAACGAAAAAACTGCGGCACTCAGGATTCCCATGTAGTCCCCTACCATGGTACCAACTAAGCGGTACTCGGCTTAACTTCGCAGATCAGACGCGATGCGGTGCTTTCCGAGTCCTATGGCCACAGATGGCATGATCCGTATCCCCACGTCTGATGAATATTTATGCTGTTGATGGACAAAGGCGATTGAAAAGCATGTATATATATACATATAGGTCAACGGTTCTCTCTCTCCCCAGCTGCTCGTTCCAATTTTAACCCTCCTTCGTCTCAGCTGTCCCGAGGACCGCACCCACGCTCCATTGACGACGGACTGCCACAAGTGGCTTAGATATTCATCAGAGGTGGGAATATAGATCATGCTATCTGTGGCCATAGGACTCGGAAAGCACCGCATCCCGTCTGATCTGCGAAGTTAAGCCGAGTACCGCTCAGTTAGTACCATGGTAGATTCCCTCATGGGAATCCTGAGTGCCGCAGTTTTTTCGTTTTCATTTTAGTTTCCCTTTCTGCCGCCTCTCTCTTTTTCTTCCCAAATTAACGACTTGTACGAGCCAATCCGATTGGTCACCCACGCTATCTAATCACTGGTTACCCACTCGGCTGACACAATGCAGCCTCCCATGAATATTGTGAACTTGCACATCATTGGAGTCGTCTCCGCGATCGGAGATCGATTCTTCTAGTAACTGGATCCTTCCGTCCTGCTGTATGTTCCATTACCTCGCGCAAGTATTCTTCCGAACGGTATCATAGTCTTGTGAAGTCCGAGCACTGAAAGAGGCCTTCCCCCACTGTTTCACATTATCTTCACTCGCCTCACTCAGGCCTGGTGGCATCTATGTACTACACAACAAAGCATCACCGTATGTTCGCCCTGCATTGTACATGCAAAGCCAGTTCTTGAAATGCAATCCGTTCTTCAGTGCATGCATGCAGTGCAGGTTTTTTTTTTTTGCAAAGCAAGGCAAGCAATCTAGTATGACGAGATTTATTGGAGCGTGAAGGTGTAAAATGGTCACAGTGGGCAGTTTATCAATCTATTTTGAATGAGCTTGTTCTCGGTGGGGATCAAGCTTCCATTGTGGAGTTGGTGTTCGTGACCGTTTATGTTGATGATCGATGTGCCCAGTTCAATTTCATTATAATTATTAGGGAACTACATTCCACCGCTGGAATTCCATACATCAGAACAACGTCCAGAGGCTAAAGTCCGGGGTCGAAATGGAAGTGAAGGACGGATGAAAACCCGGGGGGGCTGCCACTTGGACTGACAGTGGTCTCAAACGGTGCAAGACGTAGTATTTTCAGACGTAAACATTGATTCCGTGATAAGTAATAGGCAAAGTGGATGTTGAGGAGGGCACTGACGCGTGGCCGTCCAATAGGTAGATGAGGCCGATGTGTAGGCAGCATGCAAGATTTGCGTCCGACGTGCGATGTCAAGCCGTCAAAGTCCACCTAAGGCGAGGCGACCAATCGGAGCGTAGCTCGCGCTTTTAGGATATGTAGAAGTTCAAATTTATCCGCGAACTCCCGCCTATTCAGTGCTACTTCAGGCAGGCGCAAGCGTTTCAATGGCTTTCCCCCGCACGGTCGTCTCCCTTCCGTCTGATGATCTGTTCAATGGGCAGCCTTCCCTCCAGCAAGCTTACGAGCGCCTCCGAACCTACGAGACCACGCATTCCACAAAGCCGCTTCCTGCTCGCTGGCTTGGCCATCTTTTGCGAGAAGTGCCCGTGAAAGATGCGCTTGCTAGAGAGATAACATCCTGTAAAGACGACACCGCTATCCAAGACTTATCGGATATATATAGAGATCTTCTCCTAAGGTTATGTGAGCTGAATCCTCAGCTGCACTGGCACAGCTCTTGACCCATGTGTTAGTTAAACCCCAGGAAGGGCCAACGCCTGATCCATCGGACCCCTCAAGTCGCCCCTCCGATGTAATAGTGACGAACGCAATTCTGCATGATCGCGTCCCTCAAGACCATGGCGCGGCAAAGTGTCTGGTAACGCAATTATTTCGGTCTTGTTGCAAATGTTGACACGATATACTACAGGCACTTAAGCGTGATGGCGGGCGCTCGATCAGTGGGCAGTACGACATTAGCATCGAAGATATACCAAAGGGATCCACGTGCACGTGGACCAATGCCGCGCACATCATCCCATTTGTCGTCAATTCTAATCGGGATCAAGAAAAGAATACAGGAAAGGGAAAGGAAACCGACCCCAACGTGCGCCTGCTTCCCACCAACATAAGTACATTGATAAATGCTATCATAACCATCTAGCTCAATTGGTCTGCTGGAGTACTGGCAGTATTAAGTCGCATTGGAGGCATTGTCCCCGAGGAGATTCGTGGAGAGAAAATCAACCGTCTATCAAACATCATCACGATGAACGCTGAACACCACATTGCATTCGATCGCCTGGCCTGGTGGCTGGAGCCAGCAAATAGTGGTGTAAGTATTTGCTGCCTGAGACCGTTCCATCTTACTCAATGTCTTGCACCCGCTCAGGAACCCAACCATTATGTTGTCCGCCGTATCCGCCCCAATCTTAGTCTCCTTCCGGTCGAGATTCGCTTTACTTCCACTGACCCTTGGCTGGAGCTTCCCGATCCTAAATTCATCGCTATCCATGCGGCTTGTTGCCGTGCAGCCCATCTTTCCGCGGCGGTGGAGGCTATTGACAAAATCTACGATGCATTTAATGAGACTCGTGTTCTGGCAGATAACGGCTCTTCTGCAGAGCTGCTAGAGTTTTCATTGTCAAAGCTTGTTGTATCCGCGAGCTGAATGTGCTCCTGCTAATCGCCAGAAATTGAACTGTGCATCCATCGAGCGTTGCGGGAGGTAAGGGAACTGCTCTAGAAAAGTCGTGACGGGCGCACGAACCTATAGATACAGCATACTCGAACTGTAAGATGAACTCGAATATTTCTTATTCAGTGCTCGCATAACCCGCGATCGCAGAAAAATGGCAACATCCATTGCATTGTCGTCATCTGTAGCTACCAAGTAGACCTGACTATACCCCAAGGCCATATCTTTTCATATCGCGTATAATAGGCCGCATTATAATATAACACATGAGTGGGGTGGCTAAAGAGTGGACACGCTGCCAACACGAAAATTAAATTTCATGGACGGCGGACGAGGATGGGCTAGAGCGCTCAAGTCGCAAGCATGAGTAAAGGTGAACGACATCTATACGTGATAGAACACAGCAGCACAAGTCACGTTAGAGCACACAGTGCGAGGTTGCTACAAAGATGACAGCCCCAACGGCAGCCAGTGTACTCCAATACTTGGACCTGCTTCCCCCCAAGAGGGCAACCGCAGCACCAGTAGTATCGCTGGGCGATACAGTAGACGTTCCAATCGTGGGTGTGGGCACCGAATTTCTACCGAGTTCACGGGCTGCTGAGGAGAGCTGCGCAAAGCCTACCGATGGAGGGTCGTACTTGAACACAGACATGACGTTCTTCTACGGAGTTGAACGCAACACCCATGAAATCAGCATTTCAGCCTCGCATCATAAACGAAGGAAGTAAAGTAGAGAGTAAACATACAAGGAATGTATCGCCGATGATCCAAGGGGGTGACGATCCAGTTGGATCGATCTCAAAAAAGGCACCGAGGCAGTCCGAGTTCGAAATTTGCTGCAGTTGGAAATCGGCGGGAGACATCGACCAATCCTTCCCACCTCCAAACGCAAACGTCACATTGACGGGCGTACTGCATGCTGCAGGAAACGTCAATTCCATAAAATCGTGAAAGGGGGGGGGGATGCTGAAGAGCGGGAACGCACGATAAATCCAATATCCTTGGTAAGAGTCCGATCCTCGGGTGGAACCCGGAATTTGGCTGAATATGTTTGCAATGTCGCTTGGCGGACCCCCGACGAGCGTTGTACCAGTGTCGATAGCCGCCGATACAGTTTTGTTCAAGACTGAATTTCCTTGCACCTTTATCGCTATGCACGAAGCATGATTATCATCAGCGAACAAGGAAGATGACTAGGACTATAGTCGAAGGCAGTCGAGGATGAATGAGAGATGACTCACAAGTGAGATCAATTAGCCAATACGTCGGATCCCCATTGATATTCGTGTACTCAATATCACCCGTGTACAGCGATGAATTCAAATAGCCCATAGTGAAAACACCCCCTGGTTCAAGCTTCTGCGCTGTGGGGTCATCCAGAAACCTAAAACACAACACACCCTATGTCATTCACGAAACAATAATCAGAATGGGAAAAAAAGTGAATTCACATACCTTGTAAGGACGAATGACATAAGGGGACTCGTCCAGCTTCCACCAGCCACTAGCGCCTGCCAAAATGGTGTACTTCCCGATGCAGCAAGTGACCTCCACGCAAGACCCATCAGTCCTGATATCGGACTAGATAGCAAGTCTTTCGAGATTTGGTTGCATAAAGCTGCAACAAATATCACAAGATATATTGTGAGATTCAACCCCCAAAAATGGCTGTCCAGGCACTCAGAAGATAACAAAACACCCACCAAAAACCTGCTTAGGGTTCGAGAAACCGGCCATTTGAACGCTGTCCTGAACAAGATGTCCCCTCGCAGCGCCCGATCCGTATGTAACGGAAAATGGGGTTGTAATGTTCTTCAATGTAGAAGAGTTCGAGGATGAAAATGTTGAGAGACCGTCGCAACCTATCTGACACTTCGAATCGGCTAGCCAAAGGTCACTGCTTCCACTAAGAAACCAACATGATGGGGTGTACAAGACATGTACGGGATTGCTCACGTATCAAGAATGACATTGTATGAGGCCGGTGGAGTACCAATCGCCACCGAACCAAAGTATGATGTATCTCGGTCCTATTCACACCAGAGGTGGTTACATTAGGATGGCTAGACATGGGACCAAAAGATCGGCGAAACGCACGATGTTGACAAGGAGATTCAAGCCTTCAGCACGCTTGGAAGTTGAACCATCCGAATGAGCCAAGCCATACTTGGATCTCAGTCGAGCGCCTTGTTCAGCAGCCCATGCCCCTACTTCGGGCTCCGCATTGAAACGTCTTGGTGCACGATGAGCAAGAGGTATAGTGAGTTCCCGTTGGACAGGACCATGTGTAGGATGACAAGTAATAGACGGGATAGATTCGAGCAAGAGCAAGCATGAGAGTAGTGACGATGACAAGGAGAGCGACGATAGGTAAAGCATAATCCACAAAGAGCAGACTGGCTGCGTTTCCCTCTTGGGCAGAGTCCAGTAGATCAAGTGCGGTATGCAATGCTAAGGGGTGGACCAGCGAAAGAGAGGGAGAGTGAATGATTTTTCCCAGACGTCATGGCTACATATAAAGGGAACGGCAGGTGTTTAAGTCTGAAATATTTCAGGGCAGGAGAACAACTGTGATAGGCAAAGGAGAAACAGGCCAAGACGCGACCGATGAATGCGTCGGTAATTCCCGGTGCAATCAGCGACAAAACAACGCTTGTGTTCAGCCGTTTCGGCTGCTTTTATAGCGCAATCATTCCAAACCCGACTTTAGAGTGGTTTTGGACACAGGGAGTGGAGGGATGTCCCTCTGATGATATTCGAATCTGTGTTCATTGGGTGTGAGAGACGCCCAAGCTTTTGCTCCAAGACAAACCAAGTGACGGCCTGAATGATCATTCGTCTCGGGGTCTTGGATTCATATGTTGTTAACTCCGTGCCATCCGGCTGTCAGCGACCAGCACGGCGGTGAAATCAGTTTCTCAGTTACCTTCTTCCTGGACCGGGGGCCATCGGACACTTATGTTACATGCAAAACGGCATGTCTCCTTTGCCACACAACGCACGAGAAGCCAGATGAGCTGTCGATGCATGGAAAGGGCGCCCCAAGACATCATCGTCTCGCCAATTAACGGAGCCCTATCGTTGCGTCTCAACTCTGACCCCGGAGAAACTAGCCGTTTTAACTCAGACGTGTGAATTTTCACTCATGCTCCAGCACTTTCCTTTCTTCTTGCCCTGGGCCGCTGCATCCTGTTTTGGATCGTTCCGTTAAGTGGCATCCTGCGTTGGTCTATCATCATAGCGTGGTTCCGCCGTGTCGGGGTTTGGCCCGGTCAGGCAGGCAGGTGATACCACTACCTCCTGTGATGTTATTAACCTGGTGGCAGGTGCACTCGGCAGGTCGAATTAACCTCCCATGATTTCGTCAACAACAATGCCCGGTCTATTCGGTCTAGTAGATCTGCCAATAGACAGTGGTCAATTATCAAGAGGCACGCGCGCAGTGGCCGCCCGACAAACTACCTATCGTCATCATCGTGATGGTTACTTGGAAAGCTTGACAATCAGGTTCCCGGTCCCCAATGAGGTTGGCTATCGCGGCTACCTTGTTGACAATAACTCGGAGGGTATCAGAGCATTAACAGCAGGTTCAGCAGGTTGTATATGGATAGTCTCGTACTTGTCACACATTCGCATGTGGTAGGGTCAGGTGGCAGTTATCGGTGCATCAAGCGGTGTCTTCATGCGTCTCGTTGTAGAACTTGATCCTTACCGCGTGCGCTGGTGGAACGCTTGACTGAGTATTCCGTTATTGTCGCTCGAAAAAAAGTTCCTAATTGAGTCCAGGCGGGCCTTGATTTGACGCACGTGTAGAAAATTTAGAAATTAAGAGTAAATGTTGAGGTGCTAGCGTGGACGGCTGAGGAAAAGGGCCTTCCCATCGCTCACATAGGGAGAAGAAGTTGCACATTTCAACAAATCCCACAAGCAGACCCGACGCCGCCAACGAATTTCGACCAACCATGCAGCCATCAGGTCTCAGGACATTGCGAAAAGAGCCAGGAAATGCAGCAGAGAGAAGTAAGGACGTTATCGTGGGCCCGCCTTAGTGATATAACGTGGCAGTACAGCTATCCCTACTAGTTACGTCGTAACGCGCATGAGGGGAGCATCAATGCAGGATGAGCTTGTCTTCATGCAGAAGTGGCTCAAAGAAGATGTAGCGTGTCGACAGCCCCGACTTGTGCCGAGACTTCTGAATTGAGGACACGACCCGGTAACATGCTAGTAGAGAGGAGTGGTGGGAAGGTGGTGAAAAAGAAGAAAAGGGGAAGTGGAAAGATTCAAGTAGAAGTGAGGTGCCCGATTGTTGGCAATGAAACCAACCCACAATCGGAGAACACACTCATGAAACACCTGAATAAAGAAACCAACACAGCATCGAAGCCAAAATCCAGAAAGGCAGTATATAGATAAAGGACCTTCACAAGTGGATCAACCGATGAAAAACAATCCAGGACCCCTGAGAACTCAAGGGAACTAGACCGGCATGGCTGTTCGAGCGCAGAAATGACAGCATCATAGAGCTGACAGCGGGTACCGTGCAGTAGAAAGGAGAGAGCGGACAAACTGAAGCGCATAGATCATCCGATGTAACCAATCCAGAACCCTCAATAACCCTCGGGAACCAGATCGACATGGCGGACTGAACGCAGGCCCAAACGCTGAAAAGACAGCTTGCGATAAGGCCGTAAGCGGGTACGGCACAAGGGGATACAACACCAGCACATCCAATGGACGCAAGTGACCAGTTAGTGGACTTGGCACACCAAACTGGCAAGGGTAGATGAGTGGAAGATCCCAGAAGAAAAACCGTGTGAATCCCAATCATTTGGTAAATGTGAAAGAAACAAACTGAATAAGTCGATCGCGCATGCAAGGGACAAGGAAACAGCATAATTCAGACATATATGAGCCAAAGCATTCAGCTGACGCAACGTTAAGAGTGAGGTCGATGCAATGTGATTTGACCCAGAGGACAATGCCCCCAGCCAATCCATTCCACGCCTGGAGGCCAACGCATACAGCGGTCACAATGCAAGAAAAGATGGCCCAAAGGCCAAAGCAATCAGGACTATGTAAGAAATGACGGTCCAGAGCGCAATGTGCCTAGCCAATCCGCTCAAACGACCGGAGGCTGTCATGTGCGGTGGACAAAATGTAAGAAATGAATGACCCAGAGGCTGATGCATTCGGCGGATTCGACTTCTTCTTCCGGAGATCCCTCGACCCGGATTGTATGAACTTTGCTGAAGTCGATGTATTTGTTGAGAAAAACCAGTTTCAAGCAAAATTCCTGGATCTTATTCTTTCACGTCGTCAAGGGAAGGTTACAGTAATTTCAGTGATGTTCTCCCATTTTGGTGCCGGCAAGGATAATATCGGCATTGTCAGAGTTTTCGAAAAAGTCCCACTTGAGCTCCCTCCTTGTTCATCTCCACCCGGCAAATTTAAGTTCAAAATGCTGACGAATGAAGGTCTGGAGGTCGGTGTGTACATTGGACCCGAAGTAAGGGCGGAGGCCAGTGTGCACAGTAGATTCAATGGAGGAACCTGAGCCCAGTCAGCGAACGCAATGTGTGAGCCTGGAGCCTGGAGGCATAGCAGTCACGATGTAAGTGCCTAGGGGGTCGTGCGTGCAACAGATGCGATGTGAAAAACCACGAGCCGGTGTGCAGACAGTTGAAGAACAACAACCCCAGTGCATGCCTGTCAAGAAACGAGGGACTCAGTTCGCCGAAATCCATATTGAACCTGATGAGTCGAAGGATGGGAGTAACCAAGGTTCTAGGATTTGTGGACCTCGGCCAGAGAGTCATCGTGCAGAAGTAGGTGCAGATCTATTAGTTTATCTGAAGCAAAAACAGATGATGTACTCAGCGATAAATAAGCGTTTCGCCTGTTACACTTGAGCCACCCTGTCTGGGAAAGCTGGTTTGGACAAAACTCAGTTCGCTGAGGACCAGTATTGAGCGATTGCGTGCAGCAGACACAGGGCATGGTGGCCAATGAAGGCGCAAAGTCCAAGGCCTAGCTGTCGTGTGCAGCAGACACAAGGCATAGAGGCCAGATGAAGGCATAGAGCCGAAGGTCAAGCCGTTGTATGCAGCGGACACAAGGCATAGAGGCCAATGAAGGCTCGAAGTCGAAGGTTAAGCCGTTGCGTGCAGCGGACACAAGGCATAGAGGCCAGTGTAGGCACGAAGCCAAAGAATATGCCGTTGCGTGCAGCGGACACAAGGCATGGACATCGATGAAGGCACGGAGCCGAAGGCCAAGCCGTTGCGTGCATAAGACGCAAGGCATGCAGGCCGATGCGCAACAGAAAGCGCGAAGGCACGGAGGCCGAAGCGTCCAGCAGGACGCGAGTGAAAGGCCAAGGCCGTTGCGTGCAGCGGACACAAGGCACCGAGGCCGATGAAAAACAGTGGGCAAGAAGGCACGAAGCCTAAGCATCCAGTTGGACACGAGCAAATGAAACAGCAAACTAAGAGTAAGAAAGGACAAAGAAAGAGAGAACACGGCTCGTTTGAATCATAAGAGCAACATAGCCAAAATGAAAAATAAGAGTAAACCACAAACTGGTATGCGTTAGGTCAAGGACAGTCTGCCCTACCGAGTTGAAAACTTCAACGGACAGGCCACAAATGAACAAAGATCATAAATGGGTTGACGCGCAGTACGGACGCAAAGAAAGGAGCAGGTGAAGGCAGTCATAAGAAAAAAGTGGGCACGGACGCCAAAGCGCCCAACAAGCGCACCACAAGAAAAGAAGGCACAAAGCCAATCCTCTCAGCGGGTACAAAGGATGAAATAAAAGGTACAGATGCAGAATCGAACCAGGAGCTCAGAAACCTCTCGTCCAATAATCAAAACCACACTGCCAATATATAGCACCCGACGACGAAAACCGCCTAGCCGAAATTAAAGTTGACAGGGGAGTGACAAGTGCAGCGTCTTTTAACCTGGTTGCTTTCGACCCACGTATCGACTCTTTCGTTAGTCCAAACCTTCTCCGTTCATACTTGTCCTTTGGTAAACCCGCTTGTTGAAACCTCGCTCATGACGGGAGATTGTCAGCTTGTTCATCCTTAATTACAAACAAATTGTGACTTAGCGATGGGTATCGAGTTTATGCCAAATTGTTCCTTGCGCGGTCCTGACCCTAAGACTATAAGCTCTTCCTGCTTTCTTCTGCAATCGGTCTCAACCATTCTTCGTTTAAACTTCATAATCATCCTGTTCGGTAACGATAGATCCCGAAGAGATATGAAACTTGACGCTTATCCCATTCGACAATGAAACCGCATAGTTGTGTTTTAGGACGGGAGAACTTAGGTTCGACGAGTAATAATGCAGAAGAAAGCGCACAACCAGAAGGAAATGTGAGAGCTTGGAGGAGACAAATCACGGGAATACCCCTAGAACTTGCAATGTCGCAAATAAACGGGTTCCCACCTGCCGAAGGCATCCGAAGGGCATAAAGCCAAGACCGAAAATTTGCAACACGGATCCGAAGAGGGACAAAAGACACAAGCACTGCCTAGACTAAGAAACATAAATGACACTAGCAAAAGTGTTAATGTCGTTCCTCCATTAAATCACAAAAATTTGCCGGTGTGTAGTTTCTAAAGTGTGAGAAAACCCACCGAACCAAGCAACAGTAAACAGATCGGGCTCTAGTCTGTTTCCCCGACTGTTCGTTGGTCTTGATAAATATAGTCATGCAGATCAATGACGCTGTGCCGGCCGCGGCGACGCATTCCAGTTGCTAAATTGTATCATTCTTGGTACTAGATTCCTCGCTTATTTCTGGCAGTCTAAATTACCTATATCTATCTGGTACTCATTCCACCAGAGTGTTCCCGAAGCGCCTAGTTCTCCAGGTCACCTCACCCAGAGTCGATCTTGTCATGAGTGCCGAGATTTAGTTTATCGACGTGTCTGCCATACACCGCCGTACACTTGACTCCTGCGTCTCATCTAAAATACAACAGCTACTGTCCAATCAATTAGTCATGCGGAACAACTTGAACCCACGGGCCATTTCCCACTTCCGGGATATCTCCATATAACTAGTATCTTCCTCAATTTTGCGTGTCTTGGGAATGGATCTCAAGAAATGGATTCATGCAGAACCCACGTCTTGTCAGGGTTGGTACAGAGAAGTAAGGCCAAAACGGTTTTGTGCTTATCTACGTCACCAGTCGAATGGGCGGATATCCTGACGATTGATATGGGGTTATATGACGATGAAGCCAGGTACGTTCCTGCAGGCCACTGTTAAGCGGACTCATGCTACATATTTGGGCCAGACGATCCGAGCTTGTGCACATTCTGTTGAAAGCTTTACGCGAACATGGTTTCTTCTACGTCATCAATCATGGTATCTCACCTGGTACGTACGCAGCGTGTATGGCTGAGACTGCCGCCCCTCTTGACCTATGAAGTCTTCCAGAAACAATCCAGTCTCAGTTCGACCTAGCGCAGGCGACGTTTGATAGCGTTCCTCAAGAAGAAAAGAGTAGGTCGAAGCGACCGTCAGGCCTTACACTTATCTAACAGTTCCCGTAGAAAAGTACGAGGCACAACCGGCAGAAACTGGCTCCTTTCGGGGATATAAAGTAAGGAGAGTCATGTTTAGATTGTACCAGCCACGAGGATTTACATGAAATTTCAAGACATTGGACGATCCGATGGTGAGATGGAACATTAACTGGCTACGTTGCGATCTAAGAAAGAATGATAAAGATCAAAGATGCCGGATTGAACCAGGCCGAGTGGTATAACTTGGATCTGCATGAGTAATGTCATGTTCGCACCTTTCACTCAGTATTCAGCATTGACTGCTTTAAAGCATATACCCGCCAGAGAGTCATCCAAGCATTCTTCGGCCTCACCTGAAGGAAGTCGAGGAGTTTCTAAAGGTTCGTAATTGGAACGCTTGCAGGGAGGCGTCTAACCCTCAAACTTTTTAGACAGTCCACCACACTGTGCTGAAGCGTGTTACGGCCCTAATTTCCCTTGCCCTAGAGCTTCCGGAGCAATTCCTCTGGACGCAGTTTGATCGAGAGGCAGAACCCGAACGTGATGTCGGCCGATCTCATTCGTCCTCCACAACTCTGCCCTCACGCTGATCTGATACAGTGTCTGAAGTACACGATGTATCACCCTATGACTTCCGCAGTTTCAAAATCCTGTGACGGGATATTCTTGCAAGGGCACACGGACACCAATCATATCACAACTTTATTCTCACAGCCTATTGCTGGGCTGCAAGTCTTAATGCCTGATAAACGATGGAAATGGGTCAAGGTATGTTTCAAATTCACCAACATAGTCAAGTCCTGAATTGCTCTAACTCCAGCATCGAGATAATGCGATTATTATGAACGTCGGTGATCAGCTGGCATTCCAATCAGGGGGCATATTCAGGGCTGCGATGCATCGAGGTTTGTATTGCGCCGTCCTGAACCACATTCGTAAAATTAAATGCACCTATTATCAAGTCGTTCAGCCCCCGGAAGACCAAGTTCATCAGCGCCGACTTGGCCTATTTCATTTTTCCAGGGCATTTCCAGGTATTTCGCTCCAGCCAATCAAGGAATCACCTCTTGTCCAGCGTGAAGGAAACCTCATTTTTCCTTCGGAACAGGAAGCCCCTACTACTGACGGATGGGAAGCCGCGCGACTGAGAAGCTATGGTCGGGTGGAGCTCATTCGCGGGGAGGAATACGATGTTTCTTTCGTCGACGGCATTGAGGTTAGGTGGTATAATTAGGAGAATCTACACCTCAGCGCTAAAATGTAATTCAGTTGTGGCTCGGTTTTAATTTTCCCACGCCTTCTCATCCATATCATCCCGGGGTTTAAAGGACAATGAGCCTGCTCATTACTATCTTCTTGTTAGTTCTCTTTACTGAGATTGTGGGGTGGATTGGGAAACCTCTGCTACTCGGTATAGTATGTCATGTAGCACATTCTGCGCTGCTGCTTGCAACACGTTGACTCCTGCCCATGCCGCCTGCCCCTAAATCCGTTCTCTAGATAGCTGCTATTTATGCTCGAACAATCAACGCCGGTGCAACAAGAAGGCTCCAGGACCTCAAAAAGTCGATATTGGAAGACCAAAAGCAACTAGCGCAGACGAGCTCCCAGGACGAATTTGCGAAATGGGCGAGATTAAAACGGAAAGTTGATAAGGGATTGTCGGATCTAGAAAAACTGAGTACGTTCCACCCGTTTATCGTTCTCTCGCCCTGTCGTATACAACGTTCCGTCCAATGCATAGACTCTGAACAAAATGTTAAACAAACCGCACTCTCGCTAAAATCCAACGTTGTCCTTTGGGTCTTGACCAGTGGTCTACAACTTGCTATCACCTGGTGGTATCGGAGAGAAGCTGTCTTTTACCTCCCAAGAGGATGGTTTACCCCTATTGAATGGTGGTTGGCACTGCCGTTCGCCCCAAAGGGTGTGTATGCCACAAACTTCTTTTATTTCGTATTCAAAATGTGCCTAGGCTCTGTCAGTTGCGGCGCATGGCAAATGGTTTGTCGGAGGTCAATAAAGCTATTTGGGAGAGTATTCGGAGACTTGGTGCAGCTGAGTTCGTAGTTTGTATATCTGGTTCAGTCGAGGACTGAACTCATTCTGCAGTTTGGCCGGAGCGTCCCACAAAAATTAAGACTGAATGAGCGCTTACGACGGTGTATATCCATGCGATATCCTACCTCCATCACATACTGCATTCATACTCCACAAACAGTTTAATTTTTTCCGGATTTCTTAGCTACATTTCATTCAACTTCTGAGGTTTTGGGCAGTGCGTAAAGACAATAAATTACGGGGTACAAAGGTTACATTATACTGAGTGTAGTTGTCACCTTCTGAAAGCAATGATGCGCCGGTGTGACTAAACACCAGAGGCAGAGACCCGTAGTCCCTCAAGCTTTTTCAGCACCTCGCCAACCGTCCTATCCAGTTCTCCTGCAATCGCCGCCTGACGCGCAGCGGGAAGCATTGCAAAGCGCTCGCAAAGATCGCCATCTACAACGGCCTTCACAGGAGCATAATACCCGCGGTAAGCCATCTGGTCTCGCCCGAGGAGACTTAGGCCACCGCCACCTTGGCCCCCGAGACCCTCAGTGCGCATGTGCTGTTCCAGCGTCGTCATGAATTCAATGTCTTCTTTCGAAACGAAAGGAACGAGGAGCCCAATGGATCCCATCAGGCCAGTATACAGAAGAACTTCCCGGCCTCCTGGCACAAGCGCTACTCGCTGGAGGCTGGTTGGGATGTCTCCGATATGGAAATGGGCAAGAAGGATCGTCTTGTGTGGTGCGCCCATCAATATGCTCTTCTCGTGCATGATGCCAGCCCCTGTCGGGTCGTCATCCACACTGGGTGTCACGGAAGCGGGGAGTCGATTGATGAAGACATTGCCAAATTTGTCGCCACCAGCGACGGTTTCGTAATCCATCATCGTTGCTGATGTTATCCATCGAGGCTGAGTATCATCGGCGAATATCAGCAGGCGGTTCTCTGGAGGCTTGTACACGCAGTAAAACAAGGAATCTTGGGCGTCACCGACTATGATGCGGTACCCTTGTGTATTCAATGTCATGATAGCGGATGCGAAGCTCTAGGAGACGTTGTTAGCCAAACGCGTCGAGCCTGGCATTCGATGGCCTGACCTTATTCTCGCATTTGCGCAATAGCTTCTTTTTACCAATGTCATATATCCGCAAAGCTTTCCCCACTCCAGCAAGCAACCGACCGCGGAAACCAACCAAAGCGGTGGGGACGTCATCCACCTCGGTCTCATGAAGAAATTCGAGTGTCCTACCCTCGTCAAGCAATCGGTAGGTGCGGAGTACTCCGGTCGAGCAAGATCGAGGGGCCAAGAAAGTGTCTCTGGCTGTTCCGATGACGAGATGCAGCTCATTTCTTTCGTTGAACGGTAAGACTGCTAATGAGAATGCTGCCTCATTTCCCCCGAATGTAATCGGCGGTAGCGATGCCCACTACCAGAGAGTTGAACATCGGACAACAAGAGAAAGGCAAAACGACGATGAACTTGCCTGGACAGGATCAATAATTCTGAGGCACGAAGCCCATCGACCTTTTTCAGCCTTTGGTCTGCCAAAGACTTCTGCTGGGAGGTTCAGTATTTCTTCATCAACTCTGACTCTTGCAGCAGCCTGTCGCATTACGTTCAGTGGCACGCTTAGTGGCGGAGCGCAAAAAGCAACTCACAAGCTCTTTTAGCTTGGCCTGCTCCGCTTCCGGGCTCAACGTTCGGTGGTCAGTCTCAATCATGTAGAATAACTTGCTGGTCGGATGTGAAATGAATCTCCTAGGGGTGTAAAGAAGCGGCATGGTACGTTCCTTCAACTTGTCCCCAAGCTTGGGGATTTGGAAAATTCTTTGAAGTGGTTGTCATCAAGAGACACCGTAGATGCACCATCACACCCACCTAAGCATATTCCCGGAAATTCCAATTAGTCCGTCAGGAGATAGTTCAGCAGAGAAGCTCCACGCGTAGTCCAAGTTTTCAAAGATGAGCGGGGTGAAGTGCAGAAGGTTTTGATAGGTATAGTTGAGCCACGAGCGGCTTGATAACGCAAGAATGCTGGGAGTACCATGTACAGGAATGCGTACAAGTTTGACTGGGCGAGTTCCAAGGAATCTGCGAGGAAAGTATTGTAAGCTTAGAGGATTCAATAAAATGCATTTCCATTTACCGTGTTCTGGTATCGGTCAGCGACCCCTGGATGGGGTCAAGCACCGTACGTAACAATACCCCGTTTACGAGACCAATGTTGACAAATGTAGTGGGCTGATTTTTATCAATGCTAGCATCCAGCATCTCAGCAATGCAGATGGAAGCTGGTTGAGCCGTGAGTGCCTAGGCGCAGATGAATCTAATTCAGCTCCCCCCAAGTACAATAGGACAACACGGACCTGCAGACTTATGGTGTCCAACGTACTCTCAGGATCGAGGGAAACGATCCGAACAGTCTGGTCCTCACACCCGACAGCCTACAGTGCACCCGCGCATTGTCAGTTTGTTTTCATTCGAGCAAAGGGACGTCCCACTAGATATGGTGTTCGCTGGCGGCCCTGTGGCACTTCAGCGATGCTCATAGTCAACACAGCACTGCCCATTGGCTTTCGATCTTGGTACTCATTCAGCTGTCCATCAAGATCTAGCTCGAAGTAGACAAGTTCCGCGCTACTCAAGGCCACGACTACCTGACGCTTATTGGTCGTGGCAGCAACAATTGTGCGGCCTTGCGGGGCCTTCCATTCATTCACCCTGCGATCAGCAAGCACATGGCGTATTCCATGAGGATAGACTTGAAGCAAGGCATCCACTCCTATTTGCTGTACTGCCAGAGTTGGAGCCGAGGAAAGCAAACCAGTATCGGAGACTTCCTCTATAGTTTCGCCAACAGACAGAACCAAGGTACCGTTTACGAAAGAGAGGATAATATACGAGTCATATTGATCATCTTCTTTCAATTTTGTAGTCCAGACTGCATTTGGGATACCCGGCAAGTCCGAACTTACGCTTTCCTCTGCCTCCAGACCGTGGCGAAGCATACGGAAAGTGCTTCTAGGACCGCGGCCGCATGCAGTGAATACCTGAGGCGTTTCGCCAGCAGCTTCGAGCAGATTGGCAACACGGCCATCAATGATGGGATCCAAAGACTCAAGCTCGTCAACAAGTGCCAGGTTCTCCAGTGCGCGGGGTTTGAATGTTGCCAAAGGAAGGGGAAGCGAAGGATCCTCCATGCCAAACTTAGGATAATCAGTTGAAGTGAATTCCGTTTCCTCGTCGTCATCACCCAGCTTCTGGAACTGATACAGATGGCTATTGATATAGGGTTTTGTAAGGACGAAACAGCACGAATTACGCATGCTTACTGATTCCCAAACTCCGAGGCAACGAACAGGAAACCGGACTTCAAGATGCAGAGGCTCGAAGAAATGGGAACGGTATCAAAGTACTTTATCTTGAGAGCTTTGACCTCCTCATCCTCATGGTCAATTGTTACTTTGTACAGATCGCCCTCTTCGGAATGCAACAAAAAGAAGAAAGCTCCCTGAGGAAGACGCGTAACTTCAACGTTGATAGGTAGAGGCAGCGATCATGTTTACCTTCATTTTGTGCATGACGGCAGAAACGATAATCAAGCCCCGTTCTGGGTCTCGTAAAGGATGCAGGCGGCGTGGTATCGGGACGCGGTGTTGCTCGTGATCCATGTGGCGATATATAATATGGTCTTCACAGCAAATGAGGACACCTGAGGGACCATCAAATTTGTTCGTACTGGCAGATTGACCACCAGGTACCTGCACAAGCAGATTTGCCCTGGGGTCCGTTGGCTCACTCCACTTGCGAACGACATGGTTTAGACCCAAATCAAGTTCGTAGAAAGTGAGCATCTAAAACCCTCGTCAACAATAAATGCGTCTACAGAATATCCCACGCGCCTTGTCAGTGTTATTAAACGCCTCCCCGGTCGGGTCACGATCGGATTCTGAGTAATCTACTTCCAGTGCAGCATACATTGGATTCTCAAATCCAACATCAACGGCAACAAGGTGATGAATTATAGCATGATTTTTATGTGCTTCAAGGGGCGACGAAATCGTAAGATTAGCCGCAGCATCTCGATTGAGAATGTATACGAGCTTGGCTTTCTCAACCGCTCCAATCATTACGGCCCGTCCTTTCGGATCGACAGCGAGGTATTGTCCGGGCACAATACGACGCGCCCCGGACTTCCCAAATGTTTCTTGCTGAAGCTTGTTGAAGGCGTTATTTTTGGCGTCATACTCTAGGATAACGATGCGACCAGCGTCGGAACCTATTACGATGTAATCTGAAATACACATTGTCAATACCATGCCTTCCGTACAGTAGACAAAGTCAGACCCTTTGTGCCTCCTGTAAGTCGGAAGGCAGATAGTGAGCGGATGCTGGCAAATGCATCCTGGGCAAGAACAGTTGTCACCTTGCCGTTGGCGTCAGGTCGAAGAAGCTCCAGTCGTGACCCTCGAGCAACAATAATTTCTTGTTGCCGAGTACCTGAGAAGTTTCCGACGGCAGTCTGGTTGATGACCGTCGGCGGCTGTAACGTTAAGTGATATAAATGCATTTTTACTTCTCTTCGAGTTGGCTCACGAATGTTTGCAGAGCTGTCGATTCAGCGGCAGACGCCGAACTTCCCAGGCTTCAAGTTCTTACACCGAATGAAGGCCTGTCGGATTGTCTCAAATATATACATGGTTTTTCCAGATCAATCAGCTCGCTTTTCCGCTGCTGCTTGCAGTTCTTCAAAATCGCCGGTCTTCTTACACATTGAGTAGAATATCCCATTCTCATTTTTCAGCAGGTTTTTGGGGCTGTCAAATTCGGCAACTGGAGAAGGCGTGATTATCCATTACCCATTTTTCGCCGCAACATAAGTGAATCTTACTTTGACCTGCATCCATGACCATAATGCGATCATAATCTGAGTGTACCAATCAGTACCGTACGACCGAATGTCTAGCTACACGGTGACTTCACCTATAACTGTGCGCAAACGATGAGCGATAGTGATCAGTATGCTGTCTTTGAACTCTTCGCGGATTGCCTCTTGGATTCTAAACCTGGAGTCAGCCATGTACAGGTCAGGAATCATAAATGCCACCCACTTGACATCCGTGGCAAAGTCTACGGAGGCAGTACTCTCGTCCATTACAACAAATGTGCTGCGTCGAAGTAAACTGGTAACATCCACAGCTATCAGTGACTACCGATCCCTGTATTCTTTTCACTTACGCTCGTGCCATGGCAATGAGCTGACGTTGTCCACTGCTAAAGTTATTACCGCCTTCGCTGACTTTTGTATCCAAGGTGATGATAGTTTTTGTGCCCTTGTCAACAAATGTGCCAACACCAGATTCCCCTATTGCCGATCCACTGTCGGCGCTAGGAGTCCCTGGACGAGTATTGGCAGCCGAGGAAACAGCTGTCGAGCCGGCCGAGGCCGAAGTTCGAAGTTGAACCCTCCGCAGAGCATCCAAGCAATCTTCGTCTGAGTGTTCGTTGAAAGGATCCTGGTGTCTGGGGTTTAAGTCAATGCATCCAACCCCCCGAAAGGCTTCCACACACAAGATTCTCTCGAATCGTTCCAGCAAATAGAACGGCATCTAGAACAACACCAGTGTAATGCCAGAGAAGTGCAGTGCTGATTGTTAAGACAGACCTTGAGGAATGATTGTCATACGGGAACGCAGGTCCTCCAGCCCAATGCTGGTAATGTCAACCCCGTCGATAACGATCTTTCCTTGTTCAGGATCGACGAAACGGAAGAATGCAAGGGCAAGTGTACTCTTCCCACTACCTGTTCTACCAACAACACCGATCTTCTCCGTGGGCCTGATCTCAAATGAAATGTTCTTGAGCACAGGGTCCAGTTCGGGTGAATACTTCAAAACGAGATTCTCAACAGAAACTCCTCCGGTGCTTGATGGCCAGTACGCCGGTGGTCGGTTACTTTCCAGAATAGCAGGTGGTTCTTGAGATTGAAAATTTTAATCGCAGTTCCGCTACTGGGGAGGTCAGACTCACCAGATGGTAAATCCATGTATTCGCTGACACGTTCCACAGAGTTGAGCGCCTGTCAGAGCCCACAATTCAGAGAGCCTCGCATGAGAGCAGCACGTAAACACACCTGCTCCATTTCAGTATAGAAGCGAAGAAGCCAATAGATTCCCCAAATGACGGTTTGTGCTTGAGATATTACAATACCGACCATACCAGAGGAGATGTTTGTAGAAATAGCAATCTACAGAGCACAAGTTCATCACGGACGTCAACTTCTATAGCCATAAGACCTCTAAATCGTCTCACTAAGCTAGCTGCAAGTGTGATACACGCCCCAAGAGAGTCAAAGCGGAACAATAACCTAGCAGACCAGCCCCATTAGATTCTTCTAGGTAGGAAGACAGAGCACTCACCAGCGATTACACATCCTTGAATTTATTTAGAGCAGATATTAAGGGCCAAGAAGGCAGACGCAGTAACAGCTCACCAGTCTGAGATAACAAGTATCAATGAAGGAGCAGCAAGGATAGATTAGCGAGTTGCTTACAGTAATAGTTCGCTGCCTGGGTGCGGTCCAAGCGAGTATAGACATTGTTAACAAAGAATCGTTCCGCTCCAAAGGCCCTCACAGTGGAAATGCCATTAATCTGCAAGTAATCCACTTTAGAGTGTGGAGGTACACTGGTTTCGATGAGTCCACTCACTAGTTCGGAGAATGATGCTATGATCGGTGAACGAGTGTTCGACTCAATACGCCGTAAGTCGCGTGAGACGGAAATGTAACCCAACGTGAACCAATACATGAGCCCGCTGATGACCGCCAGCGGAGCAACAAATATTGGAATTCCCCATAGGATAGTGAGGATACTCAGTAGAAGTTGGAGGACTGACTCAATCACGACCTTGCCATTAGAGAACAATCAGTTGCCACACTAGGGCCTACAGTACGGTAGCCGCTCACGGTCATGTAAGACTGCAGACCACCATCGATAGTATCAATATCTGAGCAGTGCTATCAGTGGTGATGGGTCACCAGAGAACGAACGCGAACCTTTGCTGAATCTATTCAGGATTCGACCCTATTGCAATGAATGAGCACCTATCGTTTATAAATTGATGAGACTAAGTTACCGATGGTGTCTTGTCAAACCAACGACTTGGAGCACTGATTGTATGCCAGCGTCACTTCGTTGTGTGGGGCCAGGCTAAGAACACATACCGGAGAACAGAAACAAGCATTGTCCGGTACAGTCGGCGGGAAGCACGGAGCGAAGAGAAGATGCTTGGAATGTTGGCACAAATAGAAAAGGCGGCAGTAACAACCTCTGTAATGTGCCCTCAATGCGTTTCAACGATAAGACACCAATGATGGACTGACCTAAACCAATATAGCCAAGCAAATATGGGAGAACGTCATCCTGAGGCCGAGGAAAACGAGGAAAACCTGCGTTTGTACCCTCCTCACGATAGTAGCTCTCGCCCCAAACTATAATGCATGTTAATTATGGTGATTCGGATTTGTAGATCTGAGCCTACATCGTATCCAGAACTTTTGGGAAACTTCGCCTTTAAATATTCATTGAGTTCATTCCAATATTGCCCTCGAAGAGAAAAGGTTCACCGCAAGCTCTAAGAAGGAACAGAAAAACTCCGAGTGACATCAGCCAGTACGATGATGCCTTTAGATAGATGTGGTAGATTCTAAACTCGACACGTCCCCTGAAGATTGGGCAATATGATAAGTGTTCATTAAAGAAAAGCAACACATCACGTACTCCGCCTTCTCCTCCTTCTCAACAAGTTTCCTTCTTGCTTCATTCCTCAAACTTTTCTTCATCTCCGGCCCATCTTTACCAATGCCATCATTCGCGGCAGGTACGCTCATCGTCGCCTCAGGTTCCGCTTGCCTCTTCAACTTCTCCCGAATCCCAGACAGCAACCCTTGGTTTCTGAGATCTTCCGGAGTACCCTGAGCAGCCACCACACCATCCTCGAGTTGCACAACCCATGCCGCCAGATCGGCAATAAGATCCACATGGTGTGTAACAATGATGATGGTGCGATGGGCAAGAAGCGGACCACAAAGGCACTCATGAATAAGTCTTTCAGCGGTATGGGAATCAACGGCACTGCGCGCCAGAATAATTCAGCGACTACTTGTTTGGGTGGTCACAAACATACCTCAAGACATCATCCAAGATCACGGTCTTGCTGCGCGCATACACGGCGCGAGCGAGAGCTACGCGGGCCTTCTGTCCACCACTCAAGGACACGCCCTTTTCTCCAATTTCGGTAGCATCTGGGAATGCAATACCGAGGATGTTGATGAGAACAATGTGTGGGACGGCTGTACAAGGTTCCCTCACCTCCATCATCCAACAGAGCGAGATCAGTCGTCAAGGCACATGCCCTGATCACAGCTTCATAACGCTCCTCATCATAAGCCAACCCAAACAATCTATGTTGTACTCAGCACATGGCAATATAAGGAGAAGCGAGAACACACATGTTGTCCCTAATGGATTCTAACCCACAGTGTATATCAGTGACCTGAAGCGTCGGCGATAACCGTGGCACTCACGGTGTTGAAGCCAGGGCTGTTGAGCACAGTAGCTAACGTCCTCACGCATTCCTGTCTCTGGATCGATTCTAGCTGGGGTTTTTGGCAAAAATACCCTCCCTGAACTCAACTGCATCTCTCCTAACAATGCAGAAAGCACTGAAGCGACAATATGAAAATGGAACGCATGGAATGCAATGGCACACGTACAAGAGCTCTTCCCGGAGCCAGTAGGTCCACAAACGAGATTTAGTTGGCCACGCTTAAAAAAGGTGTTCAAGTCCCTAAGCTCGAAGTCTTTCGGCGGCTCCTCTCCATCGACGTCGTCCGCCACCGCAACGGCTGCATCATTAGTCTTGTGAGCACGCTTAAAGAGGCTCCTAAAGCGACTGAAAAATGAAGGTTTCGAAGCTCTCATTTCTCCCTGGTTAGGGGATGTCCATCTGAAGAAGCCATCTTCGAAACCGACACGATCATCAAAGGGCGCTTTAGGATCATACTCCTGAGTACGGGCTGCCGATTGCCAAGAAACCCAATCTGGGACTTCGTCTTCGTTTAGATATTTGTCGATGCGAACGTACGATGCGTATGTAGAAACAAACCACTGCGCCAGCATCGGGATCTACGCAAATGGTAGACACATACTGCACAATGATTGATATTTGTGCTTACCATGGTCAAACTTTGTGTAAGGATTGATAGAGCTTGGAGAGCAGGGAAGGCAATGGCAACTGTCAGCTCGCCATGGGCGACAAGGACGAAGAAGGTGAAGCTGATGACGCAAACAATAAGCGGGATCACATCCCACAAGAAAGCCAAAACGAATTGCAAGATTTTGGACTGATAAGGAAACATGAGCCCAATATCAATTGTCGAGATTAAAGACAAATATTACCTTGCGCAGCCAGAACACTTCTCGCTTACGCGCATCCATAATTCTTTCCATCCACTTGGCCTCCCACGCGAAAAATTTGAGGAACTATAAGGGACATGGGACTAAGACGAGATCATCGTACAACAGGGTAAATCATACTTTTACAGCCTGGATTGCCTGGTTCATTTCCCTGAAGGCCACCATGAGAAATATACTGAATCTTTGCTCTTCTCCTTGACTAACCTCATTCGCTTGTCACGCACATCCAAAAGTGTCTTGCGCAATTTGAACATCGTTTTCATGAGGATGTAATTCACAGGGAGGGCAAGAAGGAAAGTAAAGAATCCAACGAATGCCGTCCATCCCATCAAAGATTGCAATAAAATGCAAGAACCGACCATATTAATCGGAACTTCATAACACCGCTGAGATGCGGAACAAATCCACGTGTAAACCATTGTTTTGGGCTAACATGCACTGGAAATACCACTCACCGACATAAAATTCAAGACATTCGAACATTGTTGTGAGTCAGTCGCAATTAGCGACACAATTTTCCCCACGTCAGCGCTCGCGACGGCCTCGTCTCGGGCATCTTTCCCGTCCGCAAGCTTTCCATCCTTTCCTTTCTGATCAGATGCAACAACACCCGTGATATCCGTCCTCACAAGTGCTTTTTCATAAATACTACCGACAAGCTCTCCATAAGTTCTTGTTGCAGCACGACGAGAATAGTAAAGATGCTGAAGATCACTCTGTGTTTTGACCAGCTGAGAGAGGAAGGCAACGATAGCATAAAAGTAAGCGAGTTGGCGATTCTTGGAGACGGGTGTAAACGAGATGTGGGCCGGGAAGTCGCTGGCAATAGGAGCTATGACCATGGAGATTGTGGAATGGATACCGGACGGTAATGCGTATATGGTAGAAGGAATCGCAAGTGCAACTTGGTGAAATGGGAAGGAATTGGTGGAAACCTCATCAGCTTGAAGAGCAGCCAGTGTTAAGTTCAATAGGTACGGTTGGAGGATACCCAAAGTAGACGATACAATCTATTCGGGAACAAAATTAACCAAAGAACGCTAAAAACAGTTCGTGAAACGGCTGCAGTACCGAAAGTACGAAGTCTAGGAAGAGGTCCAGGAAGTTGGCTGCGACGATACGTCGTAGAAGAGATTTACGATGAAAGTGACGGAATTTGGTCATTAAGATTCGAGACCTCAGGAGATGACTGAGTTGCCACACATCGTTCTCTTCCACTGTATCCTTCCTGCCAACAGAAACGAAAGGGCTTATCCAACTGAATGTCACCCACTGCCAAAGATTGACATAGTCATCCAAAGCTGGTTTAAGACCTTCTTCATCCACCTCTGGCTTCCCATTGAGATGCATTGGGAAAGAGACTGCAATAGCAATGCAAATCCATGTGAGGATGAAATCGATGATATGCGCGACAAGCCTAGTTTGTTGGTTCCATGACATCGAATCAAAACTGTCTGACGTCGCTGAATAGAACACAGAGAAATCGGATAGGATAGATGCGACATAAATGAGAAGCAGAGTGTAAGGAGTAGTCGAGACCGGTCGTGCGACGGGCAAAAGCAAGCCGTATATCCAGGCAACAAGCAACAGCATCGGAGAAAGCAAAATAAGATCCGACCGGACGTTAATAGCCTTAGTAATGGTGTTAACAAGAATGGCTGTTCGCGACAACGTCTGGACGAAGCCAACAGCAGCGAGCGTGATATTTCGCCAGTCACGGCGAGAAGGAACGGTATTCTGAAGAAGTGCAGTCAATTCGGTAGCTTCCGCAACTTCAACAGGCCTCTCGACGGGGGTTTCGAATGCATTAGGATCCTTTCCGGCGAGAAGGGCAAGTCTAGTTCTTTCCTTAGCTCTGAAAATAATAATCAGGACAGTTCACGTTCAATTAAAGAGAAGTACTCTTCTGCTCTCCCCGCAGCAACGTCCTCAGCAGCTAACACAAATCGGGTGGAAATTTCAAATGAGGCTCTGACTAGGGAACATAAATTACCCACTGATGAACTGGTGGAAAGGACGCCAGGAACTCTGGGCGCCTGTTAAAAAATGCGTGAGACTGCGGATAGTAAGTGTCGCAATGATAAGGCTCGATGGCGTAATTTCCAGCAATTTTTCGATACTGCCATTCACGAGAGCCGCGCTCAGGGGCATCTGTTGCTGGCGGAATAAGTCGAAATGCAAAACGAGATGGACTTCGGGAAATACCGAACCCTCATTGTTTACCATGCCACATGGTAACTGCCCAGACTTTCTGAATCACACTGATGGGGACCAAACAAGACCGGATAAAAGCAACGAGTTCACATGCTCAGTATTTAACGCTCTCGCCTTCGCAAATAATAGAGAATCCATAATCAAATGACTTTGTAATGAAGGGCACCGTAACTGGCCCAACTTCCGCCGAGCTAGTCGATCCTTAGGCTAAAATGATTCAGCTTCCCTCACTTCCAACCACACTCGGCGTTCGTATATCCATCCCGCCACCAATAGTAGCTTCGTAGTGCCACGCTGCTGAGTGAGCTCATTAAAACATATGCGCCATGGGAGTTGCTCTGGAGCTGTTAACGTGGCACAACCGGGCTAGGTCTGAGCACGATATCGCATATGCTCCCTCGCGGGTAGTCCAGGCTTAGATGCATTAGAATCGCATGGCAAATAGGGTGAGAGCACGCCTCACGCCACCCGCGACAAAGCATAAGTTCTGAGACATGACAAGGGAAAGATCGTTGCAAAGCGTGAGTGAGACAGCGTGAATCGGGAAACATCCGCTGGCTGGTCAACCATCGGTACTGATGGCATCGGATGCCGTCTCAACAGGAGCAGTCTGGTCTCACGATGAATCGCGTTCTGACTCGCACTTCGCGTTTCACTTTGAGACCACGGGAACCTTATAAACATTGTCTTCTCTGGATACTTTCCCTGTTTTCTTCTGAGCCTTGTCCCTATGCAGTCCCAGTGCCCTCCCGAGGCCAGGCGAACATCTAACGAACGTCGCCCTGGATGCCAGGGCACACGTCCGAGCATTCTTCGTAGCAATTCCTCATACGGGCCGGACCGTCATCCCATGGAGACCTTCCAGCCATGCACAGAGGCGAACACTAAAATGAACGCTCAAGTGAAACCGATGGCCCCACATTATCCTCGTAACAGAGCCGAATCCAATTGCTCGAGACCTCACAGAATATTCTTGGCTTGTGGCTCAGGTTCTGACCCTGGCAGCAAGATGAAGTTTGGCGGAGTGCCTGCTCATGAGGATTCATTAAAGCCCGATACGAGTATCGACCGTCCCGCTACCGTTCATCCTCAAAAGGAACACAGTTCGTCATATTCTCGTCGAGAGGGATACGTTCCATTTCCACCCGGTAATTATTCGACTGAAAATTGCTCAGAAGGTCAACTAGTAAACTTATTAAACCCACACAACCCCTTGCTAACATCTTGCAATTCCCGCAGGAAACAGCAGTCGTCCTATGTCACAGACTGCGTTAGGGCTATTCTTTCCATCGGAATACACACCAAGGCGCACAGGGGAACCTACTCCAAACTCGAGCGTATTGAAACGCAGCTCGCCCCATGCAGTTCAAGATTCTTCTTCGATCCAGTCTCGACTCCATCGCTTGTTTCGTAGTTTGAACGATCTGCTTGGTGCGGATGATCAACACGGGAACAACGAAGGTTTTGATCGCGTCAAGCAAGTGATCGACGTTGATGCATTGATACGGCTTCGTCTCGATGATCAAATGCGCCAAAGGGAAAAATTGCGCCAGTCGGAGATGCGAGCGGGAAAGGCTGCAGAAGGAGGTAAGTACTATAATTGCTTAGTTCGGTCGATATTCCATCGACCACATGGGCGGTTAGGGAACGTTCTCTGTGGCTCACTACGATCAATATATTGGTTCGCGAGTGATGTTGCGGAACTGGGAGGAAAGCATTACAGGCTCCCTATTGTGCTTATCGAGACCATTGAAGCGTTGAGCGAGAAGTGTATGTGATTCCAATTCTGACATTTGTTCTGTCCATTTTAACTCTCTTACAACTCCGAAGCCATGTCGAATTCCGATTTTGCAACATACGATTCCTCCAACAGGGCACTCCGAGCTTCTATGGCATCTTTACATAACCTGATCGCGGATTTTGATGCCCCACCAGCATACGGTAGAGGCTCATCGCTGGCCGATAAATCAAGTAAAGAGATAATGAGCTTGCTCACCAATTTCTTGGATTCCTTTCCGGAACCGCCACTCGACCCCACTTTATTCCGAGCTTTTTATAACGCCTGCTACATGCCGTCATTCCGAGCTGCGCTTCGTTGTGGCCAAGGCTATAGAAAATTCCTCAGCTCCGCTCGGGAAAGAGGCAGGACGGGCCGTCTCACTCCAAGCGAGAAGCGAGCGATTGGCGTGGCGAAGATTCTCTTTCAACTCATGCCCGAAGCTCATTCGAGTTCGTTGACCTATCTCATGGCGTTCCTATCTCATGCGGCATCGCCAATACCCACAAAAACATCGAAGCCGGCTTTCGCTGAAGTGGCTGAAATATTCGGCTCTCCTATTTGTGCACCGAGGGATGCAGTCAGTTATCTCTCCTCGATAGGCGCCGGTACAATGGACAGCGAAAGCGCGGACGAGATGGTGAAAAGAATGGGCAGTCAGATCCTATTCTGGCTTCTCAGCTACTGGAATGAGATTTCAAGTTGGCAGGAGACGACAGCGGAGGCGGATGGGTCCTTGGCATTGTCTCATGTTGAGGGGCTCGCTCCGGAACCAGGACCTTCCTTATGGGACGAGTATAAACGGAAGCACAAATCACTGTCGGCTTCTACCTTGGACACTGCGTACCCAAAGGAAGATCCAAAGGCCCGGGAAGAAGCACAGGTCACAATAGACCGTTGTGGTAAAGGAAAGATAACCGAACTTCCAAAGCCCAACCCGACATATCCTGCGTCCACATCCCCATCTCCGACACCCGATGATGGTCAGGATGAGCACCGAGCAAGCTTAACTTCGTCCGATGACACGGGGTCATCGAGTCCACGAATGAGCTGGTCTTCAATAGAAAACTCGGGCTCTTCATCATCAGGTGACACCCCGTTGACCTCACCGGAATTGTCTTCTAAGAAAGTGGCCCCGCAAATGCAGGACTCCAGCATCACTCGAGGTACGTGGTCCATCTCTTGTAGTATCGAACGCCTTGTCTAAACGACAAATTAGATGAATTTGACAGTTTAAAGCGAATAGTGATGGCGCAGCAGGAAGAGATTCGGGTCATTAGGTTGCTGCTTGCACCTGTCCCTTGATCGCTAGACGATACTTGGGAGGGTGAACCAATATCATGGTTTTGTGACTATGATGGAGAAGGAATTTATGCTATATCTATGCTACTAATGAACCGTTTAGTGTACATTTATAATCGGTCGGTCTTGTGAACTTTTGTATAAACTTTATGCACGAACATTCCACACGGCGATCCTCGCGAAGCTCATACTCAAGATGCTTCGCTGCTACATACGCTCGAACTTCCCCATACAGGTCCTTCCACAACGCGTGTCCTACATCGAGTCTTCAGACGCCGCCCACGTTCTTGCCAATGACTCATATCCAATTGACTTCTGGGCGAGGCTTGTAGTGGCCGTTCGACCAGTTAGTATGGCGGCATCAGTTCCAATGGTGAGCTATAGGGCAGCAAACCTGAGATCGGCAACATTTGGGTGAAGTTGGGCAGCGAATAAGAACGCTGACGTAATAGCAAATGGCTTGCCTCATCCTTCCCTGTTCCCACCACGACAATACCCACAGACACACCAGACATTAATACCAACCAGACTGCCCAAACGCACACTGGTGGTGGCAGTGTAGGCGACACAAGGCCCGATTTGTGGCGATGCATCTCGTCGTGCCTGCTGACCTAACAGACAGACCCTACATAACCATAACATGCCAACGCCACGCGTAAAGCAAGTCGAAAACCTCTATGATAAGCCTCAGGATTTTCGTGAGCTTTCTTGCGTGTATCCACCCCTGCAACCTTTGTGCGTAAGGTGGACACTCACAATTCAGTCCCACTGACAAGATTGGCAGCTTATTCGAAGGACATTCATTTCAACCTTCCATCAACTTCAAAGACCCTCAGGCGCAGAGGTATCTTGTTCCCTGCCCTCTCTGACACTGTCTCTCTGACTGGGTTGTGAAGGCGGCTGACTGAAGCCTTGCTATTTCGTGATTTTGGGCTTTCGTTGGAGCTACCTGAAGGACGTCTCTGCCCAGCCGTGCGTTAAGTCGAATAAAATGGCAGGCACAGTACCTCTAATAAATAAGAGCGATAGGTTCCAAACCGGTGTGTTCTGGTCGCTTGCACGTTAAATATGGAATCCTCATGGCAGTTCCCGATGAAGATTCGAGTATGTGCGGTGGATACGAGAGATTGTGCGATGCAACTCTGAGTCATCTAGTGGAGACAAAAGCACATTAGGGCTAGACATGTCAGTCCGCTGTCGCAATTATTCGGTCCTTCGACTAATGATTTCTTCAGTGGGACAGGAGCGTCTGCAATATACCCGCTCTTAGCCTGTTCATGGATCACTCATTGGAAAATGATAGGGACTGGTATTGAGCCACTAAATCGTGGTTCTTCGGGCTTGACGTTTACATGCTTTTGCAGAGATCGACGATGTTTCATTCCAATATGCTTTACAGAATGTGACCCGAAATCACCTCCAGACATCCATATCGATTAGGAAGTCGACTGCTGAGGATCAGATCCTCCACCCTCTATGGGATGATAGCTTACCAAGGTCAGTCACGGCAGATCCACCTTTGGAAACCTTGTTCAAGGTCCCCCAGTTTCACGTTTACAATGTGCAATCCCCCATTTTATTGTTCTAATGAGGACATGGTTCGTTCGGGGGAAGCCAAGGATCTTGATCCCCACGCGGTTTGTATATTTGTCATTCGCGAACCTTTCTTCATTGATAATAGTTCAAGGTTTGTACTGGCGCGGAGGCAGAAATGATAACTCCGGGAGGAGACGCAGCATTCGTGCTGACGATGTTGGAAGAGAGTTTGTTAGTGAAACAACGTTGCAAGTAAATCGTGCTCATGGTAGTATAACCGTTCATGACGTCAATGTTGTCGTGGGTTCAACATAGCTGGTTCACATCTTTGCTGGGAAAGCTATCGTCCGTTAATGCTGTCGTGGAGCGACTCCGTGAAAAAAAGGTACGATCAATCATTTAGGTCCTCTTGAACATTCCTCACATCCGCTCTGCTTCATTCAGATCGACAATTACGCTATCAGAGAGATTGTACAAGGGCAAACTCGAAGATGGGCCGTGGCGTGGTCATTCATGGGCGTAAGACTTTCTGATGTGAGTTCGGTTAGATAGGGGATGTATTGCAGTTGCATCCAGTGCTCAACTCGGCGAGTCAGTCGATCGCCCACGCTTCGTCCCCTTCCCTCAAGGCTCTGCTTCCTCTGCCCACCACTCTCAAACAACCCCTCAAGAACGTTTACTCCGCTGCGAATCTTGCCGATGCTCTTCATACTGTGCTCGGCGCTATTGACACAGTAACTTATACAATGGAATGTGAGGGCTCGAAACGTGGAACATCTGCAGGACCGCTCAATGCTGATAGCGAACACACCTACGCCATGCATGTAAGCTATGGCGTTAACACTTGGTCAAGAGCAGCAAGACGTCGAAAAAAGCATGCAACAAGGACGGGCGAAGTCTCAACACCGGCACAAACGCCCGTGTCGAAGATGACTATATATTGGTCTTCACCTTTACCGACTGACAAAGCGGCTGTCACAGCACAATGGAATCATGGACTTCATCGGACGGACTTTGAAGGTCTATGGAGTCACATCTGCAAGAAATTGGAAGATAGGTTTGGGCCATGACTTGTTTACTCTAGATCGTTTGATACCCACATTTCTGATTATTGGGAGACCCGTTAATTGATGCACACATAGCTGTACGAAGCCACCTTTCACGCAATTTCACACCGTTCCTCACTTCGAAATGCAGATTCACTCACGACAGTATAGATACAGTAAGTGGAGCAGTGCTAATTTCATTACAATAACTATGAGGATACCAGTCCTCCCTAAATACCGGAATTGCGAAGGACAATGTTCGCTGTTCAGATTCGCATCTCATACGGATGTTTTGTAAGCTCGTTATACAGTTCTTGTGGAAGATCGCGCACTAGTGTGACTGCGATGCCAATGACGGCCTGGGCGTCCAGGTCTGGGAAGGTACGCAAGAGCTTCATTGGGCTGGGCGAAGAGTGGTTAACAGGTTGTGTAAGGAACGGACTGGGACTGTGCACCTTTTACTTGCGATCACTTGTTCTCTAATTAAGAGAAGCTGAGCAATCACGCATAGGACGTTCAAGTGCACGCCAAATGCGAGCAAAAAGTCCCATAATTGCAGCACCTGTTGCAGTGGCGGAGTGCATGCACAAAGAGTCAGGACAGCTGTCATGGCAGTCGTTAGTTGGTTGAAAATAAGTCATGGGAGGCGGCGCACAAGGAAATGCATATATTTCGGCAGACAAGTTTTTCGACCGCAGATGGGCGAAAAGCTCAGGGTCAAGAATTTTAAGGCAGCGATCTAGAATCTACGGACGCATTAGTATCAGATCAGTAGCGCTCAGTTACGCGGGCAAGGACCTTTAGGCCGCGGTGGACTCCCTCTAATGTCGGCTGCACGTACATCGGACAGTTATTCTCTATGAATGCAGCAAAGCAATAGAACGCCTCGATTTCGGAGGGCATTGTGTACAGGAATGGCGCTGCTAGCACATTCATCCCTTGTACGTACGTAAAACCTGGTCTCCCAATTTCTCCTAAATCTGAACCAACTTAAGTGAAGGGCTGATATGCTGTTAGAACCCAGTACCATGATTCCTCCAGACAAACGCATCAAGAAGGCGAACGAGCATATCTTCTCCCACTCGCTCTTTAAACGAATGATCAGTGGCCAGTGTCCTGTAGGGGCCCAAAGATCAAAATCTATAGTGCATGAATATGGGGGAACACACCTGAAGGTGTCGTTTCGTATCTTCTCCCGGACATAACAGGGCCCCTGCGCCACGTATCGAAGATACGCATCAGCGGAGAGGTCATTCACACGAAGCAGAAGCTTCCATATTCTTGGTCTTAATGCTGGATCCTTGATAATAGGAAGTAATGAGATCACATTGCAAGCAACGCATTGGGTGTGAACGCACAGTGTCGGAAGGTATCCCATTTACAAGTATAAGTTTCCGCAATTTCCGCAGCGATTCATCAATTTCTTCCTGAGTCCTGGACTTCGACCCGAAGGGTTTCGATTGGGTCAGAATTTTGTGAAATTGCTGTGTTTTTGAGGTCGAAGAGCTCATTGTCGCCCGTTGTCTGTGAGCCGGATACAACAAGTGTAAACGAGGTGACCATTCACGCGCCCGTTCAGTTTACGCGCTTTCAGATTCGCGGACTTAGGGGTTCGTCAATCACTCACAGCTTCCACGCTGGTCCACTTCTCGCTGTATGGAAGTAACCTTTGGGGCATCGGGTGCTCTAAGTCGCGCCCACTTCTCCTTGGTGCAGAGAGTTGAGAATGCCGCAACAAGTCAGGATGTGGACAACATCCTGATACAAGAAGTTTCTGTGATTCGGAATCTGTTCTCCCGTGGTTCACATAGCTCTGTATGAAGCCTTCCTCGGTCGACCGGGGCGACACTCATTCTCGTTGAAGTCGAGACGTACAGAATACCTAATTTTACTCATGTTCTGTCAAACTATCATTTCGGACCCCGTACCTGAGCTCTTCAAATTCGCACTTCCTCATGCTGTCCAACTTGCCGAAAGTGGTCAAACTCTGCGCGATCGTAGGATTGGTGAGCTCGTTGCGTTCTGTACCCTTGGGGAAGAATCTTAGGACTCCACCCTTCAAAGCGTATCAGTATTGCATCCAGTATCTTCCTCCTGACCATGAGTTGAGCCTTATGCTAGTGAATACCATTCGAAAAGTATGTCATGCCTCGCTTTCCCAAAATATTGTCTAAATCGCGCTCCAGGACTTGGAAAGTAGAAATGATGCCCGCATATCGCTGGCGCTCGACTATTTGCTCCAGTTGCCCGCCCGGATGCGGTACCTGCTATATCAGCTTCTTTGGAAGGGCTCATATCCTCCAAGTCGTAGGTTTGACATTTTTTGCAGTTTAAATCCATCATATTTTAATTTACTATGGAGACCACTCATCAAGCGACAAGCGTTACTAGTAATCAACTCTCTGCTCAAATTTGACAGGAGCTTAACCACACATTTGGTGCCGAGATTACTGAAACGAGCCAAGAATAGCGAGCTTGGCATCGCTGTCATTGCTCTGGATCTACTGTTTCACTCTCAGCAGGTATATTCTCCTCATCTATTAGTCAATAGCTTCCCATTAAGTCATTGGAAGAATACTGTCACTTCAGATGATATTATTCAGATCCTGCTGAGCCGCATGTGGACAGTTTCGGGTCCTTCTCAGCCACTGATTAAGTCTCTCGAGTTGTTAGAGCAGTTGCTGATAAATGACACGGGCACTCCGTAAGCTGTTTTTCCCGGATTTGAAGCTGGAATGTTTAACGCTGGCATTGGCAGACATGAAGATACAGCCATTAATGTGCTATCACGACTTCTTTCCACCACTGGCAACCGCACGGCCTTGGAGTACGGTATGATGGCATCCGAGCATCTAAAGATATTTTGCGAACTCGCATTCTCTTTATAGGGGTCTTGTTGGGGACGTGTCGTTGCCTTTCTCGTTTGTCCCCGTCAAAGCTTGCAGATAGATTCAATAACGGTGTTGAATCGACGCCCAAAGTAGCACCATTGACCCATTTGCGCCCACTCTTGTCATCTGACAATCCTAATGCTGTATACGCGTTTCTTTCATGTTTGGCTGTCCTGAGTCCTTCCCTGTGGGCGGGCTCCGGAGCCGATATATCGCATACCGAGCAGACAACACTGAAAGAACAGGAAGTTGGGAAGATAATGATGTTCCTCGATTCAAATGATGCATCTCTCCGTCAGAAGGTTAGGAACAGTCTTTAAAAGGGAAGCAAATCTACTTATTGTGCTTTTAGGCGTACGCCGTTCTCAATGCCGTAGATGCGGCTCTGCTCCGAGCCCATTACGCTACAATAATGAATGCCGTATCCATCCTCCCCCCCGGCAATGTCGCAGGTGGGGGTCAACCTGCTATACGGGCGTTGGAGGTTCTAGAAGCTCTCAAACCTTCAACACAGACTTATATTGATGGCATCAAAAGTATCTTAATTAAGATTGAAGAACCGTATTCAACGTCAGTGTCCAAAGGAAGAGGGTCGTCCGTTTCAGGTTCCACTACTCGGAATCTCCGCCATTCTCTCCCAGTGATGGAGGCTTTCGTTGAAAAGGTTCTGCTTCACCTGACTCAAGGTATATTTCCCTTCACGCCTTTTGCCCGCATCTAATACGTTGGTCAGTCCCAACTGAAGATCGCAAGATGGTCGTTCACGCGATGATAGCCATAGGGATCAATGATGGGCACCTTATAGGCTCACCGCGCTCGTTCCATCGTTCAAATGTGGCGAAGTGCCCTTACGGACCAACTGGCTACACATTGCTCGCTGCGGCGGTTGCTGAATACGGGGGCCTTGTCGATGTGTCCGCGGAATCGATGTTACAAGCACTCATTAGACCCTTAAAGCTAGCTTCCCGTATGTTTTGAGGGTTCCCTCGTTGATCTGTCGCTGATGTGCGGACAAAGCCGCCGTCCAAGAAGTTCTATTGCTTTCGGTCTTAAGGGTGCTTTCTCGTTGTGATCAACGACCACTCTGGCTCTACGAAACGATATCAGCCATCAAGATTCGAGCCGGTCGCCATATCGCCTTCGTTAGTCTCCATACCAAAGCTCAGTACTCTCCCTCACAGATACTCTCCAGAGATGTCAACAGATTCTTGACTTATCTGAGAAATTAGATGAGCTAAGAAGAATTGTGGCGACTGCCAAATCGTCCTCTGTGAGTGGACCCATCTCACACATGAGTAGAAACCCTAAACTATTTATAGCTCCCAGATTTTCTCTTCGCTTTGGAGTCAAGGTCCCTGCCTTCAGATCTCCCCGAAACGGTCGCCTCCCCAGTACCGAAAGCTACAAAGCTGCGATACGCGTCATATGAGCCACCACCTTCGGTGGCACCGCGCGGGCGAAGACCACGAGGCTCGTCGCGCTCGACCTCGGTGTCTGCGCACTCTCACCAGGAAGTCACCGATTCTGATGAGCCGTTGTCTCGAACGATGACTGCCGGTGAATTGACACTGACAAGCGGATCCCGATGGTTTCAGGTGTGTCTGTTTATTCCGCAGGCCGCCCTTGTTGCCAACAACGGTTTTCTTTTGGGTCCAGCCCTCAAAGTCGAAGACCCGTCAAGCGGAACAGAGAAATTTCGACCTAATTGTAAGATCTTGTCAATATTGTTTTCACACCAGCCCATTTACTGCCATTTAGACCGACCGCCTTGATTTAATATCCTTGGACACTCCATTCCGCACTGAAAACCAAATCCAAAGTTTATCACCTGTGTTGCAGCCATCCAGCCCGCTTGCATCAGAGGAATTCAACCTCATCTGGGGCCAAACGGCCAGCCCCAGAGCATCAGCGCGTGGTTGGAGTTCCTCCTCGCCTTTATCTCTTAAGACGCGCTTGGAAATCTCCTCTTCATACTCAGCCTTATCTGTCCAAAAACAACCCCATGATCCTTTCACTCCAGGCAAGTGTATCCGGGTATCACGGCAGCTGTGGCGTTTCTGACACATGATACAGAGCCCGCCGAAATCCTTGTCTTGGTCCATTCCAGTCAAAGGGACTCGAAAGTCGCAGTTAGGCTTCAGCCAGGAGCCGATGGAAGCTGTCTCTGGCAAATTAGGGGCGGTGACCAAGAGGCCCTATCAGACCTGAAGCGTGTCTTTTCCGAGGATGATTAGTAACTTGCGATCTCAATCTTACTCACTAGAACATTAGACTACATATTTTGTATATTTTCCTTCCACCGCAAGGCAAGGGCCCAATGCTCAATACTACAGGTTGGATAGTCTTGCAGTTTAGAATATATTTAGAATATAACCATAAATTCGAAAATAGACTCGGCCCTAGTTATCACGTGGCTAGGGCCCCTAAGCTCCCCCCCCCCCACTTGCATCTATCATTTCACGTCCTGCGATGGCAGCAACTAAACCGCAAATGCCCCTTCAACCCGCTAGGAGGACTCAAAATCCGGTCCAACAACCACCAGGCACCAATTCATCATCACAACCGCGCATCGGGCCGCTGCCTCAAACATTGCTACAAGGACAGAATGGTGTCCCTGTAGCCCAAAGCGGGCAAACAAACAATGTCACACAGAATCCTGCACTCCAAAGAGCCATGGCGCAAGCCGCCTCTGCTCAGAGTAACGCTGCTCAGGTCTTTGCGCTCCTAGCTCCCCACATGGAGAGTCTCACGCAGGCCTACAGGGCCGGAAACTTGTCTGAGGAACAAAGGCAACAGGTGATGCTAAATCTGAAGTTGTCATGCACAATCTCATTCGAGTCCACGACTTGGAAATATTCACACGATTTAGCTTCAAGTCATTCTTGCTACATACGGACGGCACTTTCGGTTGCAACAGACGCGGCAGCAATCGCAGCAGTCTCAACCACAGCAATCATCGGATACCACGAATGGTGCCCAAGATCACAGTGCTCAGTCATCTGTGCCATCGGGAACTCAGCAACGATCGCAGGACGCGGCAGCTTTACATGCCCAAAACAGAGCATCCCCTAATCATCCTCAGCCTAATGTAGGAGCTAAAAGTTGACATATTGTTGGGGTATGATCTCAAGTTTTCGCAGTCCACCGCATCGAACCCTTCGACATTACATCCAGCATTGTTGTTGAAAAGTGCCTCTATTCCAGGGATGCCTCCTCCGGGATATGTAGCACCAAACGGGTGGACTCCTACGATTAATGGCGCTCCACCTCCTCCAATTGCGGGGACGAAGCGCAAGACACCTCCGCCGTCCAACCCAAGTGCTGAGCAGCAACATGCACCTTTACCGCCTGCTGCGCAACAGCGACAGCCATCTCAGCAACCTGTCAGACCCCCAACTCAACAAAGCTCTTCGTATGTTGCGCCGGATCCAATAAAGAACCTGGCGATTCAATTTAACTACAGAGGAAGTTCAGAACTCGACGCCCCTGACCCTCGGCCACAACCATGGCCAAACGCGGTTGGCTCGCGTCCTACTCTGACAGGTGGTCTGGGAGGAGCCTCTCTCACCCTGTGTAGGTTCATTCTGGCGTGTTTTCGCTTCGGGGTTCAAACACGACTCGGTGGTTGCAGGTACACCGACACTCCTTGTGCACCCCTCGATGGATACGGAGGTGTTGGATCCCACCACTACCGTGCCTGTCGACAGTACCACGGCGGCCTCCAATGGACCTGGAGGCACAAGCACGCTATCGAAGGACACAAAACCTGGAGGCGGACTAGTAAGCAACAAACGAACAGTCATGGATATCATTACCAGTGTGGACCCAAATGTCAAGGTGGATCCAGACGTGGAGGACGTACGTGCCCCCCGTGCCCAGTTAGCTTGAAACCTGATTGACATTGTTTTCGGCGATGTTCCCTTGGCTTCAAGTTCATGCTTGAGCTAGCAGACGAGTTTATCGATTCCGCAACCCACTTTGCATGTAGATTGGCCCAGCATCGTGGATCCGATTCTTTAGATGCGAAAGATTTACAGCTTTACTTAGGTATCACATTCACTGGACGTGCTTTCAAACTAACACTCAGCAGGTTTATTCCCATAGAAGGTAGTATGAACCTTCGAATACCAGGTCATTCCTCTGATGATACGCGAGTGTCGATGTCACTCTCACATGCTTCCGCAACGGGGGCAAACAGTGGAGCTGCAGACTTACTGGCTCTCACTACGGGGACTGGTGCACGCGTGGGCAAACTACCAGGACAGGGGAACATCACGAAGGCGACTAAGGCCTCTAAAGCAGAGAAGAACAAAGACAAGGAAAAAGATGCCGATATTCGCTTAGGCCGAGGTCTCAGAAGCATACGACTGGCAGCAGTCAAGAATGCAAGACGATAGACATCATTGGGTATTGTTCATGGACATCATACTTAGGTACAACCGATAGCATAATGATATGGATCCCATATTCAACAGGGATAGAACAAACGTCCCATGGACACTCGGCGTGGAATAGTCCAAAATAAGGCAAGGAATGCCGTGCTGCATATATGGATGTATCAGTGATCCCCTCAAGCGAGCCGAATGTGTGTCAGAAGAAACATTTGGAATTGTATAAATCGATTTGTGAATTTCGACAGCTGGCTTAGCCAGTTTCCGAATCCTCGTGCTCATCACTTCTCTTAAAAATAGGAAAAATTAATCACCTTTTAGGTACGCTAGCATCGGGTGACCTGCCAGAACAAAGACGTCAGTATCCACAACGCAAACAGCTATATTGGAGGGGATCAGAGATCTTGGTGGTAAAATGATAGTCGGCATTGACATATCCATCTCCGAAGTAGCAAACATTTCTGTTGCATCATGCATGTAGAGAAATGGATGTGTGATGACTTACATTTAGAAGCACCAGAGTCGCTTGGCTTCCTACCGAAGAAGGCCACCTATCCATCAAAGGAGCAGGGAATGAACGTGAACTCAAGCATCCTGGCAGGTATGAGATCTCGATCCCTTGTGTACACAGAAGAAAACAAAAGGAGTGGGTAAAGTTGAGGGGGAGAAATTTTTCGCTCAATTTATAGGACAACCAGACAATCACGTGCTCGTGGGAAGCGATGTCGGAAAATCCCGTATATCATTTAAACGCCCGGGAAACGTTTCATGGCGTTTTTTTACAACAACTACCCAACAGCCGATGAGAATACATTGGTCAGATGTGGTGGTACTTTATGTGTTATATGAGACGGATTTTTGACGATTTTGATGCTGTAGGAAGCATTTATGACACATTTATTAAGTTATTAAAAACATATTCAGAGCGTCCGAGGGGTATAAAAACGCATTCAATAATATCAAAAAACGCCATAAACAATTTATCACAACGTTTAGATGCCAAATTTCACGTTTAAACGTCAAATTTTGGCGTTTTAAATGTCAAGTCTCGTGTTTTTGATCGATCTCGCGATTTCCGACAGGGCCTGCGCGTAGATCTAGACTTTAGAGCCTACCCTCAGCCTAGTTTGGATCTGCCCTTGATTTCGTTTCCAAAAGTCCACGACTGAGGATTGAGGAAATATCAAAGTCTTCGTGTTTATTAATTATCAACGCTTTCGAGTCATCCCGACTCACTCGGCATCGTGGTGCTCAGGGCTGTCTTTCTTTCCTTTCCCTAGGGGTGCATCCCCTTGGGAGGAGTTTCCATGTCCGCAACTAGCCCTCTTCGTGGCGACGGAGAGGGTCGATATAGAATTCTCATCGTGGGGAGCAGTGGCGTTGGAAATAGGGGTGCCACGGTTCGGTTCGATTCGATTCTGGAGCGATTTTTTGAGATACGGTTCTGACGATGTCAAACCAGAACCGAACTGAACTACTATTTGGTTCTCTTGCAGTTCGGTTCGGTCCGGGGACGGTTTGAACCAGATGTGATAATTATTATAGGTTCAGCATTGAGGGTGGTGTACGGGGTTGCTGGGGTTTTGCGTGGCGACCTTTTTTGTGACACTACAGACGTGAAGAATAGAAGTGCTAGATAAACGGCCACAAGACAAAAGTGGGACTCCCTCCATTGATCCTCCTGCATGTTGGTTGTACACTGTTTCCGGCTCAAGGCATACCCCATCGCCAACAGTGCGGCAGGATAAGACCCAAGAGAAGATACTGGCGTAGGATCTTGTGGCACGCGTGCACTATACTGTACTCACAATACATGGCCAACAACTGGGTTTGGAGCATGACAATAGAGAAATGGGTCAAAACCGAACCACGGGCTCGGTTCCAGAATGGTTCGATTCTCGGTTCGGTCCCGGTTCGAACTGGTTCTCTGAGAACCACGGCAAGAGAGGCTGGTCAGCCTACACGGCACCCTTAGTTGGAAAGGCGCAGGACATACCAATTCAACTGTCAGTTCATCGCCATTATCCGTAGACGATATTGATTGGTCAACTTGGGAAATTCTTGAACGCTCTCCCCCGCGAAGTCTTCTGGAAACTTGGATGGGTGGCGACGCCAACTTCGGAGTAGAGAGAAGCTCTGTTCGAAAAAATGAGTCATGGGTCATTGATGGAAATAGGCGAGAGGTAGTGCCAGACATTATCTGTAAGTGGCGTACATTTGGTGCTCGCTGGCTTACTCACCGCTACCGCTGAACCCCCAACCCGCCATTCCCACTGCACTCCACGTGGCTCTCGTGGCGTATAATCTGGAGGTTCTTCGACTGGCTGGGCCATGTAGCCCTGGTTGCAGTGAGCAATTATCTGAGGCACTGTCTCACAAAGGGATCATTGCGTGGTGTTGCAATACAGTCGAAGAGCAATACGTTCCGATGAAAAAAAATTTGGAGGGGTCATGATTTTTCACAATAGGTAGAAGAGGCTAAAAGCCTTCCCCAATACGGCTTAAGGCATAATGCGAAAGGGCACCCAATTAGTACTAGCCGACTGTCCCATCTAGTATCATGCAGGAGTACAAAAAATAACACATTGGTAGTCATTTGGTGGATTGACAGCTTAGATTTATCAGAACAGAACAGGCGCAGAATTGCAAGGGACGGCGTATGTAAATAAACTAGCGTAGGATCAGAAGGCCCCAAAATTGAATGTACAAACTTTTGGCGATGGTTGTGGATCGTCACACAAGGGTAGCCGGGGCTCCGCCTCTCGTTTCAAAGCGTTGACCGCGATGGAAATCTGTGAAAATATTAGTAACTCTAGTCCTCGTGCATCACACAATCTTCTCACCGCGTCCACGGCCGCGCCCGCCATGACCGTTCTCATTATAACTGCGATACCCTGCACGATTTCCTCTCATTTGCGTATCACCGCCGTTTCCAGAGAAGGGTCCCCACCGTTCTCCTCCATATGACCCACCGCCACCACGTCCGCCACGTCCACCGCGTCCACCGCGTCCTTCCCAGTTACCCCGACCACGGCCACGGTCTCGATAGTCGTTGCCGCCACGCTCACCATTGCCGCGGTGATCGGTCCATTTGTCGCCACTGTATCCGTTAGAACCATAGCGACCACGTCGTTCAGGAATAGGGACAAAGCCATCAGCATCAGGCTGTGGTGGGCCATTGCGTGAACTATAGGGACCTCGGCCACCTCGATGGTGACCTTCGTTATGGGGTCCTTGGAGAGGATGTTCAGAATTTCCATTCACATTTGTTTCAACCTGAAGGCCAGAGTTAATGAGATCAGGAATCGCTGGTGTAGTTGGCGTCGCAACACCCCCTGATCTGCCGAACTTCTCCTCAATTTGTGCAATATCAGGCAGGCCACCTTCGTCATCTGCCCAATTGACGGCAGGTAGCTGTTGGGATACACAAGAATCAATTCACGCAAGGCGGCCGCAATGTTGTAGACGATCATAAGGACGTACTTGAACGGCAACGGCTGCCTCGGCGGGCAGGCCCACGCCTGACTCATTTTGAATATCTATTTCCTCAACGAGCTTCTGCACTTCCTCGCTTATCACCGGCTCGGTCACGACCTGATCATGAGGAGGGTGCACCTGAACCCACTCAGCCGTTGAATTTACCAAATGATCATGTTCTGGAGTCTCCAAATCCAATTCCGATGCATTCATAAACTGAAAGGAACCTGTCGAAGGAATGAAAGCTCCTGCGGGAGCTTCCACCGGTTCTTGCACAATGGGGTCTTCCGGTATGCGCTCAGCTTCTGATGCGGCCGCTGCTTCAGGGGCTTCAGGGGCTACAACAGGTGTTTCAGGTGCAGGTAGAACGGGTGTAGGGGCTGGATGAATTCTTGAGTAATTTGGAGGAGACGGTCATCTGGGATGCCTGTCAGCCACGACAAATACTGATCACGGCTCAAATAAGTACTTACAGTCAATACCAGCAAAACCATCATTGGGAATACTTCCAAAAAGACCTTTGAGAAGCTTTTGTCTCTCGGCGGAATCAAAGTCTGGGGTAAGAAGCACACGTCCCGCCTCAATAACGGCGTTGCGTTCAATTTCGTCCATAGGCAATCGACGGTTAGCAGTCGTCCAAGAATGGAGGGAATAGGGGCCGAAAGAATGGTGGAAAGAGAAAGGAGGGCAACTATCAAACGGACTTGTTGGAGATTTTTTGTTTCGATGGATTTCGCAGCTTTCTTCTCTCGTTTTTGGAATTCGGCCTCCCTGGCAGCAAGTTCTGCGGCCTGTTCCTCGGCCCTCTTCTTTTCCGCTTCGCGTTCTGCAGCCTGGTATCGGTGGTAGCCAACAGACAAACACATATTTATACAGGACCCACACCTTGAAATCCCTCTGGACCGTCTCTAGCTTCTCGAGGACAGCCCGGTGGATTGGAAGCGATTCAACGTCTCTCTTTCGATGATCTCCCTGCACATCGCCTTGAGAAGCGAGAGCTTCTGACTTCGACTGTTGCGAGGCCATGGTTAAATGGCCGTGAAGCGAGGAGCATCAGTAGAACGTACGATATTTTTCTTGAGCACCCGTATCCGATCCAATAGAACCCGATCGGTAATAGGGGTAGGAGGGAGTTTCGATTCGTCGATTTCCTCAGGCGGTTGTGGTTCAGGTTTGGGCTGTTTCTGTGTTTTCTCGGGTTTCGTCGTATAGATACCAAGGATATCGGCACGCAAATCTTCTTCAGCTTTGATGGCATCCCGTTCCTGCTTCCTTTTTTGCTTCAATTGACTTTTTGAAGGAGGTGTTGGTGGGGGGGCACCGGGAACATATCGTTGTTGCAGTAGTGACGTTCCAGACATGGTTCAAAAATCGATCACTGTGGAAATTTGAATAGTCAGATGCTGTTCAATGGAAGAGAAGGCCAAGATTCCATCTTACGATGTTAGTGAGTGCGCCTGATGGAAACTGTCAATGTTCAAAAGTCATGTCACGAGACCGAGTCCTGAATATTGTGGCACCAAAAACTATCAAGCGCTGTCAAATTGTTCTCTTCCATGTCTTCGCTTGATGATCCTCGACGGCTAGTGCATTACGGGCAGGAGAGCGTATCCAATGTGGGTCCAGGAGCACTACCAACGCCCGTCATTGATGCCTCCATATACTCAGGTCTCCAGTACTGATTTTCCTGGTTATGACCCAAGCAACGACTACTTGTGGGACATCGTGCAATTTAAGAAAGTAATTCCTGGAATCCCATAGCTTTAAAGCATCCCACTCCCTAACGCTCAACGGTAGTCATTAGTCGTTAAAGTGCAGCGGCTTTCAGATGTTACAATCGAATTCGACATTGTCGGTATTGACACGTCAATAGCCAATGCGTTCCGTCGAATACTCATTGCTGAGGTCAGTATAAGAGCAAAATATCACTCGTGTCATTTCTCACGGTATTTGCAGGTCCCAACAATGGCCATAGAAGGTGTTTACCTCTTCAATAACACATCTGTCATCCAGGACGAAGTTTTAGGCCACCGGATTGGTCTCATACCACTGAAAGTGGACCCAACAAATTTCGAATACCTAACTCCCGGCGGAGGCGCTAGTGACAGAAACACCCTTGTATTTGATCTGTTAATCGAATGCAAACGAAACCCAAAAGCGAAAGCTGGAGAAACTGACCCAGAAAAGCTGTATATTAATTCCAATGGTGAGTTCACACGGGATTCCCAGAACTAAATTCAGCATCGTAACCTTGACCGTGTTCTGGTTTCCATTCCCAGTTTATTCGCGTGACCTGAAGTGGAAGCCTCAAGGGGAGCAAGACGAGGTTTTTCAAGTCCCTCCAGCACCTGCAAATCCAAACATTTTGATTGCCAAGTTAAGACCTGGACAAGTGCGTCAGTCGACGTCTTCCATACCCATCGGAATGTGACTAGATCGCCACTTGCAGGAAATCGAGGCTCAGTTTCATGCGCATAAAGGCAAAGGCGAAGAGCACGCAAAATGGTCACCAGTTGGTATGCACATGTCTCCTTTGTATCCTTTACTATCTACAGATGTTGATATCATCCATGGACACCTTCAGCGACTGCATCCTACCGCCTTCTTCCACACATCACAATCCAAGAACCTATCCTACCCAGATCCATCCCAAAATTCAAAAATTGTTTCCCAGCGGGGGTGATCGAATCACGTACGAACCCTTCCACGGGAGAAGAAGAGGTTTTCGTTGCAAACCCACGGAAAGATACTATGAGTCGAGAAGTGCTACGACATGAGGAGTTTAAAGATATTGTCAAATTAGCGAGAGTACGGGATTTTTTCCTTTGTGAGTGGGCTTTACCTACCTCTTGGTTCCTTGTTGATTTGCTTGCCATCATCCTGTCTGATTGTAACGGCACAAACAATCTTGATTATCTAGTTTCCATCGAATCAGCAGGACAAATGCCCCCCGAGCAACTCTTCCCTCAGGCGGTAAACGTCTTACGAGAGAAGATTGCACGGATTAGGGCAGATATAGATACATACATTACTGCTAGCATTAGTGTGGACGTAGATATGGTTGATGCGACGGAGTAACGGCGCTGCGCCTGGCATACGAGTGTGAGTGTAAGTGGACATTTCCCAGCAGAATTTGAATTGGTGTGCTTTGGTACGTAGCCTTGCAATTTTTCGCTCCAGGCGCCTTGTTGTAATGGATCGATATGTGCGACGATAGATGCACAAGTGCTGTTCCTGACCCATTTCTGACATTCCAATGTCAAGAACTGGGCCATTTCATGATTGGTCGCTTCCTGCATAACAAAGCTAGCTAGCTAGGCCGTAATCTGGCTCTACCAACGTGGTACATATGCTTCGGTCTCAGTGGCCGACTGACTTCCGTCCCTGCCAGGTTACAGCAGCTCATAGCGCTTGCAACCAGCTATCTCTGCAACGTCGAAATCATAAAATAAGTGGATAACATCGTGGTGCAAAAACCGGGGCATCAGCCGATCTGAACGTGACACCTTCAACGGTCCGCATTCGCAGAGAAGAGACAGGATTATAATAAACGAGGGGTGGTAGAGGATCGTGTAAATATGTGGAAGTAACATAAATGGGCGTATCGAAAAAAAAGTAGCAAGGCAAAACAGCACACAGGTCAAAGTTTTTACCCGACCTCCACCCACGTCCTAATAAATACCATAGCAAGATGGAGATCAAACCAAGAAATCAAACGTAACTCGGCCACACTCATAACCATTATATAGCAAGACACCCCGAACTTCAGCCGAGTCAAGTTCCAAACCAAGTTCGAAATCTGCATGCAACGCAACACGAATGAACATTCCTCCGTTCCAGAAGTACTTGGATGACGAAGGAAAAAAATGAAATGTCAACTCACCAGTATAGAAACCGCCTGGCTGAGGGTTATTTGCGTGCTGTTGGAAACTGGGTAGTGTAGCGAGGTCTACGGTCCACTTGCACAACTCGTACGTCTCGCCTTCGTCAGTATACCGCATAAGTTTATCCGAGTCGGATGTGTAAAGCACCGCAACAAACATACGATCTATACCACGCGAACGTTAGCACCTTGAAAACGCCCCTTGAGGAATTGACGAAAACAACTTGCCTTGAGGAGTCGAAGAGAATTTGCAGAATTTGGTTCGAATCCTCTGACCCTTCCTCAAGATCGCACCCTTACTGACAAGATACTGTAGCCTATTTTCACAGATATGAACGCCGGCATTGTTTTCAGTGATATACGCCGGTCGTCTCTGCCAGTCTTCTGGCTCGGCTGGCAATTTGACTCGCATGATATACGATTTGGGTGCGATGATGGAAGAGACAAGGGGACGTCGAGCGAGGCCGTACTGAGCAGCACCACGACAAGTCGCAGTGTCAGCGTCCGAGGGGCGAGCAATGACTTTGATACGAGAACCCAAAGTCTCCTGTGGAATAGGAAGGGCAACATTAGAACGAGCCTGATTGAGTGTGAACACTTACATCCACTCGCTTGAAGAGATATTCACTTCCTGAGAAACCGCCGACAAGCAGTAGGGCGTCAATCCTCTGATCAACACGGCGAGTTTGTCCCTCGATCAAGTTCAAAACCTAGGCACGCAGGGAGATTAAGTCATGTGTGCCTCGTGCATGGGCAAATGATGCGACTGACTTGCTCAATGACTGGATCGAACACCTCTCTTCGCAACAAGTTTCCCGGAATAGCCAGTTCACCGTTGATCAAACCAACAGCAGGATCATCTGCCACACAGCGAACCAACTCAGCGAATATATCAAGGAAAGACCCCATATTTCCAGCTCACCGGGATCCTCGACGTTAAAACAAGTGAAATGGAACATATTCCCATCATCGCTTTCTCCAAGATACGCGAGTTTATCCGTCTCGCTGAATGCATGCATAAAATACGCCAAACTTGCCGGCTCCAAATGAACAGGGTGGTCCGCCAACAACGTTCTCACCAACTCCCTAAATCTCAAGTCGAGGAATAGCGAACCACAATTGGACCCCGAACGAGCACACACTTCGGCGATTTCAAGGTTCTGGAGCGAACCGATAATTTTGTATACTGCAAGGTCCACCGTACCTCCTCCAGCGTCGCAGATCATGAAATTCTGACTGGGACGAAGTTGATGAAGGTTCGTAAGGTGGGCGCAGTGTACGGCTGCTGCCTCTGGTTCGCTGTTTAGAATGAATCATGTTAGTGAATGCCGGGATAACCCAAAATGACGACACGACACACGTTATAATATGAAGACGATCTCTCCATTCACGGTCGCCTGCAAAGGCGGCACCAACAAGACCTCTAATGACACATAAATTGTGAGCCCATGAAGATACACAACTCGCCAGCACTCACGCTTGAATTGCAGCATCACGCATGAGTTGACAGCCCTTCGCATCCCAAGCCGCAGGGACAGCTGAACAACATGCGCATCAGTACCGATTATGCATAGGAGGGCTTGAAGAATACAACGTACTGAGCCAAACGTCAGCAGCATCTGAAGGGGACCTCCATCAGAAAACACGTTGCCGCATATGGGTCATTCACTTACTCAAATCCGCAACGATACCAATTTCCTGAGTGATTCGTTCGCGAGCATACTATATGAAACAACAGGCCAGACAAACTGTCGCAGTCAATCCATTACCCATGATGAAAGATGGACTCACGTCCCAAAGACAGGTCAAGAAATCAACAATCAAATCCACTGCTTTCTTTCCCAAAGGCAACTTGGGTAATCTCGGATCCACGACATCATCCCTCAACGCGCTAGGCTCCAGGAACAGCTTGAACCATTCACATCTAACCGTACCCGGCATAGGACTTGCATTCTTCGCCTCCAAACCCCACGCCAACACACGTCCAGAATCATCGTACAACAAGCAAGTTGGAATTTTTCGGAAATTTTCGGTTGCCCCTGGCCAAGTGAGAATTTGTTGAACTTTACCCCCCGCAATTCGTGATGAACCATACGCTACGCCACTAAACGTCGTACCGAAATCGATCGAAACGGACATTCGACCTTCGTCAGCAGAAGGGATCGTCGGAACGGTTGACGTCGCGGCTGTACTTAGTCTTCCATTGATCGACGAATTGAAGGGAGTTGTTGTAGAAGAATATCGAGATGAAGCTGTGCCGGTATGAAGAAGATGTGGAGGTGATGGAGAAGTAACAGGTGGTGATAATGTACTGGCTCGAATGGAAGCTGGATGACCTGGATGAACAGGATCCGGACGAACGATTGTAGGATCCAGTAAAGGTGTATAATGTGATGCATTGTTCGTGTGAATGGAAGCTGCACGCTCACCACCTCCTCCAATAACGCTGGCCGGAGGAGCACCCATTATCCCGCCAACAGGCACGCTGGAAAAAGAATTAGGGTCCTGTTGTGGGAGTTGAGGAGCCGAAGGTGGCGAAGTATGTCCATTTGGCACCCCCCATGGTTGATGGGCATTGGGCCCGGGCGCTAGTTGGGCAGGTTGCGGCGGAGCAACCGGTTGACCTCCAAAGCCAGCCATCATGTTAGGTCCTGGACCAGGCTGCATAGAATGACCCATAGGACCATTCATCATTGAACGGTTCAACTGCTGCATTTGCTGTTGCTGTTGCTGCTGTTGCTGCTGTTGGAACTGTTGTTGTTGGAATTGTTGCTGTTGCTGTTGCTGCAGCTGCTGTTGCTGTTGTTGATAAGCGGGTTGACTTTGGGGCGGTGGGACGCCACGAGGAGATCCGCAACAGCTCATGACTGCAAGGCAAAGACTGTTCGTCCCAGAAGGGGGTCACCTACGCAGCGCCCTAGTTGTGTTGGACAGGAACGAGAAGGGAAACGGGTGGATTTAATATTCAAATGCTTGCTTGCACCGCCTTGGGAGCAAATGAATTGTGCCAAACTTGGTCCAAGGGATGAACTGTCCCGGTAATTGCCGCTTCACAAACTGGTAATTTCCCGCACCGCTACACCACAAAAATGGGGAGCGTTTGGGTAACACCGAAGAGTACATGAGGGGATCATTAATACAAGGTGGGTTACTGGTCTGTGGCGCCGTTAGCGTTTGTGACGGAGGTGGCTTGGTGGCTATGCTGAGGCCAGCTGGTTTGGTTCCACGTGAGAACTGAGTCCTGGCTCATATCTTATCTTCCCTCCCCAATCATGTCCAACCCTCAGCAGGTGCTTGGAGATCCATCTGCACCCCAAAGTACTCTCACGGAAGGAATGACTATTCAAGTAGGGTGTGCAGCTCTTGCGCGCATGTTTCATTCTGAAGATGACAACGATCACATTACGCGAATGTTACCGGTTGTCTGGTCCATCGTCAACGGCGCTCTCGGTAGTTCCAAGGGTCAGGACATAGATAAACGTCTTAGAGACAATTCCGAATTCGGTGCTTACATCATGAGTGACGAAAGGAAGGGTGAGCGAGAACTTGTCGATTTGCTGAGAAGCATGGCGAACAACGAGGTACCCTGGCGCGATTTATTTAAAAATGGTATGTACAATTGCTTGCTTCCTTTTGATTCCAAGCCCACTCTAGTTATCTTATTCTGTCTCTAGAAGCGTTTCTAATGTCTGAGCTAGAGACTAACCTTGTGAAGAACAAAGCTCTCGGTGCGCGTAACTTCAATCCTTCTCCATTTTTTACTGATCTCCTCTCATCACAGCTACCACACTCGCATGGAATAGTATATTCGAAGGCGACCTAGCAAATGTGCTTTTTATGACCATCGCAGATTACCTGGACAAGGACAAAGATTCCTACATAAGGGTCACCAACATCATAAATTCAGCCGGAACTGGCAAGTCCCGGGTGGTGGATCAACTTGGCACGGAAATTATCGTGGTACCAATGTGTTTACGTCAGGGAAGCGAAGGTTTTCCGTTCGTCTTTTTCTCTATAAGCATCACTTGTTTACAATCCGACTCTATAGGGTTCCCTCCTCCTGATAGAATACTGCGTGATTGGTTTGTTTCTGTGAAGAGGGATAGGGCTAGTGTACAGAAGAAACTATCTGGATTCGCATATTCTCTCTTTGTAGTCACTCTCCAGAAATTGGTGACCATCGAGTCAGAGAACAAAGGTGATTATTTTCCGACTGCTTTCCGGGCCACTTGCCAAAGACGTTGCAGACATACGGAAGTTACCTCCTCTTACTGCATCCGCTACAAAATCGCGAAAAATTCCGAAAGAATATGTGCCATTGGTGGTAGATCGCCACAAGAGATTGGCATCTGCCTTCCGTAAGTATATGACTACAGGACAAACATACTTCACTTCGAATCCCGATCGAGAAACTTTTTACAAAGAAGTAATCGAGTTGGTTGAGAAGGTGGATTTTTTGTCCTTCACCCTTTTTTGTGAGAATAACGGTTTGCTCCAGTTTGCGAAAGACAACAAACAAGTTAGCAACAAAAATGGAGCTGAGCATCGCCGGCACATTTCCGAAGGCAAGGACCCACGAGAGGCAGGCGAGAGGCTCTGTCGCTTCATCGATGAGTACAAGGCTTTGGAGTCAGCCAAAGGCCCACAACGGCCACTGGTCGTTCTCGCTTTCGATGAGGCTCATGTCTTCACTGATAATCTGCCAAATCAAAAAGGCTGGAATCTGTTCTCGGAGCTGCGTCGAATTCTACAACAAATCCGTGGCCTCCCAATATTTTCACTGTTTCTTTCGACAGCAGGACGGTCCAATAAGTTCTCCCCAGAGATTCGTTCTGATCTATCAGCTCGGGCCAGGCGACTCGACTACCGTCCCCTGGATCCGATTTGCGAAATCAGCTTTGATGATATTGCGTACCCAACATTGAAGGGTACTGTCACAATAGACAGAGTGGTAGAAACTGATTGGATTTCCCATCTTGGTCGCCCATTGTATGTCCGCCCAGTCATCCCTTTGCAGCTTACATACCCACCTCGAGTAGATTCGGGTCTTATTGGGACGAGCTGCCAATGCAATACAAAAATGAGCAAATGATTATGGACTATGCAAAGCAAAAGCTGCTGTGCGGTCCGACTCAGCTGACAGACGACCCGGCTGGTACTCTGGCCTGCCTTTCCCAACGTTTCGCGCTGGAGTTCAATATGGGCGTTTCAGCTCGTGATGTAAGCTACGTACAGGTTGAACGGCATATGCGACTCTGCATCGCAGCGACTGCTGGACTCGAAAACATGATTACCATTCCTGGGTCCGAACCACTTCTAGCCGAGGCTGCCTATCAGTTGATGAAAGATACAAAGAAGAATGCGGTGCGCCATCTGGCCAATCATTCGGATTTGAACTGTATCGACCGTGGACGGCGTGGTGAACTGGTCGCGGCCCTGTTGATCATGCAAACATACGATGCAGCACGGGCGATTAGTGGTAGAAGATGGGTGTCTGTGGCCAACTTCATGGAGGCCTTACTTCCGACGTCGAATTATGAGATGCTTCTTCTGTCTGGGCCGACGTCTTGGCCCATCGGAGAAGGGACCCTGAAACGCGACACATTTAAGGCGATATTCAAGGACTATGGCATGTGGTTTAACCACGTCATCAAAATTGAGAGAAAGGAAATGTTCTCGATCGACCATCTTTGGAAATTTGTTACGCGTGGGGCGATGATATTGTGTGCGACTAATCAAGGAGGCATTGACATTATTTTGCCTGTTTGTCACACGACAAAGAATCTTGGTCCTCATTCTGTGACAGCCGTAGTCATTCAGGTGAAGAATGCGCAGGATCATAAGGCAACACTCAACCCATCGTTGTTCAATGCGATGGATTCGGTCGTCAAAACGGCTATATTCTCCATGCTCAATGTCGACCCCGTCCCCGACTCCGAGTCAACCATGGAGAAGCCGAAGACTGCAGAGCGGGGGGAGCCCAAGAAAAAGAAAAGGAAGGTGTCCTCTAAGAGACCAAAGAAGGTGATTCTGGTGCCCGAAAAGGTGCATTCGAAGCCGGTTATCCGAGTAGTATTCGCCTTGGCTTCTCCAGAGCCTGCCATAATCTTCAGGGAGAGGCCCGAGGTGATGCATCATGTGGACGGATTTACTACCTTCGATATCTGGCTTGCGGGCCTCTCGCCCAAAACGTTCAAGCAGATTGAAGAAGCAGATCTGCAATCATACAAAAGACTTCTGGAACGTTCACTTATGCCTCATGATGGATTCAAATTGAAGGATGAGCCAACTGTAGGCAAGAAAGCAAGAGGGGCTTGCAGGCGGAGGATGGCACCATTGACCCTCCCAGGGCGTAGCCATCATGGTATTCACCTCCCAGGAGCAGGCAGTGAATTGATGTTTTGCTAGTAACCACTATAAGTATATACAGCATCTTGGTGGTTATCTGAATTTCTAGGAACTGAATGTAGTTTGATGATTGCCCTGTGCTCATTCTCTGATGTGTTCCTATAGTGCAAGTGAAGAGGAAAGAGTCGCAACGACCGCGAACGTCCTAAACGACCTGCCAATTTCGACGACAATTGGAGCCGTCATCCGGCCTCGGAGCAGAAGCTTGGAGCAGAAGTCGAGTCCCGTCCTTGCTGGACCGGAGGTGATAGAGATTCGTGATTTCGGCACTCAATCACCATACGAGGCTCCTAGATGGTTGACGTGACCACTGCATGGAGATAGTGGACTCTCAAACCATATTGGTGGCCACCTCGCTTATGTTCCCCATCAAGATATGAGCAATGGGGTTTTCCATGAATAGACGCCAAAGTCTTCGTGCATGCTTGGTGGGAGGCCGTAGAATGGTATGCATCCGAGTCGTGCACCCGGTTCAGGGAGGTGCATGGTCTGCCGTATTACCAGGGAAGATTGAGTTGAGGGACACAGGACCAGGGATGCGATATGAGCAAGTGGTGGGGACTACGGGATTCACAACTCAAAGAACTGACATTCGTAACACCGCAACGCGCAACGAGCTTGCCCGACTCCGTCGACCAAGTGAAAGCGCCAAAATGCCATGCTCCGGGAGGAAACCCAAGCACGCGACGATGAGGAATGGCTTGCAAAGAATTTGGGTGGAAGGATGGAGTGGAAGGGTCAGAAGGAGAGGGGAGGGGCTGAACGTCGTCATGTTGTCGGACCAAGGCCCCTGACCTCAGAGTTCCAGCAGGAAAGGGGTCATTTGGGAGAGTACCAAGACTCACCATACCATGGCTAAGGGTGACAACGACCGCGGACATCCTAGACGACTTAACTAACGTCGAAGACGATCCTTGCTGGACGGGAGGCGGTAGGGATTCGTAGCATCAAACGGCGCTCGACCACCGTATCAAGCTCTCAGAAAGTTGACGCCACGCACCCTAAGATCACCACGGGCGGCCAGAGAATTCTGTTCTGCAGTTGGACCACATCGGTAGCTCCTTAGCCACACAATAGCAGGATTCTTCCGGCAACAGGTGAATAGACGCTGAGGTCTTCATGCATGCTTGATCTAGGACCATCTGGGTCATGCTCTGCGTCCACTTTGTAATAATGCATGTCTGTCGCCTCACCTTCAGCGAGGGGAGGAGTGAGTCGGGATACGGGATCGGGAATGTATGAGATATGAGCAAGGGATGGAGACTGGGATTCATGATCCAAGAACTGAAGTTTGTAACACGATGACGCACAACCGACAATGTAAATTCCAAGCGTGCGGCGATGAGGGACGACTAACAAAGTGAGTGGAAGGATGGAGGAGTCGGGAGGAGCGAGGAGCTAAACGTGCGGGTCGTCTGAAGCCGATGTAAGCATTATGTTGTCGCACTAGGCTTGTCAATCTTCCGTGGAACTTACGACAAATTCCCTCGTTATCCTCGGTAACGACAGTGGCTGCCATGGGCAAATTCAATGGGGCAGGGTAGTTGTGGATCGAGCTGGAATCAGGAAATAGTGCAGAACAATGGTGAAGACCCGGAGAGATGGCCATACAGTTGGTGAAAGGAAACAGCGATCGATAAAGGTTCGATGGATGAAGATGACTGTTCCGGAATTGGAATTATGCGCGTCAAGCTTCTCTCGGGGCTTGAACGAATCGCAATTCTATCAGAAAATGACATCACATCCTTAAAACACGCAATATGTTTCACGTACATATTTGAATGGACGGTATTCTGCAGGCATTACAAAGTCGAATCGAGCCAGTCACCCAGGAAGGCATTTTTCCATAAAATGGGTGGTGGTGAGCAACCCAGATATGTCCGGCTCACCATTGGAAGGAGCGCACCGGAGTTAGAGGAAATACTGCCCCTTCACATAGTTGAAAAAAGAATACTCACTACCAATTGGATTCCCTGTTATGAGTCCATCGTTGCGTGATAATACGTGACGCCCCTGAGGAATGTTCCGGGTGGCTTGTTGGGAAAAGATCAACAAGTGAGCTAAATGTCACCATGACCGCCCCGATCGGCTATTATCTCTTATATCCCACTATGCCTTTCAGATCCAGTGGACTCCTCTGGGCATCCACTCTTCTTCCGCTGCCTTACTGCCTCTATCCACTTTACGGGCCACCCCAAGACCTCACCCTCCGCGTATACAAGGTAGTACCAAGTCGTCAGTCCTTTAGCGGCTTAGTGGTGCAGATCTGAGTGAGTTCCAAGCCAAGTGTCTCCAGGCCAAGCGCGATGAGGCTCGCGTAGAGGCACACGAGATATTCAAATTGCACCCTGCTTCCACCGTGACGGAAGAGACGTAGGGAAGATCACGAATCGGAGAGCCCTGAGAGGAACAGCATATTGTTTATAACGCCTGAGATCAAAATTCGAGTTTACGAAAAGCCGTGAACACCGAAAGTCTTGAAGTGGCAACACATGTCCTGAAACCGCGTTTCGGACTTGCCAGAGAGGAGGCATTCCTCATTACGACAAAAAACTGTCTAAGACCGTGATAAAGCCAGCGCAGGAGGAGGCGTGAAAGCGTGGGAGAAAGCGCGGGAAGCCAATGAGAGAGAGCGAGCGGACCAATGCAGCTATTGACATTTCAATATCTAGGCCTTTTCACTGTGGGAAGTCTCCCCGTCAGGTTCTACGGTGTAGACTGTTCAACGGAACTCTCACACACTGTTTATGAGTGCACCACGCATAGAATGAAATTTTACATCCTGTGCTTGAGCGAAACCACAGGGAACTTGCCATTTCTCTGAACTTTGATGTCGCAGTGAACGTGGTTTCAACCGCAGTCATGTCGTCGGGAAATGGGATCGATATTGTTTCAGACGGATTCAACGAGATCGTTGAAGTCCTACCTCCACAAGAGATGCTCGTTCAGCTCGATGGTATCAATGTGGCGGGTGAGCATCTCCCTGCCGTCCTTCCTAATTAAAGATTGCCGAAACCGTTTTTCCCCTATCGGTGCACAAGCTCCGATGGTTCGATTCTCAAAACGTACGCCTCCCTACGAAAGATCTCCAATGCCCACTCACGGGCGAGTCTTCCGATGCTTTTCCGTAGACAGTACCCTATCGTCACCTCGTCTCATTATATAACACTCATATAACGTACACGCCAATGATCCTCGCACAAGAATTCTCTCGGTCAGCAATAGGACGTCAGTCTGACTTTACTACTAGCATGTGGGAACGTGGTGTCTTCGATGTGCCTGAGAGGCAATTCTCCCCCAAATCTCCCCCTCCCGAAGCCCCGAGTCCAGCCAATCTTCATTTCCCCGACGAATCGAAAGCAATGCTTAATTCGCCAAAACCACTCGCCGAGAATCCAACGTGTATGAAAGGTGTGGAAGATTATAGATATTCACTTTCCACAAAGACGCGTCGCGTGCGTGGAGCACTTATAGCACAATTTGCCGCAAAAGACGCCAAGATATTCGCAGACGCAAGCGAACTCATTCATCCTCACGTAGATGGTATCGACCTAAACCTCGGTAGGCAGAACTCTCCACTTCTTGCGATCACGATTTGACGCTCGCCTCCGTGATCTTGCACGTATGCGATATCAAGGCTGTCCACAAAAATGGGCTTACGCTGAAAAAATTGGCTCATACCTCCTTCGAGAACCCAACACCGTCCGAGAGCTTATTCGTTCTGCCAGAGACCGTACAGGGTGGAATACACCCATTAGCATCAAGATCCGACTTGATACAGAGTTGAAAAGGACAGAACAATTAGTCAAGACGGGTGAGTTTTTATACCCCACCTCTTCATTCAGAATTTGACAATGCATGGATTTTGAGTTCAGCTATACAAGCCGGTGAGAGAGAAACTTTTTCGGAAGAAAATATTCGTGTCCCTGACGACGGAATGCTCTCCAGGTGCAAGTTTCATAACGGTCCATGGGAGAACACGACATCAACCTTCGACACACACCGTGGATCTCGACGGTATTCGTTTCGCTAGGGAATGCGCGCGCGAAGAAGTGCCCGTTATAGCCAGTACGTTTGTTTACTTTTGTTCACGAGTCATTTTTCTCCTTCACCTGGATACACGCAGATGGAGACGCATGGAGCCACACAGAGAGCGAGGCGATTCGGCGCAAGACAGGGGTTCGAGGTGTCATGAGTGGTAGGGGATTGCTTGCCAATCCCGCCCTGTTCGCAGGATACGACAGGACACCCATTCATGCTGTCACTGTAAGTTTGCTCCTTCATTCCTAAAGTCCAGGAAAACTAGTCCATTGAGCGTCTGAACTTGCTGAATAGAATTTCGTCCACCTCAGCACCAAATATGGTGTCCTTCCATTCCCACTCTTCCATCGACATTTAGGATTCATGCTTGAAGAGCGATTCGCTTCTCGTGCTGAACGTAGCTATTTCCTGAGTGACCTTGTTAGTTATGCAGGAGTAATAGATTGGTTGGAAGAGAAGGGGGTAATGTTGGATTCTTGTTCGGATGATCATCTCTGGTCGCAGGAGCGGATTGTGGATCCTGCCAGTAAGGTAGGGTTAGTATAGTGGTGGCGATTTAAGGTAGGGTCAATTGGTCTTTGGGTCAATATATGCCGGACAGACTCGTTATGTGATGCACGTGTGGGGCTTCATTGAGGAGCAGATATTCCTGTTCACGTCATCGTTTATGCCAAATTGGTTCACTTGTGGGCGCAACGCCCTGCTGGTCATGCCGCACCGCAACCGAATATTTATCGCCGCGATTCATGCATAGCCATGGCGACCTCGTTTTCTATTTACCGCTAACAAAGCCAACGTTCCAGGGAGATCCAGTCCGTGATTGGTGAATTAGATTCGAATTGAAAATCGGCAGACTCCGGACAGGCGGATGATGAGATCATATGACGTTCTTTCTCCGCACCCGAATTGAATTGAATTGTATGCCACCAAGTTGTGGTCCTGCTGACCTTCTCCATATAGTATGTATATTGTCAGCAATAACATATAAGAACGGAGTAGAGAGCCCAACTCGAACGTACGATTGCCCTCTCCATCAGTCAGTCAAGGTTGACTTGAAAGCTCAACAATGGCAGACAGCGCGTGGACGGATAATATCATTCTCAAGGTGCGTCCGCAGGCCGCTGCGCTAGTATCAACGGTTGAGAGTGCAACTTGCTTCACATCTAGGTCGTAAATATCGTAGCATACCTCCTCCTCGCGGGTTCTAACATCTATAACGTTGCCGGTCCCGTGAGTATTTGAACTTTCAGCGCTTGCACCATTGCGAGTGTTTACGCCAGTCGCTGACTGATGTGAGCCAGGGATATAGCAGTGGAAAGGAAACCTACGTCACTCCGTAAGTAATGTCCTAATTGACCTCCTCTGTTGAGGTTTCAGTTGTGTGGGTGGAGAGGGTTGTGATAGTTGACGTCGCCGTCATACGGGACGTCCACGTCCCACCCAACCAATACGACGCCATACCCAAACCTCCTCCAACTCGCTCTCACTGACCTGTCTCTCCGAACAGAGCTTCCTGGGTGTTCTACATCTGGTGGCTGATCCATCTCCTCCTCTTCGGCTTCATCATCTACCAGTTCTACCCCGCCGGCAAGAAAACCATCATTGATGGTATCTCATGGCGTTTCTCTTTCTTACTGGTCTTGAATGCCATTTACGTTAACACATGGGCTACACATCACTACCGAGTCGCCCTTATCTTTGCGCTCTTTGTGAGCAGCACGGTCAGTCATATCTACTGGATTATAAAGAAGCATCACCAGCGGGAGCAGTGGCCCGATGAGCGTGAGTCGTGTTTCGTCCTATCTTGTGGTTCACTTACGTATGACGTCACTATTCCAGTCTTCATCCATCTTCCCTTCTCTCTTTATCACGGTTGGACCCTCGTCCTCGTGATCCTATCAATCTTCGAAGCCTTTGGAGTCAATGCTCTCAAACATTCACCAGGAGTCATCACCAAAGTTCTCGTGTTCCTTGCTCTTCTCTTCCTTGAATCAACGAGCGTTGCGTATGCTTATTCGAGCGAGGAGGGAGACCTGGCTGGAGCGATTGCCATCGCGTGGAGTCTATGGGCCATATTTGATCGTGAGTGGCGACTTGTCCTTCTTTGTTGGGAACTTTTTCCTGAGTTCTGTGCTGTGGTTTATTTTAGAACAAAGGTCGGACGAGTTTATCCATTGGTCCGCTTTCGCTTTCGCTCTACTTTCGCTCTTCAGCGTTGCGAAGGCGCTTTGGAGCACGATTTCTACGCACCGTGGAGGAGGGAGTATCTTGCATGATGAGGAGAGGGCACCTCTTGTGGCAGGTTGAGGGAACGATTGTCCGTGTATCGTTCTGGTCCCATGATGCAGATTGATGCATTCCTGAATCCTTGTTTCTTTTTGTTCATGATGATGATGATGTACATGTAACTTCCATTCCCATTGCAATGAAATATAGTAACGATTTGACTACTTGAACGAGTAGATTCGATCGACACTAACGGTCATCCCATATTTATTTGTCACAAGGATCCTGGACTCCGTCTGGCCTGTCCAACGTACCAATGACATCTATGTTCTCAAGTTCGACGTGACTTGCGTTAGATCGCCACCTTTGGGGTTCTCTTTGGCCTGTTCGCTGTTGCGCTTATGAAATCAAAGCAGTAACTCTAGCTGCCCTCAACTTTTTTTCTTCCTCCCTCGGTGCACTGTACTGCACGTAGATCGAGCTGAGGCGGGATCTTATAAACATTGTCTGGGCCGTTCACTGAATCCACACAAATCTAGCACTGAAATAACTACCTATACACTCGGGTATCTTCTCCAAGGCGGAAAGATAGTCCTTCAGTCACGAAAATCCGACAGCTTCAGGAGCAAGGTCGAGTGTTTAGAGCGCTCCTGAACGCTAGAGCACTTGAGAGAACTCAAGAGCGCTTGTCGGGTTTTAGTGTGAGCTCCAGAACTGCTTGCTTTCGAAGGACTTCCCGGTGGCACTACGATGGAATCAGCATCTCTTCGTCGACGAGATGGACGAAAATTGATGTCAAGATGTTCCATGTAAGAAGCCACATCCATGGCGATCTTCGCGTTAGGGGCTGCTTTGATTGGGGTGGCAAGGAAGGACAGGAAATGTCCTACTTCTCCCAGGCCCTAATGATGTATGGAGAGCGGGATAATAAGGTGGTGGCAAAGACGACGATCAAGGAAGAGATCGAGAAGAGACATGCACGGTTTTGGTGGTGACCGAATTGGCACTTCAAGCTTTGAATTTTGGTCGTTCCTTTTTCTCTTGGTCAGTGCCTCGTTCCAATTGTTCCCCCCACGCAAAATGAATCAATTCGGCAACCCGGTAAAGCTAAAAGAACTGCACTGAACTGGTGCCGTAGTGGTATGAAATTGGTTGAGGCTAAAGCTGTGTGCGGCATGGCGACGTTAAGTGTCATGCTGCAGGTGCTGCACTGGCACATCCTTCTTCCGCTGAACATGACAAGGCATTTTTCCCTGCTCACTTGCGACCGACACCTCTCCCTGATCTCTACGATTCATGCCCTCACCTAACAACCTCCATGGTTTCCGCCATTTCCATGGAGCTATAACACAGGTATGTATCAGGCTATCATTACACGCTACTCGTTGACTGTACATGTCCCTCAATGTCCATATAACGGCTGCTTCAGCCTTACCCTCAAGGCTCGAGAGGGTGCAACGACTCCAGCCTCTGTGGCATGTCCCCTAGCTTAGACATGACCGGGTCTTGAGGCCTCATTTCGATACCGGGGTTTCTGACCGCTATTCCTGAACAGATGGTCGAGAATGCATTGAACTCGCTGCATGAATGGTCTTGCTATATATGTCCAGCACTCAGTTACTACTTAGCTTGAAGCCCTATCTGAGCGATTGTTTCATGTGAGGCGTGTCGCTTTCGAGAACAGTGATTTCTGTTCCTCCGCGGCCATTTGAAATTCCTTGTACAGGATCAATGCACGGAAGGATGAAGATCTCCTGAAAACCAAAACTCATCTTATTTCTTAGTCCCTTACGCTGTTCAGGAACGCCTTCCTGCGCTGGGTTAGGTTGCTCCGTGCATGGGAGGATGGTACAATTCTGTTGCCATCAGCAGCACATGCGAGGTGCTTTGCCGGGACATAAAGGAAACTGCTTAAATAGGGAAATCTCTTGGCACGGTCACCACTAGTCATCAATCCAGGCCCAATTCGAGCGCGATTGCGGCGGTATCACCCTTTGTTTTGCACCAGTGATCCGAATCGTACATCATAGATCCCCTTTCATGAAATCATTTCTCTGTCACCAACTCTTGCGCATTGCTCGCAACATGCTTCATCTTTAATCACTTCAATCCGACGGTTCTGGTGAGATTTGCGAAGAGTGGAACCTGAGAAATGACAACCCCCAAGATCTTTCTTTGGATACATGAGTGGATTCTTAACTAAAGTACGCCATACTTCCGCAGCGGCCTCTATTGTTGTTTGGGACTGGCTCATAAATAGTTGACGCTTGATAAATTTGAATGCGGACATCAATTCCTTGCTACCCCTTTGTCCTGAGAGTGGGTCCTATCTGGATCAATCCTTCTGGATTGGGACGGCCAGCCGCGCGGGGCGGAATGGGGAGATGGGACGGTTTAAAATCACCATTCCAAACACTCACGCTACTCCACTCAGCCAACGGCGTCTCTTGCGTGAATCATCTATCACCTATCTTGTCTTCCGGCATGGACGCTGACATCGACAGAGTGTCTGTAAGGTCAAAGGACTCGATTGCAAGCAGTTCTTCAGTGCTATCGACCCTCTGGTCAAAGGTCACTTCCTCTTCCAGAAAATTGTCATCATCGCTCGGCGATATATGTTCCTACATCAAATCTACTCCAACGCTCATCTGTCTCCTATCAAGGAGCTAGTCATTAGGAAACAAGAGGACGGTTTTAGGCACGAGTACCTGCTTTTACGGCTAGCGAAACCTACTGGAGAGGAATTCTGGGTGCGTCTAGAGAGAAAAGGGCCATTACGTCCTCTCGGCAAGGTAATAACCAGTGAATCGGAAGCAAACGACATAGTGAGCACTATTGCTGGCATTGTCTTGATTGCTACTCATCCCAATTCGCGATCAGGCGATTCTCTCTGGGAAACCTGTCTCCCTATTAGGTAAAGGGAACAGTGTCGAGAAGACGAGAATCATTTTCCGCGCCCCGCCTTCGCTAAAGGACTTGCTTCATGTCCTCGATGCAATTAGGGAGGAATCGAAAGATTATCAATTGTGGCCGGTACGACATGAACTCATAAATCTCTTGCTGCATCGATAATGCTGCCGGTGTTTCCGGACTGCTAGGAGAACTGTTACTTTTTTGTATCTGTAGTCGCCGAACATCTATACCGTCTGGATAGAAGTGCTGAAGTTATCGGGACTTTAAGATGGCTAGATCTTGCAGATGAAGCCCGTCAAAAGATTCACCGAAGCATCGCCTCGCATGGGACTCCTGCCCTCTTTCCCGACAAGTTTCCCGGAAGCAGTACTGCAGTTGCAGGCGCTGGAGGTAGTGGTAGTGAACAGGAGTTCACTCTTCCGGCATATATGAGAAGCTTATTTCCTTCCGCATCACTCTCCAACCGGCCCATTTATGGAAGACTAGGTGCAATCGACACGCCTTCTGGTTCGACCGTCTCATCTAATGAAGATCGAATAATCGTTTCGATCGACTTTGGGACGACTTTTAGCGGTGTAGCATATGGTTCATCACGTATTGCAGGGGGTAAAGTTCAACAAATTCTCACTTGGCCAGGGACAAGCGAAAATTTTTCAAAAATCCCGACATGCTTGTTATATGATGATGCCGGACGTGTAACGGCGTGGGGTTTGGAAGCGAAGTGTGCGAATCCTGCGCCAGGTACGGTCAGATGTGAATGGTTCAAGTTGGTCCTGGAGCCTGGTGCATTGAGGAATGAAATTCTGGATCCGAGATTACCCCAGCCGCCTTTGGGAAAGACATCGGTGGATTTGATTGTCGATTTCCTGACGTGTCTTTGGGACGTGAGTCCATCTTTTCGCCTCAGAAAACGCGGTGGTTGCGACGGTGTGTCTGACCTCTGATTCATACAGTATGCCCGTGAACGAATTACCAAAGAAACTGATATCGTTGTGAATTCGGGTAAGTGAAATAATCCGTGCGCTATAAGGTGTTTTCTGACGAAGGTCCCCCTCAGATACTGCCGACGTTTGGCTCAGTGCGTTGCAATCCTTTAGCGCTGTGTCTATAACCAATACTAACCTGTATGTTACTTAGCTGTGCCTGCGACTTGGAATGCGAAGGCTTATGAAATCATACGTATATCCGCAGTCCAAGCGTAAGTGCTGGCGGGTTCCGTATCTTGATGAACTCACGACCTATCGGTCATCAGGGATCTTGGCGGCCATGACTGGAAAAATCGTCTCCATATTATTGCGTACGCCAAGCCGTCATTTTGCGTTACCCCGTCATTTTCCGACGTGATTCGTTCTAAATAGTGAACCGGAGGCGGCGGCCGTATATTGTGCCACCCTTACAAACCTCCATCAACTTCATCCCAATCAAAACTTCATGATCTGCTGCGCTGGAGGAGGCACAGTCGGCGTTGCGGTCTATAAACTTATCGGGCTCCAGGATCTTGAAATCGCCGAGTTGTGCGCTCGTTTGGGGTCGAATTGTGGTTCGCTCTTCCTCGACTTTAGATTTATGGAGTTGGTGAAGACATTATTGGCGGATCACCCTGTTCATCTGGAGCCAGCGAGTTTAGCATACTTTATGCATGTGTTTAACGAGATGGGTAAGCCTGGGTATCATGGAGAAGGTGACGATAGGAATATGTTCCATTTTCCTTGTTTTAACGTCGAAGATTCTGGCGAGTCGAAAGTTTGGGTTCTGTTGTATTCGCTGACATTGTTGGTTGTCTGGCAGATGATCCCTCTGTTGGCTTGATCGAAGGCAAACTGGTTATTCCGGGCATCTTGCTTCGGAGGGAGGTATTCGATCCAGTCATTGAGCAAGTTAGTCATATTGTTTTCCCGTATGCGAGAGGCATATGATTTATCTCCATACATGGTTAGGTTTTGAACCTGATTGAGGAACAAATTCGCCGTGTTGATCAGAGCATTGACGCGTTATTACTCGTCGGCGGTTTTTCAGCAAGTGAATATCTCTTCAAGCGAGTGGACGTGAGTGTCACCACTATTTACACTCATCTAGGCTTTGTTCTAACGGTCTCTATAGGAGGCATTCTGTTCTCGTATTAATGTCATTGCTCGCCCCTCGGACGCTGACACTGCAATTAGTCGTGGTGCAGCTCAATACGGCCTCGCTCGTCGTCCACCCGTCTCTTCCATTAGCGCACCCATGCCGTGTTTCATGCGGTTCCAGTTACCTGCCGAGCCAGAGGACTGGCAAAGACGACCGGCGCAAATCTACAAAGACAATAGCAGCGATTATATTTGCCGTGGTAGGCTGAGGTACCTTGTCACTAAAGGTGAGATTTTGGCAAAGGGTCAGAGGGTTCGAATCGGGTTCAGCAAGTTTACTTGTTCACCTCAAGGCGAGTCATTATCGTCGGTTCTTTGGGGGGCATTTTTAGGGCGCTAACGTGGGCGTGGCCTAGACCGTTGGTTCCGTTCAATAATTTACACGTCGGATAAAATGGTTCGGTATGAGGACGAAGACGGGATAGACGAGTGGTGTAAGTGGGGCGTGGACCTCTACCAAATACCTGGTTTCGAAGAGCTCGCAAAAAAATCTCAAGGTTTCTGGACTGGTGAGTTTATGTTCCTCTAAATATCGCTGGGGCTAGGGAACATTCATTCGGGCTACTTAGATTTCGAACTTGGCTTGGAAGTTGATTCGGTTGAAGTTCGGGGTGTCTTGCTATTTAACGGTCAGGAGTGTGGCAGAGCTATATTGGATTTCTTGGTCTGGCCTTCATATGCCATACCGAAAAAACGTTAAAGCTTGCCGTCAGCCTTGCTACTTTCACTCAATTCGCCCGTCCACGCCACCCAAGTTCCCAGCGTATTTTACTAGATTATATGTCACTTTTCTGCCTCTTCTGGCAATGCAGGCAGCCGATGGCTTCAGGTCAAGTCCTGTTATCGTTGCATAACAAAGTATAACATGCATTCATTTCGTGGTTTTGTTCCATCCTCAAGGGTCACCCAAGATTGGGGAAAACACACAACTGGCACCCATAATCACTGTCTCGTTTTTGTGCCGCATTGGCAGCTTGTCTCAATAAGACCCGAATTTATTCGAGGCAATGCGAAAGCTGTTCTATCTGAAGGGATAATCGATGGACATGCAATGGCGACCAAGATGGAAATCCAATTAGTTTCCACGTTGTCTATTGTAACAGTATCTTCAATGCTGGCCGGGTACGCAAATGATGTCGTCGAAGCTAATTTCGGAAATCGGATCCAGGGAACGGTGGTGGGTTTCCTGGCCCGAGCTGATATATGGAATATCAGAACGAATCTCTGGCTGCCGAAAGAAGCAGTGAAATTATTGGGAAGTCTTGGATTTGTCGTAGAATCCGACGCAACTCGGAGAACAGATTCTAGCCTTCGATTTTGGTCTGGCCGGTCATCGGCGAGGACATGCGCCCCGTGGGAAGTGAGGACGACCAGAGGCCTTTGTCCGACTCCAAATCCTTGTGCTCATCGATGAAGCGACAGAGCCCCTCGCCTCACTCTTGTGGGCCTCGCCCTCGGAAACGTACTGGCCATTTTCACCTTCATTTTCGTCGCTAACTTGTTTGCTGTTTCCGCAAACTCGAGAAAACTGTCATTCTCACAAAAAACGGTGAAGGACAAAAAATTCACTTTCTCAGCCAACTCGATTGCTTCTCTGTGGATTCGAAGTGCGGTAAGTTTATCCTGCAGTCATATACTTATGGAAGGCAGATGCCAATCTCTTGTGGCGATATAAGTATGTCACATAGTCTTTCAGCTTTTTCTTCAGTAATTTTGTACGGGATGAGGTGACTTGGATATATCTGCAACGCCATTGGCAAGTGATCCGGAAAGCAGTCGGAAAATAATCACCTCGGTTCTCTGACTCGATGGTCCAGTTTCTCGAAAGTGTCTTGTTAACTTGTACGATGATGCTGGACGTGTGTTGGCATGGGATTTGGAAGCGAAGAATGCGAGTCCTATGTGGGGTATTATTAGGTCCAAGCTGTCCCTGGAACCTAGCGCGTGGAGGAGTGATATCGTGGATCCGAGATTACCCTAGTTGCCTTTGGGGAGAGAGCTGTGGATTTGATTGTTCATGTCTTTGGGATGTGAGTCCATTTCCGACCATAGGTAAATTGCGACAATTTGTCTGACCCTGTTAACTGTTTCATATAGTATGTTATGAACGAATTACTCAAAAATTGGTATCGTGCGGATGAGCAAGTACGTGCATACGTGGGGTGTGTTTTCTGACGGAGGTCCCCTTCAGATATATACTGCTGACGTTTGGCTCAGTACGTCGTAACCATTACACCCCTATCGATGATCAGTTGTTATTCAGCTGTTGGGATGTGAAGGCTGTCAAATCATGCTTGACCCCGCAATCCAAGCGTGAGTGCAGGCGAGTTGTGTATCTTCGTAAACTCTCCGTCTTGTTGGTGCCGCCTTTTACTGCCAGGATCTTCCCATTGCAGGCAACTGTGAATGGGGAGATCATCTTCATATTACCACATGTGTCATGGTGTCATCTTGGGCTATTCATCGATATGATTTGAGAGTCAGAGGTACAGCCGTACGCTGGGCCCAATCTTACGGACCCCCATCAACTTCGTCCCAGACAAAACTTCACGATCTGCGACGCTGGGGGTATGGTGGACCTTGTAGTCTACAAGACCATTGGTTCGCTCCAGAACCTTGAAATTGCCGAAGTGTGCGCTCGTTCGGCCGGGGCTAATTGTGGCTCGCTATTCCTCGACTTGATATTAGGGAGTTGGTGAATGACATTATTGGCGGACCACCTTTGGAGCCGGTGGCTTGGCATATTTTATGCATGCGTTCAGCGAGATGGCCATCTTTCCGTTCCTTGCATCCTTCAGAAATGGCTCCGCATAGTGGGTTTGGCTACTTCCTGGAGAACGATACGTTGTTGGCGCCGGTGACGACCTAAATCTGGAATTCTCTTGTTTTCTGTGGCACATTTTTTATTGCGATCGCGATCACGGTTGTCTATCGCTTGTATCAATGTCCTGAGTCGTGCATCGTAAATCCTTCTTCATGACACCACCTCTGCAACGAGTTGATTGGGCACATATCATTTGTTCACAACATTTCACCAGTTCAGCAACCCGATGGCTCCGTCGAGATTCGCAAACATAGGGCCCACTCCCTCGGGAAACAGTCAGCATTGGAACCGAACGGATCCACATTCAAATTTATCAAATGCTAAGTATTTACCAGTCTTAAAACGACGCGATCAGGTATGGCATGCTTCCCGTCTCGCCCATGTATCCGAAGACTGCCAGGATCTTCCCATTGATGGAACCTTCTAGGTTGGTACGGCCACAGTGTCATTACCGCATAAGGCAGAAGCAGCCGTGGTTTCAAGCTACTTCATCACATACCTACATGCATAAGCCGCAGCCGACCGCGAAGGGCCCGACTCCGCGTGTCTGTCTTGTCCGACTGTGTCTCTCACGACAAAGCATCGACCCACCATGATGGACACTGACACACACAGAATGTCTCTCATCTCTAGGAGACTATCGACCCTCTGGCCAAAGATTACTTCCTCTTCCCGAAAGTTATCATCTTCGCTCGCCGATTTATGTTCCTACATTCAATCCACTCCCGATGCCCATCTATCTCCAATCAAAGAGCTGGCCATTAGGAAAGAGGATGACGGTGTTCGGCACGAGTTCCTACTTTTGCGGCTAGCAAAACCGACTGGGGAAGAATTCTGGGTGCGTCTGGAAAGAAAGGGGCCAACGGGCACTCTCAGCAGGCTCATGTCCAGTGAATGGGAAGCGAACGACGTAGTGAGCGTCAACATTGGCAATTTGCCTTGATTGCTACTTATCCTCGCAACTCCTGACCAGGCAATTCTCTCTGGGAAACGCAGCTCCCTGTTAGGTAGAGCGAAGAGTGTGGAGAAGACAAGGATTATTTTTCGCGTCCCACCTTCGCTGAACGACTTGCTTCGTGTTCTCAATGCACTCAGGAAGGAATCAAAATCTTATCAATTATGGCCGGTGCGGAACAATCTTTTGCTGCATCGCTCATCATCGATAACACTGTTGGTGTTTCTAAATTGCTAGGAAAATTGTTACTTTTTTGCGTCTGTAGTCACCGAATACCTATACCATCTCGATGAAAGCGCTGAACTTGTCGGGACTTTAAGATGGCTTGATCTTGGAGGCGAAACACGTCGAAAAATTCAACAATGCATCGCCTCATATGAGGCTTTCTCCGTCCACGATCTCGAAGTAGAATTGAGAAGCAGTCTCGCAGGCGGAGGTGCTGGAGGTGGTGGCGTCAAGCGGATCCTTGAATCTTGGACACTAATACGTAATCCAGCAACTTCATCATCATCATCTTCCAATTCATCTATCCCCGGAAGCCAAGGATCTAACACGATAGCTGACCTTGGAAGCCAACCAGTTGTTCCACCGCAACCCACTCAACTGGCTCCCAGACCCAATGCCAATCAACAATGGGGGGTGCCCGATAAACATAGCTTGCCACTTCCAGCTCCTCAACTCACACAACAGAACTCCCATCCCATTGGCAGAATAATGAATGGGGCTAGTATTGTAGGCACTGGTGCTCCTGCTGCTGGGGACACAATCTCTTCTGCTGGTGAAGGTCGAATGTCCATTTCGATCGATTTCGGCACTACGTTTAGTGGTGTAGCATATGGCTCATCACGTATTGCGGGTGGTAACGTTCAACAAATCCTCACTTGGCCAGGGGCAAGAGAGAATTTCCGAAAAATTCCCACATGCTTGTTGTACGACGATGCTGGACGTGTATTGGCGTGGGGTTTGGAAGCGAAGAATGCGAGTCCTATGCCGGGAACGGTCAGATGTGAATGGTTCAAGCTGTCCCTGGAGCCTAGCGCGTTGAGGGGCGATATTGTAGATCCGAGATTACCCAAGTTGCCTTTGGGAAAGAAAGCTGTGGATTTGATTGTTGATTTTTTGACATGTCTTTGGGATGTGAGTCCATTTCCCACCATAGGTAATATGGTGATTGTCTGACCCTTGTTGTTTCGTATAGTATGCTCGCGAACGAATTACTCAGGAAATTGGTATCGTTGCAGATTTGAGTAAGTGGAATGATCCATGCACTGTAACATGTTCCTTGACGGAGGTTGCCTCTAGATGCTGCTGATGTTTGGCTTAGTGCGTCTTAGTCATTAAACTCCCCGTCCATGCTTGGTACTGATGTGCATGTCGTTTAGCTCTCCCTGCGGCTTGGGATGCGAAAGGTTGTCAAATGATGCGTGAGGCTGCAATCCAAGCGTAAGTGCTCGTGAGTTGTGTATCTTGATGGATTCGCAACCCTTTCACCAGTGGTCTTGTTGGTACCGCCTTTGCAGGCGACCGTGACTGGAGAGATCGTCTCCATATTATTACGTACGGACATTTCGTGGTATCCGGACATTGTCTGACGTGATTCTCTCAAAACAGTGAGCCAGAGGCAGCGGCCGTACACTGCGCCCACCTTACAGACCTCCATCAACTTCGCCCCAGTCAAAACTTCATGATTTGCGACGCTGGAGGAGGTACCGTCGACCTTGCAGTCTACAAAATCATCGGTTCGCTCCAAGACCTTGAAATCGCCGAAGTATGCGCCCGTTCGGGGTCGAATTGTGGTTCGCTATTCCTCGACTTGAGATTTATGGAATTAGTGAGGATATTACTGGAGGATCATCCTGTCCACTTGGAGCCGGCGAGTCTAGCACATTTTATGCATGCGTTCAGTGAGACGGAAAAGCTTGGGTATCTTGGAAAAAGCGACGATGGGAATATGTTCCGTTTTACTTGTTTTAACGTTGAGGATTCTGGTGAGTTGGAAGTTTGGATCTTCCTCTTGGTGTATTCGTTACATTGTTAGTTGCCTGGTAGATGATCCTTCTGTTGGTTTGATCAACGGCGAACTGACTATTCCGGGTAACATGCTCCGAGGAGAGGTATTCAATCCAGTGATTGAGCAAGTTAGCCCTATCGCCGACTCTTGTGCGAGGCATCCATGACTTACCTGAGTGGCTAGGTATTGGACTTGATCGAGGAACAAATTTGCCGTGCCAATCAGAGGGTTGATGCCCTGCTTCTGGTCGGTGGTTTCTCAGGAAGTGAATATCTTCGTAAGCGAGTGGAGGTGAGTGTTACCACTGTTCACACCCACCTAAGCTTTGCTCCAACAGCACCCTATAGGAGACTTTCGGTTCTCGTATCGAAGTCATTGCCCGTCCCTCCGACGCTGACACTGCGACCTGTCGTGGTGCGGCCCAATACGGCCTCGCTCATCGTCAACTCGTCTCTTCTTTCATCGCCCCTAAATCATACATTATGCGGGTCAAACTACCCGCAGATCTAGAAGATTGGCAGAGACGACCGGCGTATATCACTAGAAATGATGCGGGCGTTCATATTTGCGAAAATAGACTCCAGTACCTTGTCAGTAAAGGTGCGATTTTGAGGAAGGGTCAGAGGATTCGAACCAAGTTCTGCAAGTTCTCATCTTCATCTCAAGGCGAGTTATCGTCGGACTCCTCAGGGGGCACTTTCGTGTTAACGTGTACGTAGTATAGATCGTATGTTCGTTGCGATGCTCTACGCATCCGATTCGGATGAAACCATGCGATATACCGACGAAGGCGGGATGTATGAGTTGTGCAAGTGGACTGTGGACCTCAGTATACTACCCAGTTTCCAACATCATGCAAATGTTCCTCACCCGGGTGGTTTCTACACTCGTCAGTTGATCTGTCCCCTTTTGAACCCCTCCCCCCTTTCAATTGTCGCTGGAACTGATGAATATCCTTTCGGCTGCGTTGCATATTAGATTTCGAAGTTGGCTTGGAACTGGACTCGGCCGAAGCAAGGGGTGTTTTGTTAGATAACGGTTATGAGTGTGGCAGGGTTGCGTTTGATTTCTTGGTTTGACCTCCATCCTGGTATTAATTGATATGAGGGTGGAAGATTAGGAAGTAAAGTGGCTGACTTATGTGGTCGCCCTTGTTGCTTTTCTTCGATTACGCTTGTCTATAGGTTCTCATCGCTCATGACATGATTCTGTACCACCTGCCGATATTTTAGCTGACCCGCACGAGCCTCAAGACGCTACATTATTAACTTGTGCATGGGCACCGATTCCCGAACCGAACCCCTCAGCGGCCACCCTCGTGTCTTTGCCATTCTCGATCTTCCTGCCAATGAGCAAAGGACACGATTCTCTTTGGAAGCACATTTAGTCGTTATGTCTCAAACTGCTATCCTCGGTAAATAGGATGAACATAGGGCTGTCTGATTCTGCTTCTGCATCGCAGATTTGGTGACTATCACGACTTACCAGCCCAGCAATTAATACTTTCAATCCGGACATAAAAGATGACATGGGCAAACCTGTGGATGCAATGCGTCGTTGCAACAATGAATGGAGTAGACAGGGCCTGCTCAACATCTTATGCAAGCGAAAAGGGCTCATGCATGACCTTGGTGATGGATCTCAGTCGACCACCATATATACACCCGTCGCTCTACAAATCGGCCGACAAGTGGCGGCTAAGATCGCTGGTGCCTGCCAATGTCCCGAATCATCCAGCAGCGAGATTTGCCAACATGTCAGAAAATTGTGTTTTCCGTTTGCCCGCCTGGGAGCTACGTTCTTTTATGTAACAAAGCAGAACCCCTTGAAAGACGTGCGGAATCGCGTGTAAGACGGGTGCACACAGCACAAGGGAGCGGCATCCATGATAAAGTGTCTACCCAGTATGAAGAATCAATGGGACTTATAGAGAACCAGATTCCAGAAGATTGCAACCATTTCAACACCAACTAACAGGTCGTAACCCTCTTGAAAATAGGATCGAATGCATGGGCAACTGGCCCGAACTGAAGTAAAGATGTTGTGTCAAGATGGTTAAGTCACATGTTAATGTCACCGTGGCAAGCGGTTAGTCTTCTCTGCCCGAGCTGAACGTCATTGCTATCCCAGCACAGGCGCAGAAAATCTCTTCCGTGTATTTTCGGGTTGTGAGTTGGCTTCCCTGCCACGACTCCGCTGGATGTAGCCATTTACTCTTCGTGCTCATGTTCACCACTAGCTCCAAGGAACATGCATGCATGTGAATAAGCGTGCTCCACCTGAACAAGTAGTCGAAACCCAGACGTGACGAGACAAGGCCAAGTTGAGTTGAGACATGAGAAGTTCGGCTGTTGCTGCAAGTTGGAAAGAAGCAAGCTGAATGTTTGGTTATTAAGAGAATGACGAGTAAGATGCTGCATTGCCCAGTACATATGTGGATGTGTCTTAACCGACACATCCTTTGTCCGTAATCATTTTGATGTCGTTGCGCGGCCACCGTTTTCTCGTTCTGGTGGAGGTGTGGCAAGTTCAGGAGTAGTTTTAGCGGATATTTTTATAGGGTTATTGTCTAATTCAACCCATCCTAAGTGAACAAGGCCAAGCGGAGACACGAAACGGGTGCAAGAAGCATTATAGTGAGGCGAAATCAAACGGTCAGACCGACGAATGCACAGCACCAGTACGAGTCGACTTCAGACAACACGTAATAAGAAAACGACAAATCACTCGCCTCCTTTTAGCCCGATATCTACGATGCGAGATAATATCCTCGAAATGTCCTCGTTCTGCTGTTTTTCCTCGTCCAGACACGTACGAACTTCTTCTAATACAGAGTCAAGCCGTGTGGACGTCACTTCGAGCCTTTGTTGCAAATATTCGATCTTATCGTTCACAGCATCTCGTCTCGTTTCTTCCTTTCTGGAGCTCCCTAAGAAAAGGGGTCAGAAAGCGGAATTCATATATTGGGCATTTGTATCGGCAGTGTGACTGGCGAGTACGGAGCGCGCGGCGAAGCTGATGCGAACAGTATGGCGCCACCTCTCGAAGAAGGACGGGACGTTGGGAAAGTACTCACGATAGGATTCTCCTAGTATTAGACCAGCGGTTACCGCAAAGAGGAAACCTTCCGCCACTTAGGAAGTGTACAACCATCGTGGGTTATGCGGCAGAATGATCGTTTCGTTCCACAAGAACATTAGTATTCCTATCCAAGGTCCATAGCGTGTGCGCACAAGTATTAGCGCCATTTTGGATGGCTCTACGCGAGAAGTGTTACTGTTCCTTGGTGCAAGAAAATAATGGAAGGAATGCTTACTCACCTCACATCGTTCAACGGTCTGATATTCTTTGCGCTCTCACCAAGGAGACCCGTACGAAGTCGGACCTCACTTCGATGACTCCACTGGGCGAGGCCGATGCAAAGTCGGCGAAACGTAGGATGCCTAGAGACGGGGTAGTGAAATAATAGATCATTCGGGACGAACGTTGAGTGTGATGGCAAGCCCAGAAGAGGGATGGAGGAAAACGCACTGCTCTGCTTGACTCTTCAGACTGTTTGCGATGGGTTTTGCTATTGTCTATCCTCAGATATGTGTATCCAATATAGTAAAGGGAGAGGAGATGCGCAAGGAAAGGAAGACATGAGCACCAGTGGGAGTATGAACCCCAGAGCATATAAACTAACTCGAATAGCAAGCGTGGCAAGTTTGACGGAAGCCATAGTAGATAGTTATCTCACCAAAATAGCGATGACCTAGGGCTTGAAAGGCAATTATCCTTGACGAGCTGGCAATGTTCTGCCGAGTACTGTACTGGCACGACCAACAACCTCTTCCCACGACCTCCGGGAGTTACCGGACCCATAAATCAATTCAATTTTGTTGATTTTTAATTCAATCCAAGACCTTCGCGTGACGCGTGACAGGTTGTTGGTCGTGCCAGTACAGTACTCCAAACATCGGCAGACACGTGACCGTGGCACTTCACCACCATCCACTCTTCTATTTACCCCACTGATTATGCTGCCATTGATTGTTGTCCCATATCTTCGACCGACTTGCTCTTGGGACCTACGCCGGTCAAATGCCGGCTCCATAGATCCCGAGGGGCGAGGATGACTTTCCCCTGTGTTTAAGTGCGGGGTTTACCTGGGGGAATGGTGATCTATAGTTACCTATCAGTACTTCCAGGGCACTGCCCATATCTGATAGGAGATCCGAGCACTCGGAATCTGATGGTTAACCCGTCAACTAGAATATTACCATCTACGGATTTACCCTAATGTCACGCGTCACATCCACTCCCCTCCGCCATCATGTCCTCCAGCCAGAACCATCAGCAAGCGCTTGGGAATCTATCTGCACCCAGTCCATTCAAGCTCCCGAGTGCTGTCAGGCCATTAGAAGAGGCTATTCAAGAAGGGTGTGCATTCCTTAGGAACGTGTTTCGTCCTGAACATGATAACGATTGGATTAAGCAAAACTTGGTCATTGCCTGGCACATCATCTACGGTGCTCTGGATAGAACCGAGGATCCGATCAAGAATCGTCTTAGAAATCAACCCGAATTCCATGCTTATCTCAAGAGCGACGGAGGGTGGCCTGAGCGAGAACTTACCGAGTTGCTGAGAAGTATGGCAAACAACCGGGTGCCCTGGAGCGATTCATTTAAAAATGGTAAATTGCTTTCTCCATTTTGAAACCCAAGTGCCCTGATTGTCATATTCTGTAGAAGCGTTTCTAATACCTGAGCTAGAGCCTACCGAGAATGAGACGGACGAAGATCTTAGTGCGCAGTGAATTCAATTCTTCTCCACTCTTACTGATCTCCTCTAATAACAGCTACTATACTCGCATGGGATAGTACATTTAAAGGCGACCTCGCAAATGTACTTCTTGAGACTATCGCGGATTACCTTTCCGAGGATGGAACTCCGCACCTAGCCAGCATCATCAATTCGTCCGGAACCGGCAAGTCCCGGATGGTGGATCAACTTGGCAAGGGAATTATATCGGTGCCTATGTGCTTACGTCCGGGAAGCGAAGGTTCTCCATCCTGTTTTTTTTGTTTGTAAGTATGCCTTGTTTACAATTCGGCCTCCATAGGGTTCCCTCCTCCTGATGAGATACTACGTGCTTGGCTTGTTTCCGGGACAGATGATAGAACTACTGTTCAGAAAAAGCTGTATGGATTCGTATATTCTCTCCTAGTCGTCACTCTGAGGAAACTGGAAACCACCGTGTCAAAGAAACAAGGTGAATATCTTCCGACTGCTCACCGGATTACCGGCCAACGGCGTTGCAGATATACCCAAGTTACCTCTTGATGCAGCATCCACTAAGAAATTGTCAAAGGAGAAGCTGAAGGACTATGTATCATTGGTAGTGGATCGCCACAAGAGGTTGGCATCTGCCTTCCGTAAATATATGACCACGGGACAATCACATCACGCCACGAATCCCGATCGAAAAACTTTCTACCATGAGGTAATCGAGTTAGCTAATAAGGTGCATCTCCTGTCCTTCGCTGTCATTTTGTGAAGATGACGATTTCTTCGAGTTTGTGAAAAACGGTGCACATGGCTGGTACGTTTCCAGAGGTGATGGCCTACTGCAAGAGGCAGGTGAGAGGCTCTGTCGCTTCATTGACGAACACAAGGTTTTGGAGTCGGACAGTGGCCCACAACGGCCCCTGGTAGTCCTTGCTTTCGATGAGGCTCATGTCCTCACTGATAATCCGCCAGACCAAGAAGGCTGGAATCTGTTCTCGGAGCTGCGTCGAATCCTACAACAGATCCATGACCTCCCAATATTTTCACTGTTTATTTCGACAGCTGGACGCCTCAATCAGTTCTCCCCAGAAATCCGTTCTGGTCCATCAGCTTGGGCCAGTGAACCTGACCACCGTCCGCTGAATCTGATTTCGGAAATCAGCTTCGACGACATCGCGTACCCGGCATTGAAGGATACTGTCACAATACACAGAGTGGTAGAAATTGATTGGATTTCCCATCTTGGTCGCCCATTGTATGTCCACCCAGTCACTCCTTCAAATGGAGAGCAGCTTTCATACCACCTTGAGCAGATTTGGGTCTTATTGGGACAAGCTGCCAAGGCGATTCAAAAATGAGATAGGGATTATGGACTATGCAATGCAGAAGCTACTGTGCGGTCCGATGCAGCTGAGAGACAATCCGGCTGGTACCCTGGCCTGCCTCTCCGTACGCTTCGCGCTGGAGTTTAATACGGGCGTTTCAGCTCGTGACGTAAGCTATGAACAGGTTGAACGGCATATGCGACTCTGCATCGCAGCGCCTTCTGGACTCGAGGACATGATTACCATTGCTGGGTCCGAACCACTTCTGGCCGAGGCCGCCTATCATATCATGAGGGACACGCGGAGGCACGCGGTGTGCCATCTGGCCGATCATTCGGATTTGAGCTGTATCGACCGTGGACGACGTGGCGAACTGGTTGCGGCTCTGCTGATAATGCAAACATACGATGCGGCACGGGTGATTAGTGATACAAGATGGATATCTGTGGCCAACTTCATGGAAGCCTTACTTCCGACGCCCAACTATGAGACGCTTCTCCAATCTGGGCCGACGTCTTGGCCCATTGGGGATGGGATCAGGAAATATGACGGCACATTTAAGGCAATATTCAAGGACTACGGTATGTGGTTTAACCATGTCATCAAGATCGAGAGAAAGGAGATGATCTCGATTGACCATCTCTGGAAATTCGTTACGCGTGGGGCGATGATATTGTGTGCGACTAATCACGATGGCATTGACATTGTTTTACCCGTTTATCGCATCTCACAGAATCTTGGCCCTGATTCTGTGACGGCCATAGTGATCCAGGTGAAGAATGAGCCGGAATTAATTGACCCATCGTTGTTCGACGTGATGGATCATGTTGTCAAATCAGCTATATTCTCCACACACAATGTCGACTCCATCTCCGACTCCGACTTCGAGTCAGTTGCTACTGAGATTCCGGAGCCGGAAATGGTGCATCCGAAGCCGGTTATTCGACTAGTGTTTGCCTTGGCTTCTCCAGAGCCTGCCATAATCTTCAGGGAGAGGCCCGAGGTCAAACTTCATTCTGACGGACTTACCACTTTTGACATTTGGCTTGCGGGCCTCTCGTGCGACACGTTTGAGCAGATTCAAGATGAAGCGGATCTGCAATCGTACGAAACGCTTTTGGAACGTTCACTTGTGCCTCACGATGGATTCAAATTGAAGGGTAGGCCAACTATGGGCAAGAAGGTGAGGAAAGCAAAAGGCTCCAGCAGGCGGAGGATGGCACCATTGGCCCTCCCAAGGGATAGTCATCATGGCATTCACCTCCAAAGAGTAGTTAATTGATGTTCTCATTCTCTTATGTGTCCGTATGCACTTGTGAAGTTGGTTAGTGGCTCATAGTATGATCCAGTACCCAGTACCCAGGTATATACTTCGTGAATGCATGATCGGTTCTATCTACATCCGAACCTGATCAGCGATCAGAGTTTCCTTTCAATGTTTCATACCGGTGCCGCTCCCCTCCCCTGTGTGTTCGGACCCGCGATATCTTAATTAATTGCGCTAGTTGCGCTATATAACTCGGCCTTTCGAATCTTGGCTTGGGAGGAGAACCTTTCATTACATGTGTAATGTACTGTGGAGTGATTAGTAGGCGAACTCAAGTAGCGTAGCTTCTGCAATAACGACCCCCAAGTGGCGCGATACTAATGATTCCGCGGGTGTCAGAAGCGTCTACCAGTGGGGTGCCCTTCAGGATTGAAAACAACCTATAGGAAGCACCCAATTGAATATATATGGACCCGAGAGCGAACCTGCTAGATAATATAATGTAGTAGCAAGAACAGAATATTCGTAGGCGTGTTAAAAGTTGAACCGTAGACATTTATTAAATAAATTTTTCGAACACAACCATGTCGCTATTTCAACATAGATATGAACACCCAATTAAACCCATCCTAGTACCGACGTTACCTGGGCCCCCATTTTACTCGCAATTAGTGGAGCAAAGTGCACGGCCCCGGCGATGGTTCCTTGTGCATGCTCCGGAGTAAAAACAAAAAACAAATAAACAAATAAACCTCCTTGCATATATAGCCCAGAAGATGAAGAAGCAGAAGAAGAGCGAGGAACTTGCAACTCTTCTGAGTTTTTTGAGTGAGTGAGTGAGTACGTGTTGCCGGCCGAAATAGTACTTACGTATATATAAGAGAACCATACATGTAAATACTACCAAAGCAACAACATTACTACCGACAAAACGGACAAAACGGAACAACTTGTTGTTTAGGGCGGCAACCCAGATATTAATTGTTAGATGATACCTAGCCGGAATCGATTTTGGGTAGCTATCGATATATATATCTGAATCCGTGAATTTCGACAGTGTGGCCCCGCCGCTGCCCACCGGCTCCGCCACCGCGCGTGGCTGCTGCCACCACCACCACCATCACTAAATTATGTACCACGAACCAAAAAAAGAGATATTTCAGCGAGAAACAACTTGATAATCCCGGCTCTTGCGCCACTTGTTGCCTGAGATCAAGTTGTCGGCCCGAAGGGCAATATATGCCATGCACTCGATTGATCTGTCCGGATGGAAAAAGTGGGATTAAGTAACGACGATGATCAGTTAAAGGGGTCTGTGTGTGTGAGTGTACGATTATATCGCCAACTTGGACTAACTAAACTTACGTTCGGGTTCCTGTATTCTGTCACTGCATGCATGGGCCGAGGTGTTCCTACGATAACCGTTGTTGCGCGGCGAGAAGGTCCTCGGGAGAGTCCGGGAGAAGGAAGAAAAAAAGAAAGAAAAACTAAACAAAAAGCAGAAAGGAACTGGGGGCGATGAGTTGAGGAAGCTAGCTATGTAGGTGTTACGAACTTTCTCGGAGTCGGAGTATGATATGAGCGATATCCGGGGGCTTAATATCCTGCCCTGGTGCCCTGGATCAGTACTAGTACATATAGAAGTGGCGGTTAGATATATGTGATATCCAACCCCACGTGGATCAATACCGACTTTTGCCTGAAGCGCCCAGCTGGTACCACGATGGTACGAGATCGATCGAAGGCACCGATGCACTTGAATAGTTCTCTTACTGATCTCTCAGGTACTTGTCAGAATCCAGATTGAGAACCCCCAACGAGAAACGAGTTGTCAGCTACTAGGGAGAGAACCCCAATTAAGTTTTATATAACAGTGGGTGGACTCGGAAAGTAGGTAGGTAGGTAGGTAGGTAGCCTAGGCTTAGGCGCGCTCGGTTCAATCAACTTAATCTAGGTGGATGGAATCAGGGAGGATCGCAAGTCAAGCTGGAATCGAGAAACCGAATTGGGGGTTGGATCCAAATTAACCGATGCCCCCTTCTAGACCCAATCCACGGCCTCGTTTACTTGTGTTGTTAAGTATTACCCAGGAGCGTAATTAGTAAATTACGAATGCCGAATGTTCTGCTTATCAGCTTATTAGCGGCAGCGCATGACATGACGTCGACGGTAATTTGCACTCGTACTAGTAATATGATATGGGAATAATTATATAATATTGGGGTGGGGGTCGCTCAGTCGAAGCCCCGCGGCCAAGCCATCTTCGGGCCGGTTATCGTTCACAAGACCCCCAAGCCAAGAGTATGACCTAGTGCTTTGTGTTCACACCTATTCACGGACATGGCCGATACATTGGTGGGTTGGGTCCACCCCGAAAAAACCGTGCGCCCCGGATCCTTACAAGGACATGAATCAAGCGAAGAAGCAACGAGGGGGGTGGGGGGGATGATAAGCTAGGGTGTCGTTAATTACCAAAGTGGGAATCTACTTACTTTGTCTGTTCGGTCGTTGGGGAAAAATCGATGTGCGCAAGCGCTTTCATCTACTGCGGAATTCAGGAAGCGCCTTGATATTGCTGCAATCGCGCCAGGGTTTGCCATTCTCTTTGTTTGATGCGAAGATGAGGCGGGAAATATCGATCAGGCATTAACTTTGCAAGGAAGATGTTGACCTATGCATGCATGCAGATATATATTACCCACACTGCAAATTCGCGAAAAATCCCAGTACATATGATTTTATTGAGATTGGGTGTGTGGGCCGGGCGGATCAAGCCGATATCAGTAGGGCCCGGCCGGGTAAAATGCCATCGGGATTTGAGTAACGGGATGATGAAAACGTTAGTTACATATTCCCCGGGGTTCGTTGACAAGTCCCGTGGGCAACTGGGCACATTCTTTTTTGCGCAGCCGGCCGCAGCAGGGCTAGTCCTGGCACGGAGAAATACATGATGATGGAAAATGAGAAGAACTTTTCCTGGTTCATGAATTCACGGGGGGGGGGGATCATTTTCTGTTGTCCCTTGTGTGTGGCCATATTGTCGTTCAACAACAACGTGCACATCTGGCGCGATTGAACCCGTTGAATCGTTCGCGTAGTAGTTGTGCGAGATTCGGGATATGAGCGCAGAAAGGGTGTTTTTGGCGAGTGGGAAAACGCACACTGCACAGCTGGGCCGGAAAATGATCCGGTCGGTGGAGACCGAAACGTTGATGACATAGCCTTGGACAGTCTCCGTAATGTGCTTACATGTATCGATGGGAAACCCCCAGACTCGTACCCAGCGGTCTCCGCTACGTGGACGCGCAAAATCTCGACCAAGTTGTTGTATTAGAATTCAGTTGTAAAGTCACGTTCAAGAACAAAAAGTGTACTACAATACAGAAGTCACATGTCCGTCGTACAACAACTTGGTCGAGATTTTGCGCGTCCACGTAGCGGAGACTGCTGGGTACGAGTCTGGGAAACCCCCTAGAAGGATGTAGCTGAATTCTAAAATCAGGGTGAGACCCCCCAAAAACTTGGTCAGCGGGCTGGTCAGAAGACACATCAGAAGCAAGAGACGCAGAGCAAGTAAGAGATAAGCAGAAGCCGACATGGACCCAAGCAAACGTGTGCGTAGCTTGCGTCGTAGCATATAATGCCGTGCAATTGACCATCCCTCTCTCTTCATCCCACAACCCACTCCACTCTGCGTTGAAAATCACTTCTGCAAACAAACGTTCTCATCTCAAATGGCCGCTGAAAATCCACAGCGTCAGTGCTGCCAGTTATTTCTGTCCTTCATTCGTCCACTTACGCGTGTGTTTTTCTTGGACAGATATCGTCGACCTTAGCGACCAAGAACTTCAAGACCTTGGTTTCCTGGGTCCTGGCGAGTGTCGTTTCGTTACTTTGCATGCCTACCCCTGCTTATCGTTACGCTTGTAGATGCGCATGAGGAAGTCCAGAGCACCATCTTGGCCGTTCAGAAAGTTAAGGATTACTTTGGGTGTGAGTTTCCTAGTTTCTATTGCGTTTCATTCGATCGCAACGCTCATCCACTTCGTCTTCAGGGCTTACGGTCTCCCACATCCAGTCATTCAAAACCCATGTGACCTACCATTCGAGTCCTCCTTCGTCCCCAATTTCGCCGGCGAGCGACACGACTGCCTTCTCCCTGCTTTCCGTCACCACCGTCGTCGACCCAGACTTTGCCTCGCTCTTCGAGAAGGCTTTCTTCTACAAGGGCGTTTCCGAGGACCATCCCCACCTCTTGCAGCGCTCCGACATCCAGACGCGTCCCTTTGTCCTTCCCGCTCCCGAAGATCAGCATACTGCCATTCCCGATAGGACTGCTCATGGCGCTTCCCACCCTATCCTCACTGCGGACCTGTGGAGGCAAGACGTTGGCCCCGCCATCGTGAGCCTCCTTGAGGAGAAGAAATACGACGTTCATGTCTCTACGATGGTCCCTGTCCAGTTCTCTCTTCCCGACGCTAAGGGCAATCCTGTCCTTGAGAAGCACATCGTCATTTGGATCTCCGTGTTCCCCGGTACCACGTCCGAGGAATCCTGCCGCGATGCCAACTCGCCCATCCTCGCCATCCTCGAAAAGCACCAAGTCAAGGACGCTGCCGTTCACTGGATCGAGGGTACTCCCCAGCGCTTCGTCGCCGATCCCGCCATGATGGAAGTCGTCGACGAGACAGACCCGACTGCTTATATCCGTCGCGCGGTTACCGCTATCTTGGGCGTTCCTCTCGCACCGCAGACTATGCAGGCTAAGGATGGACAGGGATCGCTCGGCATCTTCTTCCACGAGGGAAAAGACAAGCAGGGGAACAAAAGCGACAGGGTCCTTGCTTTTACCAACAAGCACGTGGCGTCGGAGAACACGAAGACCGACTACGAGCTCGGACGCAGTGGTGCTCGCAAGCAGTATATCAGGAACTGTGGGCTTCGTCGTTACGAGAAGTTGCTGGAGGAGACGCGTGCGGCGATTGCGAAGAAGGTTGGGGAGGGGAAGCTCGTGGCTGAGCAGCTCGAGCAGAATGTTTTCACCACCGCGAGGGCCAGGAGGTTCAAGGAGGACGAGTTGAAGAACTTGGAGGAGGAGATTGGCATGTTGGACGACTTCCTCGGGCTCGCGAAATCCTCCAGGGGCGAGATCCATAACCGCGCTATCGGATGGCTCGACTATGCTCCCCGCATCCAAAACGACGTCGACAATCGCCGCTACACCTGGGACGGCGCCATGTTCCTGCTCGATAAGGTCAGGTGGGAGCAGCAGTTCAAGGGGAATCATGTCTATCTCGGTGCGTCTTTTTTTTTTTTTTTTCATTACGATTCATGTCCTAATATTCATTCTTCAGGCGGAAAATTCGCCTCAGGCGACATCACCAAGTTCTTTTACCCTAACGACGCCAATCCTCCCTCCTTCAAATACCCGCCCAACCATCTCTTCCGCCTCCAGGGCTTCGTCGAGGCCGAGGACATGAAGAAGCCCTACTTCTTCGACGAGCTTGGCAACCGCTGCTTCATCGTCGCCAAAGAGGGTCAGACTACTGACCTGACCTTCGGACGATTCTCCGAGTTCGAGGCCTACGTCGTCAGCGACTTGGCGGGCTCCTCCTGGGAGGTGGCTGTCTTCAATCACGCCAAAGAGAATTTCTCCTTCAAAGGAGATTCCGGGTCCTGCATCTTCAACGCCGAGGGTAAGATGGTCGCGTTCCTTCACTCGGGCATGCCGAGGGGCATGTCGAGTCATGTCACGTTCGGAACGCCTGCCCACTTTGTGCGCGACCAGATCAAGAAGCGCTACCCCCATGCCGACTTTGACCGCGTCACTTTCTCCGACGTGGCAGCCTAAACTGGAATTGACCGTTTTCTTTTCCTCACTGTCTTTTCTCCCTCGTCTCGTCCCATCTCGTCTCTCTCTCGATTTTGTCGTTGACGCTTGGATGCGTGCTTGTTCCACTGGATCGGCTGCGAAAACGTTAGTCCCTTTACTTATCCTTTCGTACCGTAACTAACAAACCGTTTGAATACTCTAGTTCTTCAGTCATCCTGCGCGCGTCGCCTTGTTCCCTTGACTTCGTCTCGTCTCTTGCTCTCGATTCGGTAACGTGATTTCTTCGGTTGGCTGTCGACGTTGGTGGATGTCTCGACTTGGTAAATGGCTCGCTTGGTATGTTTCTCCCCCTCTACCATCTGTTATAGTACTTATTTCCGTAACCCCCCTTTACGTCTAGGTGCTACTTGATGTTGCATCCGTGTGTCGTTGTGAAGTGACAGCCGCTGTCGTACTATGCGTATCTTTTGTCCAGAACGTGTTGAGCGACCGACAGGACTTTATGGACTGCTCCTTCACCTCTTCCCTGCCGTCGGCGTCGTCAAGAAGAACACGCTCGTGGACCGAAGACTCGACGCAGATCTGCAGGAAGGTCTTGCAGTACTGCACAGCAGTCGCGTCCTCGCGGCACAAATCGACCCAGACCTGCTTGGAATCGACGGTAGGATGGACCGTTTTCATCCATCTGAAAGCAAAGGGGAAAAAAAGGACCCCAATGTCAGTTCGAGGTAATAACAGACGGAAAACAGTATGCAGCACTTACTCATCCCATATAGACAAAGCTCGATCACGTTGCATCTCCGTGGAGGCTGCTATCAGTGGTTTGCGGAGGTTGGGGCCATCCGTCTTGGGTACGTGACTCTCGAACACTTTGGCAGAGTGTTCCTGCAAGGCGGCGGCGTCTTGTTTAGAGAAGAACGACGGCTTCGATGACTTGGTGTTTTTCTTAGCCGGCATGGTCGGTGGCGTTGGAGAGCTATGCAGGAAGGTAGGTGTTGTCGAATGTCGAGTCGAGAAAGGGGGAAGAGACTGGGAGTGGGAGGGGGAATTTGGGCAGCAGCTCGAAAACTGGCTTGCCTTTTATCTCCCTCCCCTACACCGCCATCTCTTCGTCCAAGAGGAATTTGTCGTCGCCCGCCAAAGGGGCACTGATTCCTAGCGGATCAAAAACGGTCGGACATGAAGGCGGCACATCCGGATACGGAGTGGGAGGCGTCGGTCATTGGTCACGTGGTTCGCTCGATTTGGACGAGCAGTTGTGCCAGCGGTGTAAGAATCCGCTACTACATATTAAACTAACAAGTAACAGTGCAGCATTTACAAATCCAGAATCAATATTCACGTCTCTAGTCTTTAATTCAAGTGTATCGGGAAGATCTCGGTCGAAGGAATCCCCCCCCCCCAGTCGAATGGTTTCGAATGACGACGTTGGCATGAGCTTCTGGCTTGATGGACTTGGAAGTCCAATGATCGGATGATGTGGGACATTAGTCTTGGGTATGTGAGATGAGGTATGAGATGGGTGTAGTAAGTGGTGAGTTAGTGACGAACGGGTAAACGTGCATGCACCGAATACGTGCTTCAACAATTTGATCGAACAGGAGTACTTACTAACTAACCACATTTTAGGTCCATTTTAAAACGCCGGGGTACTCTTTCTCTTTCTCTTTCTCTTCATTCCTCCTGGACCTTTACTTGTGTATATAATCTCGAGTTGGCATGACGCCTGCATGATCTGGACTTGTGGAGAATTACATACTTACTCAATATAAGTAGTTAAGCCCAGTCTGCAAAAAAGCCTCTCTTCCGGACCGACCCAGTACTAATTGTTCACGAGACGCAAGCAGCCAAGAAACAAACGTATGATGGCACGAACTCGACCGATTGCGTGTCCCCCCCCCCCCGGAAATCGCCGTACCGACAGTACTTGCGCCGGGATGATTGCATGGATATATAATGAATCAGGCGCGCGAGGGTCAGAGAGGGGAGAGAGGAAGTCGCGCGTTACGGAAGTGGGGAAATCTTCTTTTGTCCCCATCCTTGTTTCGTCGACGCGCACGCACTCATGCTCGGGCTTATTATGTAACGAAGTTTCCGATGCGAGAGTATCAACAATAATAAACATTGGTCCAACGTACGTACGGTACATCAAAAGATCGGAGGAATCGTGTATGCATATTCACTGTAAGTAAAATCCCATCGCCAGGCAAAGGGGGGGGGGTTGGATGAACAAAGCGCCGAAGACTGATTCACGTGTTCGGAACAATTACTGCGGGGGACTTACTTACTTGATTGAATTCCGATTTGCCGATATCCGAACATCTCGAGTTGACCGATGTAGAAGGGTGACTCCGACTGTTAGTATAAGTACATACTTGATAACTGTAAATTATTTGGGTTATTAAAAATGCATATGTTGAACCAGAATGATGAAGAGCGGATCGATTTACATTTGTGATTTTTCTGACATACATATATATATATATATATCTTTCAGCAGCCAACCCCCAAGCGCTACTGTTTATGCGTGTTTGTTCCTCCTCATTCGCAAGAAGGAATATTAATGATGACTTTGGGATCAAAAGCTCTGGATTTTTCGGTTCAACCATCTAAGCTCTCACTCTGTCGACATCTTGATCTTGTTCACTATATAGCCGGTGGCTCAGGTTTTACTTAAGACGCCAGGGGAATTATTTTGCTGTTATCCCTTCCGGATGGGCTTTGGGTCCCTCAGGGTTCAGCAAAGAATTCCAAAGGGCATCCATACTGGGACTATAATTAACCCATAATTGAAGGTATACGCCCCCCCCTCCTTCCACATCTTTCTGCTTCTCCCCTTTCAGCACTCCCTGCACACATCTCGTTATCGTCTATCTGACCACTACGCTCGACTTACTCAACACTAACAATGACCACACCTGAGCTGCCAGACCCTACGCCAGCGGCTGTTCGATCCCTCAGGGCGCTTCTCCTTCCAATCACCATCCCATCTTCCTCTTCCCTTTCCACATTCACAAATTGGGGTCGCTCGTTCACTTGTAAACCTTCCTCCGTCTTCTTACCCACATCAGAAGATCAAATCCCCTTGGTTTTACAATTGGCGAGATTGGAAAAGCAAGTGGTCAGAGCTGTTGCATCGGGTCATTCACCCAGTGATCTGGCTTGTACCAAAGGCTTTATGATTAGAATGGATAAGTTGGATAAGGTTATCGAGGTGGGTTGTTCTTTCGATCTCATTTGTACGACGTGCGTGTGTGCATCTGTGTGTTTTTTTCTTTTTTTTTTAATATCCCATCCTCGTGGTCGAAAAACAGCCATGCTGACCAATGCGCTCCTATCTTTCTTTCTTTCCTTATCATCTTCTTCCCATACCCTTACAACGCACACGCGGCGCCCATCGCCACCCATCGCCGCCCACGCACCCTCCAATGCCAATGCCAATCGGAACTACCTTCTTTCCGGTTTCACCCACCCACATCCAACCCTAACTCGGAACTTTTCGTACCGACTGGAAACTCCGGCAACAACAACAACGACAACAACGACAATAACAATTTCATATAATGCACCCACTTATTCCCACGTCTGCTCTTCGCACTTCACCCTCTTGCCACCAACCCCCCTCGGCATCTTCTCTTCTTTCTTTTCTTTTTCTTAATACCTTTACTTGACGATCGACATCGGCTCCGAACGCTCCCGCCCCAACCCGCCGCGTAAACCCCGACATCTCCCCTCGACAAACTCGTGATCGACCGACGGGGGTATCAACCCGACGGGGGTCCGGTTATTCCCTTTATCAATCTTCCGAATTAATTCCCTTTCTCCAACGTCCACCTTCACCCTTGATTGGGACTTGGGGGGGGGGATGCTTCATTAATCATTGCCTCTGCTATGCTGCGGATCTCTGAAAATATGTGGTTTCAACACCGGAATTGAATTGCCCCTCCTCGATCGGCTGTTGTCAACACCCGCGCTTTCTTTTTTTTATCTCTCTCTCATGGTTTTTTTTCCCTCAATGCTATGCTATCCTTGCACTCTGCCAACTCCCGCTGATGCTACAATATCGCGGGCTCCGCCTCTGAACTGATGGCACGAATATTCCCGGGAAAAAAAAAATCATGATGCCCCTGCCTGATGAATTATGATGTATAACTCGCGTATACTCTTCTTACTTGATCGAAACCCTTCGCGTGGTTACTTACTTTGTAAAAAAAAACGCCTGTTTGTTTGTTTGTTTGTTTGTAACCGATCTTCAATACTCTCTCTCTGCCGTTTCCTCTCCCCCTTTTTGGCATTTTATTTTATTCTTTTTTTTTTATATTTATCGGCGTCATTGGACGTCCGTCACTCGCCGGGATCAATGATCTCATCAAATGATGCGACATATGCATCGTGTGGTTGCTCCGTTTGTTTTGTGCGGTGTGCCGTGCGGTGTGCACCGTTCGGACTAAAATTGTTTGTCGCACGGACGCTCGGGATGATGTGTTCGCCTGCTTCTGTTTCGTTTTTGTTTGTTTCTTCCTTTTTTCTGGGCGAATTTTGCTACTTCGCCACCTGTTTATTTTCTTGTTATTTTTATTTTCCTTGCTTCACGCAAACGCCACACTCACTGGATACCTGTGCATGGCGACTCACGCACCTCTTTTTTTTTCTTTCCAAAAAACAAAAAAAAAAAAAACAGGTAGATCCTTCCAATTGCACGATAACAGCCCAACCAGGAATCTCTCTAACATCCGTACATGCGCACCTTTCGCGATACGACCTGGCCATGTCCAACGTTGGATCTATCTCGGAACAAAGTCTTGGTGGCTGTGTCTCGAGTGGTACCCACGGGAGTGGGATTTCATTTGGGAGCGTGGCGAGTCAAGTTTTGGACGTGGACGTCATTTTGGCGTCGGGAAAGAAGGTTCGGTGTAAGAAAGGTGAGTTAAAGGGGGAAAACAATGAGAGGCTGTTCATGGCGACGCTCTGCGGATTGGGAACGACGGGAGTTGTGGTGAGGGTAACGTTGAAGGTAGAGAAGGCGTTTAGATTGAGGGAGGTCAGAGAGTTGATTTCGTTTGAGGCTTTTGAAGGAGTGACGGTGGCGGCGAAGGACGTGAACGGTGTTGCAAATGGGAATGGGATCGGTAATGGAGTTTCCCACGCTCATGGGGAAGTCAAGAAAGGAGGATTGGAAGAGGTGATGGCTAGCGCAGAACATGTGAGGATATGGTGGTATCCTCAGTCTAACCGCGTCTGTCTGTCGAGGTCCAATCGGACATACGACCCTCTCCCTCTCCCTCTCCCTCCCTCATCCTCCTTTACGTGGCTCCATTCCCTCTCGCCCCGTACCCTCTCGAGGGTTCTAGAAACTTGGTTCTGGGACACGTTCCTAGGGCACTCGGTCCTCCAATTTTCGTACTTTGTGGGGAGGCACTTCCCCGAGGTAAATTATTACGCGGGGTTGTTTTATTCCAGCGAGGCCTTTTTCAGGAGGTCACTTGGCGTCGGACTGAAGGCCATTTTGACAATCGGGATCGGTTCGTTGTGGAGGTGGAGGTGGAGACCTGGGAAAAGCGTTTCGTCGTCGAGGTCTTCTCCTTTCACTCACCCACGTACTAATGGGATCACCAATGGTCATACCATCAAGACCGATTCTGACCATCATCGTGACCATATTCATCCCTCCCCTACCCACCCAACAATCACCCTCTTCGACGTATCGCACAAAATCTTCAACGTCGATTGCCTCTTCCCTCAATACACGATCGAGTATTCGATCCCACTCTCGAACGCCACTTCTTGTCTTCGAGACGTGAAGAAGTGGTTAGATGAAGAACACTCGAAGAAAGGTGGACTGAGACCTCATTTCCCTATCGAGGTGAGATGTAGCGAAGCTGAAGATATTTGGTTAAGTCCTGGGTTTGGGAGGGAAAACTGTTGGATTGGGATCATCGTTTACAAGTGAGTTTGTTCGCTCTTTGCCTTTTTTCCGTGTGTTGAAATAATGATTGCTGATGGTTGGTTGGTTGGGTTCTTGAAAAAAAAAAAAAAACTACCATTATTGAAAGACCATATGCTCTTCCAATGGAACACGCTCAACTCTTCGCTCACTTCTCATTCATCATGCGTTCGCACGGTGGTCGTCCACATTGGGCTAAGACACACGATTTTAGTCCGGTCGATTTGCATCAACTTTATCCGATGTTTGGAGAGTTCTTGAACGTTGTGAAGGAAGTTGATCCGGAAGGGATGTTTAGGAATGAGTATGTGAAGAGGCATTTGTATGGAGAGGGAGGTGAAGGTGAGAAGGATGCGGTTGGGTTGGAGGTATTCAGGAAGGATGTGTGATGGAGTTGGTTGGACAGGCTGCGCAGCCGGGATGGGGTTTCTTCGTTGGAATCGGGGGCTGTAGTTTCAGTCAGACATCAAGTCGGATCAGGTTCCAGTCGGATGACGCGGCGATCGCAATTACGCAAGTTTTACCTTTTTACCTTTGTGATCCTTCTTACAGTTCATTTCCAATTTTCGTTACCTTTCTTCCTCCTATCCTTACTCAAAAGAAACCTTCCTCCTCTTCTCTTAATTTCTGGGGCTTCTATGTTGTCCAAGGTTCGCTTCAGGGGTTTCCCGCTAGATATTAGATCATACAGTAGACCGGTTATGAACAACGAACAATTGCAAGCCGTGGCAATCGGTCCGCGAATGAAAAAAAAAAAGCAAACGTTCCCTGTAGTATTACAAAGCCAATGCAGTTGTCCTGTCCAAGTGCTCATCTCGTCGTGTTCTTAGTGCGAATGGAGTGTCAACATATTGTCATTCGGGAGTTATGATAGATTCTCGTGTACGTCTTTTTACAAGGTCTTACAGAGATTTTTTTAGTTTGGATTGTTCTGTGGATGTGTGGCGTGCGAAAATGTCCAATGCTGGGCGTTGTAAGTAGTGCAAGTGAAACTATTGATTGATTGAAATGAAATCGTCCCTGTGGCGGAGATGGGGCTGTCGGAGACCGATGGAGGATGGGATCGGAGAGGTCGCAACAAAAAAAAATGATTGAAAGTCGCATAGCATTAGGGAAGAGTGGAGCCAGGAAGAAAGATCAGCAAAGATCGTTGGCCCTGGCACTTTGCGCATTGTTGTTTGAGTGTTGTGGAAACCGAGGAAGTGACGAAAAGAGACGGAGGGTTACGAGGGGTTGCGGCGGCACGTTTGGGGTTCACAGTTGAAAAAGGAAGACGAGTTGGGTCACCGGCGATTATAAGGGAAAGGAACATCAGAAGCCTTGCATACCTGACCCGCACAGTGTATTGACTTTACTAATGCACCGAAGCGGCTCATTTTTTGCACTTGGCTCGACGGCTAATGAACACAGATCCAAAGCGAAGAAGAGAACCCCTTGGATTACTACTCATTCACCTGAACCACTCGCCCCACCAGAATGAGAATGATGTCCTGACATGTGGAACGGGTATGTGGTTTGTTGCATTGGAGTTGCCGTCATCATAGTTTCGTCCCTCATGGCCATACCGGGACCCATATGCGTCCCTTGTTGCCCTCCGCGTCTCATCGCCGTTCCTGTCGGTCCCTGATTGGGAGTACGATATTGGTGTTGTTGTTGTTGCTGCTGCTGTGGTTGCTGATGTTGCATGCCTCCAGTAACACCGCCAAAAGGCTGATGCCGTGGGTGGGCGGATCCAGGCACACGATTTGGAGAGAGAGCGATGGGCATGGTGTTCATGCCTAACGGTATATTCATGCCCATGTTCATGGGCATGTTCAGTCCCATTCCAGAATTAGGATCCATTATCCCCATACCCATCCCTAGGGGATTAACACCCATTGGTGCTCCCCCTGCAAACAAGGATCCTGGGCCACCGGCAGGCATTCCGGCACCCATATTCATGCCCATGCTCATCGGCCCACCGGTCATTGGACCAGGTTGGTTCATTCCCATATTCAAATTGCCACCGCCACCTCCAAAGGGGCCCATAGCACCCATGCCCATAGCGATCCCGGGATTTGCCCCAATGTTACCCATCGGAAACATCCCTCCGCCTCCTGGCATTGCCATGGGGGAAGCATGACCCCAAGGCTGGGGTGGCATGAAACCGTCAGCAGCATTAAAGCTAGGCGTCATTGAAGGTTGATTGAAATGTGGCGGTGACGGCTGAGGTTGTTGGAATCGGGGAGGAGGATTGAGGTGATAAGGAGTCATCTGACCTTGGCCGCCCATCGCTCGGCTTGGGGTTGGCCGAAGTGAGGTAAACGATGGCGTATTCATTCTCATGTTGATATTCATCCCTCCACCCACTACAGGTGGGAAAGGTGAGCCCATTCCCATAGGCGGGTTCATACCCATACCCATTCCCACACCCATCCCGACCTGCATATCGCCCATTATGCCTCCCATGGCGAAGCCCGCAGGCGGAGGAGCCCCGAATTGCTGTGAGTGCCGATTAGTCGATTGACCTCGGTTCGGAGACTTCGGGCGAAGAGCCTCGATTTCTTGGAGGGAAGAATCAGTAGGGATAAGCAGGGATAATCGCCAAGTGCGCAATGACCCACCAGGCGTGTTCGGGACGACGCTACCCCCGCCTTCGCCACGCACTGCGTCCTCCCACCATTCCTTATTCCAGCGCCGGACCTTTGCTCGTGAGGAATTAGGAAACCCTTGGAAGAAAGAGAAAGAGAAGAGAATCAGGTAAATGGAGGCTAATTTAATGAACGTATTGCACCAATTTGCATCCCATCATTGTCATAGATCACATCGCTTTGGTTTGTGGGAACGGGCAACTCAACATCCATTTCAATGTCTTCATCGGGGATCTCATCCATGAGAACAGTAACCCATCCTGGTCTGAACGAGTGAGATTGAAGATCCCGCCCTTCCCTACTTTTCGTGGGACTGCTCGTGGTAGGGGTAAGCTTCCCAAAAAGTTCCAGTCGCCGAAGCCCCAGGCAGAAATTCTCAATAAGGGTGTACGTCTCTGGAGGCTTCCGCGTTGGATCTGGAAATAAATTCTCATATTGTGTTGATCATACATTAGAGCGAGTACACTGTGACATACCCGTTGGATCACCCTCCCAGATCATGACATCGGTATCTGACGTTTGTGAAAGGAGTTGAAGCACGACGGTAAAAAATTGAAGAACGAGCCAAACACTCACCGACGTTACAATGAACGAACCAACTGTCAGTCGAACGCCTGACAGTCCCCTTGATGCCAATTAGGCAATGTTGCTTTGTACGAGTGAACAAGGAGGTCGTCGGAGGGTCTGTCTTTGCGTAAGAGTGGGGGGTTGTTGCAGTCAGAGGCTATGGTGATAAACATGAGAATTGCGTACCCCAGAGCCAGCATTCGAGGTCTTGTTTGTCTTGATCCAAACGACGTCCTCGCAACGGCGGTAACCCCACTTCCCAAGCGCATATCTCCCCCTCTCCAATCCATCTCCGGCTCCCCTTCCAACCCATAGGAAAATAAAACTCGGCTCAGCAGCTAGTAATGGAATTGGAAATTGGTCGGTGTCGAGTAGCGTATCCCAGGTAAACGTCGAGGAGAAGGGTGGGTCGACGAGAATTACATCGAATTTTGAGGGAATCAAAGTTGATATTAGGGAGAGCGGAAGGTAGCATGGCTCATGGGCGTGGGCCGCCACTTGCTGCTGCTTGAGCCTTAGTAAGCGTTGCTGTTTGGGATACCTGGTGGATGATCAGACAGATATATAGAGAAAAAGATTGTTGTAACGCATACAAACAACTCACTCTTCGAATCGACGCTCTGGTTCGGCCCCCAGCACCCAGTTCTGCGGCCATTCGCCACCATCTACATATCGTTGGGAGTAATCGTTCCGAATCGTCTCTTCCTCGGGCGAATAATTCTGGTACCTGAGCGCTCTTTCGCGTTTTTCAGGAGGAAGATCATCTCTCAGTACCCGCCCACCCGATTCTGCCGAGTCCTGCATTGACTCATTTTCTAAGCGCTCTGACGGCGCTTCCATTTCCTCTTCAAAGTCGATTTGTTGGGGAATTCCAGCAAATGCTGGAGGCGGGGAAGGAAATCGGGAAAGAATCTTCTGGTGTTCCTTTCGTGCATTCAACACTTTCTCCTTGAGCGACGCGTGAGCATTGAGGAGTTCGCTGGTTGAGGATGCCGCCAGCATGCGGGCGTCGTGTGCATTCGTGGTTGATCCAATAATAGTCTTAGTCAACGAACAACGACACACGTGATCAATCGATCACCGTCGTGTCGTCGAGAGCCTTGGAGCGCCATTAGCGAGTTTTCATGCTCAACGCGCAATAGTTTGTCTTGAAATCCTCTCTGTCTCATGCTGTTTGGTTTATGGGAAGCGGTCGTTCTGCAACGGATCGACCATCAATAAGTTTCGGATTTGGGAATCGCTGTCTTCCCGTTCTCAGACACAGATCTGCGAATTTTTAGGTGCGGTTCTTCGGAAGACCCGTCGCGTCTTCTATACCCTCAGGTTGCGCTCGGTATGCCATGGGGAGATGTTATCTCCGCGCACTTCTAACGTTCGTATCGGAAAATTGATTGGCCCTTCCGAATGCCAGGAGTGCCTTTAGCGCCACATGCCAGGCTGAGAGGTGCAAGTGTTGCACTCATTTCTTCCCCTTCTTGTACTCGATCTTTTGGTTCTGGATAAACGTACTTCTTTCCCAATCTGACATTCATAATTCCTAACACCCTAGTGGCTTCTGAACATTGGAAGTAGGAACACTTTCCACGAGTACACCTTATTCTGGCTTATTCGGGCTTAATCCGCAGCATAACGAAATCGAACGGTTCTAGGTAACTCGGCACCCGGTATCAGTAAATGGGCTTGCACGGCGTGATGAGATTGCACTAGTACTGGTGCTCAGTGCGCTCACGTGTATCCCTTCACAGATTCTGTGAGGAGATACAGAGTTGGAACTCATGACTGGACTCACGCCTTAGCATTTCCATGGGATTTCTCTCACCTGATTCGAACCGAATTCCCGAGGCGATTATCTTGTCATTTGAATTGTTTACCCTATTTTGCAAAACTCCCCCCTTTTATATGGCGTCATCACTCTTGGCCAGGCACCGAACATTTGTGGTGATCTTATAACCCACCAAGGCGCTTGTGGCCAAGACCCCACGTGCTTCTACCACCATACACGCCCAAAAGCCTCGCGAGCGGTCTTCAGGGATAACCAACTTCACGCCCGCAACGTAATTCCATTCGAGTCAATTGCATAAAATGGATGTCTTCATCATTGATCCTCCGGGGGTTGTCGTCCTTGTAGCTTCTGAGCAATTATATATCGACAGCTTGGACATTGACTACTAGCTTATCGAGGGAACAAGGGCCTTTCTCATCGCCGAGTCTCACGAGCGCCTAGTTAGTGTTACGGCAGCATTCGAGTGCGTGGGGAGGTCGCTCTCCCATCCTGGCAAGTGGTTATCCTAGAAGGTGGATTAAATGTCAGGCGAGTGACAAGCGCATTACCACCCTCGAATTTCGGCAGCGATTGAATGGATCATCGTTATTGAGGCAGGAAAATGTGAACGGGAGCCGCAAAACCATCTGGTTTTTTTTTTGAGAAGCCGGTTGTGCAAGCCGTTGCAACTTCGCTTGTTCCGTCCTGTACCGAAATGGATCAGTAAGGGTTGAAGGTATCCATATTGTGGAGCTTGGACTGCCGAGACCGTTACTTGCGGCTGTCGGCGAGGCGAGGCGAGCAAGGCAAGGCTCCCATCAACTGGTGGCTGCCGGTCAGCTTCATCACCAAATCGTGATGGTTTTTTTGTTCACCTGATTTTTTTCCAGCATGGCCTCAAAAGTCAAGTCACATGCTACCTCTGCAATTCAACCAATCAAAATTTGTTCGTTGCCAATTCGGCAGCCACTCATTCCCTGATCTGAATGAATTTTTCAGGTTTGGGGAGGAGCCACCACACCGCCTGTCCGGCAAAATCCGAAACCCATGCCATGCTTCGGCCACCACCCTCAAAATCAACCTTTGAATCTCCCTAGTTACCCTGCCTCCCATGGGCGGTGCTACCACCTCTTTTTTCATCTCAGTCACCCTATTTCTATGTCAACCCTGACGAAATCGTGTCCTCTCCGCCTTTCCATTGTCTTTTGCACCCCCAATTTCTTTGACACCCTCACTTCTGTATAAAAGACGCTCTTTCAACCAGTTGCTCTTCCCGTCTCCAGACTGTGGATCAGTACTCTTGTGCGCTCTCTTTCGCTTCCACTTTCTTAGCATTTGCATCCTCAGTCTTTGACGCCTCAACTCGCACGATGCACACCTCCCGCATGCTCTCGATCTTCTTTCTCTTCTTCGCCGCGCTGCTTTCTCCCGTACTCTCGGCACCAGTTGCAAGACCGGAAATGGTTGAAGGCGACCTGCTCGAGCGGGAGCCCCTTGCTGAACTCTCAACTTCTGAAGTTGCTGACACTGAGAAACGCAACACCCACACCGGTCAAGGCACATGGTTCTATCCTGGTTTAGGCGCCTGTGGAGGAGTGGGTTTTGCTTTTAGTATGATAATTTGCATGTTTCTCAATGCTTATCTTGCGGCAGACGGATGGGAATAATTCGCCAATTATCGCCATTTCAGCCAAGATCTGGAATGGAGGGAAGCACTGTGGCAAGGTCAGTTTTCTACACTCCCCCCACTCCGCCATGTCACTCACTTTCGTCGTGTATGTTCTAGTGGGTTCATATAAAGAACACCAAGAATAAGAAGACCACGAAAGCTAAGGTTGTCGACGAATGCCCAGGCTGCGGTTCTGGCTCATTAGGTGGGTGTCATATCTCAATGTCCTCCGTCACCCTTTAATCTTATGTCCTGCTGCTTGCAGATATGTCTCCCGCTGTTTTCAAGAAGCTGGCAAGTCAAGGATTAGACGAAGGAGTTATCCCAGTCTCGTGGACCGTAAGTCCCTCCCCACCTTGACGCTTTCGTCTCTGACTTCGGTGTAGTACCAGTGAAGGATACCGCGAATCGTGGAACGCTGCACGAGTTCCTCACGAACTGCTAGGCAACAAGTAGCAACAAAAAAATAATACATTCGCCCTCACCTACAATCCTCTTTTATGCCTAATCATTCCCCTATACCCTTCGTTTCATCCCATGCCATCATCGCGTCGCCCGATCATTCACACGTCACTCCTTCCAGCAGGACTGGGTAATGGGCCCCAAATGTCTAGGTTTGCCTATTATTCCCTGGCAACCGTTCACGCCTCCTTCACGCACTCTGTTGTTGTTGTTGTCGCCACATTCGATTCGTGTTTTTTTTTTTCTGTTTCTGTTTCTGTTCTGCTTTTTATCTTGATATATACCATTTTGGATTCAGTTTCTTTCAGCTGGCTGCTTCCCGGGGGGCCGTCCCGATACAATGAGGAGCACCAGTCGCGTGGCGGCCTCCTGGCGCATTTTCCCTCTTTTTTTGCCTCGCAACCAGAATCGTTCTCGCTTCCATCTTGCGTTATCTCTGCTTTCCCTTCCCCCCAACCCTGTATTCAGTCAATTTCACGATGTACGACACACCAATCTTGTACAACTTGGCATAGAGTCACTGAAACATGACAACGTTTGTTCAACTAGCGCGCTGATCCCACCAATTCCCACGGCCTTGATCATGCATAGCGGAATTAATCGGTGCATGATATTCCACATGTGCGTCGCGTTGTCGTTGACAAAGGCGCGGGCAGCGCTCATCGAGCCTTTCCTTCGTGCCGATGAATAGGGTTACTAAATCTTGCGGACAGCGGATCAGAGGGTCAATCTTAGGCCTCGCACGTCCCCACTTAGGCTGCTGGTCCTCGGGTTCACCGTCCTATTTACCCTCTTTTTTTCCAGGATGCACTGCATCGCTAAGCATAAGCGAAGCATGAGGCATTTCGCCTTTCCCCAAAGAGTATTTCCACCAGCAACACGCAAGTGTGCTTGTGAATCGATGTGTCTTGCAGATCCTCGCGTCGGTCATCATAGATGACTAACCGTCAAGTGATCTCATTTTCGAACGCCTCTTACATATTAGCTCGGACCTCGCCCAGCCTTTGGGGGGCAAGGTAATTAACAATTATAATATCAATTTCCAGTGTAAAAAACCGGCCTGATGGGAATCCGTCCGAACCAAGATGCACGTTTTGGGGCGCTTTTTGAATCCGTTTATGACCCCGTTTTTCTTGGTGGACGTGTAACCGCCCTTGAATATTAAGCCTCGAGGAAATTGTTGGATTCAAACAATTTCTATATCATGCATGTATGCTCACAGCCCTTGCTTAACGAAAGATATCCGATGAATCACCTGGGCCCTTTGTTCATCCTATAGGGGAATGAATGGCGACCCTTCCCCTTGTCACTTCCATGGATGCATCATCATTGTTCGTCTTCTGTGACAGCTGCGAGTCCCGTTTCGAAGACATACAAAGTTACCCGTACTCGGGGATCCATCCCTACCAGCGGGGCTGTTGCTTTCCTTGAATATGATCATCGCCGTACCGTATCCCTCTGCGAATCAATCTAAGTTGCCATGAGGCTGACCAGGCGGACAGCACCCGTGCATGGCACCGGAAACAACCAAAGCCTTAAAAAAGAAAAATTTCGGGCACTGGTCCGAGGTCAAAAACGAGTGGAATTATATTGAAAAGAAGCGAAAGCGATTTCAAACGCATGATAAGGCCTGGCTGTCTATCAAGGTATATCGAACTCCATGGAGCGTTTCAGTCAACGGATGAAATAAGTGGGGGGGAAGGATGTGATTGAGAAAACGTTGGTGAATGAATCAAAAAACAGATTCTTTGAAATTCGGTTGCGGCGAGCGGACCCCTCCAGACTCGTACAGTTTCCAACGTTCGATTTGGTTCAGGGTATGCAAGTGCAAGTGCACCTCCGAAGGGGGGTCGGAAAGGGTAGTTTGACGGTCCATCAGGACAAAGTACTTGGGCAGTCCTTCGTGAAGAGGCGGGTACGGGGATTTCAGGGCGATGCCTGGCATAGATCGCTTCTGGAATCCTTTCCCGTAGAGGGATGTGCTGGTCTTGCGCTCTCCGGTCTTTAAGAGTAGGTATCTCGTTCGTCTAGAACTTTTAAATAATCCAACACCCCAAAACTCAGCCAATACAGCGCAAAAGTGGAGCGACAGAGATATGTCCATGTGTCCTACCGAATTGTTTACTTACCAGTTTCCAATACGATTTGAGCGGGTCGTTCTCCAGCCGCATGGCAATGCCGTACTCCGGAATTATCGGTTGAACTCAGGACTGCTCCTCTCCTTTCAGCAAAAATTTGAAGGATGACCCCTCCTCTTGAAGCCATCCCTACCCCAACTATCCTCAACGTTGGGAACGTACATACTGAAGCCAGTACAAAAGAGCAGCAAGGATTTAACTGGGCTTGGTGATCCAAGCCCTGCCTCATTCCGTTGCTTTGAGCCTTCCAGAACGAGCAAGGCAATCAGTCCCGCCCGACGCTGTTCACCTGAGCACTATCGTACATAGGGGGACATGGAAAGGAATGTCTGAGGAGCACGACTCGAGGAGAGAATCTCACGAGACGGCGCGAAAAATTCACTGGATAACCGGTCCCACGCCTTTGCCCTAATGGGGAGATCCTTATGAGAGCATGGGTGGGATTAATGGCGGCTCTGGGATATCTGGGCAGATGAGTCTGGAATCCTATGGGCCCCCTGACTGAACGATCCCAGAGCGCGCCATGTATGTGGGATCTAGAATTGAGGACCTGGGCCCGGACTTGCTCTTGACTCTCAGAAGGACGTGTGCTAGGACGCTAAGGGTGCAGCCTACACAAGGAGACATGAGGTTGACGAGCGTGCCATCTCTCATTTCATCGAATGATCCTCCCATCACGCTGAAGGAAATCAGGAAAAGAACCCCTTGACCCGGCGTCATTCGCGGAAGTGGCGGACGCTCAGCTGAATGGTTGGTTAGCACTGAGGCACAGTACGGTGACGCGCTGCTGATTCCCTAGTGGATCACTACGAGATGGGGCAAGGAATGGCTGGGGTGCACTTTTGAATCCTCGAAGCCGCACCGAAACGCGTCCCATTCCTTGTTTCGAGGCCCTTCTCATTACTCCTGAGCGGGTCTGGTCTGCCCATGACCGTGAATGATGACTGAATGGTGAAGTCAAGTCAGCCTCATCTATAACGCCGATGTTAGGACGAAGGACACAGGGATGCGACGGTTAATGCTCGATACGTCAGTTCGAGCACCAGAACTGTGCATCACCGATAGTTCCGGGGGCCAGATAATTGGATGATAAGTATCCTGAAGACCATCGCCCAAACAGACGCGAGGCAGGGGCACCAAAGATAATCCACATAGCAGTTAAAACTGGCGGGCTGGATGTCAATATCTACCTTCCTCTACAAGATGAGCTGAAACATGAACGCGTTTCAGCAGCTTTGCGAGCAGGGGGAACTGTTGAAGGCGCCGAACATTGATTGTGAGGCATTTTCTGCAACAGTAAACAAAAACAAACAAAATGGCCCTCGACACAAACAATAGCACTCAAAGATGTTCCCCTGGTGTATAGAGTTAAACTCGATCCCCCCTGGCTCGACACAGGTCAGAACTGCCGTCGGTCTAAGAGGCTGGTCACCTGGTCCTTGGGCCATTGTCCGATACCTGGTGCCGCAAATGGCTCTATGTTGGTGCTGCGTACATTGACAGGAGACTAGCCAAAGGAGTGTTGATGCATTGACCACTTTTATGATCTGTGGCTCACACTCAGAAAGAATGGCAGAGACTATAGATAAAACACACATACTGGCCTTCCCATGCTCGTCTTTTTTGTGTTCTTGGCTGGATTAACTGGTTCCGCAGCGTTGTGTAATGTTGCTGGCACTATTGCCGACTCGTTTGGTGACGGCGCCGCTGCTGGTCAAGGAATGGCTCGTAGGTAATTGATTTTTGAGAATGAATCATTGCGGCTCAGGTTGTTGTGGTTGTCTACGAGCGTTGGGCCGTCCCTTGGAGGTCCGGTTGGTGAACGGTTCGCTGAGAATCCACAAATGGGATACCCCTGCCAGATTGATGTTACCATTGGTGCTATATATGCTACAGGCGTGGCACTGCTCCCCGAGTGCATTTGTTTCGTCTCTTCTCTTCTTGATGGTCACTTATATGGATTGTGAAACTTCCAGGACACTTGCAGGTGTTGTCATTCCCAGGACGGGCAAACAGAAGGATGGCGTCGAAGTGGAATTGCCCATGTCGCGCAGGATCGTTCTGGATGGCGCTATCTCCGCGTTTACTATGGCCCTTAAGATCATGATCACTGAACCCATCGTCCTCTCCTTAGGCTTATACAACGATCGGTTCTGTGCATTTCCAAACAGCCAAGAATTAGCTGATGGTCGATGTACATATAGGCTTCAGTTATGGTCTACTGTTATTGTATCTCGACGGTCTATTTCGACGTGTTCGTCGTCAGCTACGGGTTGTCCTATATGTTCATTCGTAATTTTCAATTCCGAATGAGGACATAGATATGGGCGGCAGCCTCACATTCTTGAACTTCGCAGCCGCGTCAGTCTCATAAGCAATGACAGACACTTACCTATTTGAATAACCAGTGGGGTGATCTCGTTCGTCTTGTTCGTGCCGGCTTGTCAGACGGGGTCGCAAGAAGAACGGCGGGAAAATTCGTCCAGAGTCTCGTTTTTTGGGCTCCCTAGCCGTGTGCGGGCCCCTACATACGGTCGACCTCCAGAGCTTCTCGACTGAAATGGCTTGGTTTTCCAGTGTATGGAACTTTCCCATTTCATTGTTCTGGTTCGCATGGACGTCAGCGCCTGGCTTGGGACACACCTCGTACTGGAGCCCTGTCATGGCCGCAATTGGGTCGTCCCGCCTTATTCAATCCCCGTGCAACGTCCTTACAGTGGCTTTTTTTCAGCCCTCCTTGGTATTGTTAACCCATTTCTCTGGCTGGAAATGCAGAATTATATCGCGGGTAGGTTTTTGGTCATTCACCAATTTGGTGTGCTTACGCACACCTGATCTCGAAGACTCATACCCGAATCTGGCTGGTTCGATGATCGCTGCTTTTCCCATACCATCCTCCCTCGAAACTCTCTGATCCCGAATCCGGAGTTCAGCATATTACGGCAAACTTGACTGCTGTTGCTCACATTCCCTGCGAGTGATTGACAGTCTAGTGCACGACTCGAACACATCGGGATTAGTATTAGGACTGTGCAATGAACACACCGACCTAGAAAGTCTCAGCTGGCTCCCAACCCCCTGAACTAAGATTTGTCCACGAAGTTTTGGCTTGTATCATGTCAGAAGGTCAGATCCTGGGCTCTTTACTAGCTAGTAGCTCTTGCCTTGATTGGAGCCTCCCACACACCCAGCATGGAGGGTCTAATCTGGACCTTCGCGCGGCTCGCGTCCGACGCCGTGTCACCGAGCGAACTACCCGCTCCAGGGTCCACGACTCTGGGAAATCTCCTTGCCGTAACCATCATATTTAATTACATGACTCCGACTCTACACATCGCCAGTGGTCACTTTTTCGCTGATGGCCTCGTACACCACGTATGCGGTACGGAACCTGCGTATTAGTGTGCAATTGACACCTATATTAACTCTTAGGTTTCATTCTTATAGTCGCGTTATACATCTCTGCTTCCATGAAATTCTTCTTTTGGACAAGATCAGAGGAGCAACTGGCTACCAAGGCGAAAAGGCTGGAGGACTTTGTTTGGTTTGGCTGACTTCATAGTGCACAATGAGATGTACTCAGCCCATACGCCAGAGATAATGCGAATAGAACCTAAACCCCTGGGTACAGCCTGCTTAGACACGCTCTTCCGCTGTCTAAGCTGCAAGTGAAGCTTATTGGTAAAGAACGACCACCACTGACCAATGAGAAGCTCACCGTAAAGACGTCCGTTTCTTACTTCTGGCATGGTGGTTACGAAGGCGTAGCCCGTGAATTTGGCACGGTGTGTCAACCATGAGGAACCGGGTAGCAACAATGAAGAAAAGAGGGAACGGTCGGGTTGGGTTCGTGCGTCTACGATTTCTTGGATATAGAGACGCAAGTCATGAGGTCTTCGACACGTAAAGGAGAACGAATCACTGGGTTTCTGCTGAAGTGCAACCTCACGATGTGACCAGCACCCGTAATGTGCGGCCTAAATTGAAAATCCTGTCGATTCGAAAAAAAAGGGACCGAAATACTCACCACCCGAGTTTCATCTTGTTCCACCCAGTCATTGTTGAGAAAGGTCAGGGTGGCCCGTCAAACCTACATTGAACACCGCAATGAACGCATAAGCCAATTTTTAAAAGCAAAAAATCCTATCTATTAGGAAGGAATGGGTCCGAGATATGTACGATAACTATTCGCCATTTGAGCTCTAGCCGCAGCATCGATAGTGGATTGTTTGTTACACGCGTTCCGCCGAACCTTGACAAGCCCTGGTACAACATGGCGCTCATCGAAGGCGCCAATGTATCGTTCCCCGAAGATAACCCAAGTGTACTACATTGAGGCTTGGACTTGATGGAATAAAGGAGGTGCTGAATGTACGGGTCCCCCAAAATGGATCCGGGCACATCGCTCTCACCTGGTCGGCAGAACGGGGTGAGTTTATTGCATGAAGCCCGATCCCCGGACTACAAATCCTGGCGTGGCCCCACTTTCCCACTTCTCGCCCCTGGTCCTGTGTATTCTTTCCTTGGCAGGTGACACAGTCTATGAGCATCCTTCCGGAGCGGATATTCAGGTGAGTCTTATATAAATCATGCACGTTGTTGACCATCACACACATCCACTCCTAGAAACGATGCCTTGGTCGGTCCCCGTCAAGCGTCAATTTGAAAAGGTCCCTGCCAACCCCTCCAAGGCTGACTTCCATGGGCCTTATAATAAACTTCTTTACTCTCTGTTTCCGGCGGACTCCTTGTTTATGGTTATTCCTCCGCTGCCCGCTTCGCATGAGTCAGCCGACTTCCTCACCTTGTTTGAGGTTCTGTTTGAAGATAAACCTGTCATCATACTGGGGCTAAACCCACCCAGCCACCTTCGTTACCCTTCCAACCGCAAAGCCGCTGATAAAGAAATTCGGGATCGCATTATCGATTTGATCGGTTCGTTGGGATATACTCTTAACTAAACCGGTTGGAAACTGATGCCCCACCGACACTGGCAGATGATTGCCCCATCCCTGTTCTATTTGCCGTCCATGCGATGGGAACGAAGCTCTGCTTCTTCACCAAACGTTCTGGCCAGCCTGTCCAACCGCGGGCCATTTCCCCTGGCCCTACATATGGGACCAACACTGCACCACGGGAGCGCTGGGAGTATGACATTCTGGAGGAAGAGGGAGAGCTGAAATTCCGAGAAATGGTTGAAGAAATAAAGCAGGCTTGTGCTGCCCTCTGAAGGTCATGTACGTCTGGTTGAGCATGGATCAGCTATTTTGAAATTGTGTTTCCACGCCACAACTTGAGGGGGAGTGTTGGATTGACAAGTCATGATGGAGACCGCCCTCACTTTCTTCGGTACACATTCGAAGCCATATGGTTGTTTCTTTTGTGTAACCTATGGTGGACTCTTATTGTTAGATTGCTCTTCTGCTGCAGTGATGTTTACATAATGCACCCCTGCCAATATACCTGCCGACAGATGCTTTCCATCTTGAGACGACAATTCAGTTTGAGCCCCGGTCTGATATGCGATCGGCAAAAGCGCCAGAAAAAGGGTGATTATGAGACACGAATGACCTGCTGTGCAGATAACAACGTCGCCTGGTCCCAGCTATAGGCAGGTTACCAGCCTCTGAGCCAGCTACAGTGACCAACAGATCCAAGCAAGGTCATAGTTGCAAAGCAACCTTGATAGTATTTGGATATTACCTCAAGACATCAAAGTAGGGTTTACAAATTCGTGGTGTACTTGGACCGAGCCGAAAAGTAGCAGAAATTCATGGTCCATTGCATAGATGAAATACGTATTGGACTTAGTCTATGTCGCGTGAGACTCAGACTCGTATAAGAGATCTAAGATTGTAAATACCTATGTCGCGTGAGACTGCGACAAGAATTATACATGAGTTATAGGTAGAAGATATAAGATGGTTCTCACCTCAGACTCGTATAAGAGATCTGAGGGAGAAAAGTCTAAGAATTCCTCCCTTATATATGCGACATTCCTGTCGTCGTACAAAGGGAGTTTTAAGTTGAATAAGAAGGGCAAAACGCCTCAAAGCGCCCCAGAATGACCGCAACGAATAACCGCCACACAACTTCCCGATGTAAACAAAGTTGATATTCTAATAATACGTCTCCAAGACGGATAGAATGGGCAGTCGTTGCTTGAGAGTAATGATTCCGGTACAAAAACGACCAAGATCACTGCCAAGCGATTGGCGAGAGGGATACAGCCGTTTAAGCATCTGGAAAATTACTCAAATGAAAACACCCGTGAGTGAGGTTAATAAACTTGCGATGTCGGGCTAACCGATTTTGACCGCTAACCGTCGAATGAGACAAGGGTCTTGAATACTATACTTCCAAAAGAGCTAGTAGCAAGCAGAAAGCGTTTGAGAGCCAGCCATCCTGATAGTCGCGGGGAGGAAGTCTAACCTTTCATTCGGGTGCTTCCATTACCTTTGCTTGAATAAGGAGCAGAGACACCCCCAATTAAGCTTTCGTGCAGCGCTGACGGGGCTTCCGGTTGTATTGGAGTCGGCAATTACTGACGACGTAAAGACTACCATCCTCTATTAGGGAGCCACATGTACTAATAATCCTTATTACATCATGCACAACAAATGACTAGGTTGAAAGAGAGTATTGCAAGCAGTGCGATTAGGGATATCCATGGAAATATTCCAGCCAAAATAGAAAGAGGGTTTTAAGGCGGAGGTGCCGTATTATTGGGTTGCTGGGCCATTGAAGGTGCTGTCACAATGGCTCTAGCAGAGAAGAGGACTCCGCCACGGTGAGGTACACTTGGGGCTTGCGCAGGGTCATAGTCTTGTAGAGTCTTGATGTCTGCAGCAACACGTTTGCGTTCTTCGGACCTCCGCCAGACGAGCGTCCTGTATCCATTTGCCGAACAGAAAAGGAGAAATATTACCAAAGTGACAAGGATTCCCGCTCCGAAAAGCTATATATTCATGTGATCAGCTCAAATCATTGGAAGCCATAGCGTTAGAGCCTGCTTACACCGTATGTTGCGTATGCCACAGGTTGTGGTGGGATAGTGAAGACAAGTGGCGCATCCTCACCAGCGGCACCATGTGGGAATGACCCTATAGGATAATCCAGCACCTGGATTGAGACCATCAACCACAACATAGCAGCAACTACAGATCCCAAGGCCCCGTAGACGCCCACTGCAATGATGATCTCCCATATGTAGGGGGTAGTGAATGGGTAATCATGGAGCCGCGAGCACCACGTTAGAAGTCCTTGGACCGTGGAGGTGAGCATGAGCCCAATGGTGAATAAAGCGAAGCTATAGCACATATATGAGACATTGCCACGCGATGCCCTACGTTGGACGTCAGAGAAGGGCTACCTGGCAGTAAGGATGGGCTTACGAGGTCATTGATGTGTAACTTAAACCAGCACCGAGACCACACACAGCAGTCATTGCCGTGATGAGATTGTCGTAAGCATTCCATGCGTCCTAGATCATTGCATTCAGATGGATCCATCGACTTGGCACGTGCAGTTTCACCTTCGCCCAATCCGCAATGCCTACAGGAAAACAACACTGAGCATCAAGAAGCTACGAGTTACGAATTGATGCTCGCCTTTATATCCGGTATTTTGCATGCATGCTTGTGTTTTGGCGAGCTCGCGTATCTCTTTAATCTCTAATTTGACTTCATTGACCTGACAGCAATGCAGAAGCAGAGTCAATATGGGAAACTTATCCCACAAAACGACTCACTCTGTTATCGATAAACTTCCGGTTGGTCTCGCAGGCTTTCCAATCCTCAAAAGCTTTACGAAATTCCTGAAGACACACTGAGTGCGCGCTTAAATGATAGGAACGACGATTACGCACCTCCCTCGGGGAATTAATCGTTACATTATAGACCTTTTCTAATGCAGCGTCCTCTTCCTGGGACGCTCGTGCCAGCTTCATTGAAGGAGCAGAAACAGGGGCTCCATTGAGGTTTTCCCAGAATCGCTCAGATGAGGGACGTACCAGAGTCTTCAATTTTGAGTAAGCATCTTCCCGTCTCTTTATCAATTCGTTTCCCTTATTTTCCGTATCAGCCTAATACGAAACAGCACATTTAGTATCGGTTTCAAGCTTTAGAAACAGGGTTTACTTGGAGATGCTGGAACCCAGGTGATAAGCTAGGCAGCATTAGACCTGAAAGCCCTCCTCGGCCGGCGAGCTTAATCGAGGGAACATATACAATCCATATGCTCATGTTCAAGGCAACTCTATAAACTGGGAAGATGAATTCTAGTTTGTGCCTCGCCTCTGGCTGTGAAAACGCATCCTATACGCCAAATGGCAAATTGAAAAAGCATGGAGGATGGGTGTGAAAGTGACATACGATGAGTAAGACGAAGGATGACCAAACGAGCACTAGGAGGCTGAGAGGCAGGAGAGGGACGACGAGCAGTATCAATGCCAAAGCTTTTGTAACCATTACAGAGGTAATATTGTCGTTGGCGTGTTCCCTGTAAAATTCCTGGGCCTTCTCGAACATATCAACGTCGCTAAAATTAATGCATTCATGTGCTCTATAGGGAAGACGAGCGCTATGTCCAGAGTATGATTTACGATATTCATCGGTGCTGCACTGATACGGTTGATCTGCTCTTGCAGCGGATTGGAACTCCGTCTGAAGATGTCCGAAGAGTGTTGGATTGCCGCCTTGATTCCCTTCTTCCATTGTTGCCGGACTAGGGGACAAGAATGGTGGCAGATGAATACTTGAGCACATCAGGAGCTGGGCGCTTAGCTACTCTATGAGACGTTGCGCGACTTGGGGTATGCCCAGAGGAACACCGGGGCCCACTGGTCTCACTGGTCGGCACTGACGAGTTCGTAGATAAAAAATTATACAGATGGGCGGGCGCTGACACTGTGGCCAACATCAGCAGAAGTCAACGGGGGAATGTGTATAACCTACCAAGCTGTCAATGCACAGATACGAAAACCGAAGCTTTGCCAACGAGAGTGCCTTAAGACAGAGAGTGTAAAGGAAGCCTTGAGGCGCCTAAGTACTCGGGTGCCTGGGCTCGGTGGCTGTGCACCAAACACGACGAATTTTATCGTTTTTGATCAATATCTATCGTTCGACAGGCGGGGGCAACCAATATACGAGGGAATCGAGAGGATTCTGTCACACAAGTATAATTTGTACTCCATTACTGTAAATCACAAGTAAATCACAGATGATCTGCAATAGCATTACTTACATAAGTAATGGTTGAAGATAATATCCCGTGCCTTCGTCCGATTCTTAGCACCCACCCGACAATCATACCACATTCGTTGGAATAATGCTAGTTGGTGTTCCTTGCGGCATCAACCATAAGTATGCCACCATTGTCTGTTTCTTAATTCTGTTCATGTCTGCGACTATTCCACACCTCTGACTACTCTCTGTTTTCGCTTCCTGTTGTCTTTCATCCACGCCTATTTAGCTTGTATCGGTACGTGGCTAGCTCGCCTGCGCAATTGCATCTGCCGCAGGTTCATCTGGACTGTGTTCACTACCCGCTGGCTCAGACCGATTAGACACTACCATCAGCTTGAAAAAGGAGCCAGCGTGCATTGGCCCGAAAATGCTCCAAATTTGGCATATCTCGAACCTTATCACTGTCTGATGCCATCTATGTAACACAGAATGGCAACGTGAATTGATGCGGCAAGTTGCAACAGCGATGGGGCACAGAACTGAACCAGATGCACAACCACTGGAGGCTGCCTCGGCTCTATAGTTGTGCAAAGACAGGGGTGACGAGTCACCCCTGGAAAGCCACACCCACTCGGATGGTTTCAGCCAACCCACCACCGGAGAAACCTGTTCCCTCTCCTTCTATCTCAATAATATCTTTCTTTGATTCGTCCAAAGCGGCATCGCACGCTGAGCATTGAGAAGATGGTTTTACCAACGAGTCACAGCATGTCTTGCAGATGACATGCGAGCACGGGCGAAGCACTGGGAAATTGTGGTGAATATTCTGAATGGCGAGACCAAAGCAAAACTCACAGGTAAGTTTGGTCGCATTGGTGAGTTCTTTTTTGCAGGATGGACAAATCGCTTTTGTGTGTTCGGGATTCTTCGATGATGCATGGGACACTGGGCCTGGAGCGTCCGAGGACTTGTTAGAGCTTGACTTCACGTCATAAGAGAATATGACCGGAATAAGGGACTTCATGCTAGGATCAATTTTCTGTTAGTAGGCCGCGCTCGTGTGCCTAATATCGCGACTGCTTACTTCATGAGATGGCTAGGTTTGCTTTGGTGGCAGAGACACTGTAATTTGATGTCCTTAAGCCTCCCAGGAGCGGCTTCCGGTGTCAGACTTGGGAGCCAAAAGTCGGGTAACTTCGCTCTTCGTGCTTCCACCTGTTCAGCTTCTATTTGCCTGAGAGCGGCTGCTTCAGCTTCTTTAGCGAGTTTATCCACCGTCTCTTGATCAAAAATGGAAAATTTTCGTTTGGATCCTCGGAACGCTGACCATAGGAAATGGGCGTGATGCACATGTACGGTACTTGCAGTTATGGAAATATGTATCTACGAACCTTCAACTGATGACTCCGATTTCCCCACACCCTCTGGCGGCTTCAAGTCTGTCCTCTTCCCGCCAAGCCCTAACTGGTTCTTTTCAAAATCAGAAATAACCCGTTCTCTTGCCTTTAAAATTGCGGTTTCTCGTTCCTCCTCTTCTTCAGCAGCCATAGCCTCGATTTTTGCTTGGTATCGTTTGATTTCCTTCCGTTGAGAGAGAAGATCCGAGTAAACACACTCTTTGCAGTAGAGATGTCCACGAGAGCAGGAAACGGGATCGCGAGCGCGCTGGAGGCAAAGGGAACAGGAGTCAAACTCCCTCATGGACTCCGTGCCAAGACGTTGCTGTTATTGGCACAATCAGCCTTTGTGGTCGCACCAGGAAGGGTGGGTCAAGAAAGCACCTTCTTGGTGCCATAGTATGCACCAAGCTTCCCTCTTTCAGCATATGTGAAGACGCTGCAATACTACCCGTCAAGCTAAGCTTAAAGGATGGAAATGACCAGTTGGGATGCAAACCTGGAAGCTGTATTATTGCGAGAGTGCTTAGTCTACATTCCTAATGTTAGGATATCGATTCCATAGAAGAGATTCGCAACGCTCGCCATCTCTAGCGCAAGTTTTGACCACAGAAGGCGATAGATCAGGTTGTGCAAAGCCGAATTATGGAATAGGAGAGCCGAAACGCCCTGCGATACTGGTGAGCTGACTCAATTGCGTCCGCCGGAGCTGACCGAGCGAATTCAGTCGTGTTCTGTGGCCCCGACTCGAGTTTCGCTTCTACGTCTTTGTCCGCTCTGCCTCCTGCCATTTCAATCTTCTTTCTGATACCTTTTCACACTGTGCCTCAGTAATGGGGAGGAAGGCGGCAAAGGCCACCAGAAAGCTCGCAAAATCGGGCGCACTCAAGCGAACTATAGATGCCCGACGAAAGCACCAGAAAGTCAGGAAAGGCATTGAGCGACGAAAAGGGGGGAAAAGAAACGCGCAGAGTGCTCCCTCGGATGATCCTAACTCTGATTTCACTGACCAAGAAGATGTAAAACCCAAAACTCGGAGCAGGCGCGCGGCCGTTGATTTTATCGGTGAGGATGGGGAAAGTGGGGAGGAATTAGACCAATCTGTGCACCCTTCGGGGGATAAGTGCGTCTACTTATCCTCAATTCTGGGCATGTGTTGATGATGGTTTCAGGTTCGGGAAAATGTCCATCGATGATTTGCTTGGTGGTGACTTCATGAACGACGACGAGGATGACGAGGAAAGTTCTGATGAGGAGGAAGGAGATGATGACTCCATCGATGACCTAGAAGGTTCTCATCCATATTCTCTAATGGGTCTGTACCTGTCTGAGTTTCCCAACATAGACGAAGAAACTGTGCACAAGCTAGATTTGGCAGTTCTTAAGGAGAAGGACCCAGAATTTTACAAGTATCTCCAGGAGAATGACCCAGAACTGCTCAACTTTTCTGCAAAACCACCTCCTCCCAAGGACGATGACGATGGGGGGTTCGACCTAGTCGGCGATCAGAACGATGAGGAAGCCTCTGCAGGGCTCCCTGTTTTAACCCTTGACGTACTTGGAGGCTGGCAGACAGCAATACTTGAGGTAGTGTCGGGGGTCACCTGGAAGTTTTCCATCTGGGCAATTCACATTCATTCTTTAGACCCGGTCATTGGGAGCCTTGCGGAAACTTCACGACGCTTTCTGTTCCGCTGTGTCGATGAATGACGAGTCTAATCGCGCAACTCAATCCCCTTCTTGGAACATAGAAGACTCTGACGGTACAGAACACTAGCTTTTTCGTATCTTTGGGGATTAAGAGCGTTATTCGCAGTGTTCAACAAACTGATTGTGACAACATTGAAGTTCACGCCCGTCGTATTTGAGCACCATGCCCCAACCAAGGTGACGAGAGGTGGAAAAATGTGAGTGTAAACTATTGTAGAGATGTTCAAGGGCTTATTGCGTCTTCCCAGAAAACCACCCAAACGATCCCCAACACTTAGAAAGCTTTCTCGCCCATACCTCCAGAGCATCGTCCATCTTGTCCAACAACTGTCAGATGCGGAAATGCAACAGCTTGCCATCCAAGAGAGCTCAAAACTACTACCGCACTCCTTTACCAGTCGGAAAGTTGTTCGAGCTTATTTAAAGGTGCGAGAGTGGACCCCATATTTCTTTGTTGGTTTTTACCCCTCTGCTTCTTCTTCAGATGTGTCTGGAGCTATGGGCGACCGCTGCGATGAATGTCCGACTCGCATCGTTGTTCGCTTTGCGAAAACTTGCCTCGGCTGGGAACGAGTCTATTCTCAACGATGTCCTCAGAGTAAGCGCTGTGTTATCAGATAGACATCCGCTTCATTATGATGTCTTGGCGCATGGTTTAGGGAACCTATACAGCATTCATCCATGCAAGCAAAACTCGGCTCACTGCCCACAACTTGCCTTCGGTCAACCTCATGAAGAACTCGGCCAGTGAACTTTATTTTGAGCACCCTTCGGAGGCATATCAGCTTGCCTTTGGCTACATTAGGCAACTTGCGATTCTTCTGAGGAACAACATGAAGCTCAAATCCAAGGTGTGAATCCAGATAAGTTTAAGTTGGTTGGGTTTTATGATGAACTTGTCACAGGAGTACCGAGGTGTATACAACTGGCAATTCGTGCATTGCGTGGACTTCTGGGCCACAGTGTTCGCGAAATCATGCAATCCTGAAGCGGAAGGTGCACGACGGGAGAGCGCATTGCGGCCACTGATATACCCCCTGGTGCAGGTAGCACTTGGTGCAGTAGAGTGAGCACGCCGTTGACGTCTGCCGGAAGCCACTGCTGACCGTTCATCGCAGATTGGTCTCTGGTCTTCGCCATTATCCGTTTCACCTTCAAATTCTTCATTCTATGCTCCATCTTACCCGGTATACGCGTACTCACATACCCATCTTCTCATTCATCGTTCCTATCATAACTTCCTCACTTAGTGACAAGGTTTCGAAGGCGAAATCAAATCTTCGGCCCCTCAGTCTACCTCTTCACATACGCTGTCCAGAACAATATTCACGGACACTCGTATATACCGAAAGTTTATGTGATGAGGCGGTCTTCGTCCTGGGCGGCTTCTGTGAATCCCTCCAGAACAGTGTGGCCTTTCCAGAAATTACGGTACCCCTGATTCTCACCTTAAGAAAGGCCTTAAAAGGAGCGCGCAACAGGGGGAAATGCGTTGCTATGGTTAAAGCGCTCATCGAGAGGATTGAGGATGGCGGGAGGTGGGTGAATGCGAAAAGGTCAAGTGTCACCTTCGCTCCGAGCAACACCGATGACGTCGACAAATGGGAGCGGAGCATTGAGATTGAAAAAACTCCAGTTGGGAAATGGATGAGGATTCAGCGCAAAGCTCGAGACAAGCAAGCTGCGTTGGCCCAGAAGGTATGTATCGTCGATTGTAGCATTGGAATGTGGACCTACTTTCCACCTACAGGCCCGAGAAGGCAAAGACCATATCCTTGACGATGACGATGACGAAGAGGCAGAGTAGTTATTCAGGATGTGAACCACAACAGCGATGAACTGGAACTCTCCTTTTGGTTTTGGTCGCAAGTTGAGTACGGTTCTATATACGCTCTGTGTAGTTTGAATACTGTCCAATCAATAATAACTGCGGAATGAACGCAGAATCATTGTCATGGCCGATCCAAGCTAGGCGCGGAATCAATGATCCTCAAGGATCAGCTTTGGTACCACATTCATGGCCATTAACTACGAAGTAGGTTAGATCTCTGCCGTTCGACTGGGCGGAAACAACCAACCTCCTGAAAAAGAAGTTTCGCTGCATATGGGATTGTCAATTTGGTGACCTTCTTGGAACTCTTGCATTTTGGGCACCACCCCGCATATCCCATCATACCACACGTTTGACAACAATGAATCTCGAAGGCATCGGATGAGATCATCAGCCTCTCAAGGAGAAGCTGGGTTGCTCCATATCCAATAAGACAGTCACGCTCCATTTCACCAAGTCGCAGTCCCCCATCTCGGGACCGCCCTTCAGTAGGTTGGCGAGTTAATGTAGCGCGCGGACCCCTGTGAAGACGTCTGAGCCATGGACGGTGCAGACTAAGATCGCACCTGCCTAGAACGAGCATGCATTTTATCCATTACCATGTGCTCTGCGCATCAAGTTAGCCTCTGTTCCCAGTAATTATAGGTACACAGAACCTACTCAGCTTCTGTGAAAATGCAGATCATTTCCATCAGGCAATCACTACATATACCCGAGGACGAGTCCCGTACCTGATAAAATATTGGACCAAAGTACACGTAAGCTTCCATTGGTTCTCCAGTTATTCCGCTTGTGAGGCAGTCTTTCCCACTGTAGCTGAACCCGTGTTCAATGAGAATGCGAGACATATCTTCAACCTGGACGCATGGTGAGAGTCACCAAAAAGGCGAGAAATGTGGCACCACAGACCTTTGAGCCCCCGAAAGCTGTCCCATATTGTAGTTTCCCAGCCATTACACCAGCCTGGAATCCGTCAGCGCGACGTGTGATGGTCAGGAGCGTGCCGTGCGTACTTTTCCAGCCAGGAGTTCGATCATCTTTCCAACCGTCATGCGGGAAGGAAAACCGTGGGGATTCATGATAGTGTCTAATCTATATGTTAAGCAGGCCATGCGACAGATTCGGACATAGTAACATACCGGGACAAATCCCCTGGTCATTGAAGGGCATGTCCTCTTGATTGACGATGAGACCACATACACCTTTCTGCCCATGTCTTGACGAGAACTTGTCTCCTAGCTCAGGACGCCTGGTTTGACGAATCAGGACCTTGACGAGAAGATCCTCCCGTTCGTTGTGGCTGAGCAGAACTTTATCAACCACACCCTCCGCCGGATATTTGTACGTGATAGGAGCATTTCGGTATTGTACAGCGGATGGAGGCCCAGAAAATGAACTATCAGCAGAATTTTGTGGCGATTGCTTGTTCACAAGAATATCGCCATGCCTGAGTACTTGACCTGGCGCACAGAGGCCATCACCCTCTATCGGGTGATACCGATTATAGCCAGTAACCTCTTCCTCCGATGGTCCAGCTACAATTCGATCATATGTCCCGTTTGAATAACTCTGGATAAGTGTTTGATGTTTTCTCATCACTTGGCATCTTCCATAACCACGGTCTAAGCTAGCCTATCATCAGAGAGATCCAGATGTAAGCCAGAGTGAAGGGAAAGTGGAAACGGCTAGCCTTATTCAAGATGAGTGCATCTTCAATATCATATCCTGAGTAGCTCATCACCGCAACGGTGGCATTTTGCCCGGCTGGCAGTTTGTCGTATCCGACAAGTTCTATTGTCTTCGTTTTAACCATAGGCTGTTGCGGGTAGACTGACAGATAGAGCAAGGTATCGATACGGTTAAGCTGGTTGTAGCCGATGGCTCCGATGGCCTGTTTACCCATGGCACATTGATACGTGTTTCGGGGAGATTGGTTGTGGTGAGGATAAGGGATGAGGCCAGCAACAGCGCCTAGTATCGTGAATGGTTCAATCTCCAGGTGAGTCGTTGAGACCGTTATTGATTGTTCGTCGAGGGCAATATGAGTATCGTTCTCCTCGTTGACGTCGAGATACTCTACCAGTCCCTTCTTGAGGAAATCCTCGAAAGTGACAGTGCCCTTCTTCAGCAGCTACAGTTGGCCATGAAGCAGAGATCAGCGAAGGAGAGGCAGTTGAAGCTTAAGGGCATACCCGGATATGATCATCAGTGATCTTGGGGCGCTGATTTTCCACAATAATCGTTGGCCGACAGATGCGTCCGCCATCACTTGCCACGTGGACTGTACGATGATGGTGGTTGGTGTAAACACTGACGAACTCACTGAAACGACCAGCACGTCTCAACTTCCGGAAGTTGGAGACGAGTCGAGCTGGAGTCCGGGTTAGCCCAACAACATTACCATTGACATTGACAATATACGTTTGCGGAGAATAAATCTCCGCCCCCGTCGACAGTGATATATCTGTATGTAGATATATTAATCCGAGTATAGTGTCAATATACTCTCCACACCTTCAACGCCAAGAGCAAAAACAAGCTCGATGATTGGTCCTTCTTCGACATCTGTCGTGATGTGCGTCATCAATGCCAGATTCTTGACCAGTCCGCAAGCTTCTCCTTCAGGTGTATCACTGGGGCACAGCATACCCCACTGACTAGGCTGCAGTGCGCGAGGTCCGCTGACTTTTCGTGTCTTCTCGAACTGACTAGTGATACGCGTCATCATCCCGAGAGCAGATATGAAACTCAGCCGACTGAGGACGTGCGTGATTCCGGCTCGCTCCATGCGAAAACGCTTGATATTCCAGTTACCTGTCGAGATTGCGCGAATGAAGCCGGTCCCGATCGATTCACCTTGATGCTTCATTGCCATCCCAACGTCAAAGACGCTTGTCCGAGACGGCTTCTCGAGAATCTTCTTGATCGTGCTGCGGAGATTTTGATTGTACGTCTTAAATAGGTCCTCGAATAGGAGAGACAAGAGTTGTCCAGCACTATTGAGGCAATAGGGGCTAAATATAAGCGAACCAACGATGGCGTCATGGACGTACAGTTCTAATCGCTTGTTCCCAACATAATCTCTATCATCGACCATCTTTTCATCTTTCATGGCCATAAGCACACGCCTTGCCATGATGCCAAGATATATGCCTTTGGGGCGCAAGTCCATATCCTTCACAGCGACATGGGCGAGGACAATAGTGGCCAGGGCCTCCATGGCATCTTCCCAAAGGGGTCTCTTCTGCTGCGCCTTCGCACCAATGAATGACTGCTTTGTGCGAACTCTCGATCCAAGATAATTCAATGCTTGCTGGCGCGTGAATACTTGAAGCTGGGCCGACTCCTCGATGTTCACGGAGAAAGCGTTTTTGTATGTCTCTGAATTGCCGGCACACAAGAGCAAGATCTCTTTGTCAGATTGAATAGATAGTGCTTTGAGGGCTACACATATGGGGATCTCCTCTGTGAAGGAGTTGTGACGAAGGTACAGGCGGCCATGTTTGGTGACGACGTAAGTCTTTGATTTGCGCTCCGCCGAGCTCCTACAACAAATTCATGAGCGACCAGGTGAATACACTTAACGCACGGGCATACGATGTCACCGAGGCCTGGATCGTCCCTTTCACAGTATCGGATTCAACTATGATACGATTTTTGCTTAGCTGCTCCTGGACAAGAATCACCTTTTCTGTCCCTTTCACAATGAAATATCCTCCAGGATCAAGAGGGCATTCCGTCATCCGAGCCAACTCAGCCTCTGTTCGACCATAAAGAACGCATTTGTTGCTTCGGAGCATTATGGGCAGCCTCCCTAGCATAATGTCGTCCCTTGTAACAATTTCGTTCCCTCGAGTATATCGGACGGTAGCGATGATTGGAGCAGTGTAACTTGTGTCGCGCAACCGGCATTCATGAGGAGTAATTGGCGTCTCGTAGACACCTCCATCAGAGTGTTCCGTTCGTTCAGGGTGACCAACCCGAACATCAAGGTATTTTAGGAAGAACTTCGGATCCTCCTCCACAGTGATTTTGTCATTGGCTCGAAGGATGTTCTTGATATCCACATCGACGAAATAGTTGAATGAGTCAATATGCTGCTTCACAAGCCCTTTGGCCTTGAGAAAGGCAGGAAGTAGAAGCCATTTGTCCTGCGCGAATCAGTGTTTGATAATCAGAGCAGAACCAGGTACATACCTCAACTCTCTTTATAGGATCTGTAAGGCCTAATCCTCTCCATTTCCTCCTCGTTATCTCTTCCCATTCTTGAAGACCTTCCACGTCAACAATCTTTTCCACTTTCGGTTTCAAAGGTGCTGACGCAGGCCTGCTGGGAGCCGGTCGAAGTCCATTTTTCGTTGTCGATGAAGGCCCAGACAGGGCAGCGGGGGCGGAGGCCCTGGGCCTTCGCGGGGGCATCCTTCAAATGGAACTACCGAGGATATTCGATCGACGACCTGCACAGTTCACGTGCACTCGCCAAAAATAATAATTCCCACATTACTCGGATTCTGAAAACACAAACTACAATGGCGTTTATCACACTCCGGGGTGCGATCCCCAAATCCGCTTTCGCTCGTTCTCCAGCTGCGCTGCTCAGTCAAAAGCGATCATTGGTTACTCTGTCCGAACATCTGGTATGTGCCGTGGATGGGATCCCAGCGCGTCAACCCTAATCTGAGATCTTCGCGTTCGGATAGTATACTGCGCGTGCCACGGCCAGCGGCGCTGGGAGGAACGGAACCGTTAAGTCCAACGATGGCACCGCCAGTAAGCACATGAGCATTTATTTCAAATCCATTTATACACAACCCGCTACACACTACCCAACCAGCCCCATTGGACATCAAACTGTCCATGCCAAAAGCGCTTGGTGGAGACGGGAAAGGTCATAATCCTGAACAATTATTTGCCAGCGGCTATTCCGGTGTGTTCATTCAACTAGTATTGTCTGCGAGCACCCGCTAAGCGTATTGTGTATCAGCGTGTTTTCTTGGTGCGCTTCAGGCCGTTGCAGCGCAGAAAGGGAAGAAAGATGCAGTAAAGGAGGCAAAAATTGACGTTGCCGTTCATATTGGACCTCCTACCGATAAGGTATCGATGGTTTGGATACGAATCTACTCGGGTGACCTGGCTAAGCACGCGTATTTCAATAGCCTGGCTTTGGGATAGCGGTTGATATCAAGGTTCACGGTGTCCATGATAAGGACCTCGTTGAAGCTGCCCATGAGGTCGGTCTCTGCCATCCCCGCTCCTGCATTCCCAGTTGACGCGCGTTTCTGTCTACACAGTTTTGTCCCTATAGCCGCACTTTGGCCCATGGCGCTGTCGTAAAAGTGACCTCTTGAAGTGACTCTGTAGTCCCCTCTTCGATCCCATTTTTGTTTTCTTGTAGTTGAATTGCTGCTATGCTTCTCAAGCCAAAGGCATAATTCATTCATGTGTAGTATCAGAGTTAGACGCTCAGCGATCATATACCGGAACTACGGTTGAATTCCCACCATCGGCAAACTCCCCCGCTCCGAAAGAGCAACAAGCACAGTTCAATTTATCCATCCACATCCTTCGTGTTCCTCACACATCTCTCGCTCTTGAGTTCGCCTCGATGACGTCCACGCCCACCAAGCCCGATGGAAAGACGAATCTGATTTTGGCGCGCCAGTACAAGGGTAAGTAGCCCGCGATCGCGGATCCGTGCCGTGCCTGGCCCCCCTGCCTATCACTCTGTGCAATGTGTAACCCGATGGGATGGTCAAGGGGGCTCATGCGGCTCTCCCTTATCCGCCATTCGTTGCACTGACGCATCGCCCATAGAACTGAAGAAAAATCCTGTTGATGGCTTCTCCGCAGGTATGACTATCGACCAGCCCGAGCGGTGCGGTCACTTGCTAATGCCATACTCATCTTGCAGGGCTTGTCGACGAAAGCAACATCCTGGAATGGGAGGTTATACTCATTGGGTGAGTGGGCACTTTTCAGATACTATGTTCGGATCCAGCGATGTACCCCATACCCCTAAGTTTAGTCATTGGACTTCACCTCATGGCATGTAGACCGCGACACGTTATTTCCATGCCTGCCTTTGCCTTTGTCTTAGGTCCGATCGCACATTACTGATCGCCCGCCTCCGCACAGGCCGCCCGATACCTTGTAGTATGTATCACTCAGCAAAACTCCGATTCGGCTCGTGTTGGTTAGCGCTCCAGAGCAGTACACCTGACCTAATTTTCCATCACAGTGAAGGAGGCATCTATCGTGCACGGCTAACTTTCCCTCCGGTGAGTTTACGCCAACCCCGTTGCACCCACTCCCATTTCATGATCGCGGACATTTCCAACTTTCCAGGAGTATCCACTTTTGCCGCCAAAGATGAAATTCTTAACCAAGATGTGGCACCCCAACAGTTCGTGATTGGAATCCCTGTGGAGGATTCGCTGACGAGTGAAATCTAGTTTACGAAAATGGCGAGGTTTGCATCTCGATCCTCGTACGTTGATTACCTTCCCACTTTCAGATTTGCTCCAACTCATTCGCGATACTTTCAGCATGATCCGGGAGACGATCAGTGGGGGTACGAGAAAGCCAGTGAACGTTGGTTACCTATCCATACTGTAGAGACTATTGTAGGTAGCCAAGCATCTGATCCGAGTCCATCTCTTCTCACTCAAACGGGAATGACGTCGCTCTCCGTTGGATAGCTCGTATCGGTTATCTCTCTGCTTAGCGCAGACCCCCCCAGCCTTGATAGTCCCGCCAATGTTGATGCTGCCGTAAGCCAACCTCTGCGTTTCTATGTCTCTTCCTCACCAACCCTTTTTCGTCCCATTATCAACACTCGACCCATACAGAGACAAGTGCGCACAGATCTCTCCGGATACCGCAAGAGAGTTCGACGTCTTGCCCGTGAAAGCGCCGAAGAGGCATACGAGTAGCCCACATGGGCCTCTGCCGTTTCGGGTTGTCCAAGGGACGACACAGCTCAACCTCAAATCTTGGCAAGCTAACGTCTTTCCTCAACTTGGGTCACGTGTCATACCATTGGTTCCGTCACTCTTTTTTTTTTCCCTTACGCACACAATGAATCGCATATTCACCTGCTCTCGAAGACCGCGTCATGGACAAGTGGTGCATAACGCACCTCAGTATCCCTGGTTGTCAGCCACAGTCTTCCCATCATCGATACAAAGGCTTTTCTTAGTTCTAATCTGTTATCCCTGTACTGAATCACTTACGCTCCTTTAATGTGAATGACCTTTTGCTGCAATCCGGTCAGACCCATTCCAAAGTATTCCATGACTAAATGAAAGGAAAGTTTTCATAATCGAGTCATCCGGACCCTGCGCCATTAATACAGTGCAAGGGGTCATATCATGACGGGTGCCCATATCCGAAGCCCGCAGCAATGGTAATTCAACCCATCCTCACCTGGGACAGAGGGTTGATTCAATAACAATGCGAATACTGTTAGGGTGCGCATAGTTTATTACCGGACATCCCTCAGATCTGATTGCAGAATATGAGTCTATAGTACGAGGGCTCCCGCCTGTGGCGTGCATGTCAGCTGCTGGGGGACAGTTCAGTATTATCCACGCAGATGTCTTCCTTCACAATCTGGAAGGAAGCCTACATACACAAGAGGCCAAGATCGTCACCGTTAAACGCTTGTAGAGAGAAATGAGAAATGCCGTGCGGCATCGGTATCTACTGATCACTCGAGACAGGGATGCCAGACTTCAGCCTTCGGGTTGACCGTTTTCGAGATCACGCTCTCTCATTGCTTCGATCCATTCTGCGCCGTGGAAAATCAGATGCAGCAGATACAGTGCGTCATGCTTTTTTGTTTGACAGCATTCAATCACATGTTAAGGGCGTTACCCTGTTCCAGGTGTCTGAGGACGCACATCTGCTCCACGGCGGGAGGAAGCAATGTTAGAGCTACCGCCACAGGTCTCACTCCTCGACTTTATAGGAATCCTTAAGACGAAAACGCCGTTCGTATAGTTTATTCAGGGCGAGTGTCAGTTATTTCTGACGGAATGACCATCAAGGGATAATCAGAAAAAGGAAAATTGCTGGTTTGTGACCTCGATTCTTGAAGAGATATCGGTGGATAGGTTTGATATGTTTGGTGCTTGCTACGCAACAGGTGAAGCGGCCCATATACGTTTTGCCAGAGACGTGCAGAAGAACTCGGAACAGATCCGAGCGTAGGTAGAACTCGTTTAATGATGGTAGCTACCTGTATCCAGTGGATTTCTAGTTAGACTCGCATCTCGAAAAAAATGAATCAGGCTACCCCCTGAGGGTTTCCCTCAAGCTGAATGACCAAGCTTGCATGGATAGTGAAATTTGCCGTGCAATAGTTTTCCTCATGATCCATCGTGGTTGAAACCTTCTGTTAAGCAATAACGTCTGTGAACACCCAGATCGCAATGAGATGCAACGTCGATCGTGGTGCAACATGGTACCAACTGCTGACGACCCTAGCGCAGCCGCGAGCGAATATTAGTGACTTAGCTCCCTTCCATACATCAGCAAACAACCACGATCGCGGTGATCACTGATCGCGAGCCATTCAATTATGTCCCGTACAATGACCCCACTGGAGCATGGTTGAGTTCACTCCGGCTTCGGCGGGCGAGGGGACGAAGGCAACCTTGATCGGGGGAAACCATATCAGAAATTGGTGTGCTATCACCAATGAAGCAGACAGCAGAGTAAATGCGTCTTACGACACTGCAGGAACCCGAGATGATTCTCACGCTAGATATAGATCATATTGATAACTGGGGAACGCCGCCTGAAGCGGCAGATCCCGCTACTCTTGCCTCGCATGCGTGTTCACTCTCAACGTTGCTATTGGCTGAGACGAAGCCCGAGATTCGCTCTGATTTCAGGACCATGTAATTTACACTGCAGCCATGCAACGAGCGGAATAGCACTGTATCGGGCAGAGAATGGACCCTGGGTTTGGGGATCATACAGGACCCTGTGCATAGGACAATTGAGTTTGGGAGAAAAAAACGTAGGACCCGCTACGGAGTAGCGGGAATTTCGTCGATTTCACGTACCGCGCGCCCTACTTGACATCCTTTTCGTTCGTACCGCTGGGAAGCGTTCCTTCTGCGCCGCGCGGACAAGCGTTGTATTAGCAGAAAGTGATCGGATGGCTCGGAACCTTCGCTATCGGCGAAACGCTGAGAATGAAAGACAACATCAATGAGTTTGGTGGTGCTGCGCTCTGTGTAGATGTGCTGACACAAGCAAAGTCATGGCATCAAACTCCCCAACACCTATATTTGGTAAATCGGGAGCAGAAAACGATGCCCAAGGTTGGGAAGAACACCGAATTCCGAATCATCTCCCCAGAACCTCTGCTACAGCCCGAAACCGATCACAGTGCGCACGCCAAATGGAGCAAGCAAGTTAAGTTATGAAGAAAAATGGCTGGGCTGGAAAGGACCATTAATCGTAATATTAACTTTTGCGTGGTATCCCAGAAGCTCGGATGATATCCTCAGCCACCCATCATCATCTAACCCGCAGTTATGTCGCGATAATTCTTCTGGATCAAGATGTTCCCCATCGGATGTCAGTTCAAAGGCTGACAGCTTAATCGCGATCGAGCCTGAGAAAGTCGAAATGGGCTGAAGTGGTTTGGCGAAGTCGCCTTCCATCTGGAAAGTCGGCGCTCAATAAGTAGGCCCGGGCTTTTGAGTGGGAGCACTTGTGCACTGACCTTGTGAACTCCATTACTGAACTCCCCATAGAAAGGTTGCGAGAACATTTTCTGGAAGATCTCAGACGTCCATAGGCGTGCGGATTCTGAATCGGAATCCTTTGTCCCGTATTGAACTTCCAGCTTTAATATGTCCACTATTTCGCCTCTCTGAATTTCGGTACTATTATACTTATCGATGGGCTCGGGAAAGTTCCAGGGGTCATTTTTTGTGAGGAGCGAACGCAAGCCAACAATGTAGCGGGAGGCGTATTTCATCAATGAACTGTCAAACATGACAGTTTGTTTGAAAAGGAAGGGAAAGCGCCCTGTCGACGAAGGGTCCAGTGCTGGGTGATTTAAGTATGGTATTTCAAGCTTAGCCTCCTGCGTGTGCGTTGTCAGTCTCGAATCATACGTCAGCGGCTACAACGGCGTTTTGCTTACTTGGAAGTCAAACTTGGCAATCCATGTACCCGTCTTATACTGACGCCCAATTTGAAACACTACAACGTGGTCGTTTTCACTGAGCCGAAGACCGCAGTCATTCTGGATTGCAGACGAGTCCCAAAAAGGGGAAGGCGAGATACTAGAGACGCTTGGAGGAAGAAAGCGTTTCACCAAAGTTCTCGGCAATATGATGGGAATATACAGAAAGTTATAGGTGCCTGTCGATACTGTCTTGGGACTCATGTTCACGAAGCTGGTGTGGTGTTATGTAAAAACTCCAGTGCCCGTTTTTCCAAGTGTCCAGGTCCAAATCTTGCCATGGAGGAGCGTGGGAAAACTTCACTGAGCCGGCCGAATGCGTTGGATTGAGAAGTAAGACTGCTCAAAGCGATACAGCTGTTCTTCTCGACGTCTCCAAGCCATCGAATGAGAGAAAGGCTATTGAGGATGAACTCTCCCGTCATTGCGGTTGTTGGGACTACTGGCGTTGGAAAGTCCAAGTTAGCTGTTGAACTTGCACTCTCTGTGAAGTCTAGTGCTGCCGATCACTCTTCAAGAGGTTTTACATGGAAGGATTCTCGTGTTCTCAATGCAGATGCCATGCAAATTTATCGTGGTCTGGATGTTATCACGAACAAGATGCCTGTTGAGGAGCAATGCGGGGTTGACCATCTCCTGATGAGTATCAGAAACGCCGGGGAGGATTATGTCGTTGGGGAATGGGTACATGATGCCAGCGATCTGGTGAGACATAGCTATCAGATGTGAGTTGACGCAATGTCCCTACCCGTACGGAGATCTGTACAGATCAAGGAATGCCACGAGCACGACACGATCCCGATTGTTGCAGGAGGGACACATTATTGGATACAGCATCTTTTATTTCCCGAGAGGCTTGCGAGTGACCCACAATTCCGATCAATCATAAGGAGTGACGAAACGGGAGAATCCCCTGAACTTGCCAGATCATTGTTGACGCTTCCCGGACATCTGAAATCTCTCTATGAACACCTTCCACATCGAGAGTCTATTGCCTCTATATCGGAAGAGGACTCTTACAATCTCCACGACTTACTGCATCGAATCGACCCTATCATGTCTCAAAGATGGCATTGGAAAGACTCGAGGAAAGTCTTGCGCAGTTTAGAAATTATAAAGGAAAATGGTCGGCTTGCCAGCCAAGTGATGCGTGATCAAGACACTACAGAAAGCCTCCCAAGGTATGTGAATACTATCTGAACTGCTGCGCCTCGCCCTCAAAAGGATCGTGTCCTAGGTACCGAACATTGATTTTTTGGATCTATGCAGAGCCGTCCCTTCTCGACCCGCGTCTGGATGGGCGTGTCGATCAGATGATCAAGGTGCATAAAAACCCTATTCCATTTTAAGACATTAACCGAGAGTGCTCCTAAGTCGGGACTGGTGCGCGAACTCCATAGCTTAAAAGCTGTAGCAAGCACTTCAAGAGCATCCGAAATTCCCACACAAGGCATATTCCAATCGATAGGTAGAAGGATCATAAATTACACATGTAGTTCTTTCTCATGTTTTGTCAAGGTTATAAAGAATTTTCCGCATATCTTAACGACGCCCCCGATACTTTTATTCCAGACCCATCTTCTTCCGTATCACCATCGTTTCTTGAAGGGGTGGCTCAAATGAAGCTTGCGACGCGGCAATACGCTCGCCGTCAGGTGAGGTGGATCAGGAACCGTTTGATTCCTGCGGTAGCGTCACCTTCGAGGGGGAACCGGGCCTGGATATACCTCTTGGATGCGAATGGTTTGTCGTTTCACTTCAGAACTCGCAAGCGTGATACAGTGACAACGTCATGTCAGAGCTTGGAGAGACCTGGGAGCTGAACGTTCGCGACAAAGCGGTATCAATCATGAATCGTGAGTTGTAAATGTCATCACGGAAATGACTTGGGTCTGAGTTTTTTTCACAAGAATTCCTTGCAAATCAGGACGATGACATGCCCGACCCACTATCCCTGTCGAAACAGGCTGCGGAACTTTTGCAGCCTCCGAAGTCTTCCTCATTGTGTGTCAAGGATCCCCAAACTTCGACTTGATGTTTTAAGCTAACTCTTGGATTATAGACCTTCTGAGCTTCTGAGCGCACGCCGTAAACGCATCTGCGAAATATGCACCAAAAATCCTACTCGACCGATTATGATCGAGGAAGGGAAAGAATGGAGGATGCACGTTAAATCTAGGGCGCATAGAGGTAGGGTGAGAAGGGAGCAGCATTTGGCAACAATACGCCAGTTGAGGGAGGAAGCTGCTGAGCGTGCGCGATTGAAAGCTGCTGAGGCGAGCGGTGGCACCACATAGTGTCCCTATCTTTAGGCAGGAGCAGTTTTTTTGTTTTAGTTGTGGATATATCTCAATGTGTGCCTGAGGAACACCTTCATAAGTTCATTTACGTGGGTCAGAATGAGTCATTCCTAACCCCTCGAATTCAATTGGAGGTACCAACTCCCACCTCGATCTTCACGTTACAATGCCAGTACAAGCACAGTCCGCAACGGCTTTACGTCGCCTTATGACGGAGTACAAGCAGCTAGTCTCGGGAGGTGCCCCGGATAACATGTTTACTGCAGGTAGGCTCGCTTGCGTGATCCTCTGATGGGACGAACACTGGCTTCTCCTGCATTTCCTAGGGCCGATATCCGAGGACAATTTCTTTGAATGGGTATCCGTGCCTGCACTCCTTTTGGTGTTTATGGGTCTTACTCTTAAACCATTCGTATAGGAAGCCTTGATCCAAGGTCCGGAAGACACACCTTTCGTGAGTGTGGGGTTGCCTGTACTCGCCTACCTCTCGTTGATTGGTTCCGCAATTCACCACTAAAGGAAGGTGGCGTATTCACTGCAAAGTTATCATTTGTGAGCCGAAGTGGCCCAGCCAGATGAACCATTGCATGCTTATGGTGGTTTGGATAGCCTAGCGACTACCCCCTCAGCCCATTCAAAATGAGGTTTGACCCGCCCGTACTACATCCTAACAGCAAGTAATCTCATATTCTCGCGTTTCGTCGCTGCTGAATGGGCGGCATCTTAGTCTACAAAGACGGCAATGTCTGCATTTCAATCCTCCATGCTCCTGGAGACGACCCAACGATGTACGAGTTGTCCTCCGAACGTTGGTCTCCGGTACAGAGTGTGGAGAAGGTCATATTGAGCGTTATTTCAATGTTGGCAGGTCCGCACGGTTTCGCTTTGTTGAGGCTGATTTTTAATAAAACTGACCTCTATTTTCTAGAACCTAACCTGGAGAGTGGCGCGAATATTGACTGCTGCAAGTTGTACCGAGAAAACAAAGCCGTAAGGGCTCCTCTTCCTCCACTGTTTTCTCCGACGACCGTCTTGACATTACTTTTCTAACAGGAGTATGAGCGTCAGGTACGAAGGATGGTGGTGGAGCAGCTCGGTATTGAGGCATGAGTTTCGTCACGATGGAGCCCTTTCATGTTCGTAACATCTTCTCTGAGTATTTGCGATGGGCAACGATTTCGAACGCCGAAGCCAAGAGGCATTCCAGAATATCGAAAATTCCATCCATATGATTAGATTACCCCCTATGGTTCTACTTAGTCCTCTAGCTTGTACTATAGTGTATAGCGAGTGAGCTGAATCGAGAACTCCGAAAATGGAACGTAGGCTCATGTCAGCGGAGCTGCCGACGTCATTAGTCCTAGAATTAAGATGCGTATAAATGCGCAGCCGTCTGTAGGGTCCCCCTCGCCTATTCCTTTTTATCGAGGAAATCCTGCCTGGGATCGGGCATTTTGCATCCTTGAACTTATCATGGTGTGGTATGGCATGGATGCACCACATTCCGGCTGGGCCAGCAGGAATTGTAATCCGTAGCTTCTTGTATTCTTTTTGTTCGTTTCAACTATTTGATTCAGCACCTATCCTATCCCGGTACAATCACAGTCCTCCACGCACGGCGAATTGAACTCCCCTCATGTTACAACGGGAGGTCGCCAGCCAATGCAGGAGAGGGACGTCGCAGAGGAGGGGCATTATATATGAGGTCACAATATCCAATCCATATTTGCACGGGGCTCTCAACCACTAATAAATGCCCACATCGCTTGTCAACGTTCCGACTTTCATAACACGGCCATGTCTAGGCGTGTGGATTGTGATGATTCAACCATGAAGTCGATGAACTCACTCAGGTCACTAAATCACTTCAATCAAGGTCACACAATGACCAGATGAAGTACAGAAACGAACCAAGTCACAATTCCCTCTTGTTCACCCAGATCTGTTTTAATCGATTCGCTCGCGCCTGCCCCGGGGTCAGCAGCCGGCACCACTCCCCGGCGGCTACACCACGATCGCATCTCATTGAGATTTGGATGTGCCTCGACGATATCGATTCCCATCACAATGGGGCTATGCACGCATGAAGACAACCCTCGATTTGCACTGGTTGCACTGTAAATTCCAGTATCCGTGTACCGACGGCGCTGCAAGTTCGGTCATTCAGCTAGACGGGAAAACCCTCACAATAGAAGCTCGGTTTTTTTTAAGATGCGAGTCTAGCCGGAAATCCTCTAGATACAGGTAGACACAGTCATTGAACAAGTCCTGTCATTAGCTAGACACTCTCCCCAAGCCCAAGCCTGTTCCAAATTCTAGCACGCGTTCTTCCAGCGAAACGCGGATGGGTCGCTTTGCCTGTTGCGTAGCGAGCACCGAACATGTCCACCAATATCTCTTCAAGAATTGAGGTGACAAACCAACAATTTTCCTTTTTCTGACTGTCAGCCGATGGCCGCTCCGCCAAAAACGAGTGACACTCACCCTGAATAGACTATATGAACCACATTCGTCCAACACAACCTCAAGAATCCTCATAAAGTCGAGGAGTGAAGCCTGTGTTGGTAGCTCTAGTGTTGCTTCCTCCTTTAACCTTCGGTCGGAGAGTAGCTGGGTGTCCCGAGACATGGTTACCTATAACAGGGTGATGCTTTAACAAGTGATTGGATACTGTCAAATAAAACACGCTGGGCGTACCGTATCTGTTGCATCGGAATTTCCATGGCGCAGAATGAATCGAGGCAACGAAAGAGTATGATCTCGACGACGGTCCACCCGAAGGCCGATCCCATCTCGAGTCAGTAGTACTAGACACCGATGCCGTGTACCATTTTTCTTTACGAAGCGCTTGACGGTGACGAGTTTGGCCTCTTGTGCATGCGGACTTCCCTTCAGGTTGCGAAGGAAGACGTCCGTAGAGTAAGTCGTGAAGGCACATGGAGGCATGTGAGCCAGCAAATCAAACGACCTCATGGATGCGGCTGTAGGATTACGGTCATAAATAATAGTGAACTACCCTTCAGCAGCTGATGTACCCATGGGTGGAAGGTCCTCGGCCTATAGGTATAACTCTGCAGTCAGAGCTGAGGGATGCCTGACAATGAACCATACGCACCCTGACTATGTCCGCATCATTACTGGACGAACCCTCTGTCTTAGGCGAGGATGGAGCAGGATGAGTCGAATCGCCATCGCTGGGGGGAGACGAGAAACTTGAAGGCACGATGAGATCAAGAGAAAGGGATCGAGCATCAGCATTAATGTTGTTGGAGCTGAAGGAAGAAACAGTAGGATGAACGGAGGACATGGTAGAGAAGGACGCGTCCATGATGAAAAGTGAGAGGTACAACTTGGCTAGATGGAGACATTTATGTATGCTCAGTAGGCGGAGAGGGTGGGTGTGGCAGTGCAGATACCATGCTCCTTTCGTGACGCGAAAAGGGGAAAAGCATGTCGATGAAGTGTTTCTCTTTCCCATCAACACGGTTTTCTTGTCGACACGGGTTTCGTGTGGATGAGTGAGAAAGGCATGGACATGCTCTTCGCTTTTCTTTCCTATCAACACGGTTTTCCTGTCGAACGGGTTTCGTGTGGATGGCGGTGGCTTATTCCATATGGGTAAGAAAAGCGTCGACATGCATTTCTTATGCTGTTCTTTCCCATCAACACGGTTTTCTTGTCGACGGTTTTCTTACCCATCCACACGAAACCCGTTCGACAGGAAAACCGTGTTGATAGGAAAGAAAAGCGAAAAGCATGTCCATGCCTTTCTCACTCATCCACATGAAACCCGTGTCGACAAGAAAACCGTGTTGATGGGAAAGAGAAACACTTCATCGACATGCTTTTCCCCTTTTCGCGTCACGAAAGGGGCATGGTATCTGCACTGCCACACCCACCCTCTCCGCCTACTGAGCATACATAAATGTCTCCATCTAGCCAAGTTGTACCTCTCACTTTTCATCATGGACGCGTCCTTCTCTACCATGTCCTCCGTTCATCCTACTGTTTCTTCCTTCAGCTCCAACAACATTAATGCTGATGCTCGATCCCTTTCTCTTGATCTCATCGTGCCTTCAAGTTTCTCGTCTCCCCCCAGCGATGGCGATTCGACTCATCCTGCTCCATCCTCGCCTAAGACAGAGGGTTTGTCCAGTAATGATGCGGACGTAGTCAGGGTGCGTATGGTTCATTGTCAGGCATTCCGCAGCTCTGACTGCAGAGTTTAAACCTATAGGCCGAGGACCTTCCACCCATGGGTACATCAGCTGCTGAAGGATAGTTCACTATTATTCATGACCGTAATCCTACAGCCGCATCCATGAGGTCGTTTGATTTGCTGGCCCACATACCCCCATGTGCGTTCACGGCTTACTCTGCGGACGTCTTCCTTCGCAACCTGAAGGGAAATACACATGCTCAAGAGGCCAAACTCGTCACTGTCAAGCGCTTCGTAAAGAAAAATGGTACACGGCATCGGTGTCTAGTACTACTGACTCGAGATGGAATCGGCCTTCGGGTGGACCGTCGTCGAGATCATACTCTTTCGTTGCCTCGATTCATTCTGCGCCATGGAAATTCCGATGCAACAGATACGGTGCGCCCAGCGTGTTTTATTTGACAGTATCCAATCACTTGTTAAAGCGTCACCCTGTTATAGGTGACCATGTCTCGGGATACCCATCTGCTCACCGACCGAAGGTTAAAGGAGGAAGCAACACTAGAGCTATTACTACAGGTTTCGCTCCTCGACTTTATGAGGATTCTTGAGGTTGTGTTGGACGAATGTGGTTCATATAGTCTATTCGGGGTGAGTGTCGGCTGTTGTTGGCGGAGCGGCCATCGACTGACAGTCAGAAAAAGGAGAACTGCTGGTTTGTCACCTCAATTCTTGAAGAGATATTGGTGGACATGTTTGGTGCTCGCTATGCAACAGGCAAAGCAACCCATCCGCGTTTCGCTGGAAGCACGCGTGCTAGAATTTGGAACAGGCTTGGGCTTGGGGAGTGTGTCTAGCTAAGGACAGGACTTGTTCAATGACTCTGTCTACCTGTATCTAGAGGATTTCCGGCTAGACTCGCATCTTAAAAAACCGAACTAGGCTACTTCTATTATGAGTCAAGACAGATAGAAGTCGTGAACTCTTCAATTGGAGTGGAGGTTGCGTCGCCTGATTTGCATCTGAAGGATGGAGCTCGAGTACTCAACGACAACGACTGGGTACAAGTTCGAATCAGTTCTGGAAGGTCAAGAGCGCGAGTGGCACATACATGGGGCGACATCGTTGATGACCGAGGTGGGATGGGCAACAATCACCTGACGATCGAAACAAGCACACGAAAGAAACCATGAAAGAAAGTGTACAGCTAAGCATGTTAGCGTTGAGAATGTCTATAACTAGTGGTTGAGCGCTGCCATAGAGAAATCTGCGAGTTCTTCCAGTTCATATTCGGCGATTGCGGTGGAGCTCAAAGTGAGAACTCCAACGTCTACAAAGTATAGCGTCGAGGTCATCCCAAGTCCCTCTACCTTGAAACATGCAAAGCGGTAAACCCATAGAGTTTCAGACAGTGAAGTAAGGATGCGCCAACAGGGAGGTCCTCTGATATTACGAAGTTATAGAGGCTGGTCAGGACCTACCCGAATTCAGTTAAGCAGTGTGTCGGCCCCGGCGTGGTATCATATGCATTCCTTGGTTTGAATAGCAGTTTCCGACCGCGCATTCCAGGGCGCCCCATGCACATTGCCAACGAGAACGTTTTCGGCGGTTCCATCACCTTTAGTTGCGTCAATCAGAATGAGTCATTCCTGATCCCTCGGGATTCAATTGGGTAGTGTTGCAACGCCAAAGTGCAAACGGCTTCACGTCGTCTCATGACGGAGTGCAGGCAACTAATCTCGGGAGGTGCCCCGAATGACATGTTCACTGCAGGTAAACTGGTCTGCTTGCGTATGGGACGAACACGGACACGGGCCTCCTGCATTTCCCGGCGTCGAAATCCGAGGTCGAACGGGTATGCGGGTTTGTATTCTTTTGGGCGTCTATGGATTTTTACTTCGACACCACTCGTATAGGAAGCCTTGATCCAAGATCTGGAGGATATATCTTTCGCGGGAGTGCTCGTGCTTGCCTACCATCTCTGTTCCGCACTTCACTCCTAAAGGAAAGTGTTGTCATTTGTAAGCCAAAGTGCAGTGGCCCAGCCAAATGAACCGCTGCATGCTTATGATGGTCTGGATAGACTAGTGTTTGCCCCCTCAGCCCATTCAAAATGAAGTTTGACTCACCCGTACTACATCCAAACAGTAAGTAGTCTCATATTTTCGCATTTCGTCGCTGCTGAATGGGCGGCATCTTGGTCTACAAAGACGATAATGTCTGCATTTCAATCCTCCATGCTCCCGGAGACGACCCCACGATGTACGAGTTGTCTTCCGAACGTTGGTCTCCAGTACAGAGTGTGGAGAAGGTCATATTGAGCGTCATTTCAATGTTGGCAGGTCCGCACAGTTTCCCTTTTTGAAGCTGATTTTTAATAAAACCTAACCTGGAGAGTGGCGCGAATATTGACTGCTGCAACTTGTACCGAGAAACCAAAGCCGTAAGAGCCTCTCTTCCTCCATTGTTTTCTCCGACGACCGTCTTGGCATTGCTTTTCTAACAGGAGTATGCGCGTCAGGTACGAAAGATGGTGGTGGAGCAGCTCGATATTGAGGCATGAGTTTCGTCACGGTGGAGCCCTTTTATGTTCGTAACATCTTCCCTGAGTATTTGCGATGGGCAACGATTTCGAATGCCGATGCCCAGAGGCATTTTAGAATATCGAAAATTCCATCCATATGATTAGATTACCCCTATGGTTCTGTTTAGTCCTCTAGCTTGTACTATAATGTGTAGCGAGTGAGCTGAATCGAGAACTCCGAAAATGGAACGTAGACTCGTGTCAGCGACGTCATCAGTCCTAGGTCGCAGAATTCAGTATCAAGATGCATATGGATGCGCAGCCATCTGTAGGATCACCCCATTTATTCCGTTTTTTTCAAGGAAATCCTCCCTGAGAATGGGCATTCTGCATCCTTGGACTTTCTCTGGTATGGATGCCACTAGCATTGCATCATACGTACGTTCGGCTATCACCAGTAGGAATTGTCATCCGTAGCTTCGTGTATTCTTTTTGTTCGAACTACTCGATCTGGCACCTGTCCGTCCCGGCGGGCAACTCTGCTTTCTGTGGATGGCTGAACTTCTCCCAGGATCCTTGTCGGTTCGATTTGTATCTTAATCGCGTGAGGACAGGATGTCCAGTACAAGAGAAAGGTCCGAAAGAAGAAAAACGGAAGCAGACACAGGCGGTTTTGAACTAGCAGTTCACCAAACGAGTTCTGTCCTCAGTTGCCTAGACATTCCTCCCCAGTCCCGAATCGTAGCATGCATCTTTCCAGCGAAACGCAGTGGACAGGCCGCTTCGCCTGTTGCATAGCGAGCATCTCTTGAAGAATCGAGGCAACAAGCCAGCAGCGTTCCTTTTCTGATTGTTAGTCGATAGCCAGTCCGCCAAAACGACCAACCCTTGCCTCGAATAGACTATAGAGCGGCATTCGCCCAATCCCAGGGATGGTTATAAAGTCGAGGAGTGAGACGCTTAGCGGCAGCTCTGGTGTTGCTTCCTCCTTTGGCCTCCTGTCGTGGAGCAGATGCGTGTTCCTAGACAACGTCACCTGAAACAGGATAACGCTTTAATATGGGGTCGGGCGCGGTCAAACAAAGCATGCAAGACGAACTGCATCTAGTTTCCACCCCACAGGATGAATTGAAGCAACGAGTGTGTGTGATCTCGAAAACGGTCCACTCGAAGGCTGAAGCCTGGCATCCCCGTTTCGAGCAAGCAGTAGTACGAGAGACCGATGGCATACGGCAATGTTCTTTACGAAGCGTTAAAGGTGATGATTTTAGCTTCTTATGCAGGTCGTGAGGAAGACCCTTGCGGAGTGAGTCGTAAAGGCACATGGTGGTATGTGAGCCAGACCCCATGGACGCGGTCGTAGGATTACAGTTATGGATAATAGTGAACCGTTCTTCGGCAACTGATATACCCATGAGCGGAAGGTGCTCAGCCTATAGGTTCAAACTCTGCAGTCAGAGCTGAGAAATGAACCATACGATGTCCGCATCATTATTGGACCAACCCTGTCTTGGGTGAGGAATGGCTCGAGCCACCATCGCTGCGAGCCTTGGGGGTAGAACGAAAGAGGCACGATGAGGGATCAAGCATCCTGAAGAAAGAGGCAGTAGGTTGAACGGAGGACGTGCCAGAGAAAAACGCATCCATGAGGAGTACTTGGCTAGGTCGGACATTAATTATTGGGTCTTCTCGTCGAAAAATATCCATGGGCACGATTCGAGAAATTGTCCAGCAGGGAGGCAGATTACGGAAGCAAACCAATTGTGTCGCTCGAGGCACCTCCCGAGTTCTAGCTGCCTGTACGTAAAGCCAGTAGTACCGGCGTTGCAACGCAAAGATCGAGGCTGAATCAACTCTCCAACCGAATTAGGAACAACCTATTTTCACTCACGCAACTGAAATCCTCGGATCATTATGAAAGGAAGAAAACCGTTCCCATTGATGCATGGTAAGGCTGGTCACCTGCCTAGGTGCATGGGGCATCCAGGAACGCGTAAAGGTTGGCAAATAAGACCCCAGAGCGACGTGATCATCTGGTAATCCATAAGAAGAACGCTGGCAGGGTTCTGGCTTGCACGATATTTCGTTTTTCGTAGTACATAAAAGCAGGACGAAAACTGCTATTCAAATGGAGTGCATGCGTGATACTGCAGCGACGCCACTAGTGTTGGCGCATTCCTGCTTCACTGTCTGAGCCTCTGTTGTTAGCGTTGACCCGATATAGGGATAGCTCGGCGGCTGTACTCGCGATGTAGTGAGGGAAGAGATAGAACTCACAAGATACTTCAGATGTAAGAGATAGCCATTATATTAGATCGACGAGTATTATTCGCTGTGGATACAAGGTACTTATACTGTGACGAGCCTATACTAAGGATAAGGTGCGCACGGACATGCATGTTAGGGAAGGAGGCCATGGCCGCACCGCATGTGGGACATGTTGCCGGAGTATTTGGATTCCAACAGAACTCTGTGGTTTATTCTTCCCGCTTTGCATGCTTCAAGGTGGCCGGACTTGGGATAACCTCGGCGCTGTACCTCGTAGATTGGGGTTCTCACCTTGTTAGGCTTGTTACGATTGTCATGGTAACCGGTTGCTCATCCCAGGCCCCGTTCATCAACGATTCCGCACCATGTATGTCCTACTTGCGCTGTTGCACCCACTTAGCCTTCTAGAACTAGTCCAAGCTCGTACCCAGTCGTTGTCATTGAGTACTCGAGCTTTGTCCTTCAGGTGCAAATCAGACATACTGCCCGGCACAATCGGAGTCCTCCACGGAAAACCTCATGTTACAGCATGAGGTGCTAGGTAAATTCGATTTGTCCGCTCGCGTGATTCCTGGTGGTCTAGCCGCTCTGGATCTCCCTGATCAATTTTGAATCGCTACTTGTTGCTTGTCGGCGTTTATGGATTTTCACCTGAACCGCCAATGCATATGATATGAGGCTCACATTCTTGTCCGGTAGATGCACTTTCACGGGGCTCTCAACCACTAATAAATGCCCACATATATCGCTTGTCGACGTCCCGACTTTCAACCTAACAAGGCCATGTCTAGGCGTGTGGTTCGTGATGATGTCGATGAACTCACTCAGGTCATAAGTTCGCTCGCGCCTGCCCCCGAGCCGGGTTAGCAGCCGGGACCACTCCCCAGCGGCCACACCACGATCGCGATCTGGATGCGCCTCGAGGTTCACGGACGATACCGATTTCCATCACAATGGGTTTATGCATGAGAATAACACCCTATTGCACTGTGCATTTCAGTATCCGTGCGCGGACGGCGCTGCAAGCTCGTTCATTATGCTAGAGAGGAAACCCTCATAATAGAAGTAGTCTAGTTCGGTTTTTTAGTCCAGCCGGAAATCCTCTAGATAAAGGGAGCAGTTATTGAACAAGTCCTGTCCTAAGCCCAAGCCTGTTCCAAATTCTAGTACGCGTTTTTCTAGCGAGATGCAGATGGATCGCTTTGCCGGTTGCGTAGCGAGCACCGGACATATTTACCAATATCTTTTCAAGAATCGAGGTTTTCCTTTTCTGGCCGTTAGTCGATGCCCACTCCGCCAAAAGCAACCGACGCTCACCCCGAACAGGCTACTGTATATGAACCGCATTCGTCCAACATAACCTCAAGGATCCTCATAAAGTCGAGGAGTGAGACCTGTAGTGGTGGCTCTAGTGTTGCTTCGCCTTCGGTCGGAGAGCAGATGGGTGTCGATCCCGAGGCATGGTCACCTATAACAGGGTGACGCTTTGACAAGTGATTGAATACTGTCCAATAAAACACGCAGGACACACCGTATCTGTTGCGTCGGGATTTCCATGGCGCAGAATGAATCGAGGCAACGAAAGAGTGTGATCTCGGTGCACGCGAAGGCCGAAATCCGGAATCCCATCTCGAGTAAGCAGTAGTACTAGACATCGATGCCGTACAGCGTTTTTCTCTACGAAGCGCTTGAAAGTGACGAGTTTGGACCTCTTGTGCATGTGGACTTCCCTTCAGGTTGCGAAGGAAGACGTCCGCAGAGTAAGTCGTGAAGATGCATGGAGGTATGTGAGCCAGAAATTCAAACGCCCTCATAGATGCGGCTGTAGGATTACGGTCATGAATAATAGTGAACTACCCTTCAGCAGTTGATATACCCATGGGTGAAAGGTCCTCGGCCTATAGGTTTAAACTCTGCAGTTAGAGCTGCGGGATGCCTGACAATGAGCCATACGCACCCTGACTATGTCCGCATCATTACTGGACCAACCCTCTGCCATCTTGGGCGAGGATGGGGCAGGATGAGTCGAATCGCCATCGCTGGGGGTAAACGAGAAACTTGGAGATACGATGAGATTAAGAGAAATGGATCGAGCATCAGCATTACTGGTGTTGGAGTTGAAGGAAGATGAACAGAGGATAAACATGCGTCCATGATGAAAGGTATTTATTACTTGCTGGGTCGGGCTTATGACTGTGCAGCCAGTTTCACAATGTGGCGCGTAATCCTCTCAGACTCGGTTTGATCAAAAGTGGATGGGATATGACCCTGCTTAACACTCAACTTATATTTCCATTATGTACCTTAGCACTGATGGCGACTACATCGATGAAGTCCTAGCAATATTGCTAGTGGTTGGCCGTGATCAAACTAAGGCCCGGCCATCTTTGATTGTCTAAACACAATCGCCATCATATCAGCCGTTTCGTTACGCCTTGTGATCGTTCTTACACACTAGAAAGGTTGCTTCGCAACCATGACCTTGCTTGCACATGACATGGCGCTACTTTGCAACTAGTTGCAGCATCGCACTCTAGTACTAACTTTAAGCAATCATGTCTTTCACAGCCGTGTTCACACACATAGCAGAATATAATGAGTTGAATCAGCATTTCAGGGGACATTTATGGAATGAGTTACCGATAAAAAATACTGATGGATCTTTTTGGGTCAATTCATACTTCACACATTTCCACTTTGTGCATTTGCATGCTTCGCTATTGTATACTTTGCATACTTTGCATACTTTGCATACTTTGCATACTTTACATACTTTACATACTTTGTGTACTTTATGGTTGCAAATTGTCCTAGAATGCCATACTTGTCCATCCCATGGTCTGTGCACATGCTGACCACTGTCTAGAGGGATGTCAAGACTGTTTCCCACGGTCTGAACACACTTTACATAGTTGAATTGACCAATAAATTATAGAGAAAAATGCAAATTACTTTTTTGGACACGAGTCTTTGGGTTAGTGTGGCTGTCCACCTCAATGTCTGTGCACAATGCTGGCCACTGTCTGAAGGGGTGTCAGCACTGTTTCTCACGGCCTCAACACACTTTGCATAGTTGGATAGCCCCTTCAAATAGCTTCCAGAATATATAATTTGAGACTAAATTGGCAAGCAAGTTATTGAGAAAAATGCAGAATACTTTTTTGGATGCAAGTCTTTGGTGTCATATCTGTACATACCCAATCCTGATTTGACTCCCAGACCCTTTCCACCACCTCTGGAGTCTTACCCCTATTCCTGTCTGTTCTGATCCCCACCTTTGAATACAACCTCACCTTCCATTCCCCCTGACTCTCCCCTGCTGTAAGGGATGGATAGGGAATGGACAATGTGCACTTTTGTAAGGGATTAACTATAATTCCGATTATAGTGATGCTGTTATTTCTTTATTTATTTGTGCCGAGATATGTAATTTACATATATATACCTTGGAGTAGTTGTAAAGTGTCAGGGGCATGGGAAACGTTACCATGGTTCACTGTCGGTGACCGTTAAGGTCTGCTGTCTCGGCATAACAGCCTGTTAAGGGTGGGGTTGACAATCACAGTGAAGCAGGGTTTTGGCTTCAACAACTTGTCCATGAGCATTGCACCTTGTACTTGACTGAAAGGTTGCTTACTTATTTGGGGACGGTAACGTTCCGTTCCCCCATTCGCCTCAGGCCTCAGTTAGTCCATCTAAATACAAGCTTAAATGTGCTGTATATTCAACGGGGTAGAGGTAAAAGGCTACCAGGCCTTTACAACTACTCCGAGGTATATATATGTAATTTACATATCTTGGCACAAATAAATAAAGAAATAACCACATCACTATAATCGGAATTATAGTGAAGTAAGGTTAATCCCTTACATTGATGCAGCCCCGATATTTCAGGGTACTGTCATATCCATACAACCCTGACCTCCGCTCCGGGCTCCCAGAACTCCAAAACTGACTCCAGAGCCCTACTTCCCTTCTGTCACCTTCTCCTTGCTGACTCCCAAGAGGTTATCCCACCTCCGGTGCCAACAGTGAACCATGGTAATGTTTCCCATGCCCCTGACACTTTACAACTACTCTGAGGTATATATATGTAAATTACATATTTTGGCACAAATAAATAAAGAAATAACAGCATCACTATAATGGGAATTTGTCAGAGATGGGAATACTGTCAGAGACGGACAAACTGTCAGAGTCGGAAGTACTGTCAGAAGATGGATGGAAGACAGATTGGGTTTCTGTCTGAGTTGGGGTCGGAGGTGATGCAGAGGTCTGTTGGAGCGCATGTGTGCAGATGTGCAGGCAGAAATATGCGGCACATCCGGAAGTGCTGTTCAAGGTTAGCAGAGTGGGATCACGGCCTCAGCGACTCAGGTGGAGCGCTGTGCCCTGAGCTTGATGTTTTGGGGAGATCCCATATTTACAGACTGGCACTTACAGTGGACTTCAAACAAGACTTGTGGGTGGAGCGGACCTGTAGGAGGAGCGTGGACTCCGTGAGCATGGACTCAGAGGGGGGGAAGCCCCCTTTGCAGAAGGAGAGACTCAGACCAGACAGGGGGGGTACTCTAGTTGATTTCAGACTGAGGTCCCCGAAAGTATTTACAAGGTATAAGTAGGTAAAAGAAATCAAAAGAGGGACTGGTCGGTCCGGTGCGGAAATAAGCGGAAATGAGTGGGGACTTGTCAAACTAAACCAAGGATGAGAACCTGGGAAATGGGAGGCAAGGAATGAATAAAGTCAAAGCAGATCAAGTACCAATATTGACAGATTAAATGAATGAATAGGAAAGTGCAATAGCACACGGATCAAGTGCCAATATTGGCAAGTTAAGCGAATGAAATGGGTGAACATAATAGGCACTTGGCAAGGAATGAATGAATGCTGCCGAGTGGCAAAAGGCCAGAGGAAAAGTGGGGTCGGCACACGGCACTGACACAAGTCTGCAAAATGGGATGCGGGAATCAGCATGGTGCTGATAAGTCCACAACAGAGGGTGGTCCATCAGTGCTGTCTGTCGGAGACCGGGTTGAGACGAAGGAGTGTCTCCATGGTGGAGGGCTTCAGCCTCAGCAACTTGTGCCAGGAGCGCTGTGCCAAGTAACATGTCTGTGCCCTAACTTACTAAGCTGGCAACCAGAACTGAAAGGGGGTAAACTCTAGTTGATTTTATTACTGAAGTGTAACCTATGTACAAGTTGAGTATATATAGTTACAGCGAGGGCGGGTCTGCAAATGGCGGAGCTGAGCAGAGCAGAGCTAACGGGGTTAAACATTAGCCAATTGAATATTACTGACGAGTCGGGTTATGGGGTTAACGGAAAGGCAGGCGATAACCCAGAAACAGAAAGGAGGGATAGGCCCATGGGCTCTGCAGGGCAAGCGAGTGTATTGCCCAGCGGAGGTGGGAGTGCGCTAGCAGATGTCGGAGCTGTCCAGAAGCCTTTGGGGCTCCGTACTTAGGGAGGCGTAGGTAATAAATTGAAAGGAGGGGGTGGTGACCATCGAGGGGTACCGAGGGGATTGCGGAATGCAGGAGCTCCGAGGTTAGTGAAGAAGGAGCGGAGGCAGAGCAGAGGAGTCGGAGGGATTGGAAGTCGATGGCCAGGGATGGATATGACACTGTCACAAATGAGGACAGCATGATGGCCAGCAAAGGTACAGAGGGGAGTGTTGACCTGACTACAGGGTGTGGAGGTCAACCAGGAGTGGCAAGGGTGCAGAGGTGGGCAGAGGTCCAGATGTGGAAGATGCGCGGAATATGGAAGATGCAAAATATGCGGAGGATGTGGAGGCAGGGATGTGAGACTGAGTTGTGCTATAGGCCTAGGAGGAACCAGAGGGACTGGATGCCGGGAGCCCAAAGGCTTGGGAACTGGAAGTGAAGTCGGAATGCCGGCAGGGTCTAGGGTCTGATTGTTGGCAAAGTCTCACTTGATAGGGCAGGGGGCCAGACATCGGATTGAGGGCTGGTTGGATCAGGTTTCGGGTCAGCAGATTCGCCTATCAGCATTGATTCGCTGCTGACAGAGCCCCAGGATTTGTTGGTCATGACAGAATTATAGCGATGCAACATAATATAAACATCACTATAATCGGAATTATAGTGAAGTAAGGTTAATCCCTTACAAAAGTGCACATTGTCCATTCCCTATCTGTTAGAACTGGGCGAGGGCAGATGATTCCAGAGGGAAACTGGAGACTTAGCAAGGAGGGACCTTGGCCTCAGCGACTCAAGCAGAGCGCTGTGCCATTGCTGTTTGTCCATTTGGTCCTTAATTTCATAGGCGGCGAGCAGGAAGTCTCTAGGGGGCATTTCAGGTTGATTTTAGACTAAGGGCCTAAAATGAGTATGTACAAGCGCTGGTATATAATGGAGAGGGCAAAAGCACAAGGGAAACAAAGGGGGTCCAAATCGGAACAAAGGCGTCTGAACAGGAACAAAGGGATGACAGAAGCGGAGCAGTACCGAAGGTCATAGGGCAGAACCTGTGGTACATCCAAAAGGAGGTAGGGAGGGTGAAGCCCAGAGGGGCAGGAGGATGAGGGGAAGTGGGGATGATGACTAACTGGCTAGAATGGGAAGAAGCAGCAGTCCAAATAAGGATGAGGGGAAAATGCGAAAGATACATTACAAGCGGCAAAAGTGCTGAAGATGATCCATGGAGCTCGGAGGTTGCGGAGCTTATGGAGGTTATGGAGGCAGGGTTGAAAGTCTGAGGAATATTGGCAATGGTGTTTACGTAGTATGAGGTCACCAATGCAGTGGACTAAAGCTGAGGTGGAGTCAAAGTCCGAGGTCAGAGCTATGACGGAATCTCGGGGCAAAGGTACGAGCGTAGTCTGAGTATGGGGTATGGGACAGTGGCAGAAGGTTGTAACTTGGCGGAGGGTTGGCAGAAGAGGGTGTGAGGCCCCAGCCCATGTCTATATTCCGCCCACAACATCAGTTGATGTTGTGTTGTGTAATAATTATGTCACAACGCTAATTTAGTGTTGCGGAAGCTCCTCTATTTATTTGTGCTGAGAATGTATTAGATTGTATATAAACCCTCAGGGTAGCTGTAAAAGGCGGATCAGCCTTTACTTCTACCCCGTTAATATACAGCAAATTCAAGTGTATACTTAGACGGACTTCTGAGGCCTGAGGTGAATGGGGGAACGGAACGTTACTGTCCCCAAACTAGTAAGATACCTTTCAGAGGGTCAGAGGGAAGAGAGAGGAGAGAGGAAAGGGGAGAGGAGTGGAGGAGAGGAAAGGTGTCAGGTCTGAAGGTGAGTATCGGAGCGGACGGGGGAAGGGTAGGAGAGTGATGGAAGGGTGGAGGTGTCATGAGGAGGAAGAGCAGGAGTGAGAGGAGGAGCAGGAGAAGGGTGGTGAGAGGAGTGGTGTTCGGTCTGAGGTGAGTATCTGTCAGGGCATGGCCTAACTGGCTACCCTGACTCCCTATGCCGGAAGGGAGTTGCTGTCAGACGATCTGGAGTGATCCGAAGAACACAGGTAATTTCGCTTAGCTCTCGCTTAGCATCCCGCTTCTATCTTCCATCCACATGTCACCCCTTTCCCACACCTCGCTTACGATTATCCGAATGAATAGTTATCTTTTCATGTCATCATTCTATCAGCTGTTCTTTATCTCGTTTGTAGCCGCACTCTAGTGGATAGCGGTATCCATGTATATAAGCCCTATCTCCGCTGAAGGTGGCACTTCAGCATTAACAATGACTAGGATTCTCAGGAACACCTTTATCGTCGTGAACTGACATCCAGTCCCTGACAGTATCGGAATGGATGGAGATAGGGCAAGAGAAGGATGGAAGAGTGGAGGTGGCAAGAGGGGTGAGAGGAGGTGTGGTGTCAGGTGAGGTGTCAGGTCCGAAGGTGAATATCAGAATGGATGGTGGTAGGGTAGGACTCTGGAGGCAGTGAAGATGGAGGTCCGGGAGTCAGTTTGGGATCAGGTATGTACGGATATGACACTATCTGTCATATCCATCCACAGCCATTGACTTCCACTACCTCCAATCTCTCCGGACCACCTCCACTCCTTCTTCACTAACCTTGGAGCTCCCATATTCCACAATCACCTCAGTATCCCTCGATGGTCACCACCCCCTCTTTTCAATTTATTACCTACACCTCCCCAAGTATGGAGCCCTGAAGGCTTCTGGACAGCTCCGATGTCTGCTAGCGCACTCCTGCCTTGGCTGGGCAATACACTCGCTTGCCCTGCAAGCCCTCCTTCCGGCCTATCCCTCTGGTTATCGCCTACCATTCCACTAACCCCATAACCCGACTTGTTGGTAATATTCAATCGGCTAATGTTTAACCCCGTTAGCTCTGCTCCACTCGGCCCCATCGTTTATGGGCCCACCCCCGCTGTAACTATATATACTTGACTTGTAAATAGGTTACACCTCAGTAATAAAATCGGGGAGAGTCAGGGGGAATGGAAGGTGAGGTTGTATTCAAAGGTGGGGATCGGAACAGACAGGAATAGGGGTAAGACTCCAGAGGTGGTGGAAAGGGTCTGGGAGTCAAATCAGGATTGGGTATGTACAGATATGACACCAAAGACTTGCATCCAAAAAAGTATTTTGCATTTTTCTCAATAACTTGCTTGCCAATTTAGTCTCAAATTATATATTCTGGAAGCTATTTGAAGGGGCTATCCAACTATGCAAAGTGTGTTGAGGCCGTGAGAAACAGTGCTGACACCCCTTCAGACAGTGGCCAGCATTGTGCACAGACATTGAGGTGGACAGCCACACTAACCCAAAGACTCGTGTCCAAAAAAGTAATTTGCATTTTTCTCTATAATTTATTGGTCAATTCAGTCTCAAAATATATATATTCTGGAAGCTATTTAAAGGGGCTATTCAACTACGTAAAGTGTGTTCAGACCGTGGGAAACAGTCTTGACATCCCTCTAGACAGTGGTCAGCATGTGCACAGACCATGGGATGGACAAGTATGGCATTCTAGGACAATTTGCAACCATAAAGTACACAAAGTATGTAAAGTATGCAAAGTATGCAAAGTATGCAAAGTATGCAAAGTATGCAAAGTATACAATAGCGAAGCATGCAAATGCACAAAGTGGAAATGTGTGAAGTATGAATTGACCCAAAAAGATCCATCAGTATTTTTTATCAGTAACTCATTCCATAGACATTTGATCGAGGCCATTCAACGCTTATGTTGCGTTATCTCGGAGCTCTGGATGTGACACAATACGACTTCTGCGAGAATTCGATGAGAAGTATTCAGACAACCAGCATGTAGCATTCTGGAGGCAGAAGACAAAAGGTTGGAGAAAGCGAGCGAAGCAACAGGTGGGGAAATTTCCTATTGGATCGATGATGCTGTTGTTGTTCACAATTTATGACGAATTACATATGTTTGTTTCGGGGGGGCACAGAGAGCACACGTGGTCCAAAGAAACCAATATCAACATGTGGGAAAGTAATAAGTTCCCACGAATTGTGTATGCGAAAGAGACCTTGCAAGCAAGGTAAAAACAAGGTTCACTAAAATTTTTGAAATACCATCGAAACAACCATCCACGTGAGTTTGAGAAGAAGAAATGGAGTGGAAAAAATTTTAGTGAACCTTTTGGGACTAGTGTGAATATTGATATTGTACATGAGAAAAAGAAAAAGAGAGGGGCTGCCGGCAGAATGATGATGTTGGAAGGGGCTCGCGAAAACGATGATGTTAGAAGCGAGGCGTGCCAGGATGGGTAGGTGGCGAGAGCCACCGTTGAAGGTGCATGAAGCGGGGAAAGAGGCAAGATGAACGCTGCTGACATGTGGCAGCGTCGGAGGAAAGGCAGATGGGGATGTGTCGAAGTAGACATGAAAACATCAGAACGTTGGCAATGAGGCGGTAGGATAAGAAAAAGCCAAACGCACCGAGATCAAATACAATACTATAACCGCTCCATCAAAGTGTCTGCTGACCAGCGAAGCCTCAGACGTGAGTTCAGGTTCGCGACGCCGCTGCGGAACAGGCAAATGACGGTGGACGGCAGGTGTGGTCGCCCTGGGTTGGGTAAGGCTTGGGATGTTTGTCGGGGGCGGCTTTTGTCTTAGCCCAAGGTACGGTCGGAATCCCCACCTACGCTGGCAGACACATCACCCGAACCGACGAGTCACGCCCGAAGCCGATGCACCAGCGCCGTCGAGCACGACGTTTGACTGAAGCGCGAACGAGGGTGTCGGCTGTCAAAGCCCAGCATGGGAATCGTACATGCACATTCCAACTAATGGTGAGAGATTGGAGCGGTGAACGAAACCGAATGGCGGGACCGCGTTCGAGTTCCAGCTGGGCCAGTGGCCCGTGACCGTTCGAATTCCAGCTAGACAACCACAGATGGAAAGCGATTTAGCATTCCAACGGGTAACCTTTGTCGCACGTCAGACCAGGAAATACAACATACGAGAGGGGAGGGACCTTACAGTGGTTGCCAAGATATAGAGGGTACCATTTTTGGATGATCACGAGACCGCCGTTGTCACGCATCAAAAATCGGGATTCTCGGCTTTTTCATCTCGCCGACGCCGCTCTCTCTACATATCTCTCTCCGCTTACCACAAAGGTGTTTCACGTCAGCCATTCAGCTTGAGGGGAAAAACCTCGCAATAGAAGTAGCCTAATTCGGTTTTTTTAAGATGCGAGTCTAGCCGGAAATCCTCTAGATACAGGTAGACACAGTTATTGAACAAGTCCTGTCCTTAGCTAGACATTCTCCCCAAGCCCAAGCCTGTTCCAAATTCTAGTACGCGTTTTTCCACCGAGATGCGGATGGGTCGCTTTGCCTGTTGCGTAGCGAGCACCAAACATATTTACCAATATCTCTTCAAGAATCGAGGTAACAAACCAACAGTTTTCCTTTTCCGACGTTAGTCGATGCCCGCTCCGCCCAAACTGACCGGCACGCACCCCGAATAGACTATATGAACCACATTCGTCCAACACAACCTCAAGGATCCTCATAAAGTCAAAGAGTGAGACCTGTAGTGGCAGCTCTAATGTTGCTTCCTCCTTTGATCTCGGGTCGGAGAGCAGATGGGTATCCCGAGATATGGTCACCTATAACAGGGTGACGTTTTAACAAGTGATTGAATACTGTCAAATAAAACACGCAAGGCGCACCGTATCTGTTGCATCGGAATTTCCATAGCGCAGAACGAATCGAAGCAACGAAAGAGTATGATCTCGACGACGGTCCACGCGAAGGCCAAAGTCCGGGATCCCATCTCGAGTAAGCAGTAGTACTAGACACCGATGCCGTACAGAATTTTTCTCTACGAAGCGCTTGACAGTGACAAGTTTGACCTCTTGTGCATGTGGACTTCCCTTCAGGTTGTGAAGGAAGACGTCCGCAGAGTAGTAAGTCGCGAAGGGACATGAAGGTATGGGAGCCAGCAAATCGAACGACCTCATGGATGCGGCTGTAGGATCACGGTCATGGGTGGTAGTGAGCTGTCCTTCAGCAACTGATACACCCATGGGTGAAAGGTCCTCAGCCTATAGGTTTAAACTCTGCAGTCAGAGCCGCGGGATGCCTGACGGTGAACCATACGCACCCTGACTAGGTCCGCATCACTAGGCGAACCCTCTGTCTTGGGCGAGGATGGAGCAGGACGGGTCGAATCGCCATTTCTGGGGGGAAACGAGAAACTTGGAGGTACGATGAGATTAAGAGAAAGGGATCGAGCATCACCATCAATGCTGTTGGAGCTGAAGGAAGAAGCGGTAGGATGAACGAAGGATGTGGTAGAAAAACATGTGCCCATGATGAAAAGTGAGGGGTACCCACTACTTGCTGGGTCGGATATTTATGCTCAGTGGAACTTGTAGCTGTGCAGCCAGTTTCGCGAGTGACGGCACACATCTCCTCAGCTTGTCGATCAAAAATGAATGGCTCAGCTTAAGAAATTACCAAATTTCTGATTTTCAATACAATTCAAATTATATTTCAATTACTTACCTTAGCCCCATAATTCGTGAAAATCCTCACCCCTGTTGCTTCTTCAGGTACTGATGGCGACTAGGTCGACGAAATCCCAGCAATAAACTAATTTTTTTTCCATTCCATTTCCTTTTCTTCTCAAACTCGGTGTATTTCTCGTGAAAGTAATGGTGTTGGGAGTCAGGTGTGCCAGGATGGGCAGGAAGGTGCGTGGACCCCGTCTACGGTGGCAGGTGCATCGCAGGATGCGAGGACGCTCACTGAGACGAGCAACGCCAGTCTGCCGGCGTCGAGCATGGTGCATTGGACCACTCGTGAAAACGGCCAAAACTGCACCGCCTCCATCGATGTCGAGGCCACGAGCCGCACCCGAAGCCAATGCACCAGCGCCGTCGAGCCAGAGCTGAGAGATGCCTGACAATGAAGCCTGACTATGTCCGCATCATCGGATGACCCCTCTGTCTTGGGCGAGGATGGAGTCGAATCACCATCGCTGCGAGCTTGGAAGCGAAAGAGGCACGAGAAAGGGATTGAGCGTCAGTATTAATGCAGAAGGGAGAAGCAGTAGGATGAATGGAGGATGTAGTAGAGAAAAACGCAGCCATGATGCAAAGTGAGGAGTACGTACTACTTGGCTAGGTCCGGACATTTGTGGGAGCGCGGCTATCCGTTTTGGCAACAGGGCATCATGATATCAATTCAAATATTTGAATTGGAAGACCATCGGCATGCAATCGGCATTGGTATAAGAGAGCTAGTCGCCTGCATCCTCTTCTGCTCCACTAGCGATGTCAGGTGGTGTTTAATGCACCCACAATAGCATATTGCTGTCCATGTCCATGTCCCGTGCTTAGTACTCCGCTGGCAGTTTGCTGGTCATTCGCGTCCGTTTCCATCGAATCTATACCCGCCGACAGATGCTTTCCATCCTGGAGACGACAACCCAGTCTGCAGATTCAGCCCCGGTCTATTATCGACGGTGTAGCAGACGATCAGCAAAAGTGTCAGAAAAAAGGTAATTATGATTATGAGGCAGGAATGACCTGCAGTGCACCAGCCAGCTATAATGATCAACAGACCCAAGTGATGTGTAAGCAAGTGATGGTTGCGAAGCAACCTTTGTTACAGCGAAAACCGGTTTATCAGGGAAAAAGGTGATGAGAAAGTCCCTGAATGGCTCAAATTGGAAGGTGTCCCTGATGCACGTGCCTAGTTCACATTCGAGCACTGTTTTTTTAACCATTTCGCGATACTCCGTATTTGTTTTGTTTTTTTTTTTGATGGAACCCCAGTAGCATTTGGGATCGGTGATCCTCGGGAACAGATTGCCACTGTGAGGAAATGCAGTTACGCACGTGGTGTGGGACTCCCGTACCCACTAAAACCCCACTGCTGTTCAGCCAGTTGTCCAGTTGTCTCTCTTTGTTCTGTCCGTATTTTTAAGCGAGCCCCCGGTTCGGTTCGGTTCAGTTCGGCTGTGAGAGGTCGGCACGATAGTACTGTCACTGGTGATCAGAGATTGAATTAGTGGATACTGCGGGAGTTCTGAATCAGAACTCCCGCAGTATCCACTAATTCAATCTTTCTTTAATTCGAAAACTTAAGCGGCCGCTCTCCGATCTGCCAGGCAACTTCGTGGATCCGGGTTAGGGGGGGGGCGTGTGTGTGAAGTTGCTGTCCCGCAGCCCCTGGTTCTGTAACGTAACAATCACAAACAGAACGGCTGGGTACGAGATGACAGTCCGGCTTCCCGGACCCTAGCTCTATATGTACACTGTGCGTACAAGAAGGAAACAGGGGGTAGAGTCTGGTGGACTGGATCCTCAAGTCTATTCTAATAGAGGCTGGTGACCCGCCTAATCCTCAGGTTTTGTGGCTTCGGGGAGTAATGCTACCAGTGCAGGTGCGATCCATCTAATGGCGCGGGCTGGGCGACCGTTTCTCCCTCTTTGAGGTTTTAACCTTCAGGACGGTTCGGACACGGTCACTCTGATCACTCTACAGTGTTCGGGTTACATAACGCAAGACTTCAAATTCGATCAACTTTCATCGGTGTTGGAGAGTCTCCTAGAATGGATCGGCTTTGACTGGCGACGCTAAGTGCATCACCGATATAGCCCGGAGTTAGGATTGATGACGTTTCGACATCACGATCCCTGTCGTCTATTCGCGAATCGTTTGACACGTGACCTAACTGCCAGGTCACAATTACAGAGTTGCTCCGATTGGTGCCTCTCCTTTCTCGTCACCCACGCAGCGACATTCTGATTGCGTTCACTTGCCTCACATTCATGGCATATACCTATATCACGCTCAGGCCTCACTCTCGCTGCGAGCGACGACTTATGCAAGTGACAGACACCCCGGTCTTCATCTGTCAATCGTTCCGTGGCTTCAGAGTGCACTTTGGCGGCTTGATGTGGCTTCGCGTCAGAAGCAAATCTCGCCCAGCGACGCTCAGTTTGCCTTCACTCACCTTTCTTGCCTGACAACTTTCACATTGTCTTCACTCGCCTCACTCAGGTGACATCTATGTATACAGCCACTTTCATCTTGGGCACTGCGGACTTTGACCTCGTTCTGATGTCGCGTGGGAACCGCTTGAGTGCGTTTCCAGCAGTGGAATACAGTGCCCTGTCGGTTCCTCGCCCCTCAACGATGACTCGGACAGCTGCAAGAAGGCTGGTACATAGGGTTTCCTTTATCATCAACGTTCACACTCGATCCTTAACTCGGGTGCGGATGATGCAGAGGTTCTAGCTGTATCATTCGATCCAATGCACCGAGCTCTATCCCGCGTATGGGTGACCTACCCTTATTGCAAGGCAATATGATCGCCCGCGCCATGAATTACAACATCGCGACGTCATCCGCACTATCTGATCACTGGTCGTCCCGCTGACACAATGCCTGCTCAAAATTCTCACTTTCCATCATCTGACCCCGAAGACAATCACATACCACTATTGAGACCCACAAAGAGTTAGACCGAAAGACCCACATACGTAGCCCAATCTCGCACAACACATGAGAGTAGGAGTGCAAATTGATTCAGAGGACATGCAGGGGAGAGTGGTATCAAGACAGAGGACACAGCCGAAGGCACTTAGTCTTGTTTTGAAAAATAACGGTGTCACGTTCCAATACATTTCTCAAATGATTTGAAGTGAAATTCCCATGGCCACTTCCGATGGCGTGCACTGGGACATGTGCGTCAGTTCGTCTTGGACTCGCCGGGACCTTCTTGTTCTCTTGTAATTCAGGATTTTTTTGAGACATGAATTCAAGGAATAGGGTTGACCGCTGGGACAGGATCCAACAGCTCAAAGAATGTCTGAAGCTACCAGTGACGATTCCTACCTATAATAACCAATTGTGTGTACCATGTGAAGGGGTATTGTCGCGATGATGCTGGTGGCATCCAGAGCATCATGTTGTTACCTAAAGTCTAACAATACACGATGTCCCCAAACAGGAATAGTTAAAAGGAAAATCTGTAATGGCCGGCACACGCATATGGGAATCTGCATACTTTGCGACCCATGATCGATGGTGCCCGCGGCTCCGCTGACACGTTCCACATACACTTATAACAGATTTGATACAGCCCATGTACTATATGTTATAGTACGAGAAGCCCGAGTGAGACGACAGGAATTATGGATAAAATCTCTGGTGCCTCTCGGCTTCGACATTCGAGGTGGTGGCCACCGCACATCATACTCAGGAAGACGCCACGAACATCGACGTGACGAGACTCACAGACTCACGCCTCGATACCAAGCTGCTTCATGACCATCTTTCGTACTTGACGTTTATACCCCTGTTAGAAAACACTCTCTAGGTTAAGTTCTAGAAGATAAAGGTTGGTTTTATGAAAAATCAACCTGAAAAAGCGAAACCATGCGGACCTGCCAACATTGAAATATGACCCTCTTCACACTTCTGTACCGGAGACCAACGTTCGGAAGGCAACTCGTATATCATCGGGCTGCTGAGACGCTCAGCCAGCAGCGATGAAGTAGACTTAGGATGTAGTTACGGGTGGGTCAAATCTCATGTTGAATGGGCTGAGGGGTAATCGCTAGGCTATCCAGACCATCATAAGTATGCAACGGTCTATTTGGCTAGGCTACTTCGGCTCACAAATGACAACTTTGCAGTGAATACGCCACCTTCCTTTAGGAGTGAAGTGCGGAACAGAGAATCAATGAGAAGTAGGCAAGCACGAGCACTCCCATGATTCGCGAAAGATATGTCCTTCGGATCTTGGATCAAGGCTTCCTCCTATACGAGCGGTGTGGAAGTAAAAACCCATAGACCCCCAAAAGAATACAAACCCACATACCCGTTCGAAAAGTTTGTCCTCGGATTTCGGGATGCAGGAGACCGTGTTCGTCCCATCAGAAGATTACGCAAGCAGACCAGTCAAGCTTACCTGCAGTGAACATGCTATTCGGGACACCTCCCGGGACTAGTTGCTTGTGCTCCGTCATGAAACGACGTGAAGCCGTTGCACATCGTTCGTGCTCCCCAACTGAATCAGGAATGACTCATTCTGACTCACGCAATTGAAACGCACCTTGCTCGGAGGTTTATGAGTCGCCGAAGACGTTCCCATTGGCAATGTGTATGGCGCATCCGGGAATGCGCAACTAGAAGGCTGGAAATTGCTGTTCAAATGAAGGAATGCATATGATACATGTGCCGGGGCTACCACATTAATCAAATTCGGGTGTCGGATGTTAGTACGTGCGTGGGTCTTCCCCGTTAGCGCATCCTTCGAGCTCTATGAGTTTATTCTTCCCACGTTGCATGCTTCAAGGTGTCAACTCGTGGTGGCCTGGACACTATCCTTTGTAGACGTTGGAGCTTCATTCTGGGCCCCACTGGAACCGCCGGGAGCCTCGTTCAGGAGCCCGCAGACTTTTCTATGGCGGCGTTCAACCACTGGTTATAGACATTCTCAACGCTAAGATGCTTAGCTGTGTTCTTCATCTCTTTCATTGTTCGTGTGTTGGGGCTAGGCTTGTTACGATCGTCCTGGCAATCTGTTGCCCATCCCAGGCCCCGCGCGCCTCGGTCATCAACGATGTCGCCCCATGTATGTACCACTTGCACTGTTTCACCCACTTGGCCTTCCAGAATTGATCCACGCTCGTACGCAGTCATTGTCATTGAGCTTTATCCTGCAGATGCAAATTAGGCTGTGCCACCCTCAACTCAGCCGGACGGGCCAAAATCAACGAGAACGTCGATTCGGTCCCGCCAAGAAATCCGATTTTGACGGAGATCTAGCCCCTGAATACATCTTCACCCCCCAGAATTTCACCAGTGCCCGTGAAAACAAACAGGATGCCAATCAAACTTTTCTCCGGAACTTCATTCTGTGGCGCGAACTCAATTTTCGGTTTCGCAGCCAAGCCTTCGGTGGAAGGGGGGTGGGAAGCTATTTTTCCTTTGGGGGTGAAGTCCACGGGAACCAAATCCTCACTCTGAGATTCGGTCCGTTTCGCCACACGAAAAAATCCCAAAAGATGAGCGAGAGTCACCCTAAGGGAAAGGGTATGTAGATAAGATTGAAGAGGATGAGGATCGTTTGCAGTACTTTGGATTTGGATCTGTTGGTCGTTGAGCCTCGGGAGAGCCGGGGCTTGATGATATCAGATCAAGCAGTAAGCGAAGAGCAGCTCCGAAATTGCGGAAGCGAGCTCTGACTCGGCGTTCTGACGTTTGGAGAGCAGAGCGATGACACCTGTCGTCAGCTTCCAGCTGGTTTGGCGATCATAGAAAGCAGAAGCCTTCATGTCCTTCGACAGAGCGGCAGAACGAGAATTCGTGGTGCTTCGAACGGTTCGGTTTGAGCCAGAAACCGAGCTGTCACAGACAAAGTTACCGTAGCATTTTATTATGCCTTTATGCTGTGGTAGTCAAACTGTTGCAAACCACGGGTTATAGCACAACTTTGAGTTGGAGCACAAGGCAATCATTAGGCTCGATTCCGAATTGCTAGGAGCCCTAGTTATTCGAGGGCTGCGACAACAGCACGCCTTCGTGAAGTGCGCCAGCTCACGGATGTCTGCACCGCTAGCATTCCCAATGCTGATCACCCTTCCCGGCAGCCGGAGTGCGACTAATTCAAAAGAGCTTATAATGGCCAAACGCTTTTCTAAATGCCGTTTGAGTGCGGTGATGGTGGAATCCAAATCCCTTTCCGAGTGACATTTAGGAAAATCCGTCAGATACGGAAAAAAGAGCCATTGACTGCGAAGAGCTGCGGCATAACAGTAAGTGAAAGGGACCAGGAAAACATGTTCGCGCGTAAGCCACCTCGTGGGATGGAACGGTCTTGTGGATACCGGCGACCTCTGCTCTAGGACAGGAAGCCAAGCGAGGAGGCAGCACTAGAGCTACCGCCGTGCGTCTCACTCCTAGACTTTTTGAAGGTCCTTAAGGTTGAGTTGGATGAACGCCGTTCAAATAGCCTATTCGGGGTGAGTGTCGGGAGTTTTCGGCGGAGCGGCCATCGACTGACAATCAGAAGGAAAACTGCGAGTTTGTCACCGCAGTTTTTGAAGAGATATTGGTGGATGCGTCCGGTGCTTACTACGCAACAGGTGAAGCGACTTATCCATTAGGAAGACGCGCGCGTGCTGGGATTCGGAACAGACTTGGGGTGGGGTGGAGAATGTCTCGTCAGCTAAAAACAGGACTCGATTCGGTGACTTGCTGGATCAAACCCGCTTGCGTTTGCTTCTGTTGATTTCTTTTTGGAATCGCCCGGACTTCCTTCCTGTTCTCGTGTACTTCAGAATTTTGAGACACGAATCCAAGCATCAACAGGGAATAGGGTTGACCGCTGGGACAGGATCCACCGGCTCAAAGAAAAGAAAAGAAAGTATGAAGCTACCAGTGACGATTCCTACCCATGATAATCAATAGTATTGTCGCGAGAATGCCGATGACATCCAGAGCATCATGAAGTCTAACGATACACGATGTCCCAAAACAGGAACAGCTAAAAGGGAAATTTATAATGGTTGGCATACCTAGATGGAAATCTGCATACTTTGCGACCACTGTGATCGATGGCGCCCGCGGCTCCGCTGGCACGTTTCACTTATGACATATTTGATACTGCCTATTTGCTAGACGTTATAGTAAGCCAAGACCGAGTAAGACCACAGGAATCATGGATGAAATCTCTGGTATTCCGGGGTGCCTCTCGGCTTCGACATTCGAGGTGGTGACCCACAGCACATCATAATCAGGAAGACGCCACAACATCAACGAAACGAGACTCACGCAGCTACTCCATGATCACCTTTCGTACTTGACGCTCATACTCCTGTTAGACATACTAGTGTCACGACGATCGTCGGAGACAACAGTGGAGAAACCCTTACGGGTTTGTTTTCGCGGTACAACCCATATTCACTAGACTAGATTAAAGACCAGTTTTATCAAAAACAACCTGAAAATTCAAAACCATGCGAATCTGCCGCATTGAAATAACGCTCAACAAGACTTTCTCACACTCTGTACCAACGTTTGGAAGACAACTCGGATATCTAAGATGCTGCCCATTCAGCAGCAATGAAACGCGAAAATATAAGCTTACTTGCTGTTAGGATGCAGTACGAGCGGGCCAAATCCCATTTTGAATGGGCCGAGGGGTAATCGCTAGGCTATCCAGACCATCATAAACATATAGCGAGTTCATTTGGCTGGGCCACTTCGGCTTACAACTGACAACTTTGCAGTGAACACGCCACCTTCCTTTAGGAGTGAAGTGCGGAACAGAGAATCAATGAGAGGTAGGCAAGCACGAGCACTCCGAAAGATATGTCCTTCGGATCTTGGATCAAGGCTACGAGTGGTGTGGAAGTAAAAATCCATAGACACCCAAAAGAATACCGACAAAATTGTCCTCGGATTTCGGGTCGTCCCAAAAGAAGATTACGCAAGCAGACCAGTCAAGCTTACCTGCAGTGAACGTGTCGTCCGCGGCACCTCCCGAGACTAGTTGCCTGTACTCCGTCATGAGACGTGAAGCCGTTGGACATCGTTCGTACTTCCCCAACTGAATAACTGGGGAACGCCGCCTGAAACGGCAGATCCCGCTACTCTTACCTCGCATGCATGTTCACTCTCAACGTTGCTGTTAGCTGAGAGGAAGCCCGAGACTCTGTAAACCAGTGTTGCACGGACATTGTCCCAAATGGTCACATGGTCCGAAATCCGAATGTCTGATTCAGTAGACGATGTTTTTCCCATGGTCCCATGGTCCGATCAGCATCCGTTGGCTGAAGCGTGTCAAGCACCCATTTTCCATGTAATGAATTTTTATAAGACTCCGATGTCCAAATGCTGCATTTGTCTATCTTTGCGGAATCAAGAACAACTTCCCATGCACATACCATGACGGTCTTTTGCTTCCAGCCCTAGTTCACCGCGTCGGGAGCATGCAATAAAAACCTAGGGTACAATCCTAAGTGTTTCATCTCTCTTTCTCACCCTGCTTGACACCTGGGATGGGCCGCAAAAGCCCCTTGCGTCAGTGGTTTCTCGACCTCGAGGAGAAGATTGGAAACAATAAAAGCCACACTATTCACAAATGCAATTTTTGCATAAATGCCCAAACGGCAAGACTGGAGGAGGAGAACTTCCGTGAGTTTACAGCTGGTTCAGCACCTCGTCACTCACTTAGTCAACTTCATATGAGAGGTAAACTCCCCATCCGTCCATGCACTTTGCGTGAATGCTAACATCAGACTCTAACAGCAATCCCTCTTTGCTCTGAGATACAGGGCTCTGTTGAACGGCTTGCACATCATATTGAAACCTGTGAGCATGCAACCACAGATGCGCGTGCAATGGGGAAAACTTGGCTTGATCAACATCTCCCTGGCCGACAACTTCGCCTCAACTTGCCTTTACTCCAAATTTCACCTGCTGCTAGTCCCTTGATATCTCCTCATTCACCTACATCCCATTCCCCCGGGCATTCACCATCTCCAACACATCTTACACCCCCTTTACAAATTGGCCGGCGCGGTAGCTATTCATCTTTGTCTGAGGGAATTTCCGATATCCCCCGCTCCCCAAGAAGCAACAGGAGGATCTAGAAAGACAGTTTCTCCGCATTATAATCTCTGCTGGGATATCATTCCGACTGCCTGACGACCCCGAAATGGTGAAGTTTGTGCACATGCTCAACCCTGCATTCAAGCTACCGCAACGAAACAAAGTTTCAGGACCTCTTCTCTCAGCGGAGTTCGAGTCTATTCAAAATTGCCTCACTGACATGATGTGCAGTGCCTATGCCACTGGCCAATGTGATGGCTGGCGTGACACATCTCGGAATCATCTCATCGCATTCATGGTTTCTGCAAACCATATGGTATATCCTCTCTTCACTGTGTAAAGGGTTAATTCACTCATATCTATACCCAGGTTCGGATGACACATGTCCATAACACATCCGGCTCGCGCAAGACTGCTGACAACCTCTTCAAGTTAATGCTTCAAGAGAAGACTTTTATCGAAGAGAAACTTGGGCTCAAACTCATTGGTTGGGTCTCTGATGCTTCGGGAGAGTCACGCACAGCACGGAAAATGCTCAAACAAAATTTCCCTCAGCTAATCACAGTTGACTGTTATGCACACCAAGTCCGTCCCTACCTCTTCTACTATTTGAGTGTTAACAGTCCTCAATAGGTTCAGTTGGTGCTTGGTGATTACATCAAACAGTCTGATAGTGTCAAGTTGCGCATGGCACAAGCAAGTGAGATTGTGAACTGGTTTAATAACCATTCTCTTGCGCTTCATCTTCTGTACTCCGAGCAGAAGACTCTTCCGGAGTTCACTGGGACAGCAAAGACCCTCATCCGTGGGTGTATTACTCGGTGGTCTTCACATGTGATGTCACTCCAGCGATTATTGGACTTAAAGAGACCTCTCAAAAGTATCATTATCAAATCGAGTGATAACATACTGATGGCTGCGGGCACAAGGCGGGAAATGATCAACAAAGCACAACAGATCATTGATACAATCAATAATGAAAACTTTTGGAATGATATTCGACAGTAAGTGTTTGCGCGATTCTGACAATTTGTCTAATATAGAGTTCCACATTAGGATTACCGATGATATCACCCCCTTAGCCATTGCTGTGAATGTATGTCAGGCCTCAACAACGCGTGCCGATCAGGTTGCCTTGATCTTTGGACGACTGTATAAACATTACACGGATATAAACACTGCCCTAGATCTCCTTCCCCGCTCTATTGCACCAACTTCAACTGTCCATGCAGTCCTTAGGAGTCTTGAAACTCGATGGGCAAAAATAGATCATTCTTTCTTCATTGTTGCCGTCACTCTCAATCCCTTTGTGAAGTGAAGATTATTCAATCCAAACCTTTCTAATTTGCGGCTTGTCACTCTAATGGAAGAGGTTTACTGCCGAGTCTTTGAAACCAATGAAGCTGCAAGCAATCTTGGACCGCGCGCAATTGCATACTTGACATCAACTCACGATGTTTTTGGATACCCGGGTGGAGATTGGACTCGCAGTAACATATGTAAGCGGATCCCGGTTAGTTCTTGTATCTCAGCACTAGTGAAGTGCTCTTATCTCAGAATATTTTCATAGGATTTTAATCCTTTAATGGCATGGCTCAACGCTCCGCAAGATGATCCACTTGCGAAATTAGCCATTTTGGTTCTGTCACTTGTTTGCAATTCCGCGGACACTGAGCGGTTCTTCTCAGTGACAGGTGACACAAAGGATCCTTCGCGTAATCGCCTCTCAGTAGAGAAGATGGTGATGTCCTCTGCCATCAAATTGGAATTAAATCGCCAGCATGCACTTCAAGGCACTTACCGAAGACACATGCGGTGCTCTTTTGGGCTGGCACCTTCAGATAGGGATCAAGACCCCACCGGATCCCGCTTAGACCCTGAGCTTTCATGTCCAACGGCCATCCCTCAGGAGGAGTATCACAGTTTTCACAATTTACAGGTTTCTCTGCTTTCAGACCTTTCGGCAGACTGTGATATTCAAGTTCCCAGCTTGTCCTCTGTGAGTTTCATAGCACATATTGCTAGGTATCATGTTTATGGAAAACTCCAGCAGGTAGCAAGCAGTAGTGTTAAGCTTCGCGATATCTTTAATTTGGCATTGGATGGTGAATGGGATCTCTATTGGTTCCAGGCAAAGGATAATTTGGCAGCTGAGATGGAGATTGAAGATTTGGTTACGAGGACATGTAATCAAGAATTAGATTCTAGTATAGCTGGCGTTGCAGGGTGGGAGGTTCAAGATGCGGCATAGTCCTATTGGTAAATCCGATAATGCCGGCTTACATCCGTATTTTGGACCTCCGAGACAATTGACCCAAGTTGGAAGCACCACGAGATTGCAAATGGTCTGATTCAATGTCTGATTGTGTCATGTGCAACACTGCTGTAAACACACCTGATTATGTAAGAAAGCCTGATTTACACGGATCAGGTGGGTCCTGCCTAGATCAGGTATAAATTACCTTGCTTGCAAGGTCATTGCCAGGTCATAATTGCCGTGGGAAATATGTAACTATTGCAAATTCCTATGAACACATCACATTTGACCTCCGTTCCGGTTGTGACCAACGAGAATCAGGCATTGCTTACCCATAGTCAGGTTTCCTTGCGATCTGTGGGACCTTCCGACTTCTAAAATCTCGAACCATGCCTCCAATGGAGCCCAGCACACCATACATTGACTCGCGAAGTAAAAATTGGACTACCCAATCTGAATGGATACGATGATGGTAGCAACAACGAATCAGGTTTGCTCCGTTAATCTGCTTGGTGTGTGAGCTGATAATATCCACATCTGAGATAACATGTTCAAGGAGCGAAGGTGGTGAACGAATCCATTACATGCATTATGCGACTGCTCTTCCCAGAGCAACTGTCCAAGTTTCTTTCACGCTGGCATGTCATTTGATAGGAAGTAATGCCGGGAGGAAAGCGACTTTTGTGTGGAGATAATTGTTCTGAGGGACCCCCCCTTGTCAGCGACCATGCAGAGAGTGGCTCTCCCTCCAAGCGGCAATTCTCTGGACCATCTTTCTCTCCCATTAAACGCCAAAAGGCAGAAATAATGTGAGAAGGTATGTATCACTTGTGCCAACCACCTTCACCACTAAATCTTAGACCAGACATCTCATTGTTTTCCGATGTCCTTTTTGTGATTCAACTCAACATTCTGTTCTTTTTTTTTGTGTCTGTTTGAGTTAACTCAGTTCCATCATTCACTACTAAGCATTGTGAACTGGCAGAGATCGCGCAACAAGAATGCAAATATTAATATACCAGCAAGCACTACTCGTGACTATGATCAAAAAATTTTCACATGAAGCAAGGTCATGGTTGCGAAGCAATCAGGGAGTTAGGATCACTATCCTACTAAATGGGTGACTCCGTTACGTAAGCGGCTTCGCTTACATCAGGTCACTAAATCATCTCAATACCGGATGAAGTACGGAAACGACAATTCCCTCTTGTTCACCCAGATCTGTTTTGATCGATTCGCTCACGCCTGCCCCAGGGTCAGCAGCCGGCACCATTCCCCAGCGGCTACACCACAATCGCATCTCATTCCAATTTGTATGGGCCTCGACATTCACGAACGATATCGATGGGGCTATGCGTGTCTGAAGATTTACACTGGTTGCACTGTAAATCCTAGTGTCCGTGCACTGACGGCGCTGCAAGCTCGGTCATTCAGCTAGAGGGGAAAACCCTCATAATAGAAGTAGCCCAGTTCGTTTTTTTTTAAGATGCCAGTCTAGCCGGAAATCCTCTATATACAGGTAGACACAGTCATTGAACAAGTTCTTTCCTTAGCTAGACATTCTCCCCAAGCCTAAGCCTGTTCCAAATTCTAGCACGCGTTTTTCCAGCGAAACGTGGATGGGTTGCTTTGCCTGTTGCGTAGCGAGCACCGAACATATTTACCAATATCTCTTCAAGAATTGAGGTGACAAACCAGCAGTTTTCCTTTTCCGACCGTTAGTCAATGCCCGCTGCCAAAGCGACCGACACTCACCCCGAATAGACTATATGAATTGCATTCGTCCAACACAACCTCAAGAATCCTCATAAAGTCGAGGAGTGAAACCTGTAGTGATAGCTCTAGTGTTGCTTCCTCCTTTAACCTTCGGTCGGTGAGCAGATGGGTGTCCCGAGACATGGTCACCTATAAGAGGGTGACGCTTTAACAAGTGACTGTCAAATAAAATACGCTGGGCCCACCGTATCCGTTGCGTCGGAATTTCCAAGGCGCAGAATGAATCGAGGCAGCGAAAGGGTGTGATCTCGATGACGGTCCACCCGAAGGCTGATTCCATCTCGAGTCAGTAGTACTAGACAACGATGCCGTGTACCATTTTTCTTTACGAAGCGCTTGACAGTGACGAGTTTGGCCTCTTGTGCATGCAGACTTCCCTTCCGGTTGCGAAGGAAAACGTCCGCAGAGTAAGTTGTGAAGGCACATGGGGGTATGTGGGCCAGCAAATCAAACGACCTCATGGATGCGGCTGTAGGATCACGGTCATGAATAATAGTGAGCTGTCCTTCAGCAACTGATATACCCATGGGTGAAAGGTCCGAGGCCTATAGGTTTGAATTCTGCGGTCAGAGCTGCGGGATGCCTGACAATGAACCATACGCACCCTGACTATGTCCGCATCATTACTGGACGAACCCTCTGTCTTGGGCGAGGATGGAGCAGGATGAGTCGAATCGCCATTGCTGGGGGGAAATGAGAAACTTGGAGGCACAATGAGATTAAGAGAAAGGGATCGAACATCGGCATTAATAGTGTTGGAGCTGAAGGAAGAAGCGGTAGGATGAACGGAGGATGTGGTAGCAAAACAGGCGTCCATGATGAAAAGCGAGGGGTACGTACTACTTGCTGGGTCGGACATTTATGCTCAGCGCATGGCTCATGGCCTTAGTCTCTCATCAATGCGGTTCTGAATGTGGATTTCTCATAATGGGTCCTTGTGAACACTGTGGCCGTTAATCGAGATGTCGTGGGAGCGCGGCTATCCGTTTTGGCAACAGGGCGCAATGATACCAATTCAAATCTTTGAATTGGAAGACCCAACTTGATTGTATCGCGAAAGCACCCTTGTAGTCTGCCTGAAACAAAGTCCAGGCAAAAACATCTCGGATGAAACTCGGGCGGTAAGTAGTTTTTGTATCTTGGACCCATCTTTTTCTTCACCGATAGGACTTTTTTTAGTTTTCAATTAGATTGTGTGGGCGCTTGCTGCGAAAAACGAAATATCGCAACAAGTGAAGGCCCTTGATGCGCGTCAAGTTGGAACCTCCACTGTAGTTTGAATTGATGTGTAGACTGAAATTTGTATCGGTAATGAGCACAGCTGATTCAGTCCAACAACTGATGCCGCTAGGCATGCTGATACCTGAACCCCAGAAGCTCAGTTATGGGACTGAATGGGCCTATCATCATACTAGCAGCTTCTCAACAGGTTTAACTACTATTAATATTGCAACGGAAGAAAGTGTGAAGAGTAGTGGTAACACACCTGTCGCACCCCTACTATAAGAGACCCTTCTATAAGAGAAGCTAGTCGCCTGAATATTTGTGTGACAAACTTGGTATCTGATCCGATGTTTTGTATTAATCTCGACGCGATCTTCTTTCCTCTCTTATCCTTTACGTGTGTCTGCTTACTCGCTCCTTCTTCCCACCCATTCCAGTATAAGGGACATGAAACCTTTCTCCCCACCCTATTAAAAGGCCCGACTGTTCCGCTTCGTGGGGTTCGCTGGGTGGGAGGAAACGGGACAACACCAGTTCGCTCTCGACTATCAAGATGTCTTCATCTACAAATCGATATGCAACGTACTTGGCAACCAAGGACGAAAGATGAAGAGTGCAGTGCAGAGTTGGGCGCAGCACCGCAAGCATCTGGTTCATAAACACAGGCGACAACCCATAAGATCGGCTAACTCCGAATGTGGGTGCAGTTGGCAAGTCATGTACATATTGCCGGCATCGTCTTCCGATCTGTCGTCATCGCCGCTGCCGTCGTCGACGAGTTTCGCATATTTTTTTCCTTCGTTCTTTCTCCTGCTTGCATTGTTACTCATCTTCTGCTAACGCCATGTATCAACCCTGTCAACCCTATCGCTATCGACATGGTAATTATAACATAGATTCCAAATTCACACTCTCCACAATCCCTCCAATGATGTGGCAATGGTCCTATCACCATTGCCATCTTCGTTCTCATCGTGTCAGCCATCATATTCATGTGGTGCTTTGTCTTGAGATTGCCTATTGCTGGGAGTACCGTCTGGCGACCACGTAACAGGGATCCACCACCACTACCTGACAGTTTATTCCCCGATTCTGCACAACTATCTGCACGACCACAACCATAAACGTCCCACCCAGTTCATCCAGCTAAGTAGTACTACCGAGTACTCTCACTCCATTATGGACGCGTTTTTTCTCTCTCTCTACCACGTCCTCCGTTCATCCTGCTGCTTCTTCATTCAGCTCCAACAGCATTAATGTTGATGTTCGATCCATTTCTCTTAATCTCATCGTGCATCTTTCATTCCCCCCCACAAACTCGCAGCGATGGTGATTCGACTCATTCTCGCCCAAGACAGAAGGTTCATCCAATCATGATGCGGACATAGTCAGGGTGTGTATGGTTCATTACTAAGCATTTCTCAGCTCTGATTGCAAAGTTTGAACCTATATACCGAAGACCTTCCACCCGCTGGTATGAATGTATCAGTTGGTGAAGGACAATTCACTATCATCCATGGCCGTATCTTAGCGGGACCTACATCATTATCAGACCGACCCTCCGTCCTAGGTGAGGATGGAGTAGGGCGAGTTGAGTTACCATCACTGTGAGCATCGAGGGGAAGTGAAGGAAGCACAACGAGATTGGGAGGAATGGATCCAGCGTCAGGATTGTTGCTGTTAGATGCGAAGAAAGCAGGGATAATAGAAGACATGATGACGAACATGGGTTGATAACAGAGAGAAAGCGGGAATTTTAGTCCATTTTTTTTGGCTGAGCCCGGGTACAAACGCCAATTGCCTCGTAATGTGACAGTGGCCGGAGTCCCGCCTCGAGGTAGAAGAGCGTACACAAGTGAGAGTGGCTATGTTTGGCGCGAGGAGGCTGTGGATAAGTATGGTCGCAAATGTTAGACAGCCAAAAGCCCTTGTATCAGGATAACACGTTGTAACCAACCCGCCCTTTTCATTTTCCGATCATGGCGCATCGTCACGGCAACTCAACCCTGTTAGGGTTCGTCCTTCCTATTACGAAGAAATGCAGGGTAGAAAGGGCTGCCGAAATAAATGGAGCGTTACTCCTAAATACGGATAATCGATCGAGCGCGCCTTTTTTTGCATCTTGCTGCCCAAAGTTTTTCTCCCTAGCCACTAATATATATATCACCGTCATTTTGAGTCATATGGCTATGGCACAGATAAAATGATAACATCCAACCCTCATCATGGACGTGTTTTTCTCTTCAGCATTAGGCCGAAGACCTCCTTATCCATGACCGTCATTTTGCAGTCTCGTCCACGGGGAGTGTTTGATTTTCTGGCTCACATACCTCCATGTGCATTCACGAGACTCACTCTGCAGACGTCATCCACATGCACAAGAGCCCAAAATCATCACTGTCAAGCGCTTCGTAAAGAATGACGCCGTACGACATCGTACTACTGCTTACTCGAGACAGGGTGCTAGACTTCAGCTTTTGGCTGGACCACACTTTCTCATTGCTTCAGTTCGTCCTGCACCGTGGGGAATTCGATGCAATAGATACAGTGCGTCCTGCATGTTTTGTTTGACAGTGTCCGATCACATATCAAAGCGTTACCCTGTTTCAGGTGACGTTGTCTAGGGACACGCATCGGTTCTACGACAGGAGGTCAAAGCAGGATGCAACACTCCGCTAAACGTCTCACTCTTCGACCTTGGGATTGTGTTGGACGAATGCGGTTCATATGGTCTATTGGGGGTAAGTGTTGAGCCATCGACTGACAATCAGAAAAGGTGATCAGCTGGTTCGTCACCTCGAGAATCGAGGAGATATGGTGGATGTGTTTGGAGCTCGTTACGCAACAGGTGCAGCCCGTCTTCCAGTGCGTTTGGCCAGAAAGTCGAGTATTAGGATTTGGACAGGCTTAGGCTTGGGGAGAATGTCTAGGTAGCTAAGGACAGGACTGGTTCAATGATTGTGTCTACCTGTATCTAGAAGATCTCTGGTTAGACTCGCATCTCGAAAACTTAAACTAGTCTACTTCTGTTATGAGGGTTCCCCTCGAACTGAATGACCGACCTTACAGCGCCTTCGGTGCATTGATGGTGAAATTTATAGTGCAATAAAGCTAGTGGTTCCTCATGCATAGATCCACTGTGATTGCTGAGCAGTGACGTCTCTGAACCTCGAAGCACATCTAGATTGCAATGAGAGGTGATGTTGATGGTGTAGCCCTGAGGCGCGACATCAGCCGCGGACCCGACGCAGAGTCGATCGTAATGGACCTGGGCAAAACTGTGATTCGGCCCCTTTAAGTACGTCTATGTACTTAAACTCTTCACAGCACTGTTGCTGGATCGCACTAGCAAATCCTCAGTTTTTCGGGATACGCCCTTACCTTCTTGGGTGTTCTCAAAAATTTCCCATAGTTGACGCGGTTTGAAGTGAGGAGAGATACCTTGTTGAAGTTGTTTCTCGCAGACATTCTTGTTTCACTTAGTGTTCGGCTCTTGTGGAAGTGCAAACGCTATAGAAAGAGGGTAACACCGAGTTTAACATGAAAGCAGAACTCACACAGGGAACGCAAACGCAGAAGAAGGAATCAATGAATGGCGGATGGCCGAGCACTAGCATCCTTATGGCCCAGGAAGATTGATCCTCTGGACAAAAACATGAACTTCTTATCGGATGCGTATGGTAGTCGGATAAAATTCACAAACGCGGAGAAGGAATACAAGCACAAGTGCTGTTCAAAGGAATTGTTCCGATGAGTTTCGGGAGATGCAGAGAGGCGTCATGGCTAGATCACCAGGGACCGCGCGAGCGAACAAATTGAGTTGGCCTGGCGCCTCTTGCGGCCGGCTGCTTGTACTGTGTCACAACGCAAGTCCAAGTCGCCGTTGGGACGGTGATTATACCAAATATGCAACATAAAAAAGGTCGTGAACCATTCTCCAATTGAACTTCGAACCCAATCAAAGGGATTGTGGGGTAGCGCAGCCTAATTTACATCTGAAGGACAATGTTACAGACTTACTGACGGCGACTGGGTACTATGAGTCAGGATTAGTTCTGGAAGGCCAAGTGGGCGCATACGGGGATATGCGCGGAGCGACATCGTCGATGACCGAGATGCATGGAATCTGGGATAGACAACAGATCAACATGACGGTCGTGACAAGCCTAACTCTGACACACACGAAGAAGTGATGAAAGAACTATACAGCTGCATAAGCCATGCCAGTTGTTGATGCAGTGCATCTACATGAAATCAGTGGTTGGGTGCCGTCATATAGGACATCGCTGGCTCAAAGGAACTCCTGTTCATATTATAGTGGTTGCGGCGAGTCCAGAGTAGGAACAGACTCGTACCCAGTCGGAGGAGCTCCGTGGACGCGCAAAATAATAGCTCTTTAGGCAATGTTCTCACGGTCTGTATTTAATACAAAAGATCACATGATATGGAGTTAAGCACATAGCCGATCACCTACTCCGGAAATTTGGACGCGACACTTCATGGCTGTGCTCCGGCACTGTCCGGCCTCTGTCTTCCCACGGCAAACAAGCTCGCTTTAAGGCTCTAATCATCACACCCCTCCCCAAGCCATCACAGAAAAAATCCAAAACAAATGTAGTAGTTACCCCCACCCAAAATTAGCCCAGCCCAGCCCAACCCAACTCGATTCATTTGCTTCTTGCTCATATGTGCTAAAATTATGTTGGAATCTTGTATTGTGCGCTCAAAATAATGTTCTTTTTCGCCTCATCGGCCAATTTCTTGGGGTGAAGATACTGTAGTGATCAACACCAGAGCAGGATTGGACTATTATTAGGTAGTTCTGCCATGTTTTTCCCTTGACTGGGCTCAATAATGACAAAGTGCTGAGCGCGCAATACAAGATTCCAACATAATTTTAGCACATATGAGCAAGAAGCAAATGAATCGAGTTGGGTTGGGCTGGGCTGGGCTAATTTTGGGTGGGGGTAACTACTACATTTGTTTTGGATTTTTTCTGTGATGGCTTGGGGAGGGGTGTGATGATTAGAGCCTTAAAGCGAGCTTGTTTGCCGTGGGAAGACAGAGGCCGGACAGTGCCGGAGCACAGCCATGAAGTGTCGCGTCCAAATTTCCGGAGTAGGTGATCGGCTATGTGCTTAACTCCGTATCATGTGATCTTTTGTATTAAATACAGAACGTGAGAACATTGCCTAAAGAGCTATTATTTTGCGCGTCCACGGAGCTCCTCCGACTGGGTACGAGTCTGGAGTAGGAACGACTCCGCTCTATAACGTATAGTATCGAGAAGTATGCACTGAACTTAGGGGGCATGCTGTGATATTCATCGCAGGATCCCGGAATCGGAATTCGCACGCCACTCCGCAATCACACGTTGCTGTAATATTGTTACAAGACATTGCGAACGGAGAAGTTTTTAGCGCCCTTCTTCTCCCCGTAGTCAACGTCGCTCACGAATCGGGGTAACCTTTTCTATGGTTGACTTCCTTGAACCACTCCGAAGAAGTCTGTGGCGAAGAGGGTAGATTCACCGCTGGTAACACGTTTGCCGTTTGTCGTCTTTAGTTTCTGTACGTCTTATGACCCTTCGACGCCTCTAATGCTCTGATGTCGAGAAGATAAGGTGCCGGGTGCCCGCACTTTGAGCATCTTCATATTGCCCATTGAACATGCAGCAGCACAAGCTGCTTTCCTCTTTATCTTCATCAAGCCTCCCTCAGATACTACAATAGTCTTCCTATACCAATGGGTTTTGACCGCTATATTTTTAGCCGCGGAGTGGGCATGGTACCTCTTGGCAATGAAGCTCAGCGTGCTTACGCGCGATCAGGTGCACGATCAACGCATATTTACACAACAACACGGTACACAGTATTTACACTCGCGACCCCAATGTGACAAGAGCACAGATAGAAGGTGTACCATCGGAATTCTTGGGGTACCTGGAAATTACCGATCTCAACTCCTTTCAGCGCCCTGATCCGTAATGTTAATTACTTCCTTCCGCTGTCTGGGCTACTTTCTTGTTCGTGGGGACGTACTTTGCCCTCTCGCATGCACAACGTGAAACTCTTCCTTATCAAGCAAGGTTCTTCGGTAAATGCCTGTCATCGTTCCTCTTGCCCAGGATCAATGTCGTTATTTTGGTCTCAATCTTTGCCACGACAGCGCCTCTCATACTCGTTTTCTTTGGTGCGCAAGTAGCCTAACCCACTGTCAGATTCGATTTTCATATCGATCAAAAGTTCTCCCGTTGAATCAGCTGATTCTGGTTCCTTTCACTTACTATTGTGCCACAGCTCTCTTCGCAGTCAATGGCTCTTTTCTCCGTATCTGACGGGTTTCCCTAGATATCATTCGGAAAGGGATTTTGAATTCCACCATCACCGCACTCAAACGGCATTTAGAAACGCGTTTCGCCATTAGAAGCCCTTTTGACTTGGTGACTCTCCTGCTACCGGGAAGGGAAATCGGCATTGGGAATGCTAGCAGTGCAGACATCCGCGATCTGGCACACTTCACGAATGCCTTGGCGCGATCTATATTCGGGGTTTCTGCTTTCGGACGACATATACAGGTGCGGGGAGCGAATGCTCCGCCCCCCCTCAAGCACCCGAGCAGGTGATGAGGCTAAGCTTGATGGCTTGGAGATCGGCCCGATGATACTACTTTTGCGGTTATCGCAGCCCTCGAATCACTAACAATTCGGAACCGAGCCCAATGATTGCCTTGTGCTACAAACCGTGGTTTGCAACAGTTTGAACACCACAGCATAAAGGCATAATAAAATGCTAAAATGGAACCGGTAATTTTGTCCGTGACAGCTTGGTTTCTGGCTCAAACCGAACCGTTCGGAGCCCTACTCGAATCTTCAGCGACCACGAATTCTCGTTCTGCCGCTCTGTCGAAGGACATGAAGGCTTCTTCTTTCTACGATCGCCAAACCAGCTGGAAGCTGATGACAGGTGTCATCGCTCTGTTCTCCAAACGTCAAAACGCCGAGTCAGACCTCGCTTCCGCAATTTCGGAGATCGGAGCTCCTCTTCGCTTGCTGCTTGATTTGATACCATCAAGCCCCGGCTCTCCCGAGGCTCAACAACGACCAACAGATCCAAATCCAAAGTACTGCAAATGATCCTCATCCCCTTCAATCTTATCTGTACACCCTTTCCCTTACGGCGACTCTCGCTCATCTTTGGGGACTTTTTCGTGTGGCGAAAGGGACCGAATCTCAGAGTATGAGGATTTGGTTCCCGTGGACTTCACCCCAAAGGAAAAATAGCTTCCCAGCCCCCCTTCCACCGAAGGTTCGGCTGCGAAATCGAAAATTGAGTTCGCGCCACAGAATGAAGTTCCGGAGAGAAAAGTTTGATTGGCATCCTGTTTGCTTTCACGGGCACTGGTGGAATTCCGGGGGGTGAAGATGTATTCAGGGGCTAGATCTCCGTCAAAATCGAATTTCTTGGCGGGACCGAACCGACGTTCTCGTAGATTTTGGCCCGTCCGGCTCAATCCACTCATCCTCACTTCGCTGTCTGAGACTAGCTCTATGAGTTTATTCTTCCCGCTTTGCATGTTTCAAGGTAGCTGGACTTGGGTTGACTCGTGATGACCTTGACGCTGTACTTTGTAGACGTTGGAACTCTCACCCTAAGCTCCACCGCAACCGCTGAAATATAATATGGGCCGGAGCCTCGTTGAAGGGCCCGCAGATTTCCCTATGGCGGCGCTCAATCACTGGTTATAGACGTTCTCAACGCTAACATGCTTAGCTGTATACTTTCTTCCATTGCTTCTTTCGTGTGTTAGGCTTGTTACGATCGACATGGTAATCTGTTGCCCATCCCAGCTCCCGCGCGCCTCGATCATTGATGCCGCCCCATGTATGTGCCGCTTGGGCTCTTTCGCCCACTAAACCTTACGGAACTAATTCGAATCGTACCCACTCGTTGCCATTGAGTACTCGAGCTTTGCCCTTCAGATGTAAATCAGGCGGCGCCACAGTCAACTCCCTCCGATGGGACTCGAAGCACAATTGGAGAATGGTTCACGGCTTCTATCTGTCTTGTGTTGTACACCCGGTACGATCACAGTCCTCCGCGGCGAATTGGACTCGCATCATGGTCCGCGCCAGGTAAATTCGAATGGGCACTTGTGCTTGTATGTCTTGTCGGCGTTTATGGGTTTTCACGTGAACCACCGTATGCATATGATACGAAGGCTCACATTTTTGTCGGTGGATGCATTTCCATAAGACCTTCAGCCACTGATAAATACCGACAAAAGCGCAAAAATAATCGACTGAGATTACTGGGCCATATCGCTTGTCGACATTCCGACTTTCATCCTAGCAAGGCTCTATGTGTCCACGTGTGAATTGTGATGATTCAATCATGGAGTCGATGAACTCACTTAGGTTATCAAATGGCTCTCAGTCACTTCAATCTTGCGACACGCAATAGCGCTGTGACGAGATGAAGTATAGACAGGGACCAAGTCACAATTCCCTGGATCTGTTATAATCGATTCGCTCACGCCCCCCGGGTCCGCAGTTGGCACCCCTCCCCAGCGGCTACACCACGATCGCATGTCATTGCCATCTGGATGTGCCTCGACGTTCACGGACGATATCGATTTTCATCACAACGGGTCTATGCATGAGGACTGTAAATTTCAGTATCCATACACCGACGGCACTGCAAGCTCGGTCATTCAGCTTGAGAGGAAAACTCTCATAATAGAAGTAGCCTAGTTCGATTCTTTGAGATGGGAGTCTAGCCAGAAATCCTTTAGATACAGGTAGACACAGTCATTGAACAAGTCCTTGGCTAGACATTCTCCCCAAGCCCAAGCCTGTTCCGAATCCTGACACGCGTTTTTCTGGCCAAATGCGTCGGCAGACAGGCCGCTTCACCCGTTGCGTAGCGAGCTCCAAACATATCCACCAATAACTCTTCAAGAATTGAGGCGACGAACCAGCAGTTCTCCTTTTTCTGATTGTCAGTCGACGGCTGCTCCGCTAAAACGATCGACACTTACCCCGAATAGTCTATATGAATGGCATTCATCCAACACGACCTCAAGGATCCTCATAAAGTCGAGGAGTGAGACCTGTAGTGGTAGCTGTAGTGTTGCTTCCTCCTTTGATCTCCGGTCGGAGAGCAGATGCGTGTCCCGAGACACGGTGACCTGTACCAGGGTGACACTTTAACAAGTGATTGAATACTGTCAAATAAAACACACAGGGCGCACCGTATCTGTTGCGTCGGAATTTCCATGGCAGAATGAATCGAGGCAACGAAAGAGTATGATCTCGACGACGGTCCACCCGAAGGCCGATTCCATCTCGAGTCAGTAGTACTAGACACCGATGCCGTGTACCATTTTTCTTTACGAAGCGCTTGACAGTGACAATTTTGGCCCCTTGTGCATGTGGACTTCCCCTCAAGTTGCGAAGGAAGACGTCCGTAGAGTAAGTCGTGAAGGCACATGGAGGTATGTGAGCCAGCAGATCAAACGACCTCATGGAAGCGGCTGTAGGACTAGGGTCATGAATACTCGTGAACTGTCCTTCAGCAGCTGATATACCCATGGGCGGAAGGTCCTGGGCCTATAGGTTTGAACGTCAGAACTGCGGGATGCCTGACGGTGAACCATATGCACCCTGACTATGTCCGCACCATTACTAGACGGACCCTCTGTTTTGGGCGAGGATGGAGCGGGATGAGTCTGAGTCGGATCGCCATTGCTGGGGGGAAACGAGAAACTTGGAGGTACGATGAGATTGAAAGAAAGGGATCGAGCATCAACATCAATGCTGTTGGAGCTGAAGGAAGAAGCAGTAGGATGAACGGATGATATCGTTGAAAGATATGTGCCCATGATGAAAAGTGAGGGGTACGTACTGCTTGGCTAGATGGAACTGGGTCAGAGATTTATCCTCAGTGCGACTTGTGGCTGTGCAGTTATGCCGCCATTAGCCATTCAATCAAATTCAATACAAATTCAATCCAAATTCAATCCAAATTCAATCCAGATTCAATCCAAATTCAATCCAAATTCAATACAAATTCAATCCAAATTCAATCCAAATTCAATACGAATTCAATACAAATAACCAGTTACATGTAACGGGGTTAAGAAGCTCATATCCGAACATCTAATCTGGAAACCCGGCGCCGGTATTGAATACCACACCAATAGAATAGGCTGTAGCACTGCCGTTTTCCATTCAATAGTCCACGTGACGAATTTCGGTTCTGTGCTCGCTCCGTTGCGTGAAAGCAAGCCTGGCAAAGAACAGCTCATATCTCTGCAACCAGATGCTCATTTAAAATGCATGCATTTTACTCCTACAGATTATTTTACCACCGATAATTTTAATTCTCGTTTTTTATAAATTCACATTTGTCACAGTCCCCCCCATTTTTCTCAACAACGGCTGCATGAAAAAATAAAATAAAAAAAAAACATGCATTTTAAAAGAAACCGCAAGTCCCCAGCTCATCTGGTTGCAGAGATATGAGCTGTTCTTTGCCAGGCTTGCTTTCACGCAACGGAGCGAGCACAGAACCGAAATTCGTCACGTGGACTATTGAATGGAAAACGGCAGTGCTACAGCCTATTCTATTGGTGTGGTATTCAATACCGGCGCCGGGTTTCCAGATTAGATGTTCGGATATGAGCTTCTTAACCCCGTTACATGTAACTGGTTATTTGTATTGAATTCGTATTGAATTTGGATTGAATTTGGATTGAATTTGTATTGAATTTGTATTGAATTTGTATTGAATTTGGATTGAATTTGGATTGAATCTGGATTGAATTTGGATTGAATTTGGATTGAATTTGTATTGAATTTGATTGAATGGCTAATGGCGGCATAACTGCACAGCCACAAGTCGCACTGAGGATAAATCTCTGACCCAGTTCCATCTAGCCAAGCAGTACGTACCCCTCACTTTTCATCATGGGCACATATCTTTCAACGATATCATCCGTTCATCCTACTGCTTCTTCCTTCAGCTCCAACAGCATTGATGTTGATGCTCGATCCCTTTCTTTCAATCTCATCGTACCTCCAAGTTTCTCGTTTCCCCCCAGCAATGGCGATCCGACTCAGACTCATCCCGCTCCATCCTCGCCCAAAACAGAGGGTCCGTCTAGTAATGGTGCGGACATAGTCAGGGTGCATATGGTTCACCGTCAGGCATCCCGCAGTTCTGACGTTCAAACCTATAGGCCCAGGACCTTCCGCCCATGGGTATATCAGCTGCTGAAGGACAGTTCACGAGTATTCATGACCCTAGTCCTACAGCCGCTTCCATGAGGTCGTTTGATCTGCTGGCTCACATACCTCCATGTGCCTTCACGACTTACTCTACGGACGTCTTCCTTCGCAACTTGAGGGGAAGTCCACATGCACAAGGGGCCAAAATTGTCACTGTCAAGCGCTTCGTAAAGAAAAATGGTACACGGCATCGGTGTCTAGTACTACTGACTCGAGATGGAATCGGCCTTCGGGTGGACCGTCGTCGAGATCATACTCTTTCGTTGCCTCGATTCATTCTGCGCCATGGAAATTCCGACGCAACAGATACGGTGCGCCCTGTGTGTTTTATTTGACAGTATTCAATCACTTGTTAAAGTGTCACCCTGGTACAGGTCACCGTGTCTCGGGACACGCATCTGCTCTCCGACCGGAGATCAAAGGAGGAAGCAACACTACAGCTACCACTACAGGTCTCACTCCTCGACTTTATGAGGATCCTTGAGGTCGTGTTGGATGAATGCCATTCATATAGACTATTCGGGGTAAGTGTCGATCGTTTTAGCGGAGCAGCCGTCGACTGACAATCAGAAAAAGGAGAACTGCTGGTTCGTCGCCTCAATTCTTGAAGAGTTATTGGTGGATATGTTTGGAGCTCGCTATGCAACGGGTGAAGCGGCCCGTCTGCCAGTGCATTTGGCCGGAAAAACGCGTGTCAGGATTCGGAACAGGCTTGGGCTCGGGGAGAATGTCTAGCCAAGGACGGGACTTGTCCAATGACTATGTCTACCTGTATCTAAAGGATTTCTGGCTAGACTCGCATCTCAAAGAATCGAACTAGGCTACTTCTATTATGAGGGTTTTCTCCTCAAGTTGAATGACCGAGTTTGCAGCGCCGTCGGTACTTGGATACTGAAATATACAGTGCAACAGAGGGCTGCCCTCATGCATAGACCCATTGTGATGAAAATGGATATCGTCCGTGAACGTCGAGGCGCATCCAAACCGCAATGAGATGTGATCGTGGTGTAGCTGTTGGGAAGTGGTGCTGGCTGCTGACCCCGGGGCAGGCGCGAGCGAATCGATCATAACAGATCCGGGGGAATTGTGACTTGTGCCGTTCCTATACTTCATCTTGTCACAGCATTGTTGTGTGACCTCGATTGAGGTGACTGAGAGCCATTCAATGACCTGAGTAAGTTCATCGACTTCGTGGTTGAATCATCACAATCCACCGAGCTAGACATGGCCTTGTTAGGTTGAAAGTCGGAACGTCGACGAGCGATGTGGCCGAATCTCAATTAATTATGTAGTGCCACAATTCTTAAGCATTTAGGGTTCTTGAATATTATATCCATTGGTGGTTCGGGTGAAAATCCATAAACGTGGACAAGAAATACAAGTACAGGTGCCCATTCAAAGAAATTGATCCCATGGGCCCAGGGAGATCCAGAGAGGTGTCATTGCTAGACCACCAGGGATTACGCGAGCGGACAAATCGAATTTGCCTGGCACCTCCTGCTGTAACTCTCCAATGTTTCGAGTCCAGTCGGAGAGAGTTGAGGGTGGCGCCGCCTGATTCGCATCTGAAGGACAAAGCTCGAGTACTCAATGACAACGATTGGGTACGAGCGTGGATCAGTTATGGAAGGAGAAGTGGGTGTAACAGCGCAAGTGGGGCGACATCGTTGATGGCCAAGGGCACGGCCTAGGATGGGCAACATGTTAGAATTGAGACTGTCTATAACCGGTGGTTGAGCGCTGCCATAGAAAAATCTTCGGGCTCCTCAACGAGGCTCTGGTTCATATTTCGGCTGTTGCGGTAGGGCCCAGAGTGAGGCCCCAACATCTACAAAGGATAGCGTCGAGGCCATCACGAGTTAACACCTTGAAGTGGGAAGAATAAATCCATGGAGCTTCGTAAGGATACGCTAACAGGGAAGACCTACGTACTAACATTCGACATCCGAATTTGATTACTCGGCCTCGGCGCACGTATCATATTCATTCCTTTATTTATAGTAGTTTTTGGTTGCGCGTTCCAGGACGCGCCATACACATTGCCAATGGGAAGGATTTCGCGTTTCAATTGCGTGAGTCGGAATGGGTCATCCTTACTTAATTCAGTTGGCAACGGCAGGGCAACGGCTTCACGTCGTTTCGTGACGGAGCACAGACTAGTCTCGTGAGGTGCCCCGAATGACATGTTCACTGCAGGTAGGGCTCCGGGTGGATCGGATTATCCCGGATGCCGGATTAGGATTGGGGGTCAGGATGTATTCTTGATCCGGGATTGGCATCCGGGATGATCCGAGATGATCCGGGATGGAGTCCCATTGCTAGCATGCAACTAATGGCCCCCTTATTGGTTTGGGGGCCTCCAAAATTATTGTATTGTAGCAAAGTCATCCGAGATATTTTAACTCCTGACTCATTGTCCGTGCACATTGCTGGCTGCTGTCCAGAGGGGTGTCAAGACTGTTTCCCACGGTCTAGACACACTTTACATAGTTGGATAGCCCTATTGAATAGCTTCCAGAATATACAATTTGAGAGTGAATTGACCAATAAATTATCGAGAAAAATGCAAAATACTTTTTTGGACGCGAGTCTGCAAATACTTGTGGCTGTCCAAACTCACTGTCTGTGCACAATGCTGGCCACTGTCCAGAGGGGTGTCAGGGCTGTTTCCCACGGTGTCAACACACTTTACACCAATGGATAACCCATTTGAATAGCTTCCAGAATATACAATTTGAGACTAAATTGACCAGTAAATTATCGAGAAAAATGCAAAATACTTTTTTGGACACGAGTCTTTTGGGGTAACTCAATGTCTGTACTCATGCTGACCACTGTGTAAAGGGGTGTCAGGACTGTTTCCCACAGTGTCAACACACTTTACATTGATGAATAGCCCATTTGAATAGCTTCCAAATTTATTGTATGATCGGAATTCAGGTAAATACATGTTAAAATACAAAGAAATCTTAAGATGTTATTATCCCGGATCATCCCGGATCATCCGGGATTTTCATCCGGCGGATCCGGATTGGCCATTGGGAGGTTGTCCCAATCCGGGATTTCTGATCCTAATCCGATCCTATCCGATCCACCCGGACCCCTAACTGCAGGTAAGCTTGACTGGTCTGCTTGCCTAATCTTCTGATGGGACGAACACGGGCCTCCTGCATCCCGAAATCCGAGGACAAACTTTTCGAACGGGTATGTGGGTTTAGGCGTCTATGAGTTTTTAGTTCCACACCACTCGTATAGGCGGAAGCCTTGATTCAAGATCCGAAAGATCCGAAGGACATATCTTTCGCGAATCCTCACCTCTATCGATTCTTTGTTCTGCACTCCTAAAGAAAGGTTGTGTATTCACTGCAAAGTTATCGTTTGTAAGCCAAAGTGGTTCAGCCAAACGAACCATTGCTTGCTTATGATGGTCTGGATAGCCCCAGCGATTACCCTCAGCCCATTCAAAATGAGATTTGACCCGCCCGTAACTACATCCTAACAGTAGGTAAGTCTACATTTTCGCGCTTCATGGCTGCTGAATGAGCAGCATCTTAGCAACCCAACGATATACGAATTGTCTTCCGAACGTTGGTCCCCGGTACAGAAGTGTGGAGAGGGTCATATTGTGCGTTATTTCAATGTTGGCAGGTCCGCACGGTTTCGCCTTTTCAGGTTGATCTTCAATAAAACTGACCTTTATCTTCTAGGACTTAACCTAGAGAGTAGCGTGGATATCGATTGCTGCAAGTTGTACCCAGAAAACAAAAGGGTTTGTCGTCCGCTACCCTCCCCGACAATCGTCGTGACACTACTTTTTCTAACAGGAGTATAAGCGTCAAGTACGAAAGATGGACATGAAGTAGCTTGGTATTGAGGCGTGAGTCTCGTCACGTTGATGTTCGTGGCGTCTTCCTGAGTATGGTGTGCGGTGGGTCACCGCCTCGAAGCCGAGAGGCACCCAGAATACCAGAGATTTTTATCCGTGATTCCTGTGGTCTTACACGGTCTTGTCGTACTATAACGTATACCAAATGGGCTGTGTCAAATTTGTTATAAGTGTAAGTGGAACGTGTCAGCGGAGCCGCGGGCGCCATCGATCATGCGTCACAAAGCATGCAGATTTCTATATGGGTGTGCCGGTAAGCGGGTTTGATCCAGCGTTTCACCAAAACGAATCCTGTCTTTAGCTGCTAAGACATTCTCCGCCCAGCCAAAGTCTGTTCCAGATCCCAGCACGCGCGCGTCTTCCCAAAGGATAAGTGGCTTCACCTATTGCGTAGTGAGCACCGAACACATCCACCAATATCTCTTCAAGAACTGCGGTGACAGACCAGCAGTTTCCCTTCTGGTTGTCAGTCAATGGCTGTTCCGCCGACAACAGCCGACTCTCACCTCGAATAGACTATATGAACGGCATTCATCCAACACAACCTCAAGGATACTCATGAAATCTCGGAGTGAGATGCATAGCGGTGGCTCTAGTGCTGCCTCGCTTGGCCTCCTGTCAGGTGTGTCACTATCACCAGACACGGTAACATGGAACAGCGCTTTAACTTGTGATTGGTCACGCAGGACCCACCGTATCTGCCGCATCTGTCCGATCTCGAGCAATCTGGTAGGCAGGTGGGTGACGCCATGGGAATGTTTTCACTTCAAATCATTTGAAGCGATGGAGAAATGTATCGAAACGTGACTGACACCTTTATCAAAATGGATCACAGTTTGGCGCACTGGTGTCCGGGCCCATTGATCAATTTGAATTGCACCCTCCCAACCCAGCTTTGCCGCGAGGTACCTGGCCACATACGTGGAACTTGGTGCGACATTTATGCTGTTGATCCTCAGTTGAAGGACATAAGAAGCGCGAGTCTATGAGGGTCACATCATGCGAACTTCCAAAGTTCCAGGTTCACACAACGAGCGCACTCCATTGCACCCCCAAGAAAACATTCAAGCCTATCGTAACTTAGACGAAATCCACAGCAACGAGACTAGAGGTTAGAGATATCATCATCAACAGCGTTGTTGCAGATCGGTAGGGCTCGATCTGGATTTTTGCCAGCGGTTGCCGGGGCAGAGATGTGAAGATGCGAGGCTGTTGCCCGACTAGCTGAATGGATTGTCTGTGAAAATAGGTACAACTATTACTAGGAGGAGCAGGAAAGAGGGAGAGTGAGGAGGGGTGCATTTGCGCCCATGCAGATTTCAACAGTGAAGGAATGCTTAGGGCGTAAGTGCAGTGGAGTGGGGGATATGGGGATTGGGTGGAAATCGGTCCGTAACAAATTATTTAGCGCGGATGGGGGGAATTTGGGTTTATTTGTTGCACTCGGATACAAAGCAATCTAAAAAGGAAGGACTTTCATTTAAGAGCTTGGATTATTCGCAAGAAGGCGTTGGACTCACATCGCTAGCCCTTCGAGGCAGCCCACAACGATCGCTCGGGAGTCCTTCTCTAGCGGCATTTGTGTTCGAGGGGATGGAAGGTAGGATATGAAAATTGTGAAGACTGCGTGTCTCTTCACCCCTGATGAAATCTACTCCGACCGAGCTGAACCCTGACATTGGGGTCCAGAGTGCGGGATGAAGATACTTGTGTAGGATGTTCCGCTTCAAACGGGGTGCACCTAGAAACACTGCTTACATCGGGCGATCCGCTGGTGAAGGAGACTCCATCATCGTTCACAGGTTGCCCAAACGTGCAGGTACCACACTCCTGGGCCAATTCCTTCTCATATTCGCGCTCGTATGCTGCTTCGTCCCAACCATCCAGGCGATAGTGCTTGAACAGCTCGGCGACGGAATTGGATTGGCAGAGTAGCCTGTGACATGGCATATGGCTGGGGGGAGTAAGGCGGTAGTCGGGGACTTGGCGACAAATGACTGTTATAACAGGGTAATTTCGAAGCTGGCCGCCGCCCCACACCCAATTAGGTAGTGATTGCCTAATATAATTTTCCCGCGCGCGGCTCCCATTCATCTCTTCCAAGGTGGGTCGCTGGGGAGAAATGTACAGTCACAATTTAAACATCCGGCTTTATCGCACATTCCCCTGATCGCCTTGATAAGGAGACCTAGAGGTTTGGCCTGCATTCAAGAGGCGTTTGCCAGTGCAAGGATCGACTTCTGGACTACACCGGCGCTAATGAAAAGCTTTCGTGCAACGCGCACGTGGCGAGCTATGCTAGATGCTCTAGCCCCCAACACCGCACGCAGCTGCCACTATCAGCGTCTCGTGTCTTGGTCTAGGGCTAGCGGTACAGCATGCTTTCCCTCCTCTAGGTTCACTCGGTTTAGTGCTAGTGCTATTTCAAATGGTCCCTTTCACACGTCCAGTGTGCACCACACTATCTGATGGAGCAGGAAGCAAGCGCTCATGAAACTTGTGGAACAGGAGCAAACAAATTCGGGCTGAGAAAGCCGTGCGAGTAAATAATTGTCACCCGGGACCGAAATCACCCTCAATGCATCCCGAGAAACGAGAAAACTGAATTGCACCCCGAAGTAGAAAGTGTGCCAAAAACGGATCTATGTAGCTAAGGCAGCATAAATATCGAACCAAGTCCATTCTCTGGCTATCGCTCACTTTCTGTTATGAACGCATTTTCCTCCAGCATGTGCTCCGTTCACTTTATCACTTCTTCCTTCAACTCTACCAGCATCAATGCTGACGCTCGATCTATTTCTCCCAATTTCATCCTGCCTCTTTCATTTCCCCTCGAAGTTTGCAGCAATGGCGATTCAGCCCGTCCTACTCCATCCTCACATGGGACAGATGGTCGATCTAATAACTGTTCAGATACTTTCAAGGTGCGTTTGGTTCATTGCTGGGCATCCCTCAGCCCAGACTACAAAGTGTGAACCTACAGGCCGAAGTGACTATAGAGGGTGGTCACCTACCTAAGGGCGAAGACCTCGTTATCAATGACCGTCATCTTGCAGTCCCATCCCTTAAATTGTTTGATTTCCTGGCTCACATACCTCTGTGTGCATTCACGACTCACTCTGCGGACGTCTTCCTTCACATCCTAAAGGGAAGTCCACATGCACAAGAGTTCAAAATCGTCGCTGTCAAGCGCTTCATATTGAAAAATGCCACACGGCATCGGTGTCTTGTACTACTGATTGCTCGAGACGGGATGCCAGCCTTCAGCCTCCGGATTGACCGCTCTCGTGATCATACGCTCTCATTGCTTCAATTTGTCCTGCGCCATGGAAAATCGGATGCGGTGGACACTGTAGGCCCTCCTTGTTTTGTTTGACATTATTTGATTACATCGTTTCCCGTTCCAGGTGACGGTGTCTAGGACCACGCATCTGCTCTATGACAGGAGGTCAAAGGAGGAAGCAACGCTAGAGCTACCGCTGCCAGTCTCACTCCTCGAGTTTATGAGAACCCTTGAGGTTGTGTTGGATGAATGCCATTCATATAGACTCTTCGGGGTGAGTGCAGTCGTTTTAGCGGAGCGGCTATCGACTGACAATCAGAAAAAAAGGAGAACTGCTGGTTTGTCACCTCGATTCTTGAAGAGTTGTTGGTGGATATGTTTGGTGCTCGCTACGCAGTGGGTGAAGCGACGCATCTGCATTTTGCTGGAAAGACGCGTACTAGGATTCGGAACAGGCTTGGGCTTGTGGAGAACGTCTAGGTAGTGAAGGAACTGGACTGGTTCTATGCTTGTGTCTACCTGTATCTAGAGGATTTCTGGTTAGACTCTTTATGTCAAAAAAATTTGAACCAGTTCTTGCTGAGAGCTTCCCTGAAGCCGGATGACCGAGCCTGTGGCGCCATCGGCATATAGATAGTGGAATCTACACTGCAATAGAGTGTACGTTTATACATAGATCCATTGTGATGGAAACTTTCTGCGGAGCAATAACGTCTCTGAACATCCAGATCATACTGGGATGCAACGTTGATCGTGAGCCAGACGTAGTGCCAACAGTGCAAAGCGACACGAAAAGATAATACACAGCACTTAGATATTGCCCATCATGAAACGTCAACAATATTGAATCCAAGAGCAATGCAGGGCGTAGTAGATATGGACGCGGAACTCTCAGAGAGGGCATATGACTTAGTGTTGAAAGAACGGGATGGGAAATACCCAAAATGGGTGTAAGCATGTCTAAGATGTGGGGCTGCTGCGTGGCGAGCGCCGAAGCTAGAGTGCCGAGTTTAGATACTGCGACTAGCGCCTCGTCCGTCCATCAGTATTTCCTTCAACCACTCGACCTTCTCTGCCTTATCACGTCTAGCTTTTTAAAATCATCATCGCGTTCCTTCTCCAGGTCCGCTACCTGGCCTTCCAGAGTGGGGACTTGCTCCGACTTTCTCCACCGACTGCGGCCATGCTGCAATTACATCCCGTCACATTTTCCACGCATCAGGGGAGTCGACTACGGAGATGACATTCCCTTCCTCCGTGATGATCAGGTGCTTTTGCCCATCTGATTCAACCGAGACACCCCCCTAATTTCACCGTCAGATCAGGTATCATGGTTCAAATGAGCTGGGTTCAGCAAGTGGCTATCCAAACACATCGTGGGGGAAATGGGAAGCACCGCTACTGCGCACCAGTCTGGTATTGGTGAGAGCATTATAAAACTAGTGGTATGAGCGGGAGGTGAAGTAGGGTGTTCGCACGAAGCGTTGACGATGTTTTTATTGCAGTGGGTGCGAGTCTAGAAGGTTAAAAGCAGCACATACATGGAGCGACATTGGGATGCATGGTGTCTGGAATGAGCAACGGCGATCATGACGAGTCTAACTCGACACACGAAAGAAGCAACTGAAAGAATGAAGGAACTATGCAGCTAAACATTTTAACATTGAAACAGTGCATCTCATGGGACGTCCAACAACCAGTGGTTGAGTGCCGCCACAGGGAGATTTGCGGGGCCCCTCAGAGGGACCCCAGTTTTTCCGGTGGTTGAAGTGGAGCCGAGAGTGGGAACAATTTGAATGTCTGTAAAGTAAAGTGTCGAGGCCATCATGAGTCGATCCAAGTCTGGCTACCTTAGAGCAAAGATACCAGACGGTGGCAAACGGCTACATCGGCTGTTCGGTCCGATTCCCACACTCACGTGAAACTAAAACTGGCTGCCGGGCCTCAGTACAGCCACCAAGCCGCCTCTCCGATCAATTGATGTGAGATGCATAATTTCATTATATAATTTGCGCCTAGACGGGCTTCTCAACATGGCAGGTCTTCTTTTAGAGTCTTACGCCCTAGCGCTCCTGAAGGTGATGGGAAAGCGAGACGACGCAGAACATCCGCCGCTGGGATTTGCTAGACGCAGTGGAACACTATCCTCAAATTTCAACGTGCCAGCTCACAAACTCCTGCAAGCTGTCATCGAGTACTCCCCATCTCCGGAAACGATCGCTCGAGGGTTTTTGGTGGAGCTTGGGAAGTGCGGGATCTTGGCTGTGAAGGGATTTGGTGAGAACGCCCCTGCTTCCTTTACATGACAGTGATACCTATTTTAATTATTATTTTTTCCCTAAGTCGATGCCTTGGACAACGATCGCTCTGTCAATTCAGACGACTGGGCAGCTATCGTGCATGAAGAACTTGAACAGAATAACGGTAATACCACGTATCTCACAGAACTTGCAAGTTACTATTTGTCCCACCTTATAATCGCATGTAAGGGTGAAAAATCTCCATTTTTATCTTATAACTTAACTTCGTTTTCCTAGTCAGAAATCCGGGTGGAAAAAAGACCCCTCAATATTCCGTACATCCTACACCCAATCTTAGGCGTATAGAGGATATTGCATTGTTGTTAGAGTCGGCCACAGCTCATCGAAGTCAATCGGCTTTGAGAGACCTTGTGCATTTCCATCTACTGCTGATCATGACTAAGAGCTTCTCTGAAAATATTCTTTAGGTCTTTCTTCGCGATGGGACTCGTTGCTCTCTTACCCGTTACGCTTTTCTTGGGGATGATAGGGTTGTAGTACCCCGCTGCGCACACATCATCCCATTTTCCATCCATTCCAAGGTAGAAACGACTTTCCAAAGACTATTTTCAACTGATTCATGCATAGACTGATGCACATGCTGCGATTGAGACCTTCACCGGCCAAACATTGAACGCAGAACTCATTCAGCAACTCGTAAACCATCCTGCTAATGCCATAAATATCCAAACCGATGCCCACGATTCAATGGATCAGAAACTAGCCTGGGGGATCGAAGCCAACTTAGTCGATCATAAAGTGGGTTACGATGCAAATTGGTCCGACCCTGATATAATTCAGTGAATAGTGGAACTATTATTTCCGAGTCGTTCGGCCAAAGGAAGTAGCAGCTACCATTTACCTTCGTGACGGGGATGAAATGAAATTTGGGCAGGGGATTGGCGGCGATGAGATTCCATTACCTGACCCTCGGATTTGCAATCTTCACCTAGCTGTTGCCCGGGTCTTTGCAGCCTCAGGTGCCGCGGAAGTGTTTGATAAATATCTGGAGGATGATGATGACGATTACATGACCCAAGTTCCTGTCTACTTTGGGGGTCCATTCGTTGATGATGACGTACTCATGCGTAAGCTTGAGGTGCTAGCTACCTGATACAATGCTGCATGTTCTTGCACCGACTAATGTACTGTTGTTTTGTTCCGAGGTGAGCGCTATTAGGTTTGCTTGCCTGATTAGCGTCACCAAACCACATGTTTGCCTAATCACCATCTCACCTTCTACAAAACAGGAACACAAGTTTTCCCAACGATTTATGGCCTTGGCATAAATGTCGAATATCCTATACATCCCTCACTCTTTGTTATCGGCTCTATCTATAGAGGCTGCTTCAGTCAACGCGTTTCCCTACAGCATGTCCTCCGTTCGCTCTATCGCCAGCTCCAACGGCATCGACGTTGGTCCTCGATCCATTTCTCCCAATCTCATCGTGCCTCTTCCATTTCCCCTCAAAGCTTGCAGTAACGGCGATTCAACCCGTCCTGCTCCATCCTTACCTGGGACAGAGGGTCGGTCCAATAACGACGCAGATACTCCTAGGGTGTGTATAGTTCATTGCTGGACATCCTTGACCCAGATTACAGAGTTTGAATTTATAGGCCGAAGACCTCATTAGCCATTACCATCATCTTGGAGCCCCATCCATGAGATTGTTCCTGGCTTACATACCTCCATACGCATTCACGACTCACTCTGCGGACGTCTTCCTTCACAACCTAAAGGGAAGTCCACATGCACAAGAGTCCAAAATCGTCACCGTCAAGCGCTTTGTAAAGAAGAATGCCACACGGCATCGGTTTCTCGTGCTACTGATTGCCCGGGACGGGATGCCAGCCTTCAGCCTCCGGATTGACCGCTCTCGAGATCATACGCTCCCGTTGCTTCAATTCGTTCTGTGCCATGGAAAATCGGATGCAGCAGATACTGTAGGCGCTACTTGTTTTGTTTGACATTATTGATTGCATCGTTTCCCGTTCCAGGTGACGGTGTCTGGGCCCACGCATCTGCTCTTTGACGGGAGGTCAAAGGAGGAATCAATGTTAAAGCTACCGCTGCCGGTCTCACTCCTCGAGTTCATGAGAATCCTTGAGGTTGTGTTGGATGAATGCCATTCATATAAACTATTCGGGGTGAGTGCGGTCGTTTTAGCGGAAGCGGCGATCGACTGACAATCAGAAAAAAGGAGAACTGCTGGTTTGTCGCCTGGATTCTTGAAGAATTATTGGTGGATATGTTCGGTGCTCGCTATGCAACGGGTGAAGCGATGCATCTGCATTTTGCTAGAAAGACGCGTACTAGGATTCGGAACAGGCTTGAACTTGTGGAGAATGTCTAGGTAGCGATGGACTTGGTTCTATGCTTGTGTCTACCTGTATCTAGAGGACTTACGGTTAGACTTCCATGTCACCAAAATTTGAATCAGTTCTTTGCTGAGGGCTGCCGGATGACCGGGCTTGCGGTGCCATTGGCACATAGATAGTGGAAGCGCTTTCCTCATCCATAGATCTATTGTGATTGAAAGTTTCTGCTAGGCAACAACGTCTCTGAACGTCCAAATCACGATGGGATCCAGCGTTGATCGTGAGCTAGACGTAGTGCCAACACAACAGTGCAAAGTAGAAGGGAAGCGACATGAAAAGAAAATACACAGCACTTAGATATATATTGCCTGTCATGAAACGACAACAATATCGAATCTAACAAAACGGACAATTCAAGAGCAATGCAGGGCGTAGTAGATATGAACGGAACTCTTAGAAAGGACATATGACTTGGTGTTGAAAGAACGGGATAGAAAAAAAATGAGAAATACCCAAAATGGGTGTAAGCATGTCTAAGGTGCGGCGAGTGCCGAGTACTGCGACTTAGCGCTTCGTCCGTCAGCATTTCCTTCAACCACTGAACTGTCTCCACCTTGTCACGTCTATCTTTAAGACCATCATCGGGTTCCTTCTCCAGGTCCGCTACCTGGCCTTCTAGAGTGCGGACGTATCCCATCGCCTTTTCCGCGCATCAGGGGAGTCGACTACGGAGATAACATCCCCTTCCTCCGTGATGATCAGGTACTTTTGCCCATCTGACTCAACCGAGACGCCCCTAATTTCGCCGTCAGATCAGGTGCCATCGTCCAATTGAGCTGAATCCAGCTAGCGGCTATTCAAATACATTGTGGGGGGGACTGGGCAGCACCGCTACTGCGCGGGTCAGCTGTGATGCCCGTATCACGCGCGAACCCGGGCTCTGCTTGGGATTGAGAGCGATCTCAGGTCTGGCTATGGACTTTTGGGGGCGTCGATAGGGAGTTGGGGGTCTCCGGAGGGGTTATGTCCAATCTTTGCCGGTGACCGGTGGCATTTTTTCCACGAGGTCCTCGCCGTCGAATGAATTGCGTGACTGATACACAGAGCATTTATTGGGGATCGTGGTCATGGGCCGAGAGGTTGTAGCAGAGGCATCACCAGTGATGGCAAGACGATGATTCGGCACCGATCTGGTACTGGTGAGAGCATCACAAAACTAATGGCATGCGAAGTAGGATATTCCACGAAGCATCGACGATGTTCTTGATAGCTTGACTCGGGACTTCGAGTCTGGGTTGGGAACGTTGAAGGTAAAGGGGAAGGGAGTTTGCACAACTACGGATGCGAAGTGAATAGGCACACCCGCTTTGAGACGTAGCTGTTTGACCTGAAATCCCCAAGGGATATTTGGCATGTACCACCATATATTAACCGAAATGCAATTGAGTTGCGGCAACTATTAAATGGCATTCTCACTTCCTAACGAACTACGCAGTTCCAGGGCAATTACCATCAATTGTATTGCGGCATCAACTGATTATCGTCGGCTTCCTCCATCTCTCATCTGCATGCTTCGGTTTCACCCTTGGCCGTGAGGAAAGGCGTTGGGACGGAAGCTCCGAGCAGTTCGGCAACCGGAAAATCATCGTTGTCACTTGCCCGGGATACCTAGTCACCGTCTCTCCTGAAGGGGACCCAGAATAATTATGTAATTGGAAGCGCCATGTGGCGGCGGAACGTGAACGTAGTGCGGACAATTGCAAATTGAACGAAATGGGAATGAGACGTATGTGTAGGAGTAAGGGAAAAATTGGGAAGTGAGGTATTTGTTCAGGCTAGAGTTGGCTGTATCGTCCATGCCGTCGCGTCGGGTATTTGGGGTGGGAGTCGAAATGACAAATGTAAGCAATATTGGCGCACTATGAACATCTAACTTCGGCACTCGCAAAGATACCTACTCTCCTGAGGGAAACCCTACACTAGAGCACGACTGGCATTCAATCCAGGCCGTGTTCACCCCTTGAATCTTTACATTGTTGTAGTTCAGCTCGCAATTAACATCCATAAAGGCACTGGCTGCTCCGGATTTTATTTGTTCTTTCTCTCTCCAGAATAATGATAAAGGCAATATGAATTGAGGATCTCCGAACATATAATTATTGAAATGTTTAAATGAATGTTGGCAAAGTTCCCTAGTTATCGAGATGAATCGAGCACGTTGTGATTAACACATGAGCCATTCTACTTACATAAGCCAACCCCCCTCGGTGGGCCAACATTCAATATTGAATTAGGGGTTTAGTAGCAGTAGTACATTGAACATCACTTAGGGGTCTAGTAGTAGTGGCGAGCTGTGCGGGTGTGCTAAAAACCTCTCGCAGCGCAGCCAAGTTCAAGTAAGGAATTGTCCTGTTCAAACCAATATCATTCTGCCAGGATGGATCAGAACAACCAGTTCAAAATATTCCTAGCCGCAGGCACTAAGGTAGCATTTATATGTACTAAGTCAACATGAATTCCATGTGTTCAAAACTCGATGACGTACCACACATCATGGGACAATTGCAAATGGTAAATTGAACGAAATGGGCATGAGTTGTGTGTGTGGTGGCCATGTCGGTGTGGTTATTTGGGTTGGGGGATGGGGGTCGAAATGAAAAATGTAAAGCAATATTGGCACACTATGAACTTGACTCACCATCGGAAAGCTTCCAGTAAATCTTTATGCTCCTGGGAGGGAAAGGGGGATCCCTAATTGAGCCTCCCCCTCGTCCTTCCACAATTATCTCGCGTAACCACTGTACCTTCTCCACATTGCCTTCTAATCATCCCTCTTCTATTCCAAATCGCTCTAAGGAAACGCATCGATAAGGCGGAGCCGGGGAAACTTGTGTTTCCACATGTGTGTTTTGTAAAAGGCAAGATAACGGCGGGATGATGCGATTTCCACGAGTTCTTCCCATTCCGTGCAAGTGGAGCCCGGCAATTCCCGGAGGGAGAACGGTTCTAGTTTGGGTCATGGTGAGATGGAATAAAAGAAAAAAGGAAAAAGAAAAAGAAAAAAAAAAGATGGCATAAATGTTGAGCCCTAGGCAGTACGTGTCCCTCACTCTCTGTGGACGTGTTTTCCTCTAGCATGTCCCCCATCCACTCTGCCAGTTCTTCCTTCAGCTCTGACATTAATGTTGACGTTCGACCTACATCTACCAATCTCACCCTACCCCATTCATTCCCTCTCAAACTTGCTCGCAGCGATCATGACTTGACCCATGATGCTCCATTCACACTCGAGGAAGGGGATCGGACCAAAGATACACTAACTGTAAGGGTGTGTATGGTTTATTGTCTTGTACCGTTTCGCTCTGATTGGAGAGTTTGGGGCTTATAGGCTGAGGATGATCCGCCTGTAGGCGTATCAGTTGCTGAAGGATGCATTATCCAAGACGTTCATGTTGCAACCGCACCATTTGATTTACTGGCGTTCATACTTCCAAGCGCTTTCACAACTTACTCTGCAGACATCTTCCTTCGCAACCTGGAGGGGAGTCTCCACGCACAAGAGACCAAGATTGTCACCGTCAAACGCCTCGTAAAGCAGAATGCTGTGCGACACTGGTATCTCGTACTACTGCTTACTCGAGACGGGATCCCGGACTTCGGCGTGAGGGTGGACCGTTTTCGAGATCACACCCTCTCGTTACTTCAATTTGTCCTGCGCCGTGGGAAATCGGATGCAGTGGACACAGTACGTCGTGCATGTTTTGTTTGACCACATATTAAAGCGTGAGGCTGTTTCAGGTGACACTATCTGGAGACACGCATCTGCTTTACGACGGGAGGTCAAAGGAGGAAGCAACACTAGAGCTACCACAACCTGTGTCTTTCCTCGATTTCATGAGGATCCTTGGGGTTGTGTTGGACGAATGCAATTCATATAGTCTATTTGGGGTGAGTGTCGGCCGCTTTGGGCAGAGCGGGCATTGACTCACAATCGGAAAAGGAAAACTGCCGGTTCGTCACCTCGATCCTTGAAGAGATACTGGTGGATACATTCGGTGCTCGCTATGCAACAGGTGAAGCGGCCCATTTGCGTTTTGCCAGAAAGACGCGTGCTAGAATTCGGGACCGGTTCAGGCTTGGGGAGAATGTCTAGGTAGCGAAAGACTGGACTGGTTCCATGCTTGTGTCTACCTGTATCTAGAGGATTTCTGGTTAGACCTGCATCTCAGAGTTGGGACCAGGCACTGAAAATCATTCCGTGCTGAATAATACAGGAATGTTGGTACTACGGGACTACCCCCGTCGGTCATCGTGAGCCCGAGGTGAATCTCACGCTAAAGCGAAGATGAATTTTAGGCAGGAGTCCAGCCTCTATGATTTCGAAAATTTCGGAATAGAAAGATATCAAACCGAGTGTTGGCAGATCTGTAAGGATCTTCTGGAATCTACGACCCAGGTCCAACCATGGTTGCATCACTAGGCAGGTGACCAGCCGGCTTGCAGCCGATATTCGCGCCACTCTCCAAGTTAGGTTCTAAGAGTCAACCTCGAAAAGTGAGATTGTGGGGATCTGCCAGCATTGAAATGACGCTCCAAAAGACCCTTCTGGTCACTCCGCACTGAAGACCGATGTTTGGAAGACAATTAATACATTCTTTTGGGAGCATGGAGGATTGAAACACGGACATTGCCATGTTTGTTGATTACATAGGAAGCCGCCAATTCAGCAGCCATGAAATGGGCACCACTTCGCCCCTGAACTTCGTCACAAACACACAGGCGAAATTTCACGGAGCGGGGTTTAGTTTGATGACACATGAGAATGGTATAGAGGGTAAGAATCGTGGAGGAAGGGAGATGAGGAAGGGAGACGAGCCGTGTTACATTCGAGGGCTGCACTAAGAGCAACTATCCGCTCCTCATGAAAAGATCTATTAACCATGTGCTATCACTTCCCTGATCGCATCGCCCTGTAGCATTGAATGTATCATCAACGTAGCGAGGGGAATCTTTAAGCTTCGTTCAGGTCGGAGAAAGAAAAGAAACCTGTTTTTCCGACCCGAACGAAGCCTTAGTTCCGAAAACATGGATCCCGACTTGGGGAGTGATATTCGGAGGGTGTGAATTTGGTATTCAACAGTCTCTGGAATGGTCGAGTGCGAACACCCTTAGGACGTGTCTCGCTGAGATGCATAACTCCATGTGCCATGAAAAAAATTCATCAACGCTTGCAAGATACGCAAGCGCGAGTGTCCTGTGATTTCAGAAATCTGCACAAGGGAATCCAGGCAAGTGCAAGGCTAGACCGCCGGAGATCACGCAAGGTTATCCTGGCGCCTCCTGGGGTACCATGATTGGTTGGTTGTACTTTCTCATGCGTCGAGACCAGGCCGTTGGGGACTGCAATCGTATGGGGGGTACAACACACGAGCGAAACAGAAGCGGTGAACCATTCTCCGATTGATGAGTTTCGAACTCCATCAAAGGGTGTTAAAATTGGCACAACCAATCTCACGTATGAAGGCCGCCAAAGGCAAAGCTCGAGTCCCTACCGACCGCCAGGCGCGAGTCCGGGATGGCCAACGAATCACCATGACCATAGTGACGACTCCGACACACCATGCAACTTGGTGTTGATACTGCACATCTGGTGGGATGGCTACCACCAGTGGTTGAGTACCGCCATAAGGGACTCCGCGGACTCATAATTCATATTCTAGTGGTTGCGGCGAGCGCTTGTAGTTGGAACAACTCCCCTCGAATGATAGTATGTATAGTATTGAGATGATTAACCCAAGTCTAGCTACCTTGAAGCAAAGCGGGGAGAGTGAAAGAAAGTCTCCATAGAGTGCAAGACGGTCTAAACGGGCTTGAGTGCTGCACTCGCTGTGATTGTTCGTCTTTGTTTACTTGCAGGGTTCCGGGATGACAACACCGGAATTCTCACGCCACTCCGCAATCATATGCATCCCTTGATTTAAATTGAAGATGCAGGCTTGCTGAATTGTTGCAAGACACCACATTGCGAACGGGGAAGTTCATAGCGCCTTTTTCCGTTCGTAGTCAACGCCGCTCACAGGTCGGGGTAGTCTTTTTTCAACCATGGTTGACTGGAATGCGCTTTTCTTCCTCGACCGACTCCGAAGAAGTCTGTGGCGAAGAGGTGAGCATCAGTAGTTGCATCATGGTTCAGCCTCTGATAACGAGTTTCCCGTTTGCCGTCTTTAGTTGCTGTACGTTTTTCTCCTGCTTGTGGCGCTTCGACATCTCTAATGCTCTGATCTCGAGAAGATAAGATGCTGGGTGGCTGCGTTCCTTTGCATTTTGAGCATGCTCATATCGCCCATTGAACATGCGGCAGGACAAGCTGCTTTCCTCCCTATGATCTTTGTATTCATCAAACCTCCCTCAGATCCCACGATAGTCTTTCTATACCAATGGGTTTTGACCGCTATATTTGTAGCCGCGGAGTGGGCATGGTGCATTTTGGGAATGAAGCTCAGCGTGCTTGCGCGCAATCAAGTGCACGATCAACGCATATTTAACAGCACGGTACACAGTATTTACACTCACGACCCCAATGCAACAGGAGCACAGATAGAAGGTGCGCAATCGGAATGCTTGGGGTACCTGGAAAATGCCAATCTGAATTCTTTCCAGGCGCCCTGATCCGTAAGGTTTTCGAAGGGGAATTCCTTCAGGCTGGTTCTTCTGCTGTCTGGGCTGCCTTCCTGTTCGTGGGGACGTACTTTGCTCTCTTGATTCGTGTGTACAACGTGAAACTCTTCTTTATCATGGTGTTTGCGGTAAGTTATGAATGCCCGCCATCGTTCCTCTTGGCCAGGATCAATGTAATCCTTCCAGGTTATTTTGGTTTCAATATTTGCCACGATAGCGCCTCTCATACCCGTTTTCTTCGGTGCGCATGTAGCCCAGGCCTTGTCAGATTTGAGTTTTACTGATTTTCATATCGATCAAAAGCTCTCCCGTTGAGTCAGCTGATTCTGGTTCCTTTCACTTACTATTGTGCCGCAGCCCTCTTTGCAGTAACTTTTGTCTTCGTACGTCGCTCGTTGTTTGTGTTGACTCTGCTTATTGATTCTCTCGGGCAGCCAACTTCAGCGGCAGAAACATGCTCTGAGCTGTTGCGGACCCAGTCAATGGCTCTTTTCTCCGTATTTGACGGATTTTCCCCTTCTGGTTTAAACGCCATTCGGAAAGGGATTCTGGATTCCACCATCACCGTGGAACAAGCACTCAAACGACATTTAGAAAAACGTTTCGCCATCATAAGTTCCTTTGACTTGGTCACTCCCCTGCTACCGTTCTTGGGAAGAGAAATTAGTATTGGGAATGCTAGCGGTGCAGACATCCGCGAGCTAGCGTACTTCATGAGGGCCTTGGCGCGGTCAATATCCGGGTTTTCTGCTTTCGGTCGACATATACAGGCGCGGGGAACGAATGCTCTCCCTCCCTCGAGTACCCTAGCAGAGGATGAAGCCAAGTTTGATGGTTTGGAGGAAGTTTATCGGCCTGACGATGCTATTTTTGCTGTTATCGCAGCCCTCGAATCCTCAGCAACCACGAATTCTCGTTTCGCCGCTCTGTCGAAGGGCATGAAGGCACTTTCTTCTTTCTATGATCGCCAAACTAGCTGGAAGCTTACGACGGGTGTCATCGCTCTGTTCTCCAAACGTCAAGATGCCGAGTCAGAACTCGCTTCCGCGATTTCGGAGATTGAAGCTGCTCTTCGCTTGCCGCTTGATCAGATACCATCAAGCACTGGCTCTTCCGAGGCTCAAAATACCGACCAACAGATCCAAAGCCAGAATACTGCAAATGATCCTCATCCTTTTCAATCTTATCTACACATTCTTTATACGGAGTCTCTTGCGGTGACTCTCGCTCATCTCTTGGAACCTCTTCGTGTGGCGAAGCGAATCGAGTCTCAGAGTGTGAGGATTTGGTTCCCGTGGACTTCAGCTCCAAAGGGCGAAAGAGCTCCCCAGCCCCCCAACAACGGCTCTTCCAATGAAGACTCGGCTGCGAAACCGAATACTAAGTTCGCACCAGAGGATGAAGTTCCGGAGAAACGTTTGATTGGCATCCGGTTTGTTTTCACGGGCAGTGGTGAAATTCCGGTGGGTGAAGATAATCCCGATCGTATTCAGGGGATGGATCTCCGTCAAAAAGGTAAACCGTCTCAGAGAAAAACCTTTCTAACCTTTATGTTGGGACTCAAAAACGATTCCATGGGGCAGAAACTACATCGCGGTTCGCGGAAATGGGAGTGCAACTGGATCACCACGATCCTTTGGGCGAGAAATTCCGAAGCGGTTTCTTACATGACATTGTCGGATTTCTCCGTTGGCTTGGCGGGACCGAATCGACGTTCTCGTTGAAGATTGCGATTTTGGCGGTCGCTTTGGCGTGTCCGGCTTGGATCACGAATAATGGGACGGCCAAGTTCTATTACGATAACAAAGGTCCGTGTCTTCGTTTGGTATGGTGCTGGTGAACTTCCCTATTGATGGGGATGTCTGCCTGATGTTTGCAGGGGCATGGGCTCTTATCATGGCCATGACTGCGAAGGGTGTCTACAGCTCTGAAACGACGTAAGTACTGAAGGACTGTCAGAGATGCCATGACTTATTGATGGAGGAATTTGGGATGGTCAGTTATGGTTTCGTTCAGGTATGTTTCTGTTTCTGCTTTGCAGATGGGATGGCGACTCATGACCTCGTTAGCGTGTCGTAGGCGCCGGTATGATTGCAGTTTGATAGCGAAGATTGATTGCACATGCTGATTTAGTTGTACTAGTCATGGGCGCTACTGGTGCGATGGTAGCATGGTGTGTTAATTGCTTTTTGATCCATCAGCATCTATCTGACTATCAATTTCTATATTCCCCAGGTATATTTCGACCGGGAGTGGCCATGGGAATGCGTATGGCCTTGGTGCGACTCTTGGGGTATCATTATTGTATGTGGTGCCCTATAGGATTTGGAGCCCCAAGTGAGTTTGCCACTCCCTCGACATCCTCACTGCACTCACATCCGCGTTTCTGTCTAGTTTTGCGGTTGTAAGTTAACGTTAACTATGGCTACCGATATTTCATTATGCAAATCTCATAATCTTATGTTTGCCAGGCAGTCACCGCAACATCCACTGCCGGTGTCGTTTTGGGTCAGTCAATTTTTTTTCATTTCACTACCGTAGTCCCTCAACACCTTTTGACACAGGATACAGCTGGATAGACGAGTAAGTGCGACAACTAGGGCTGAAGTGTAGCGTTATTTGACGTATGTGGTAGGACGCTTCCAGTTGCATATAACCCAGGAGTAGGGTACCAAGTCTACTGGAGACGACTTCTCCTTGTAGTGATCGGGTTGACTGCAACCTGGATCATCGACCTTCTTCCCAAGCCTAAAACCGGGAGAGAGGATCTCCGCAAAACATATGCCCGAACAACCTTTGCAATTGGGACAGTTGCTGCGTCGGTCCTCACACGCCTCAAGCAATCCTCTGGGCCTGATGATCACACCTTGCACACGTGGCGTGCGATTGACAACGGAATTGGCAGCCAAATCTTGAACATTCACAGTAAGCTTCGATTGAGCAGTTCTCGCATTGTTTTGGCGAAACTAGAACCTTCTTTGAATCGGGAATGGATCGAGGGCCATTACCGTAACTTGGAGCGCATTCAGTTCGAGCTGCTCGACCTGTTGGCGATCTTGGCTTTCATCGCGGAACAGCTTGACGCCAACACAAGGGCTCAACTACTTACATCGAATCTTTTCGAGTCCAAACAAGTGAGGGGGTAGATTTTTTCGTTAACGCCGAATAGATTTGACTAATGGATATTTCCGTTTCAATAGGTCACCCCTCTTCTGAACCTGTTCCACTCGGCGTCGTCCGCACTCCATACCGAAAACCCCATGCCACATCACTTACCTGCACCGCAGGAAGTGAGCTCCCTGTCGGTCAAGTTGGACCTCAATCTTGCTAACCTCGCTGGTGACCAACGGACGAGAGAGTTTATCATATTGGCGGGATCGTACATCGAGTTCTCCAAGGTGAGCCCCCGACTTCTTTTTATGCATAATTTTCTGTGGAGGGAGATACGAACACAGTGAACTGATTATCTAATTGCAGTTGGCGGAAGAGCTGACGAGACAATGCCAAATCATGTTTGGAACTGCGTTGCATCATTTCTAATCGGTCTAATCCCCTGAGAATGCCATCTCAACCCAGTCATGTTTGCCTTTTTCTTTTCCTCTTGAAAGCGCCTAAAGGGTCTAGGTTTGAAGCGTGTTTTGTTTTTGAAGGATATCCTAGTAGAAATGATACTAATCAGGGGCAGCTTGACTTGTAGTGGGAGACGGTCGCGTGATTAGCAGACAGCTATCGGTGAATGACCCGATAAGGCACAGCAAGCTATAACGTGAACGAACACCATACTATAAAGGTGCCTAAGCGAACACACAAGGCAGACAACACATAGTCAAATATTATACAGAGAATAACGTGAACGCGGAAATGGCACATAATTGATCCTGAATAGTGGGTAGGCAGCTATTGGAATAGAAATGGTGGGGTATCGGAGAGTTGGCGGGAGGCGCAAAAGCAGATAACGCAACTGATAATGCGGCAGCAAAGCAGCAAAGCAGCGTGGGCAACGGGAGCAGGGAGAGCACAGAACAGATAGCAAACAGCAGGGGGGGAGCCACCAGACCCTATTTTAGGCAAGCGGACGCGGAATGAGTCGCGTGATCTTTCGGATCCGATTTCCTGTGAGTAAACGCATTGAATCGGCGGCACCGCAACAATATTCTTTCTACCTGGACCGTGTTCAAACCCGGATGTCGCGCTCAGTAACGAAGGAGAGGAGTAAGGCGCCTTTCTTCCCGTTATCGCTGATAGTAACAAATACTGTACGCAGAGTTAACTAACGTAGCAGCACCCTTAGGTGCGCTCTGAACCGCTCCACTGCTCAGCAGCCGCCTGGCTAGTATGTCTTACGCGGATATGCCACCTCCTTCTCAGAGTATGATCCTGGCTTCGATGATGACGATGCGATGGAGTTTTCGCGGTCAAGGAAGAGGCGGAAGCTGGCTGCATTTGAGGGACAAAGTCCAGGGGCTATGAAGACCAGTGAGTGTGTTGTTAGTTTGCATGAATTCATCTCACCGAGAATTTCCTTCCAGCGCCGCGGAAATCTGAAAATACGTCGTCGCCCAGTGGCGAGAAGCTAGGGCGAGCAAGAAAGCGAGCTGGTAATACGCGACTTATCATCACCGAACATCTCCTGACTCCTTGATTCCAGCTAAACAAGATGGCGGGAAATACTATGGAAATCCAATAATCGCCCTTCTGCGTCTAGATCCGAACGATTTTCATTCATTCAACAAGGGGGCTTCAAGCTCTAGTTCTGATTCTGAGGCCGATGCGACGAAATTTTTCCGTAGCAGTGACAATGAACATGAAGACTCGAGGAGTCGCTCACGTCGTACATCTCCTCTGGGACGGCGGTCGACAGGTGCTAGTAATAGTCGATTTGCTTCGCCTTCGGCATCTGCTGAAGGGAGCGAGACCGAGGATGATGAGGACATGGTGATCCCAAGAGTGAAGGCACGAATAGAGCAAGGTGAACGCGCGTCTAACCAGACAGGGCCACAGGATGAAGGGTCGGAAACCGAAAGCGATGAAGAGGAGAAGGCTCCTCCAGATAAGATGACCCCATCAAGGAAGGAACGTCGCCTCAATGAAAGGGCTACCAATGAACCACCCATCATTGGTCAAAAACCATTACTTGATGCAAGAGCGGACCAACTCGAAAAAAGAGGCCATTTCCGGCTTACTAGACCGAAAACACCTACTTTTGCCACTGTTCTTCTTGGGAACACCGGTCCCTCAGTTCCCGAGACGGGTTCATCCCAGGACAAGTATCAAACCCACAGTATTCCGGCGCCTATCAACCGATTCCTTCGTGATTATCAGAGAGATGGGGTTCAATTTTTCTATGAGAGGCACTGTGAAAACCGCGGGGGTATTTTGGGCGATGACATGGGTTTAGGTCGGTGCTTTAGCCAAAATATAGCCTTCGAACGCTAAATTAACTTCTGCATTCCAGGAAAGACTATTCAAGTGATTGCATTCTTGGCAGCTATCATGGAGAAGCATAATGATGCCCGAGATATTGCGCGACGAGCAAATTACGTCTCCCGGCAACAGGACCGACTCCTGAACGGGGAATTGGATCACCTACCTTCAGCGAATGCCGTTTGGCCAACTGCCTTGGTTATTGTCCCAGTGAGCGTAATTTCAAATTGGCAGAGAGAGCTCGAAACCGTGAGTACAATTTCTCAGAAAGTGCTATGAGGCTCACATATTTGGATACAGTGGGGCTATTTCGAAGTGGGCGCGTATACTGGCTCTAAAGAAACTCGTGAAACTGTTCTGAAGGACTTCAAGCTGGGGCGCCTGGATATTGGTATGTCGAGATTCATCCTTATTTTAAATTTTGAATGCAAACTTCTGTTAGTCCTTTCATCATTCGAACAGGTTCGCGATCACATTTCAGACTTCGAAGATCTTCCGTGGAGCTGCATTTTCCTTGACGAAGCACATAAGATAAAGAATATGAATGCCTCAATTACCAAAGCATATAATCGATTTACGTGCTCCGTTCGTTTCGGGCTGACAGTATGTTTGGTGCCTTGTGCTCTCAGCATAGCAACTGATCATGCTGCCCAAGGGTACAGCGGTTCAGAACACGTACAAAGAACTATGGCCGCTTCTTGCGTGGAGTAACCCAGGTCGATTAGGCAGCGAGAATCAGTGGAAATGGGCAATCGCGCGGCCGCTGGCCCTAGGTCAGTCGCAATCTGCCACGGAAGCCGAACGGAAACGTGCAATCGTATGTCGTTAAATTGCGTTTTCGTTCACGCCGGTACCGAAGTAACATTCAACCAGATCGTCACTAAGGCACTAAAAGAGAATTTACTCCCTCTCTTTTTCTTAAGACGGTGAGCCAACACGCAGCTTGTTTGGCTTTGGAATTGAGCCCACTCAAGCACAAAGAAATTAATCGAAGACCAACTGCCGAAGAAATTCGATGAAGTTGTGTTCTGTGAGCTTTTCCCCAAAATGATATGCTCGCCCATTGATGCACTAACATTTGCTAGGCCCGCTTACTCCCCTACAACTCCAGGTTTACAAGCGCTTTTTGGATACTGAGGACGTGCAGCTTATGTTAGGCAAAGATGGACCTTGTGACTGCGGATCTCAGAAACCCCGAGGGAAATGCTGTGGTACACACAACAAAGATGGTACCCACTGGAAGGAACTGATGCTTAAATACATTGGGATCTTGATCAAAGTGAGAGAATCTTGCTGACATGCTAAACTAGGCGTTTCGAATTAACGTTCACTTACTAGATCTCCAATCATTTAATGCTTCTTTACCCATGCAAGTTACCCAGTGTTTTCATACTATGAGACCTGTCCAGTCTGATCTTCCTGATAGCCGAGGGTGATAATCTCGAGCAGAGAAATAGAAGCCGTGAACACCTCCATGTGGCTTTCCCAGACAATTCTGAGATGAGGAAACCATCCTCGAGGATGAGGTGAGATACTCTGTTAAATCATTGACGTGTCCGGAATGAACGACTTGGCTCTACTTAGACCAGGCATGTGTGGCAAGTGGTCGGTGCTGGAAAAGCTATTAGACCAGTGGAAAGCCAAACCAGGGGAGCAGAACAAGGTCCTTATTTTCTCCAAGAGTGTGAAGGTGAGTAACGTAATTTCCCTGGATGACCATTCGCCTATTCGCTAAACGCTCCGTCAGCTTCTCGAATTCCTCGAACTGGAGCTTTCAAAAAGTCTGTTCTGTTGACACTTAGCAACTAAAATGGATACTAATTATGTTAATACAGAATATGGGCGAGACAAAATTTGTTATTTGGACGGAAAGACTAAAAGCGAAGACAGTAAGTGAAATGCCCTTTTCTGGTCCGATGGTCTCGTCTCATGCTTTCATACCAAAGGAATGCCGATCGTTGACAAATTCAATCAAGACCCTTCCGTGTACTGCTTCCTGATATCCACCACTGCTGGTGGCACTGGACTTAACCTAACAGCTGCGAATAAAGTCGTCGTTTTTGGTACGGGACCAGGAATGATGCCGTTTCTGGGCTTACTGACGTCCCTCTACAGATCCTCACTGGAGTACGTAATTTGGGTGCTGGATGTGTATGCCAAACGAATTGATTTGTATGGAAGACCCTGCCCACGATTTGCAGGCTATGGACCGTGCCTACCGGTATGGGCAACTTCGGAACGTCTCCGTGTACCGACTCCTTGGGGCAGGATCACTTGAAGGTGGGTGTTGATTTCCTGTGCTGTATTGTATGTGACATGCTCAGGATGGTATGACCTTAGAGCTTGTATACGCCCGGCAAATCTATAAACAGCAGCAGATGCAGATTGCATACGAAGGTAGAGCTCAGACCAGATATTTTCAAGGGGTTCAGGGCGACAAGGATAGGCAAGGGGAGCTCTTCGGCTTAAAGTCAGTTCAAGCCATTCCCAAATCCCCTTGTATTGGGTAAGCTGACGGCTCGCAATTTAGGAATATTTTCACTCTTCACCCGTCCGCATACGCGACTAAGTATCATGTCTGTGCAGTCTTTGTACATCGTATCATAGGCTTGACTGAAATCTTCATGATACATAGATCGAGCGAGCACTTGTAAGTGAGCTTGAATGGGCTCTAATGAATGCTCCAACGGGATCGAAGGGAGATGAAGACGTGAGGCCTTTTTACTTTTCAGGTCCGGTGAACTGACGTTGCAATTAAGTACGACATAGGCGGGATTGGCGCATTGGTACTCGATGGTTTGTCATACTATGTTCATTCGGCATGAACTGCTTGACCACTAAATCTGTTCTGTTGTGATGTTGAGGCGGGGAGCTGGGAACCCTGCGACCCAAAGTTTCCCAAGCCAAACCAGCAGATGAAGCAGATGACGTTGAGAGTCTACTCAAGACTATGGGAATGTACCGACACCGAAACGAAGATATCATAAAGCCAACGCGCGTTGCCAGTCGAAGAGCCGAAGCTGATCTCAAGGTTTAGTCAAACATCATTCCATTTGATAATCTGTTCACTTGTTCGATCTTAGAGTGATAGGAGGCGTGGTAGGAAGCTTGATGATGCCTCGCCTGCATCCAGTGGCGCTGTATGGCCACCGAAGCGGAAGAGACATGCCAATAGCAAGATCCTTCCAAAACCTCAGATCACAGAAAGCGAAGCGCAGTAAGCAGCTGCTGTCTACCCGCTCATCGTGACCTTAGATATCCTGATCGGGGTTCGTTCAAGGCTGGCAAAACGCAAAAGAAAGCTGTTCGCCAAAGGCTACATCGTCGACTTTGATGAGGATTATCAGCGATTTGCGGTCAAGTTCAAGAGAATGAGGGGGCAGGAGCAGCACAAGTTGATACGTGGCCTTGATGGGTTGGAATCGGACGAAGAGAGTCCAGATCAAAGTAGTGCTGAGTGAACCTGTCGGCCCATAATTCTATAATTTGGATCTTCTTCCCCATCACTTCTTATAGCTTGTGCAAACATCGACTCGCACCATTGTTCCACCCTAATCCTGTATTAGTTGGCCTTTCGCCATTGAATCTTAGCCTGATACGATTAAGGATGTACGCGTGCACCGATCAAAAAGCACGACCTAGCTTGAGACCGTTTACAGTGATGGAGATTGACTAAATCTGTGAATGTTCACTGACCGTGTTAAGAGGAAGGGTAATCAATCATGAAGGACCGAGTGAAAGCGAGCTCAAGGACGTAGGTGACATCAAACACCCGTTGAATAGAGGTAGTGTCTGGCGGGGTAAATGTCTATGGTTCTCATTGAATCTGGAGACTGCTCACTTGCGTACACAGAACCCGTGAGTTGGATGCATGGATTTCAACATCCAATATTCATCGAACGAAGATCGAAAATAGCATCCTCGAACACGTGACTGAAGCCTGCGCTTGTAGCGGAGTTGGCCGAATATATTGGTCTATTTGCCTTACGTATTGATAATGACGGGCTTCCAACTAGTATGGCGAGGAAGCACCGTCACCCGATGACACTCCACGTTGTGTTAATGCGACCGCGGGGTAACAAATCTGATATCAACAACAACTATGGTAAGGGACAGCGAAATTAAAGGCCAATGCGAAGTGGATCGCCCCACCGAATGGCACAGTTTTGTAAACGGTTAATTTCCACCCACTATTTCCGCCGCATGATCAGCCAGGCCCTGGATATCGAGCCTGAGGAAACGTAGTGATGGGGGATAGAAACTCAATCACTCTCACTGTCGAGCCCGAAAGGGTACCAGTCATCCGGCTTACTATCGGAAATGATCGCTGTAAGAGAGTCGGAATCATGCTCCTGTTGCTCTTGGTTGCACCATTCTCGACGCGAGTGCTGAGTTCGTATCGAGCCTAGGATATAAGCGAAGCCGAAAATGGATGTTCGGGTGAGGGCGTTAAGGCCGAACGCAACGGTGATGTTGTCGTCCGGATGGATGGCTGCTGCGCCACCCGGGTTGTGTGGCGTTAATTGTGGACAAGTGCTGAAGAAACTGGGGCGGTGTCGCCTTCACCCGACATGTCAGCCAATACTGGTGTGCTACCAGCTGCGCCATCACACCAAATGCAAACCATCATGATGGAGACGGCGTTGAAGTTGAAGAAGTCTGTCTGAGGTGGCCACACGTCACTCTCTGATTTCGGTGTGGAGCGTGGTGCTTGTGATAGAATCTTATAGAGCGAGTAATGATTTGCGTGGACCCTCATTTTGTTCGTCGTCCGTTGGTGTATTCATGGGTAAAATATGATCTCATCATTTGACATATAGTGTCGATCTGCTATGATACATGCAACGAATTACAAAGGGCGCAGTAGCATCGCATCCGGCGAACAACTCTCTGGATGGCAGCCTGACTGGTGTACGTTTCCTGTGTCACCACCCCAGGCACACATGCTAGTATAGTAAGCTTTAGTTACGGCTGAAGTGGAGTCGAACTTGGCAATTGGTAGCAGGTATGCTGGTTGACGAAAGGGAATGCAGCAGTTACAGGCTCGTCACTGGCCTGTATCTTCAACGCCCGTCTCGATTTGATGGAGGTCGTCAAAAATATTTAATGTCAATTTAGCTCGACGTTATCCTAGGTCAGCAAGGCTCTATCCCCTCCCCCAACTGAGGCTCCAGATCAGCGTGATGATTTGTACTGTCAGCGTTCCTTGACAAATGTCCGATCCCAAGCCCCAGGGCTTGATCGGGCAATCGGACACACCTGACTCTTAGCAATTGTTTCACACCAACCGTATTGGAGGGCTCAAAGCCATCATTAGAAGAGGATCCATGTTGGATAGGAGTGCCAAGTAGATCTACAGCTGAAGTTTCTAGCAGTCGTCGCAACCAAACAAGGCAAAGACACAGACCGCCAAAATTACACCACATGTACAATGCCTGTGATGCATGTGCCTCTATTAAAATAGGTGGCGCCTTGGAGGAATGCCTCTCACTGTCGGAGTAATCTTCTCCGGAACACGTATGTTTAGTTCTGCGCGAGACCCATCTGAACCCAACATCCTCCCTAAACCAGAAAAAAGGTACGAGGAGTCCGAATCGTAAGCGTTTCCTTACGCTATGGAAGGTGCGGCGTCGCGTATGTATCCCCCTCAGCTTGATCCACAAGACGACGGCTAGCGTCGGTCAAATTTGCTCGGTGCCTTTTAACTCCTTCCCACAACTTTGGTGGTAATGAACTAGGAGGAGCCTCTTCTTTCTGCTGCAATGTAAGCGCGTCATAAACTCGAAGGAGGCGGATCACCACTGGACACACCGAACAAAGAATTTGATCGGTGAGTCGCAAGACCACCAACGAAGAAGCATCTGATGAAGGATGCGATGATACGTACTGGGGTTTGCTTCAATATACGCGAATTCCCGAGAAGGGAATGTCGAGATGTCATTAGCTCGATAACAGAGCTTGGAGCAAAGATTTAACCGTAAAATCGATCTTACCTGACCGGGTCAGATTCTTGGTCCACCGCCAAACGCGAAAAAAATGAGGTCTCGGCGTGTGCTTCGTCTTGTCGTCATCAATCCCTCGTTCAGGGACGAATTGATCCCTCAATATGTCCTTCCTTCGGTGTAGGGGGCCCCTTTTTGGAAGTTCGAGCGTTCAGTGGACTTGGGGGAAAGAGTCGCAATGCTTCATTCAGGACGGTACGTACTAGTATGGGTTAACAATCAGCGTTAATTTATCCTGTTATTGCCGAGGCAGGGGACAAAAGACACACGAACGAGAACATTGGATAACTACATATACGTGAAACCTCAATCTTTCGGCGAAAAAAAAAACCTATGAAACTTGCCTCATCACGAATTGCCTTAATGTCAACTCGTCGCATCCACAAAATATCGCATTTTTTATCCTCTAGAGCCTTCATGACCAGCAGTATAAGGAAACGATCAGCATTCTTTCCATGCTTCATCGTAGTATCCATCCAAACACTCCCGAAGGGCCCATCACCTTCCATTGATATCACGAAGGACGATGATCTCTTGAAGGTTATCAAACGCTTGTACCAATTCTCCGAACGGGTCCTTGCATCGCGCTCTCCATTGCCTGTGCCTGGAAGTGGAAGTGGTTGGTGTCGAGAGTGTCCCGCTGCGTCCATGGCGAAACGTCCAAATAAGTCTTGGACGTTGATAGATAGACCCTGTATGATTGAACTCGGTCAAACATGAGAGCGAGAGACTTTTCGGCGTAGCGGTGTATGGTGTCAAGGTCTCGGACGCGCCCTTTGTCCCCAACATGATGATGTCTTACCGAAAAAGGGGTCCGTCAGATACGAAAATAGCCTGTCCAAGCATTCAAAAAAAAACTAATAAGGAGGATTTCGAGTACATAGTCGGGGGACCAGTCATAGGAAGGAAACATACGCGGAACGGAGTTTACTTCCTTTCTGAAAAGTTTTCAAAGGTTTCGCGATAGGATGAATAGCTTTTTAGGCGATGGCGGCGGCAGGACGACTTTGGGTAACATGGACGTCCATCTAGAACACCGCCCAAAATAAACTGTTTCATTTATTTAATATCCCAGAGGGATTTGTTCTATGCACTCAGAGAGGTATCCTTCCCCGAATTCAGCTACTAAGCTTTCCGTGATGGAGAGGGAAAACGAATCAGTTCTCCATTGACCATCGTTCGAAATATCGTGAATATGCATGCGTACCGCAAACCAATGCCAAGGTGTTTTTCCAGGCCATTTTTCCCCCCTTTTTCAGTCTAGGGATGATAACGGCTCTTAGCGTTCTCAGCTTCCCGGCGGGGCTTATTGATTTCCCATATTATCCAGTATGCTGCAATCACCTGGAAATAATAATGCCAGAAAGCTTGGGAAAGGCATCCACCAACCAGTGCCCCGAGGAAGGATACTGCCACGTAAGAGACGACAGCAGGTGAGGTGAGAGGGCCTTCACACGAGTCTACGATCAAGGCGATAGTATCGTTCGAGCGACGGTCGCCATTGGTGCAAGGCCGCGAGTATGTAAAGATCAAAAGGGGAATCGAGAAATAATATGATGAAGGTTGATTTCCCCGGCAACATAGACCATCAGTTAATTCTCGACAACTCCAGTGAAGCAGCTTTGACTGTGTGGGTCCTGAACGAGGACCCCTGAGACCGTTGCTATTGAAGCTGCTTCACCTGCAGAACAATGATTTTCCAGTCTCATAAGACGCCTTAAATAATATGGATCTTGCGGTCTTGCCACTGATATAAGGAGACCGCGTCCCCAAGCCACAATTCTATCTTGTTTGAATTACTTTCTCGGTTCGTTACACCAGAGTTAACGTATCAGTACACATGGTAAGGCGCTTTGGTTGGTGGCCCATCTGGTTACATGTTTGTCGGGTCAGGCAGCAAGTCGGTAGAAGTTGTGGGAAAGAGTGGAAAGTGCAGTGTTCATTGATCATGTCAGAGGGGGGGGGCCACGCTGCGGATAAACCCGCGGGGCAACTTCAACGTTCACCATGAATCTCATCACTGGCGCCTGAATCTACAGCGAGAGCGATCGACGTGCCCAGCTGGATAAGCATATGTAACGAAGTAAACATATAACCGCGTATCATATCTCTCATCCGTGTTTTTCGCACTTGGGCCGAGTTCTCGCCCCAAAATTTAAAATTCTCAGTGATGTCTCTCTGCATGACGTTTCTCTCTTGCACGACAACGGTTGACCTGTACGCGAGGTCTTCACCTTACGCCAACAAAAGTAAGATGTTCCTCCAGGATCGTGCTCGGCTCGCCAGAGTACTCATGGAGGCGCTCTCGCTCGGGGGAAGGGCATTTTTGATCCAACATGCATGGTTGTAAAACCTCTGTTATCACATCTCTTTCTTCTTCTTCTCTCTCTCTTTTTACGGGCAACCAGTATAATGAATACATTACAACACCGGGAAAATGGTTTTTCGGAGGAGTATTTGCAAATTACAGGAGGTCGGCGCTAAACGCGGTTTGCGCCCCACCCTCGAAATTTCAGCTGTTCCACATCGCCCGTCCACACATCACTCTATAAAGCGGAAAAAGGATTGGGTCGCGACTCAACCTGTCTGAAGCACGTGTCGCCAACGTCGGTCTTGATGATGTTGTGCTTGGAGCTAGGAGAATAGCATCTCGATTCCGCCTTGGTGAAATCTATGCAACAGGTACACCAAAGTGCCATGTGTAATATCCGGTGGGACCTGAACTGCCATCATCCTTGGGCGAAGGTCGTCATAGATCTACTTTCTCTGGATCGCTCAACACTCCGGGAGATCCGCCGTGTGGATTTCTCAATCGATCGGATCCTCTACTCGCAACCGTCTAGTTTGTTTTTTCTTTGTGCACACTGTGGTCTTACGCGCGAACCTTACAGTAAGGTTATCGTAGTGACTGATTGTTCCGGTGTCACAACGCCCCCCGCCCGCGCCCGCCGTTCCCTTCTCCGTATATGCTTCGCTTTGTCAGTCGATCAGTGGTGGATGGTGTACGTACATAAATATATTGGGGCCCAGGTAGGGTGCGGTTCTCTTCCGGACAATAGCTAGAATGGTAATTTTGGCACTTTTCTATCATGACCAAACTAGTACCGCGCAAAGGAGTACTGATCAATGATACGCCGATTGCGGCGCAAAACAATATCGCCAAAGTTTATGAGATGGGGGCAACTGACACCGACCCCAATTTGCGTAATTGCTTCTTTGTGCCTCTTTTGTATTCCCCAACGCCGATCCGATCCTTGCCTTTTCAGTGATTGAATTGACACCCCGGGATTACGTATGTTCGGCATTTTGTTGTTACCCCATCTTGTTGCGGATTAATCGGTCCGGCCCGTAAGTGGAATTTCAAATTGTCAACTGAGCCTTTGTCACAGCGCATGCAAGAGATAGAGAGACCAACCTTGATGCGGCATACAATGTGTATGCCTTGCTTGATTTACTCGATGATATGGTTGTTTATGATTCATGGCGTCACACGCTGGTCAATCAGGTGATTTTTGTTGCAGGGTTTATGCAGCATAGGAAGCCTTTCCGCGGTGCCAGTGGGGAATGACATGTGGCTTCCTCAATGTATTTAATCGAATCACGTGGTCACATTCTATTTCACATGACCGGAAACTCACCTCCGTTCCGCAGGGCTAAAAATATGTTATTCCAAAAGGCCCTGCATCCGGTATCAATGGCGCTTTACAGAACCCTAATCTATTTCCGCCTTGTCTGAATGGCCAGAAGTCTGTTCCAGGCGGGCGAACTAATCCTATCATTCCTCTGGCAGCCCATCTTCGAACACCTTGCAGGGGCGTTCTTAAATCTCTCCAAAACCAAGTTGCACACGCTTGGAATCTTTCCCTCATCCATCCTCATCCAACAGCAAACATGGCCACAATCTTCGAACGAAACTATCGTCTCGGCATCGTCGTAGATATCGCAAAGGCCCTTGCCCCTCCAGCTTTCGCCTCTTACGTGATAGTTCATCGCATCCTCCCTCCGTCGATTGTTGGTGGTTTCTTTTACCAAGCTTGCTGGCATTATTGGATCATCGCAGTGTTTTGGCTCCTATGGGATCAATTCGAGCAATGGAAAGGTCGTCGAGAGGCTGAGAGGATGAGCGCAGTTTACCTCCCTAGAGTCAAAGGGAAATGGCTTGGTAACCTTGACCTAGGTATAACGTATGTTTTTACTTCCCCCCACTATTTTGGTTATGGAGTGTTCCTCACGCAAACAAAAAAAAAAAAAAAAAAAGCATGTTAAATGGAATGAGGGAGGGATACATGTCTGAGAGTTTGGAACAATTCTTCGGCGATAACGAAACGATCAACTTTGGAGTGTTCTGGACGGATGTTTACGTTTCTCGGAACCCTGCCGTCGCCCAAACTGTGCTGACGCAGACGTTTGAAAACTTCCAGAAAGGCAGTGAACTTCGCTCTGCGTAAGTGTTTCCTTTATGTGTTCATATCCCCCCACTGTCCCGAATACTCCGCCTCAATACTTTTTTTTTTTTTTTATTTTACTAGGTTCTATGGAATGCTCGGACAGGGTATCTTCGCGTCTGACGGCGCTCGTGCTAAGGCTCACAGAGCAGTAATGCGGCCTTTCTTCAGTACGTGATGACTTTCTTGCTAGGGTGGGTTCCAGGTTGCTTATTATAATCATCATCATCATGAACACAGGCAAAGACCGCGTTCGTGACTTCAACACCATAGACCGTTACGTCGACAAGGCTCTCGCTCTCATGCAGGAACGAGCTACACAAGGTCTATCCATCGACGTTCAAGATTTGTTCGGACGTTTCACCATGGACGCAGCGGGCGAATTCCTCTTTGGTTCCAAGGATTTCAACACTCTCGATCAACCCCTCGCTTTTCCCGGTAAAGGTGATGTCGCAGGATGGGAAGCTTCCGCTCGAGGTCCCTATGGAGAATTGGTTCAAGCGTTCGATAGGCTTCAGGAGATCACCGCCATTCGGGGTATCAGTGGCAAGTGGTGGGCTCTGCAAGAGTTTTGGACGAATAAGACGAGGAAGCATAGCAAGATCGCCGATAGTTTCCTTCTCCCTCTCGTCATAAAGGCTTTGGAGAATAAAAAGTTGAGGGGGGATAAGAAGTGTGATATTCAGGAAGGTGACTTTATCGATCATTTGGTGGATGCGACGACCGACATTAAGGAGATTCGTGATGAGGTAAGCCCCCACGGATATTGTTTTCCGTCTTTCCTGCCCATCGTATGTTAATGTACATGCAAAGTTGTACAACGTCCTCGTAGCCTCTCAAGGCACTACGGCTGTTACGCTCGCCGCCACGCTCTACCTCCTATCCTTGCATCCTGAAGTTGTGGTCAAGGCACGCGAAGAAGTCATGACACATCTTCCCGTTGGTACTCCTACCTATGATGACATACGGAAAATGGTATATCGTGAGTGTCGATCAATTTTTTTTTTGAAAAATGGAAAGGATGACACTGATCATTTCAACTTCAACAACACCCAACACCTCCAAAAAAAAAAAAAAAAAAAGTCCGTGGCATTCTAAACGAAGCATTGCGCCTTTTCCCACCAAACCCCCTGAACGCTCGTACTTCCAAAACGGCCACCTTGATACCCGGAGATCAACGAACGGGTGGGAAACCCATCTACGTTCCAGCTGAGAAACGGGTTTGCTACATTGCCCTCGCTTTACATTCGAACAAGGACATATGGGGTGATAATGCCGATCAGTTCGTACCCGAACGTTGGGTCGATGGGGATAAGGCGGCGCAGCGTACGCCCAAGCCTCAGCTTTTTGCGTTTGGGGGTGGACCGAGGATCTGTCCTGGTCAGGTAAGGAAGCGATTCGCTCTTGTTATTCTGTTGGGGATCGAGTGTGCTAATGATGTCTTTTCTTTTTTTTTTCTCTTTTTTTTTTTTCCCCTCCTTAGGAATTCGCATATATTGAAGCCAGCCTTAGTATGTATCATCGCATCCTCCACGGTGACTCGCTTAACTTTTTTTTTTTCTTTTTTCTTCCTCCGTGTGTGCGTGCACAGTGTTGATCCGTATGTTTCAAATCTTCGACAAGTTCGCATTGCGCCAGAGGGAAGACGCCCCTCCCAGTTCGTTACCGCCCAAGTCATGGAGGGGAGCTCCAGGCCGGAAAGGTATCGAGGAGATTTGGCCAACGTTGGCTGTTGTCTTGTCTATCAAGGTGAGCCAGATTTTAAAAAAAAAAAAAAAAAAAAGATACACGCAAACGACGTTGTGATTTGTACGAACGCTTACGATTATCTTTTTTTTTTCTCTTTTTACCCCCTCCGATATAGGGAGGAGTCTGGGTCCAGATGGGTCTCGCGCAGAATGACAGTTAGATGAGTGGCTGGGTGACTGCCAAAGGCATTGTATATTTTGAACCCAACGATGATAGAGGCAAAAGCGCATTAGATATCACTAATGGCTTTGCGTTTTTTTTTTTTTCTTTTTTTAACTTCGAACCGGGTCTGTTGTTGGTCCCTTTTGCCTGGGCTACCTTGTTTCTTTCTATTGCTACAAACCGAGACCTAGAAACCTTTTTGTAGATCCTACTACCTTGCCGTTTCTTATCCAATATTTCTGTCTGCGATTTTGGGGGTAGAACCCTCATGCGGTGTATATAAAGAAGGAAAGGAGGCCTCAGATTTGCTCCTGTGCGCACTCTGTCTCTGTGCTCCAGAAGGATCGGGAGTGCGTGAGAACAGGTCGTGTGACCCGTAAAGCGAGGCAGCCAATCGAAGTACGAGTGCCAGACTCTGTACAAGAGATCTGAGGGAGGGGGGGGAGTAAGAAAAACAAATTATACAGGGCCCTATAATAGGGTCGAACCCCAAATATCGTCCAATGATTGAGACGATATTAGCTGTCAATGATGCCAATAATCACATTATTGACAGTTAATATTGACAGTCGGATGGACAGGGCCGATTGTTGCATTTCCAACAGTAACTCGCCCCAGCTTTTTAGAGAAGTACCTGCACGTGTCTGGCAGGATTTTACCCGTTGGAACGCTAAAATCCCCTTCCGTGGCTATCCGAGGTCGGGACTCACGAGCAACTCGCCGGATGCCGGACCCGGACCCGGACGGTCTGGACTCTGGAGTAACCCCTGCATTTTCAGCCACGGAACTACCGAAGTGGGTTCCTTCCGCAAATGAAAGTGCAAGCGTGGGAGGCAAAACTTCCGAATTCCGAGTGTTACGATTACCACCCCCCACCCCCTTTAGCTCGGTGACAGAAGGTCTTCTGGGGCTACAGAAGCTAAGAATTGTCTAAGCGCCACCAAGTGAGCTGAGCATGACTTGATTGAATGCACCAAGAAGGCAAGGCCATTTTTAAATATTTGCTGGACTTTCTGACCGATCACTTTTCTCCTTCGTTTGCGTGTTGCTTCTTCAACTATTTTCTTTTCTATTCCCCATCCAGTTGTCCTTTTTCCATACGGACCATGCAACGTACGAAGGTGGCATGCTCAGCTATGACTTGTAGCCGCGCTCTGACAGCCTAGTCAGCCTAATCTTATTATATGTTTATTTACCAGCAAAAAATTAATCGAATCGAGATTTTGTGTGACACTGACATGGAATCGGTTCCGCCAAGGGACTATTACATAAACTGCATGTGTGGCACGAGATAATTGCGTATCATTAAATTCGGTCATACACCGCCAGGTCACAACCACAGAGACTCAACCATATGCCGTTTTCTTATCATCGTTTGCGATTTTGTGTCCAAGGAATATTTAACGATAGCTTGAGCACATATATAGAGCCCCTCAGTGCGGAATTGTGTACGTAAGTAAGCGCGTGTCCGAGTTTGATTCAAGTGGTTCCTCCTTGCTTATTCATCCATCCCGAATGAAGAAAAGAAGGAAGCAGTGGACCCCCAAGAGGCTTCCTGAGCGCGCGCGCCTCAGGGAGTTGCAAAAACGCAGAACGAGGCTAGTTTCCATTCCGTGGGAATTGCTGCATGTCCTTCCACCGATAATGTGCACATGCGACTCCCATGCAAGCTCATGACAGCAGCTGCACAGCAATTCGCTTTGATGCCCACAGAATAACAATGCTAGCTAGCTATGTGGTTGAGAGATAAAATGATTCAGTTGCACTATCGGTACCGGTCGGCTCGGACACGGTGGGGGTGTGCCATTTGGAAGTTGGCTTGTGCTTCTGTGATTGGCGCTTGCGCCTATTTGCGCGTCTCCTCGGGGCAATTACATAGGCATCATTGGGTGCCCCGTGTTTGAGTCACGACCAAGGCGGGTTCACTCCTCACTCTTTTTCTTCGCTCTCCTTCCACAGCCTCGTCCCTCAACTCCCTGTAATTCCTCACCATGCCGACTGATGCATCAGGTCCGTAACTACAGTGATCACAGGTTTGATGACGCTAAAGTATGAACTTACAACGTCCCACAGAGTTATTTGCAAGGGAAGTCACAGGTCTGGCCAACAATGCCCCTGCCTCCGAACCTCGCAGCAGCAATAGTAGCAGCAATAGTAGTAGCGAAGAACTCGCCGTTCCCACTGTTTCCCCAATGGGCGTCGTTGAAAACACTAGGACCGGACTGGACAGTCCAAGGAGGCGTACATATCTCACTTATGGCCAAGATGGGGGAGACGCTCCCACCAGTGCAAGAGATCGCCCCCCCTCACTTCGCATGACACAGGGAGGTCCACAGCAAGTCGTGTGATGAGCTCACTTTTGGTGCTAGAGAAGAAGCTTGGGGAGGAACCTACCACGATGGACAGTTTGAAGGCAATCGTTTTCGCCTCATGTGAGCTCGCCGCTCGCTTCAGTTCAATTCTCACAATTTGATCCCGATTCGCCGCGGCGGCCCATCACTCATTTTTGATGATCTGCGTTCATCTTGCTATGTAGGGCTCAACCCTCTTCTCATCTTCATCCCCATCTCTGTACGTATCTCTCTGACTTCACCACTCCAGATTTAAGTACCTAACTGATATCGGCTTACCCCCAAGTGGGCCCTCCATTTTTCTCTGGACCACGAAAAGTCATCTAATGATACCGTCATCTTCGTCAGTACGTCTTACATTCTTGGAAGCAACCTCTGTTGCCACCACCAACATGCCTTTCTTACTTCCACGTTTTAAATGACTATTTGGGTTCGCGTTGTATCTCGCGGCTCTTGGTTTCCAAATTCCCGTCTTCGGATTGGTTGCCACTACCGCGTGTTCCGATATGCGTCAACTTCCTGGCGCAACCATTCATCTGTGGACTTGGCCTTCCGACCCCGTTTTTTTTTTCATACTCTGGTTTCCCCTTTCAATCCGCGTGCAACCAGTCGCTTACCTGGCGATACTACCTCTTGCTGAGCTCCTCTCTTTCGGGACGGAGGAACTCGCCATACGAGTTGGACAAACTCTTGCCGGTCTGTTGCATGTCACGCGTGAGCAGCTTGTTTCGACTTTTTAGATGCGTTGGTCTGACGACCGTCAACGGCACATTTGGGTAGTGCGCAATGTTGTTGAGTTGCTTGTTGGTGTAAGTTTTTATTGGTCAGACATCCTCGCCCCCTGGATCCAATATTGATTCCCACGTAGATGCCACAAATCCTTGACATCTTTTGCCGTACGATAGACAATGCAAATTACGCGTTGTCCAAAGTTCCTGTATGTTTCCTCTTCCTTTGTTGGATGTAAACTGATCGTTTGGGGATGGCTACGGCGTCGGTAGGCTCGATCTTGTCGAACCTGCTTCTGGTCCTCGGCATGTGCTTCTTCGTGGGCGGCACCCGCTTTGCCAAGTAGGGATTTATGCAGAAACCGGCGCAGCTCAATGTTTCATTATTGGTTTTAAGTGTTACTGCTATCCTTATTCCCGGTGCGTTGTCTCAAAGGTTTCTCTGTCGACTGGATGATGATATATTACTGATACCCCTGTATTTCATTTGTCCTTTTTGGTGGTTGATGAATAAATAGCCGCATTCAAGGTGACAACTACCCAGAACCTCCAAGATAGTGAGCGGCAGAGTGATGTACTTCGTACCAGTCATGGGGTTGCTATCATCCTTTTGGTTATGTCAGCAGCTCACTCCGTCACGATTCAGCCATGGAGTTCAGCTAATTGTAATATTGCAGTTACATCTCGTACTTGATTTTCCAGCTCTGGTCGCACGCGCACCTCTTCAATGAGAAGGACGTGAACAATTGTTCCCCTTCGATATTGTATCCTCCCAGTGATGGCAAGTCCCGAGCCCGATTTCCGGTGGCGAAGAATACGGGTAGTGATGGCACTGGGTTGAACTCCACAGAAGAGCAAGGAGTGCAATCGAATAGAGCAGAAGGCACCAGCACTGCCGTTCAGGATGGAAACGTGGATGCAGAAAAGGGCGTAGGGACTTCGGCTGAAGATGAGGAGACTCCACAGTTGACTGTGGTGGTCGCGTTTGGACTTTTGGTCATAGTGACTTAGTGACTTTCGTGGGTTTTTGCGTCGGACCGTTTCTTCTTTCTCCTCTCTGAGTACAACAGCTCTTCCTCTTCGCAGCTTATGGCTATCACCACTGTGTTCCTCGTTAGCTCTACCGATGGGCTAACGCAATCGGGTTACATCTCCGAGGAATGGACAGGTCTCATTCTTCTGCCATTGTTGGGGGATACCAGGGAACTCATTACTGCTGTGTCCGGTTCTGTGAGGGATAGGTTAGATGTTTCGATGGGTGTGGCCGTTGGATCCTCAATGCAGATTGCCCTCCTCGTCATTCCGTGCGCCGAGTGGTTCTACCCCCTTGATGGGAGGTATGGTTGGCATGCTAACTGAGTTACCTTTTCCGCTAGATTTCTCGTCGTTCTCGCGTGGATCATAGAGAAAACTCTCACATTCCTCTTTGATCCCTTTGAGAGCATCGTTCTTTTCCTAGCTGTTCTCACTGTTGCGTTTGCCATAAGTGACGGCAGGAGTAATTGGTTGGAGGGCCTGATATTACTAAGTTTATATGTTATACTGGTGTGTATTCTCCCTTTGCCTGGTGTGTAGCTGGATTGATCGGTGAATTGTGTGTTTAGGCCGTTACATTTTGGTGGTCTCCTGCATCGTGAGTCAGGCTTGCATCTCATTCTGGTTGATCCATGCTTACATGCATTTTTTGACCTTCCGTTACAGGATGATCTCAAATTGCTAGTATTCCGATGATGTTTTCCATCTCGTTTTCCCACTTATTATCAATGCAGTCATTCATGTGCCAGTGGTTTTCGCCCTTCATTGGTTAATTTGCACGCTTATAACTTAGATCGACTTTATAATAATACATGTATGTTCACGAACTATCTCTCTAGTTGGTCTTGAAACAATTTCCCTCATTTTCGAGACATTTTCCACGGTGCTATTGTCCGTTCCACTATGCGGTGTTATTAGGTTTAGTGCGCTGGACCACGGGTCAGTTAAAATTTAAAATCATCAGTTCACCTTGGTCGTTTGTAGGAGCTGGCTAACGGCGTGTCCACACTCCCTCCTCACAGGAGTTAGCACGTATAACGAAGCAAACGTCAGTGTGTGTCGCAGCTAGCTTCTTGTTCAGAATCCTCTTTTTTCTGAATGTTTCCACTTAATGCCCAGTGTTAATCCGAAAAAAAGTTCTTTGTTGATTAAGGGAGGGGTGTTGGGATCTTGCGCGTAGTTGATGAATTGGTACTGCCATGATGACGATTACAAACCGTAAACCGCAAACCGTCCTGGCGTGAGCCGAATGCGGCTCTGTTGCATGAAGAGCTCCCGCCCGAAAGTCCGACTGGTCCTTAGACACCCGTCATCCTTCCACAATTGACAACTGCATTCAAACTCCGCCCTCAAGGCAGTTCAACTGGATTCACTTGCTGCGGCAAGGGCCCAGTCCTTGTCCAAACTGGGTGGAACCGATCGACATTCACGTTGCCCGACGTAGTCGTGGTGATGCTATCTACTGAGCTTGAACCTAATTCTATTAGCTGGACAATGGACGACTGCAAGTTCCGAAGTTCTGACACTGACGCACGTCAAGATAAGGGTCGTTAGGAGCAAATTTGCGAGGGCGTCCGTCATGGCGGACAGTAACCCTGCATTTTTGGGCCACGGAACCACCGAAGTGGGTCCTTCCGCAAATGAAAGTGCAAGCGTGGGAGGGAAGACTTCCGGATTCCAAGTGTGCCCGTGAGAAGCAAGCTGAATTGAGAAACTGCCAACAGTGACAATCCCTTCAGCTAGGTGACAGAAGGCGTGGCTACAGAACCAGCTAAGAGTCGTCTAAAGTAAGCGCTGAGCATTGCTTGATTGAATGCACCAAGAAGGCAGGACATTTTATATAAATATTTGCTGATCAATCACTTCTCTCCTTCGTTTGCGTGTTGCTTCTAATCTGTCTGTTTTCTTTTCTATTCCCCACCCAGTTGTCCTTTTTCCGTACGGATCAACGTACGAAGGTGGCATGCTCAGCTATGGCGCTCTGACAGAGTCAGCCCAACTTGTTGTATGTGTTCGTCAAGTTCTGCCCATTCGCTATTTATCGGCAAAAATCGAATTGAGATTTTGACATTATTTGCAACATCCGCCAAACTAAGTGCAGGGTCTATTAAACTACACGTGGGTAAGAGAGACAATTGCGTACCATTAAATTCGGTCATATACTTCCGCCAGGACAACAACCGTAGAGACTCAACCGTAATTGTGCAGGAAATGCACGGACACCGTTGACAACTTACTGGGACTTGTAATCAAACCTCAGCGTTTCTGTCCATGTCAATTGAAGCTGTTGCAAGTCGCAGCTGATTTCGGCTACACTGCCACCTTTTGACTATTCAACAAGAACTAGTCACCTGCAGCTGTCTCGCGGGGACCTGCTTCCTATGCCACAATCGCAGGGTCCATGAATCTCGTCCTGCGGTTAGGAAATTATGGACCCATACCTTGCTCACTAAAAACTTGCAGGTGAAGGTAGCCTTGGCATTTCAGTGGCATCTCAAGGACCCTTACGGAAACCTTCTCGATCCAATCAGTTTCCAAATGCGCGAAAAGTGGAATTATTGAAACTTTCGGAAGGGAGGGGGTACCTGTTGCCGGGAGTATTAGTCCTATCAATTTTCCAATCATCAGGGTCCTTGCGCTTCCGCTGTAACTTTAGAAGCTTCGGGTTTTCTCTTAAACTCTGCAAGCAAGGCCAATACGTGTTGGATTTCTCCCCTTGACTCTTGATTGATCCATACCCCAGCTGTGGCTCATACCAATGCCGTCTGGGTTCAAACTAAACTATCGTCTGGACCTCGCCATTGAATGCGTGAAGCTCTTTGGACCACCGAATCTCGTATCCTTCGCCATACTTTACTACCTCGTTCCTGCGAAGCTTCTCGGTGGTTACTTCACTCGAGGTCTTTGGCAGTACTTCCTGGTCCTGGTATACTTGTGGACATGGGATAAATATGGGCAGTGGAAAGGCCGACGAGAGGCCAAGAAGCTGGGGGCGGTTTTCATTCCTAGAGTCAAAGGTAAATGGCCTGGCAACCTTGATCTCGGCAAACGGTATGTGTCACGCACGACATTCGAACTGTAAGTATGGAGAATTGATTTCCTTCTTTTCCTTCCATCACGCATGGGATCTTAAGCATGTTGGATCAAATCGGGGAAAGCTACTTTACTGAGGCCATGGAGCAGTTTTTCGGAGATAATGACACGATCAATTTTGGAGCGTTGTGGACAGATGTCTATGTCACTCGGAGTCATACCGTCACCCAAGCCGTGTTGGCGCAAACCTTCGAAACCTTCCATAAGGGATATGAACTTCGCTCTTTGTGAGATTCCTTTCCTTTCATCCCTCTGCACGTTTCTTCGACCATTACATTTCACAAAAATTCACTTTTTTTTATTTGGTCTCGATAGGCTTCATGGATTGCTCGGAGAGGGTATTTTCGCAAGTGATGGTGCTGAGGCTAAAACTCATAGAGCAGTGATGCGACCTTTTTTTGGTAAGTGAACGACGTCATCGCTTGGGTATTTCCAGAACTGCTCTTTGACTCTCCCCCCCGCCTTTAAATTTTATGCAGGCAAAGAGCGCGTCCGGGACCTTAACCTCCTAGATCACTACGTCGAAAAGAGCGTAGCCCTCATTCACGAGCGAGCTCAACAAGGTCTATCCATTGACGTTCAGGATTTATTCCGACGTTTCACCATGGACGCGGCTGGCGAATTCCTGTTTGGTTCCAAGGATTTCAACACTCTGGACCGACCACTCCCAGTTCCAAGCAGCGTTGGGCTCAAGGCCAATGCGACCGAACTCGATCAGGGCCCTTACGGAGAACTGGTCCTCGCGTTCGATAAGCTTCAGGAGATCATCGCGATTCGGAGTATCAGTGGGAGGTGGTGGGCGATTCGGGAGTTTTGGAAAGATGAGACGGTAGGGTATAACAAGGTTGTGGACCGGTTCGTTTTGCCGCTTGTTCACAAGGCGTTGAATAATAAGAAGTTGAGGGGGGGTAAGAAGTGTGACGTTCAGGATGGGAACTTTGTGGATCATTTGGCGGATGCGGTGAGCGATGTTAAAGTGATCCGTGATGGGGTGAGTTTTTTTCTTTCTTTTTGTCAAAATGCTAAAGTGTCATGTTTTGCGCAGTTGTTCAATCTCCTCATAGCGGCTCGAGATACTACAGCTTCTATGTTGACATTTACCGTCTACCTACTCTCCTTGCATCCTGAAATACTCGCCAAGTTGCGCAAGGAAGTCGTATCGATCGTTCCAAGCGGACCCCCCACTTTTGACGACATGCGGAAAATGCCACTTTGTGAGTTTCTTGTTGTGTTTCCGTCCTCCCTTCTGATTGATTGATCGATTTTTTTTTTTGCCCACATTACGATTTCTAAGTGCGTGCCGTTCTCAACGAATCGTTGCGCCTCTTCCCTCCAGCTCCCATGAACGCTCGAAGTTCCAAATCGGCCTGCCTCGTACCCGGCGATAAGCAATCGGGTGGGAAGCCGTACTACATTCCAGGAAGTGAAAAACGGGTTTGCTACCTTACGTTCCCTTTGCATCGAAAGAAGGACGTGTGGGGTGAGGATGCGGAAGAGTTCGTTCCTGATCGTTGGATCGATAAGGATGAGACGCAGCGGGTGCAGAGACCTCATATTTATCCGTTTGGCGCTGGACCGAGGATCTGTCCTGGTCAGGTAAGAAATACATGATTTACGATATCAAAAAAACACTGTCATCTGTGGACTTGAGCTGACGACTATCCCGAACATTTTCAGGAGTTCGCATACATCGAATCAAGCATCAGTACGTATCATTGCTTCCTTCATTGGTGTCTTTCTCTCTTTTGTGTTTTGGCGAATCACTCATTGAATTCTCCTCTCTCTCTCTCTCTCGTCTGTATACAGTGATGATCCGTATTCTTCAAGTTTTCGATACGTTCACACTACGCCAGAAGGAAGATGCTCCTCCTGGTTCATTACCACCAAAGTCCTGGGAGGGTGCTCCAGGTAGAAAAGGCATCGAGCAGATTTGGCCAACGCTGGCTGTTGTCTTATACATCAAGGTGGGTTCAAGATTATATATATATACGCGCGAATAAACTCGCTGCGGCTCCACATTTTGCACTGCATGGAAGCAAGTACTGACGAGTTGGATTTCTGCTTCTTTTTTTTGTGTGTTAGGGAGGATGCTGGGTTCAGATGGGTCTTGCGCAGAACTGAAGATGAATTGCCACCCCCGGAACGATGCCCTCCACTAGGGCGTTATCTTGACTCAAGGGACTGAAATAGAGAGGCAAATGCATCAACATTGCCTCCGAGCGGGCATGTTTTTAACTTAAAATGATCAATGCCTTTCCCTTAGATAGAACCCTCCTCTTCCTTGTCTTATCGCTTACTTAGAAAGCCTCTGCTGTACATCTACTTACCGTTCTGAGGCAATCCACTCTATTTGCAATTGGCATCTACGTGATTGGCCCAATTGAAGGGCTTCCGCACTCTGGAACTGCTAAGAATGAGGCGTTCTCTAATTTGTCTGCTGGGTGATCTCAGGGACGCCGGACGTGATACGGTAGCGGTAGCGGAATCCTCCGTTGGCGAAACTGTCACCCAGAGGTTGTTATATGGATGGGAGTTCGAGTGCGGCCGGACATTTCACATTCCTTGCAGTAGTTCGTTGGCTCTTTACTCTCTCCTATATCCATTCCCTTGGCCATACCACTTCGGACCATCTCTAGGATTGAATCTGTCCAAGGTGGGCATGCCATTCATCAACAGAAGCCGTCGTGGTAGTGATTCACGCGAGGTTTCGCATTTTCATTGTCGAGCCTTTGAATGTTGAGGTTGGATCGACTTAACCGCGTCGTTGGTGATATCAGTGGCAGACATCAGGGCTCAGAAATAATAACTAATCGCAGTAATACTCAGGTTCACGTTGAGCGAACTGAGGGAGGCAGCAAGTAGCGAAAAGGCCAAGTATTTTATAGATAAGTGTTGAGGACCTAGCCTGTAGTACGCTAGGCCAAAGAGTAATCCAAGCGCCAAAGGCGCGGTGTTTAAACAAAGAAGAAAAGTTAAGTTTGGACCACGCCACCTTATCCAAAGGCCACTGCGCCCTAAGTAGCCGTTGGATTCCAACAAGATGCGTATTCCAGCTGAGCAGCAATCTAGCTTGTATACGTAAGGCCGTATCAGGCTATGCATTCTCGAGTCCTCGCCTCGGTTCGGCGGAGGCCATCATAGACGCCGCGTCAGGAAGTGCTCCTCTCAGGTGCTTTCAAGTGCCCTGGCACTCGGGAGCGCTCGGGAACACCCTAGAGCAGGGAACTTTTGCTCCTGAACCTGCCGGGTCCTAGTGGCCGGCGGCACCAACTTCGATGTCTTTGCCAGTGTTGAGCCCGGGCAGCGTCATGTTTCTGCCTGTGGTTAACAAAAGAAAGCGAAGAAGCGTACAGCCAACGAATGAGGGCTGATCGGCGCCGAGGAATTACGAGAGGAAGGTCATGCCGTCCCCAAGGTGCTCAAAAATATTCGAAGACCAAAGAGGCACTGCACGCAGGCCTTAGGACGAAAAACGACCCCCACAGGGTGTTATGAGTTACCATGGGGGAATTAGTCTCAGCGCCACCCGAGCGTCCACTCGTTCTACAGGGCTTAAGCGTCGACAGGAGGGGGGAAACAACGATGATCATGTTCCAGATTAGCTTGTAAAGCTAACACTGGTCAAAGGCCAATAAGTGAAGAACGGAAGCAACGAGATTCGAACGCGGTGACACGGTGACAGATGATAGCGTCATGTCATGAACGTCGTCAGTTTTAAAATATCTAAATACGCTATGGCGCGTCAGACTGCACCAATGAATACATTCAGAATAATTCTTAGTCTTAGAAATGATAAAGAAATCCTCACCTCAGACTCGCACAAGAGATCTGAGCTAGGGAGAGGGAGTAAAGAAAAATCCTCTCTCTTTATCCACAGAGAATGAGGGTCGGACCCCCAAATATCTGCGACGATATTGGAACTATCTCAGGCATTCATTGCTGTCAATAATGCTAATAATTACATTATTGACGGTCGGATGACGGCGCCGATTTTGCATTTCCAACAGTCAGGCCCACGTGGTTCAAACCAATGTGCCGGGGCATCCAATATCTAGGGACTCTGACAAGGAATGGCTCGCTCATTGCACGTACCGGTACGAGCGAGTCTACACGTATCAGGCAATGGCTCAGATCCTGGCGCGGTGGAATCGAAATTTCTTCGCCGCCAGTTATTGTAGTTTCATCTGTTCCAATGGAAGCTGGTCACCTACCCAGTGGTTCGATGCATGATATTTGCGGCGTAGTCCTACTAATGGGGCTGGGGTATGGACTAATCTCATTCATGAGAGTTTTCCAGAATCATGCGCGCCTGCAATCGCAAGCGGGGCTTGCGCGTGTGAAAAAAGAACCCTTCGTGTGCAACAACATGCGAGCACAACGCGTACAGTGTACAGGGGATATGAGTACGACAGACCGCGCGAGACAATGACTGAGGTGCGCGCTGGTCATATGGGCCTTCCTGAATCTGGACGGTCCTCCCATAGTGTATGGAAGCCTGCTATAAACACACAGATTATAATCTCTCGTTCTCTTCAACCCTTCAGGCTTGACCCTTCTTTGACTGCACACGCGTACGAACCCTTCTCAAACCTCGTTCGTCTTGTAATACCCACTACGACTCTAGAGCCTTCTCCTGTGTTGCAGCTGTCTTGGACACAATATCACCCGCTTCAGATTGATGGGCGGACTCGGAGATCATTGCGACACAACCATCATAGCGTGGTTTCCCGCACTCGACGTCTATAGTGCCAGAAGCAATCCCATGATCTGGGCTAATTATGTTACGGTTGTGGTGCCAGTCTGTTGCGGCATTAGTGAGTAGATTGACCAATACGAAGTCCTGGAAGCTCTTGAAGGGTTGATGAAACATCTGTCACGGCTCTTAAAAGGTGGCCTGTTGAGGCTTGCTTTTGTGTGGGGACTGATCGCAAATACTGTCCGTCTCACTCGAGTCCTTGCGAATGTGGCCTCTCCAAGTTATCCTCTTATTGGCTTTGACGAGAGACGTGGATGTTTCCGGTTGGTGATGTATGTCTATTGCCTCTCCGCTTACGCTGGTCTCTGTGAGTTGCTCCCTGGTCTGAATTTACTGCTGCGTACTGAGAATCATAAGGGAAATTTTTATTACGCAATATCATTAGCTCACTATCGGTGAGTACATCTGTCCCATGACTTGAATTGCTATCTTCACATCCTTCGTGGAATCTTAATTCTCAGGTCGTTTTATACTCTGGCTGGGTGTCAACCTGGCTTATACACGCTCTTCTCGTCAACCTTTTCATCTCCGTGGTCTATCTTGGTACGCCTCCTCTTTCCAGAGGCCACTTGGTGCAAATATTTGGGCTCTGAACATGCGTACTAGGCATTGCGATGCGCCGGCTGGCGCGACATCGTGTCAAATGTCCCATGCTGCTCACTGGTTCACCCTCTGTGTTCGCCACCTCCGACTCATGCTCATGGCTCTCAGAGGTCGCTAGTGGTCTCAGGATCAGGGTGAAGTCATGCGTCCTCTTCAGCTGTTTTAAGCTTCGCCCTATAAAACCCTGGGTTGGCTGGTTTCACGATCACTGCCGTTTCAGTGCGATATGGGAGCTCCCAAACGCGATCGTGTCTCCGGAGTCAGGGATGATTTACACTATAACATTCACTATTTCCATTTCCCCAGCTTTCCGACCCCTCCCTGAGTTCGGTGAAGACTCTCTTGTCTATCACAAAAATTTTTGGGCCTGGATCAAGACCCACTGTGTTCCCCAAATGGACTCTTCCATCACAGTCGTGAGACGTAGAAACAGGACTCCACCAAGCCCTGCCAGGCCCATTGCTTTTCGAGATGCGAATGCTGAAGGCCTTGTAGCCGAGATTGTATAGGAGGTCGGGGACCTGTCAGTATTCACGGGATGCTTACTTTCAAACCGAACTCAACTGTCCGCATCGCACTCGTAATGATTTTTTGCTTAATCCACTCTCTGAACTCATCAGATAAGTCGTTACTCAGCCCTGTCCCCTTGATACAACTGTGCTTCAACGAGAGTTACTGAGTTACTGTGCTCTATACACTTCATTTATATATAGCGGTTAGTTCCTATTATACACCCACTAGGGTCATTAACCCCCAGGGCTTAACAGCACCACATGCTGGTCCAAACAACACCTGTCACTTCTGCTATCGGTGTCAACTTGTTGTCTTCTCGTGTCGCGAAGCAGCACTTGCCGTCAGCCACATATCCTTTGACGATTTTTTTTTTCTTTTCGTTTTCTTCCCTGTGATTGGAAGGCGAAAGTATTGAGAGTGCTTCTCGGGACCCATGTGATGGCCGTATACCCATGGGTACGCAGCTCTGCTCACTCGACTGAACCAGGCTTCTGCCGCTTCTAACGGCAGGGGGATGGCGGTGCACATGGTTGTGGCAGAGAATCATCTTCTCCGAAAACCAAAATTATTATAAGAGGCGACCGCTTAGGAGGGAAAGAGGGCATTCGTGTCTTCATTTCCATTGCCTGCCGCGTCTCAACTTGTTATGACCTTACTTGAAGAAAAAGTTTCAATAGGGCCTTGTGGTTACTCGGGCGCCAACGGATGGCTCGGGACGAAGGCAACCGATTATGCGCTGCGTGGGGGTTACCGGCGAGCGTATTATGTGCATCTTCTGTTTACCCTGTTCTTTGTGAGTTGCGCCACTTAAGATCTGGAGGTGTGCACTAAATGAATTGTGTATGGGGACCTTCAGTTGAGGACTTCTGCTGCCGAGTGGACACCCTATTCCAGGTGGGTTAGACTCGTCAATTGACGGCAGGCATTGCGATATACCGGTTGATGCAGCGGATTCCGGACTCACTACCTGCCGAATACTTCCAACCTTTGGGACTTGGCGTAACGGGGATTATCGTCGATTTCGGTGTCAACTCTGATAGCCTCACCAACCAATTTATCTAACATCTTCCCCGTCAAGCCTCGGTTTAACTGGGAGCATGTTCGCCGTTTCAGTGTAATTTCGCATTACAGCAGCGCCATCATCTCCCAAGATGCCTATCATACACTGGAAGCCCGGTACCGATACACTTCAAAGCTCAAACCACCGCGGAAATCTGTTTGCCGCCTGCATTGATATCAACGCCCCCGAGCCCCATTTCCTTACGCCCTGATCATCCCGTTTCCTTGACTCCATCACAACCACCAGACTTCAATACAGTAGCGGCCGCTGACGGTTGCTCCATTTCCTTTCGTTTCCAGTGGTGCAATGCCCCTTAGAGGAAGTAATGCTTTACTGTTTTTTTTTTCTTCGGGCCCTGCTTTGTCTTTACATACAATGAGCGGACATGTATGTACTCGCGCTTACGGGAAATTGGAAGGGCTCGGCTACTTGAGAAATCGGATTCTTCATGTCACGTGTGGCCATCAAATTTGGCAAACACGATTCTGCCTTCGATCTTGTATTATCTCTTTGAGCCCGTAAAAGAAGCAGGCGAGAATCATGTCAGTCTCAAAAGACGTCAAACGTATGTTACTGGGGAAACACTTTTTTTTGGAGGAGTTTCACTGCTGATCATAGACCACGATGCTCGGTCGAACTCGATCTGCCACACTGGCGCCATGAATTTGTTTTGCCACATGCACAGCGCTCCCCTTTGTGTACCAGTTCATCGCTGGCGCAATAGCAGGGGTATCGGAGATATGCACATTCTACCCGCTTGGTTAGTAGTCGGTGATTCCCCCCAATGCTTGGATCTGTTTTTGAAGTTCTTTGCCCCCTTGCCCCTTGCGCCCCGTGGGCCCCGTCCCCACAGACGTTGTATGTCCTGAGTACATATTACAATCAATCAATTTATTTTATTTGCGCAGGTGAAAACACGCATGCAACTTGAACGTGGACAGTCGCCATCTTTGGTGAAGAGCTTTCAGAACATCGTACGGCAAGAAGGGTACGAGGACCTACTTCTAATCAACAGTCTTCATTGAACGCAACCACTTTTATGCATTCAGTTTTGCCCGTCTGTATAAAGGCCTCGTCCCTCCATTGCTGCTCGAAGCGCCAAAGCGCGCGACTAAATGTAGGGGAAAAAATGAATGATTTCTTTTAAAGAATGAATTAACTGATGTTTTGGGTTCATCTCCACTCATGTTAGTTGCCGCAAATGACTTCTGGGGGAAGACCTTTAAGCAGATGACAGGGTCGAAAGAGATGACTCAATCGCTTTCTATCCTGACAGGCTGTTCGGCTGGTGCAACTGAGAGTTTCGTAGTACGTGCCGTGACGGACGGGGGGCCCCGTGTCCCCCCTCCCCCCCTCTTTGTGATTTTTTTTTTCCTTGACTGACGCCTTTTTTTTCGTGATAGGTTGTGCCATTTGAGCTTGTCAAAATTCGATTACAAGATAAAGCAACAACCTTCAAGGGCCCAAGAGAGGTCATTAAGCACATCGTCAGACATGAGGGTATACTCGGCCTTTACAGTGAGTTGGGAGGAGGAATACTACTTTCTTTCTTCCCCTTTTTACAATTTCGTCTCCCACCTCAGATGGAATGGAGTCAACGTTTTGGCGGTGAGTGTTAAGTTAAGAGACATCTCGATTCCTAACAGCTTACAGTAAAATGTGTGATGGTACTGTCATAGACACTTATGGTGGAGTAAGTCATTTGATGATGATTTACAGCTTTTCGAGAATTTATATGTTTCGTACCAGATGGTGGCTACTTTGGGACGATATTCCAGGTCAAGGCTATGCTTCCCAAGGCTGATGTAAGTCCTACATAACCCCACTCCATTCTTTCTTTGCTTAAAAAAAAAGAATTTGTTGAAAACAGACACCAAAATCTCAACTACTCAACAACTTCATTTCGGGAACGATCGGAGGCTTTGTCGGCACGGCGATCAACACTCCGTTTGATGTAGTCAAGTCGCGCATTCAAGGTACCCAGCGACTGCCTGGCGTCGTCCCCAAGTATAACTGGTCGTACCCTGCTTTGGCACTTATCGCTCGCGAAGAAGGGGTCAGAGCGTTGTACAAGGGTTTTGTGCCCAAGGTTCTACGGCTGGCCCCTGGCGGTGGTGTTCTGCTACTCGTGGTTGAATTCACGTTGGGATTGTTTAGAAAAGGTAAATAAGAAAATGGCTGCCCCCTCCCCCCCTCTGCTTGTCTCTTTTGTATTCTGACTTTGGGCCCGTGCTCTTTCCAACAGCTCTTGGTCCACCTTACATATAGGCGGCGGAGGTGCCTCTAGAGGAATGTGCGATCGTTATAGTTCATGGTTAGGAAGGACTCTGGCATACATATGTGTGTAGGATCAATCGCTCCCCACACTGTCCATAACGCTAGAAATACGCTATATCATATGACCTTCTCAGTCCATTTTTGGCAGCAATACTTTGACCAAAAAAAAATGCGTCGATCTATAAAGGTCCTCAGTCGAGTAACTGCTCATCTTGTTTTTCGCCGACAATGATCCCCGGCATAAGAGTGAGGATCCTTGAAGTGGACTCGAGAGCTGGGAGCACGTTTGCGTTGTGCGGAAGTACTGAAACTTCGTTCAATCTCGGATCCTCCCGCCCGCCCCAGGAAGAGAACCCTGTCGATCGACAGTCTCGTCCCTGCGGCATTTTGTAGAGTTTCCCCAGATATTGCCTCACATGGACGGTTGCATAATAGAACGTTGAATGGTACTCAATCACTAGTGAATGCGCGCCCGGATGAGTGGAAAAAAAAAGCCGTAAAAGCTTCTCCACCCGTACGTACTGATCTAGATCCCTCCTTGGTGCCCGTGGGTCTCCCGCGCGTGCAAAGAGGGCCATGGCGGCAGCCCTACAGGCTCGAGTCTCAGCTATATATATACGATTCGCAAGATATTAGGAGAATTGTAAGCGTCTCTAGAACCGCATAAAAGCTGTGACACTTTGTAGATGGTAGGAGCAGAGATCTTTGTGTGTAATATCGAGTTCGACCCTTGGTTCAGCGACTTTCTGATTGTTTTTAAGATGTCTTTGTGAGTCTCGAGCTCAACCACCTGAACTCCAATCGCCGGGCCTCTTAAGATCCCTCACAAAGAATGCAGTGACACAGCGAAGCTAGTGCATGCCGGAAGTAGTCCCAGCTGGTTCCCCAACATTCAGAATGTCGATGGAGAATGTTAAATAGCTTCGATCTGAACCTAATTCTTCTGATCGGCAACACAGCCTCTTAGCTAGCTAGCCAAATGAGAGTCGAAGGATGGAAACCCGAGAAAGGGATTATTGATTTCAGTTAGCTAGGAGTCAATCATGGATTATTGCACACATATGCGGGTTGTATTATATATCGTTTACCGTAATAAAATACTGAACGCACGTTGAAAGACTGATCTAGTCAGTTTATGAGATGGTCCGAACCGCCACATCTCATGCGCAATATTCCTAGGCTTGTGAGTAGTCTCAGTCCTGTGTTGATGCTATCGTCACGTCACCGCACGGCGGCATTCGCACTGCAGGAGCCGGTAGGCTCATATGTATATATATATATATATATAACCGTTCAGCATCTGTTGGGTGCTGGATCATAGGATAACCACTTGTACTAGCGTAAGCATTTTTACACGGTGGGGTAATTGAATTGCCTTATTCAGCTTTCCTATGCTGCGGGGTTATTTCCAAGCGAGGAAAAGAGAGAATGTCTTCACAGAGGAAGCCCGGCCCTATCCTTAGACGCCGAGAAGGGCAGACACCGCTGCTCTGAGCTTAATAACTATATTCACCCATTTGCACGATGTAATTCAACCCATATTGTTGGAGGGCAAATGCCTCCCACAATAATGGGCTGCTGAGAGCTGAGAGGGCGGCGCTTCAGCAGAGTATTTGCAGTGCATGTGCGGGAAGCTAGTATGTATGTTGGTTATGCTGAAGTCTTCAACATTATTAGGCAGGACTCCAGCCTCTATGAGTTGATATTATTAGCCGACGAATTGGTATCGTTCCACGTAAGTACTGTGGGAAGGGCATGACAGCTGCCGATGCGGGAAGGTGTGTTGTCGGCGTGACTCATTAGCACGTCACCCCGCGCACCGGACATTTCCCCAAGATTTTACATCATTTCCTTTCTTGTGCTCCCTTGCTGATAGATCTTGAACTGAGCGCTTACCAACACTAGCTTAAAACCTCAGAATTAAGCCAAAAACGCAGTTCCACAGATGACCCCATCCAGAGCCAAGCCACTCGCTGATAGCGAGGACAGGAATTGATAGCCAGCTTCCTTCGCTTGTACAAGCTCAGCTACTTCAACGTAGGAGTTCAAATAGCTGAGAAAAGCAGGGGCGCGGCGGTGGTGTACGTTGCCTGGCCGAACAGGACAAGTGCCATAATATGACATGCATGCACATTGCTGAGCGCGAACCGAGCTTGAAGATGGGGGGGAGGCTAATGAGCATTTGGCCCAGACTTTTGTGCAAGCCGTTAAGGCTCATGCGATGAGATAAAGTAAACCTCAACCCGTGTGAATGTAAATAAGTGTAAACATATGGTTTCGGCTGACCAACAAATCGCCCTACAAGGTCTTCCTGCGGCTTGTGGAGCCGCAGCGATGGGTGATGTCCTATGTTGCAAAACTCACATTTAATGTTATGTTGATAAGATGGGTTGAGCGCTTATCGTCAGCCGGTACCAGGTCCAACCCCCGAGCCTTGCTCAATCTTTACGGGCAAGCGTACGTACATAAAAAGATCGAGCTTTCCCCTCTCTCTCTCTCTGTACACAAACATCCTATCCCCTTCGATCCCATTGGCGAGCCAAAAACATTGAAATTTTATCACTCATAGCGTGGTTGCATTCATACTCAACGTCTACCGCGGGACGAACACGATCATCTGGGCAAATAACGTGAAAGTTGTAGCCCCTAGTCTATTGTGACGTTGGTGAGGGAGAATATTTGAACCCCCCCCCAAGCCTTCAAATTTACCCCTGCCCGTGCTTTAAATTAAAGGGGGGGGGGCTGATTGAAGACTTTTCTTTCTCCTTTTCTTCTTTTTTTGTCCGTTCGCTGATCGATCGACCTTGCAAGGAAGCGTGCTGTGGGTTGCCGCTGCTTGGGGATTACCAGCAACCACCCTCTGTCTCACACGTCGTTCCCTTGCGAGTATAACGTCTCCGCCCCCCAAGCGATTATTATTATCGGTCTTAAAGGACCACAAGCGAAAACGTTTCTGGTTTCGAGATGACGATGTATGTCTTTTTTTTTTGGTCATTTGTTTACGCTTGGTCTTCGTGAGGTGCTCGGTTTAACATTGGTGGGGGGGGTCTGCCAGGTATCGCGATGTTATCGATTGGCGCGGTACTAGGTCAAGATGTCGCAAGTTGCTCACCGATTCACATTCTGGGCCGGTCAATACATCCGACTTGTCGCTCTCGGGTTTGGTAGAGGTCCATCACCGATCTTGGTATGAACCTATACCTCTTCATTACCTGACATACTTTGTGTACAAAAAATCGGGGGGCCCGGTGGGCGGCGCTCCCGCGCCAATGATGATGGCCCCTGTTAAAAGGTCCGAGATCATGTCTGCTCGTAATACAGCGAAAGATGGTGGTAGTAGTATATACCCAATCGGGATTCTGGGTGGTCAAGCAAGGGGATGAAGTGTTCGACGATAAATGATAGCGACTTTAATAGCTCTCGCGGACGATATTGACCGCTCTGTTTCCCTCCCACTCTGCTTTTTTGAATCATCGAATCAAATTTAGTTTGAAGCTCGGAGTTGTCCGATTTTTTTTTTTTTTTTTTTTTTGCGCTCCTGCCACCTCGAATTTCGAAAATCGGCTGGGAAATAGTATACTGTAGATCACTTGTGTGCATGCTGGAGGAGACGCAACAGGATAGCGTGGCAACAGTCCCGGCCAATGCCAGAACCTCTTGAAATTGAAGACGACCCGGGTAATTTACAACAGGCAGGAGATCGGGGACGGAGGAGGGTAACACGAAAAAATAAAGACAACGAGGAACAAGGGGGAGAAGAGCAGAGGTTACAGGAAACAAAACCTAGAAAAAACCTGAGTAAGCAATCGGGATCCCACCCACCGAGAGTAACCGAAGGTCACAACACCTCCCCCTCAGCGAGACCGAAAAGCTTAAGTGGGGGTCGGCAAATGAGGGGAGAGGTCCGAAAAAATAAAAATAGCACGTGATTTTAAAATATGGCCACAGCGCCCCATCCAAAAGCCACTTCCATTTACAGCCTTTTCTAAAATTTTTGTCCGATCAGAAGTGAATGGGTATTGACCCCGTTCGTAAAAAAAATCACCTGAAAATGGTCAAATTTCTCATATTTTTATGTTTCAATACAATAGAATTATATTTCCATCTAGTAGAATTAGCGCCCACAGCTATTCCCCATTCCTCGTTGAATAATGACCATAGCACTGACGGTCACAGCGATCTAGGCAGGTCGCCAGCCTCTATTGGAAACAGTGATCCTGCTCTCGATCCTCCTCACATCAGCCCAGCCGAGCTTCCATACACCATTACCATCTCATGGGTACCAAACACACGTCTCCAGACATGAAGTGACACATCGTCCTCATGTCCTCAACCCTCACTACCAAGGAGGCTGCACAAATTGCCCATCTCGGTGACTGCAGAGTTGCCGCATTCTCTCAGCTCACCAGCAAGGGATAAAGTTGGCAACCGTGGGTGTAGTTGCGAACTTGACAACTAGGATCTGGATGTGAGTATGGTGTTTCTGTCTCCCACCAGCTCAGCCTGAAGCAACAAGGCTTCACATACATCAGCAAGCACTGTTGGAATGCTTGCTGGGGTGTTTTCAGGAGCGGGTGCGGGGCTAATGGTCATCATTCCAGTGTGTTACAGGAATGGGTTCCGGGGAACCCAACCTGAGCCATTCTGCTCACAGATAGAGGTGACTGCATAGCCATTGAAGGGAGAGCAGGAGGAGATCTGAGACCGGGTGTACTAACGGTAACTTGGCGCTCCGAGGAGCGTACCGGCAGCGGGTGTGGTGTCATGCTAATGGTAACTTGGCACTCCGAGGAGCATACCGGCAGCGGGTATAATGGGGGCTCCTTGAGGGAGCCACCTAACAGTTGGCTAGTGGCAACTTGGCGCTCCAAGGAGCATACCAGCAGCAGGTATGATGGGGGCTCCTTGAGGGAGCCATCTAACAGTTGGCTAGCGGTGACTTGGCGCTCATGTGAGCGTACCGGTAGCGTGGGTAGTTGGCACTCCTTGAGGGAGTAGCCCAGTGGTCGTCTATCGGTTACTTGGCGCTCAAGGGAGCGTACCGGTAGCAGGATTTGTTGGGACAGGCAGGTTGGTTGACCAGTGCACGGTAGTGAGTGACCGTGGGAATTTGGGCCCTTGGGTACGTGGCCAGGCATCCTGGGGCTGCCTGGGTCACTTCTCCCTCCCAAGAAGGGAGGAAGGGTTGTAGGACTCGGTAGGGTACTACAGGAAGGGTAGGAATGGGAGCTCAACCACCCAGTGGGGGGGTGGGAGCAGGAAGGGTGAGGTCCGGTGTCTGAGCACTCACCGGGTCGTTGAGGCTTCCTCATGGATTGTAAGAATATTGATGTAGACATCAATATGGACCAAGTCAGATGTTACAGGGAAGGTTTACAGGTGGTGGCACACTGGGATGACAGTTACAATCACTGGGTGATAGTCTGAGATTGTATATTTGATAAAGAGAACAGTTCCGTGTCAGGGACGCGTCCGGGGTCGAGAGGGCCTGGGGGCAATGTCCGGCACTGAGGCCGTCGCGGGGTGTGGAGCGGGCATGCGTACTGGCGGGCCCGATCCGGGACAGTGGTCCCTGGCCACTCAGACTGAAGTGGAGAATGTGAGAAGAAGGTTACTTCTTCGGTTCCCACTTCAGATACATTTATGTACATGCGGCTTGAGTCACATGACGGGTGCCACGTCATCCTCGGAGGCAGCTGCAGGCATCCGGGTGTCCCCGTGGGGGATCCCGAGAGCGTCCGCTGCATGCGCGCGTGCTGGGCACAGCGGGAAGCCATCCGGGGTGTGTGGGCCGGACGGGTCAATAGTACATCAATACAAAGGAAGGTGGTCTGTGTAGATAGAAAGAAATAAACAGGGAGAGGAAGATGAGAAGAATGAAATAAAGAAGGGGGAAAGAAGAGGGGAAAGAAAGGGGAGGAGAGGGAGGAAGGAGGGGGGAGGGGGATAGACAGCGGGGAGCGGGTGTGGTGTGGCTGGGTGGGTCCGGGTGGACCCGGGTCAGGCGGGTGTGCCCTGACATTCCGGCATCTGCCTTATACATCATATGACTTCTAACTATCTAATATAAAAATCATAATGGTCAAAGGAAGTCCCTTGAAACTCAACAAATCCCCCAGCCAGCACCAAAACCCAGTGGGAAAGCTTGGCATGGGGTTTGACAAAGAAATAAAGTTGAAGGGGCTAAGGTTTGATTGTCTATAGTCATGGACCATAAGATTCTAGGTCCATTCCCATAACACAGTGGGCACGCTTGTCTTTGTTGAGAACATGATAGTTGACACACAGTCGCTGTTTTGGAGAGAATCAAAACAGGTGAGGAAAACTTGATGATTTCCAGAACTTTTCGTGCACGGTAGCTTAGGACACGGTCTGATCATGGCCAGTGTGAAGGGTACGATCAATCGTTGTGGTCGGGAATGGGTATGGCTGTGCGGCGCTAACTCTACTGTATTGAAAAATAAAAATTTGAGAAATTTGATCATTTTTGGGTGATTTTTTTTTACGAACGGGGTCAATACCCATTCACTTTGATCGGACAGAAATTTTAGAAAAGGCTGTAACCACACAACTTCTACTAAGTGTTGTATAATTATTGCCCGATAATAATATTAAAATGCATATGTGGTATGGGGATTTACTTTGAAGCAAGTTTATACATAACTACAGTATGTTGGAAATTCACAACCTTTTTTCACGCATCAGTGGGATTCTTGAAAATCTGAGTGACCAAAACCCGCATTCACACCCATAGAGCAATTGGGCCAAGTTTGAAGCAAATTGAAGTAGCGGAAAGGTACATTTCACTGCTCTGAAGCTGGGATGATATGGGCCCTAACTCTGTGCAATGAATGTCTATATTCATGTAAAGACTGCACGAAAAAATATCCAAATGTCACCATGATACTCCCTGGAAGTTTGGAACTGTCACATGCGGTAATCACAGAGCTATGGGGGTATGCAACAAAATACATGCTCATGCACAGGGAATATCTTTTGAACTAAGCCAAATTTTAAAAATCTGAGTGACCAAATGTTAGGCACATAACACATCTACCAGCATGCCAAAATTCGAGCAGAATGGAAGGGGTTGAAGGTACATTTGGGACTCACCTTTCCCAAAATGCACACTAGGCGCAAATAGGGATCACGTGTCAGGGTTCACCGACCCCGCGCTTACCCAACTTGACTTTGACATCTAGTTCTCTTGCTAGGCTTACATCGGACTTGAAACTCAACCCTCTTATATCTCCTTCCTAGTACCCCAAATGCCAAGGGATCAAACTGCTTGGAAGTATTCCAAAAACAAGGTTTCTTCTCCCAAAACTCGGCAGATTAATAAAGCTCAGAGGACTAGTTTGGGTAAACGACAACCAGAGGGGATGTTAGAACCGGGCGGAAACAGACGACTCCGGAGTGGAATCGGAGACTTAGCATGGAGGGACCTTGGCCTCAGCGACTCAAGTGGAGCGCTGTGCCATTGCTGTTTGTCCATTTGGTCCTTAATTTCACAGTAGGTGAGCAGGAAGTCTCTAGGGGGCATTTCAGGTCGATTTCGGACTGAACCAAAATGAGTATGTACAAGCGCCGATATATATAATGGAGGGGGCAAAAGCACAAGGAAAACAAAGGGTACCGAATCGGAACGAAGACGTCTGAACGGGAACAAAGGGTAGAAGAAGCGGAGCGGTACCGAAGGTCATAAGGTAGGACCTGTGATACGTCCGAAAGGAGGTAGGGAGGGCGAGGCCCAGAGGGGCAGGAGGATGAGGAGAAGTGGGGATGATGACTAACTGGCTAGAATGGGAAGAAGCAGTAGTCCAAATAGGGATGGGGGGTAAAGGTGAGAGATACATTACAAGCGGCGAAAGTGCCGAAGGCGATCCGCGAAGCTCGGGGGTTGCGGAGCTTACGGAGGTTATGGAGGCGGGGTTGAAAGTCCGAGGGATATTGGCAATGGTGTTTACGTAGTATGAGGTCACCAATGCAATGGACTAAGACCGAGGTGGAGTCAAAGTCCAAGGTAGGGACTATGACGGAGGCTCAGAGCAAAGGTACGAGAGGTGTCCGAGTATGAAGTATGGGACAGCGGTGGAAGGTCGTAACTTGGTGGGAGGGTGGCGGAGGAGTAACAGAGGGAGGAGAGAGGGGAAAGGTAAGGGAGGAGGAGTGGCGGAAAGGAGAGTTGTCAGGTCCGAAGGTGAGTATCGGAGCGGACGGGGGAAGCATAGGAGGGTGACAGGAGGGTAGAAGGAGGTGTGTTGCCAGGACCGGAGGTGAGTATCGGAACGGCAGCGGTAGGGTATGACTCCGGAGGTGAAGAGGGTGGAGGTCCGGAAGTTGGGTAGGGGTCGGGTATGCACAGATATGACAGGGGAGATCTCATGTAATAAATGAGAATGAGTTTCCAGGGCTGTTGACTCGAAGTCGCCGAACCTTTGGACCTATGACTGGGATTTCCACTGTCCAGCCACCATTGCCGTCACCGCATGTTAACATGCAGTCTTGGGCTCATGGGGCTAAACTATCTGGGAAACAGTCAGGGGAACCACTGGAAGAAAGGCACGCTTGCAAAGTGAGAAAAAATGTGTGGACTATAGCCCCAATTCAAAGGCACAAAATTCTTGAATTCATCCCCACTGCCGAACCACTACCACCATCCTATTCAAATGTCACTTCCCCAGTGCCTACACAGATAGAGTCTGTTCCCCTTCCCAATCTGACAATTAATCACTTGCAGAAAGACAAAAGAAACCTAACAAAGGTTGCTCAACGGGCAAAAGTGAAAGTCCAAGCACTTCAAGCTGAAATTAAATCAATTAAAGTGGAAATGACAAAGAATATGAAGAAATTGGACCTGCGCCTCGATTTAGAGAGGGAAACATCGATGAGTTTGGAATCAAAACTCACCAAGTTGAGGAGATCTTCAATGTGCTGGCGGAGGAAATCATATGCTCTCCAGCAGCAGAATGGAAGGCTCCAATCGAGACTAAAGAACAGCCTTAACCAAACCAAATGTCGTAGGAAGCTGTCCCTTAAGTATGGAAGCTTCTTCTCATTTAAGGCCCAATCTCTGGTCCGCCGTCTCTGTTGCCTTAATATACCCGATGTAACAATTGGGAAGGTCATCAAAGAATGTGCTGGGTTCTTTGGAATCACTCTGAACAATGTTCCGAGTGCATGGACATGCAGTCGGATCATGATAGAAGCTGGGATAGCAGCTGAAGCTCAGATTGTGGAGGTTGTGCGGGACGCAAAGGGTAATTCAAACAATCACTCAATATTTTTGGTATATTAATAATATTTCTGCATAGGTATTGCCTATAGCGGTGATTCTACACAACACAAGCATATTGATTACCATGGGTCTCATTTCACAATGGACACTGCTGATCTGCCACACAATTCCACCCCATCCCCGGAACCAGCAAATCACAAAACCTTTTTCCTTGGAATCGAGTCACTACCTTTGCACACAAGTATGCAACAGTTGTCAAACTTTCAAAAGAAACTAGGGAGATTCTGTTCTTCCCATACAAGTCTTCCAAGTCTGAGGTTGGCGGAAGAGGTCAAACCTGATGATATTCTATGTGCAATAAATGGGATGGTCAGTGATCACGCAAGTGATCAGAAGCGGTTCACTGAACTTCTTCGTAATCTCAAACTCTCGGCCTGGTATAGAGAGCTCGGCCGAGAATACTGGGATTGGATGGGTGCTCAAGCAAATTGTATTGCTGCGGCAATCGCCCAAAATGAGCAGGAGCATAGCATAATGCGGGTTGGGGGATATGGAGTGTGGAGCTCACTATCAGAGGCAGTGCAGGCTGAGGTCTTGGATAGGACACGGCTTGACACATTGGAGCATTTGGGGAAAGTGCGGTATCACTTCTTGTCAGAAGAAGAGAAGCGCGCTATGTTGCAGCTGATCTGGATTGGGTGTGGGATGCACAAGGACCTGAATACTGTCAAGGGGGGCCATGAGCGCATGCACGCAATGTGGGTTAAGGAAGGACAAGTGGCCCCGATAAAGTTTTACAACAAGTCAAACAAAAACATTGTCCAGAACAGTCCAGATGGTGTTCCTCTGGCCATAAGCGAGCAACGGAAAGTGACAGTGCAGGAGGTGCAGTCAAATTCCTCCAACTGGCAGGGGCAATATTCTGAAATAAGAACGACAAAAAAGGTCAACAGGATGCCTATAACTGGTTCATGGAAGAAGAGTGCGGTCAGATCCAACAATTCCCAAACATATCTGCAGTGCGATATGGTACCTTTGGGACTGGAGCTGCACATATTATTGCTGACCTCAACTCATATCGGAAATTCATGATCAATGTTTCTTATTCCAAGGAGAAACCTGGATTGACAAACATTGAGAGGAATGTTTCGGATGGGCTTGAGGACATCCCGACACTTACTGAGCTCTGTGTCCACGCTTTGTATAGCGAATTTGTCTCCCAACCTTTGGTACAGGAACTCTGTGCCTATGGCATTGACCAGGTCAACGGTGTTTCACTTGGGCCATTACACAATGCCGTTCTAACTCACCTATCTAAAATCCAAGACAATCCCTCCCTTTGGCTCACTCCAGGCAGCTCATTCGCTGATGCGGCACTAAAAGGCACCAGAATCAGTAATACCCGGGCAATTGAAGCAGTGCACAAACTTACACCCAGCCTCCCACACATAACTGATGCTCTTATTGCATTCCTCGAAGGCGCCTCCGAAACGTTGAAGGAGAGAACGAAGGAAGGTCAGTTGGGAGGTTCAAACGAGACCACCACCAAGCTGTTCCCTGGTTCTTTAGTTAGGATGGGGAAGTGTACTAGTGTTGTTTATTGTAAATATAGTACCAATCCGAGTGTTTTGGCTAATTCTATTTTTATGGGTTAGTTTTAAAGTTCCTGGGAATTGACTTACAGATAAACCGAGCCCTGCGGAGCTGTTTCTTTATTGAAATTTATTAATTTGTCTAGGTGTAATTCTGTGTAGCGTTGTTTAATTTGGATTTAAACTTGAATTTAATCTTCTACTTGGTGAAGTTTCAAAGATTCTATTCAGTTAATGAATTTGGATGGTGTCTGGAGTGTCCCTTGAGTTCGTTTTATTTTTGTCTTTATTTTATCGCTTGTTTTAACAGTAGCAAAATAACTGTTTTGTGTTTACACTTTGAAATCTGGAGTGTTAACCAGCTCTCCTGTTGAAATATCTACTTAATATTTCTCTCCTTATTTGCTGCCTTTTACTACAGTGGCAATCTTAACTGTATATCACTTTTTCGCACTGGAGTGACAACCAGAAATGCTTGAGAAAAATAATACTCTATTTTCTTACTTCTCTAAGGGGGGCGAAAAGTCGCAGAAAGGGTCTCCCTTTTATACTCCTTGGGTCGCCTTCCTTTTTCATGCTCTACCTTCTATTTACAGGATTTATTTACAGTGTATTTTTCTCAAACTGAATAAAAAGTGAAATTTTCACGCTATAGTTCCACTGCGCTTTGCTGCGCTGAACTGCGGCTCTACTGCGGTCAGACTGCGCCTGGAATCCTTATTGTCCTTCCTTGCCTAAGCTATTTTAATGGTTAATTAGAATTTGTCTGCGCCGCATTTGCCGCAGTTCCCTATTTCAAATTCCCCATATTTCCCATTAAGTTCGCTATGACTCGGTCATACTGAATTCAAACCTCGCATTACTATGCGTGCAACTGTGCTGAGACCTTCAGCTGATTTATTCCAATTTTATTTAGTGACATTTAGTTAAAATGAGACTGAAATGATAAATGAGTGAATTATTCAGGTTTAAAACTGAAAGAAAAAGTTGCTAGTAATCAAGAATTACTCAAACGAATGTGTTATAGCTCTCTACTTCATTAGAACATCGTTCCCTAAAATTCCCGCCATGGTCCGTCGTAGTTTAGTAGTTTTCATGAATTTCGTTCATATTCCCTGATTCCCCTTTGTATTATCACATCCTAATCCTCCATATGTATTGTTCGTTGTTATAGTAGGTCGTCCTCGAAGATATCATATTTTTATGTATTTTATTTAGGGCTCTAGACCTCTTGAAGCTGTCTTCCCGCGTGTTTTCAGGTTTCTAACTTCATGTCCTTGTATCTCCTTCATTTCTGGATGTTTTCTCACGTTCTTGGTATCATAAATTTTCATTTATTCCCACCTTTCCAATGGTACTAAGGTTGTGTCCTATTTCCCTGTATTCGTTGAGTTAGCAAAGTTTCGCGCGCACATTCGGTAATCATGTGCATCGTTCCCATAGTTGTTCGTATGCGGGAGCCGTTTTCGTTTAGTTGTTCGGGATTTATGATATGTGCGGGTGTTTATTTCTTTCATATGGGCTTCTGTGATTTATTTCAGATTTTTCCCTCATGATCTAAGGTTGTTTTGCACTTTTCGTGCTTTGTTTTGACTGGGCTCTTCCTTATTTGGACGGAAATTGGTCTTCGCGATCTGCCGAAGTGTGGATCTCGGTTCCGACGGCCGGTTCCCTGCGCATCGCCACCCTCACGTGTCATTACACATGATGCGGATTCCTATATTCCTGTCATGGGTATAACTTCACAACGGCTGGACCGTTTGGGCTGAGAATTTGCATAACTATAGTTTCCTATTTTTCATAATTTCCGTGTAAATTTCGTTGTATGTTTTAATTATGGATCCTACGCAATCATCGTCTTGTCCCTGAGCTCGGACTTTTGATGTCGCTATTCCCGTTATTGGATTTCTCATTAACGCATGATCCTTTTATTATGGAAATTTGGGAGGATTAAGAGTAGATCCTTTCCTTTCTAATGGGCTATCAAGCTTGTCTCGGTCGTTACTAGTTAATCTTCGCGCTTGCTTTTTAGACATTGTCCTCGTTTTGCAGGAGTTTTAGTCATATCTCCGTCGTTTATGGGTAGTTTCCCCTGTAATTACTCTCATTGGTTCCGTTTGGGTGACATCTACATTTCCTATTATAAACACGACTTTGACTTTTGCATTAGTTCCTGAGGAATCTTTGTTCCGTGGTACTTCCATCCTTGCTACATGTGCGGACATGGGAAAGTAGTTTCCGTGGAGGTTCTCTGATTATTTTTATAGTCAAATCTCGGTCGATTGTCCTAATTCTTGGTTTAATATTTGCTATAAATTCCCCCGAGAATTCCGTCTCGTTGATGGTAAGCTTGAAGTATTTTTGTTATTTTTCTTTCTTTCGATTTATCGTGTATAGTCATAATAATTCGTAAAAATTCGTTAAAATTCAGGTCCTTCTATGTTCTCATATCTACTTGTCGTATGAGGTTTTTGTGATTTATCTGGCATATTTCCATAATGGGTTTCCATAGTGTGGCCGTTATTTCTCCTACAACGTACACTCGGTTCTCAATGGAATTTGCCAAAGGAGGGGAAATCGATTCACTCACACCAGAAGAGATCGAAAGGATCTTCATTCCTAGCACAAATGATGCAAATGAAGGCGCACTTGGCCAGCTTCGGTGCATGAAGCGGCTGAGTACACGCATGACACAGATGAAGTTAAATGCCATTCAGATGGCAAAGCGGAATGGTGTAGATGGCTTCATAGTTGGTAGTCTATCGGACGAGGACCAAAAAGCCCTACTAGGACTTGCAAGGCAGTGGGATATGTCGGGTCAAGAGCGGGAGCGGAAGCGGGAAATCTGGGAAGCAAACGCAAAGAAAGTGGCAGATAGTCAGCGGAAGGCCGAAATTGCAAAAAAAAAAAAGGCAAGGACAAGGCAGGAGAACCTCAAGAGGCTGTCAGAGGACGTCATCTATGATTTAGAGGGGATAAAAGCCCTCAAAACCAAGAAAGCGGCCAAACAGCAACTTGACGCTCATCGGTACCTTCATCCTGATGATAAGGAAATACCGAAGGTTGGCATCTTTACCAGCATGAATATTGTGTGATAACTGCGCAGTGCGATACCTCAATTAGTGAGGTATCAGCCGCTAGCGCAAGTCCGGTCCTTATATACATCTTGTAATGACTCTACGCCACTGAGGTGAAACATAAATGGTAAACAACAAGTTGAAAACAAAAGCGCAAACGCTACTGAGGACTCCGAGGAAAAGGCTCTATGTGCTGAACATGTCATGGATACTGCACTGGTCACCGACAGGAACACAGACGCGCCGAAACCCTGGATCGTGGACTCAGGATGCAGTAACCATTTTTGCCCAAACAAAAACGACTTCGTGGAATACACACCTTTTGATCCTCCACGCCAGATTGCCTTGGGAAACGATAGCCGCGTTCCCTCGCTCGGGGAGGGGACCGTCTTGATCGCCTGCACTGCCGGAGGGAGGCGCTTCACCTGTCGAATTCCAGACGTACAGTATGTTCCTAGTCTCAAGTACGGTCTCCTTTCCTGTAGAGTCCTCATCCGTCGGGGCGCCCGGATTACCTTTGGCCTTGACAATGTCTGCAGGATTGAAAAAGATGGGAAGCTGATCGCCGAAACACTAAAAGAACTCGCACCGATGTTCTACCTGAATCACCCGACCTCGCAGCTGACACCCACCGCATCTGAAAGGGCGAACCCGGCTGCGGAAGCCTCCACC